ATCCGGCAGACCAAGAGGATTCAGAAGAGGAGGATATTCAACCTAAGATCTCAGGGGATACAGCTCTTCAGGCCCTTGAACATCTAAGGCTATATGAGTTGCAGCAGGTAGATGGACAGCCAGAGATTGTGAGCATTCTTGACAAGCAAGAGACTGTAATCAAAAGAAGGAAGGCTGAGATGCGAAAGCAGAGCGATATCACGTGTTTCTTTAGTTAGACTGGATAGTCCTATAACCTGGTTAGCAACATAGAATGAACTCAGGAATAAGTTATGTTCTTATCCAGGTTTGACTGTAAGGCTAAACTCCCACGCTCGCATTAGCCCGCCGTCTGGAAGCTCGACAGAAGCGCGAAAATCCTCACCACACCCACCGTAGCGCTGGGCCGCTCTGGCACCTTCATAAAAGCACTCGCGCTCGCTGCCAACGCCCTCCAAGCTTCTCCAAGCCCATCACACCCCCTTGGCCTCGCACGGCGTCCTCTTGACCGACGACAAGACACGACAAGCCATCTCTCGCCATGGCCACCAGGACTGCGGGAGGCAACTCTGCTTTCCACAACTTCCACAACGACTACGCCCACATCGCCGACCCCAACGAGCGTCGACGACTTGCTCTCGCGGAAATCGACAAGGCGCCCTTCGGCTGGTACCATGTGCGCGCCATCGCTGTCGCGGGTATCGGTTTCTTCACCGACGCCTACGACATTTTCGCCGTCAGTATCATGACCACCATGTTGGGTGTCGTCTACTTTCAGGGCAACGCCGGCGTCCTGCCAACCTCCGCCGATACTGCGATCAAGGTCGCGACCTCCGGTGGTACGGTCATTGGACAGCTTGGCTTCGGTTTCCTCGCAGATGTGGTTGGTCGTAAGAGGATGTACGGTCTCGAATTGATCGTCATCATCTTCGCTACGCTCGCTCAGGCCCTTACATCCAGCTCCCCATCCATCAGCATCGTCGGTGTCATCATCTTCTGGCGTGTGCTCATGGGTATCGGTATTGGCGGTGGTAAGTCGATAATCAAGAGTCTGCCGATACAACGAAGCTTACCAATTCATAAGACTACCCCCTTTCTTCCATCATCACCTCCGAGTTCGCGACCACCAAGTGGAGAGGCGCCATGATGGGCTCTGTCTTCGCCATGCAGGGTCTCGGCCAGTTCGGTGCTGGTATCATTGCCCTCATCGTGGTCGCAGGCTTCAAGGACTCGCTCCTCTCTGCACACTCCTCAGGCTCGAGCGTCACTGCCCTCCAGGCTTGTGACGGTGTCTGCCAGCTTGCCGTTGACAAGTGCTGGCGTGTCATCATCGGAATGGGTGCCGTTCCTGGCTGCATTGCCCTCTACTTCCGTTTGACCATCCCAGAGACTCCTCGCTACACCTTCGATGTCTCTCGCGATGTCGTCAAGGGTGGCTCCGACGTCAAGGCTTACCTCTCCGGTACCGCTGAGGGTATCCCAGACGAGATCACTCGTGTCACCACCATGCGCGAGTCTGCTCCTCAAATGGAGATCCCCAAGGCCTCGTTCGGCGACTTCTTCCACCACATCGGCAAGTGGAAGTACGGCAAGGTCCTCCTTGGTACGGCCAGCTCTTGGTTCTTGCTCGATGTTGCCTTCTACGGTGTCTCTCTCAACAACTCTACCATTCTCCAGGCCATCGGCTACGGTACTGGCAAGACCGCCTATGAGACTCTCTACAACATCGCTGTCGGCAACATCATCCTTGTCTGCGCTGGTGCTATTCCCGGATACTGGGTGACTGTCGCCCTCGTTGACACCGTCGGTCGCAAGCCAATCCAGCTGATGGGTTTCACCATCTTGACCATCCTTTTCTGCATCATGGGTTTCGCCTATCACCAGATCGGTGAGAGCGGTCTCCTGGCTTGCTACGTCTTGGCCAACTTCTTCTTCAACTTCGGCCCTAACTCGACCACTTTCATCGTTCCAGGAGAGTGCTTCCCAACCCGCTACCGATCTACCTGCCACGGTATCTCCGCTGCATCTGGCAAGGTCGGCTCGATCATCGCTCAGGCCGGTATCGCTCCTCTCCGTACCCGTGGTGCCACCAAGACCGACAAGTCCCCATGGCTCAACCATGTCCTCGAGATCTTCGCTCTTTTCATGCTTCTGGGTATCCCTAGCACGCTCCTTGTACGTATACTCTCCCTGCCTCATAAAATGACTCTATATATGCTAACTACCTTCTCGATACCCGAAACTAAGAGAAAAACCCTCGAGCAGCTCGCCGGCGAGGTCCCTGGTACACCTGAGTACGATCCTGAGCTGGCTGGCCTGTCGAACACCGCCGCCCACGCCCGTCAAGAGTCCGACCCAGAGTCCTCCGAGCACATCGCTGCCGAGAAGGGTCACCACAATGTCTAAATGCATCTGTCGGACCTTGCTGCTGTTATCTGCTGTATTTTAGAGAGAGGATGAACAAAGTTGATACCACTGGATTGAATTGTTACACAAAAGGAGAGGCTTTCGTTTTACAGAGAGAGATGACGCGAAAGAGAGCATGCATTATGACCCACGGCAATGATGTGTGTTAGAATGTTCTTCTCCTCACCTCTTTCGACAACGACGATATCCTGTATAGCCTAATAGAACTCTCGTTACTTTGGTGAACCAGAAATTTTCGTCATACTTCTTGGTATCTGAGATGGTTGGCAGTCCTGCTTGTCCTGTACCTCGAAGCAAATCTGCTGGTACAATACTACTACCTTGGGTCATGGAGGATGTGGTTGTCGTCACTGTGCGACGTCGTCCAACTTCGGTGGCAAGCAAGCATCCTACGAAGCCGCCTCGAAGACCACCCTCATCGTCCCTCTCAAAGTGGAACGATCGCATAGCACCGTCAACTACACATCACTCAGATTGGCAGAGGACGACCACTGAGACACAAGTATTCCGAATTTGCTTACGAGCTCACGAGCAATGACCATGGCCATTGCTGACCATGGTCCCAGTTTGAGCGAAACCGAGGCAACGGGAGAATTGTATTCAAGGACTTCCTGATCGCCCTTCGAACGAATGCAGAGTACATGCAGCGTCTTCCACACACCTTGAAGTGGTCACGCATCCAACAGCGAAGCCACGAGTGAAGCTGAAAATCCAAGGACTGTCACGATATGGAATCGCAATGGTTGGAATCCCCCCGTCTGCGGGAAAGGACCACTTCTCTAGCGTGATCACTCATTCCGCTATGTGCAGACGTCGTAGGTATCATTCAGCTCCGCTCACACACGAAGTGGAAGACCTCATCCCCATTTCTCGAGCAATGAAGTTGTTTCTTGATATTTCGCCGAAGTGACGACAAAAGTGGTGTGTATGCCTCCAGGAGCTCGTTGACGGAACATGAATCGAACCGTCATCCGCTCGCTCTGCTTCTTGCTACCACCACCAAGGATAGTAATCTATCTTCATTTCTCGCAGGCTGTCTAGCTGGCCCGAGGTGCGGATGGAGACGTGGTCGTTATGGAGACATTGGAGAAAGGGATGATTCTATGTGGCCTGGGTGTTTTGAGCGGGACGCTGAGAGTACAGTAGACTCAGTAGACTTCTTGCCGTAGATACAGCAAAGTGGTCATCAATCATGAGCCGAGCGAGAGCGTGAGTTTGGCTACGGGATGAGGATGGAGATTTTCCATATGGGATGACGAGGGTACAGTAGAGTGGACTTCTTGCGATAGATACGGCAAAGTGGTCATCAGCCATGAGCCGAGGGAGAGTGTGAGGGCGGCGATAGAATTCGTGGAGGAGATATTTTCCATGTTGGCGCACACAAGAAATGAGAGTGGTTGTACGACCCGAAGCCGCCTCTCCCGCCAGGGGGGAAGATAGTTTTCTGTAGTCTACGTACCTTGAGCGGGACGATGAGAGAAGAGTTGCGATCGTGCCGTAGTTATGATGACATAGTTGTGTTCATAGACAGGACGAGAGTGTGAGGGTAGCCACAGAATAATCAGCAGGGAGGTTTTTGATGTTGGTGCACTCGAGACTTGAGCATTTTCGTATCAACGTGGGCTACCCTAGTTGTAGTTGGCCATCCTCGAAAGTAGGGGGCGAGAACAAGCCTGATTCCACGCAGCAGTTGCGATGATACATCAGCCTTTCGCTATCTACGTCTCCACAGATCCAACATTCCCTGCTCCTCATCCTGCTCCTCGAACTTTCCCGCCAGTCGGGAAACTTTCTCGTGATGGTTGCTGCGGCTTGGAGGGCTGGCGAGAAGTCGGCATCGCGTGTGTAGAGGGTGACGGCGATGCAGGTGACGATGGAGAGCTGCTGGTGTAGTCTGTCGCTGGTCTGGCGGAGGAGGTTGGTGGGAGAGGTAGAAGGGGTGCTGGCTTTCTCTTCTTCGGCGGACGCTCGCCAGGCGCGAGGACAGGGGCTGCTGGGGGCTACTCACGAAGTACTGTGGCTGCTGTCGCCGTCTTTTCCACCGCTGGACTCCTGCTGCTGGAAAATGTTAGCACCCGGTGTTGTGTGCAAGAGTACAAGTGGACGACGAACCTCGTTCTCATGCTTCGTAGATTCCTCAGCTGTGCGTAATGGCAGATTGAAGCCCTCTCCCTCTTCTGGCTCTTCTCCCTCTGCTTCAGCGAGCTCTTTGGCGCCCGCCATGTCGGCGTCATAGCCATCAATCAGACCGTCCACGGCAACATCGTAGTCATAGCCCTCGGGCTCCTCTTTCCCAATCGCCTCCTCGAGCTCGTCCGTTGTCTCCCACAACTCCTACAGTGCACGGTCGACCGTGTCGCTCTCGCCAGCGGGATGCCAGCGACGAACAATCCGCCACAAAGACCTCGCCTTGACGCAGAATTCCTCAGCCTCCTCCCAGTCGCCCACGATAGATCCGAGAAGAACCCAGGTCTTCATGCGATGGTATCGAGGCAGGGCTGGATCGTCTAGTAAAGTGCGCCCTTTGTTGATGCACTCCTCGAGTGCATCATCGTCGTACAATTGGGCGACTTCGTTGAATCTTTTGGTGAACTTTCTGTCGACAGTGTCCTCCATGTTGCTGCTGTCGCGTGGTGTGGGTTTCGTTGCTGCTGCTGTCTGGTTGTGGTTTGAAGAAGTGGCGATGGGAACAAGTTGGAAATATTCAGGAAGGTGGGGCAGCGTGGCCGTTTGCATGTGACACGCTAGCAGCGACGCTAGCTTCCATGTGATGGAGCTTTTGCAGAGCGCGAAGAACACGAGCGAGGAGCGCAGAGAAAATCCAAAAGTAAAGTCCAGAAGCCAGAAGAGCACATGTGCCTCAAGGACGACAATCCACAGAAGACCGTGACGCAAGTTCTGGTCATGACATCCACCTCTTTGACTGTGGCCGTCGTTTGCAGACTACCGATTACGGGCTGTTCCCCTTGCCGATTCAAGACACGCGGAAGACCGACACTTGCGATCCGTTTGCAATCTCCACCTCTGTCTGTTCGTTGCAGAATCCTGCTACTTTGCACCGAGCACGCAACTCACGCGGCATCCACCACGACGTGAAGCGTACCTTCATGAATCCAGCAGTCCACTGCTGCGAACCCGGCAGATCTGGACGGTCATGGAAGTCGTTCGGCCAACGACGACATCAACATGAGCATTAAGCACAACCCCACCTTGAAGCATGTGCTGGTCTTCATTCCCCAGAAGTTTGCAAACCTTTGCACTCTATGCAAAGGCACCAGAAAGCCGCGCGAGGCAGCTCGATCCCGACGAGACCAGCTGTGGACATGGCTGGACCAAGTTCGTATGCGAATGAAGTGCGATGCTCGCCAGGTGAAACACCAATAATGTCGCTTGCAGAGCAAGGTTCTTGATGAATACCAAGACTCCCGGAACATGGATTTCTCGCTATGTGAGCAGCTGCTGGAGGCCCAGCTACTTCAGTGCAAGCTTGAAGTTGATCGCAAGGCCGGGGTATGCGCAGTCGAAGCTGGTAGTCATCTCTCGAACTCGTCCCGAGTTGAACAGACGCTGCAGTGCTGCAAGTCCGACTACCCAAACAAAGCCAGAGACTGGAATCCAGCTCCAGCTCTCAGGACGTCTAGGGGAAGCAGCCAACGGCCACATCTGGATTGAATGTACGGCTCATCTAAGAGAGATGACCACTGATTCGAGGCCAGTAATACTGGCCAGCGGGGATACTTACGATCCAGCATTCTATTCTGCTGTCAGCAAGAACAATACCATTGTGGACAATGGCACGTCGTCTTATCTTACTCATGATCTCAGCCACCTCAAACACTACCAAGTTGGCAACATTGGTATTCGCTTCCGTGGCAACAATTCGCGTGCTGAAGCCATGAGAATTATGGTCATTGACATTGTCAACGAGAAAGGATATGAGTTCGAGCTCCAGAAAACTCTGTACGTGCCAGACGTTCCTGCCAGCCTCATATCTGCGGAAAAATTTCTTTAAAGGTAGTTGTTTCTACTCCTTCGACTTGTGAGACGAGCGAGGTTGCAATGCGGCCGGAGACAGTTCGCGAGTAACGGACACGTTCTACTTCGAGCGGAATGAGGAGGACATTGGATGCGGTCGGCATAGTCTAATTCCGAGAGTCCTCGGCGATAAAATCCCATGCGGTAGTCCGCTCTGCGCTGCAATGCAATGCAAGTAGCTTCAACATACATTGCAGATCCGTCTTTCAGCAGGAGAACAAAAGCAACAAGGATTGGAGCTTTGGAGTTGGTCAGACGATTGATCGACTGATGATTCGATTCTTGCTTTCGCATCTGCTAGACAGCTGCCACGTCTGTTTCTTGTAGAGTGGTGTGTAGGTAGTATACTCATCATCATCCCTGCCCAAATTCTGGGCTTCTAGTCATCGCTGTGTACGCGGGTCCGAATTCCGACCTTTGCATCACCCCATCCCATGCATTCCTCTTCCCGATGCGTTCATCCATTCCCTTCGCCGTGAAAAAATCATCTGGTATCATCATTTTGGTATCATCGCTTCATCCGTAAACCCAAGCCTCGAAATCCGAACCCATTCTGTGTCATAAGGGCGGCCAAAGCCCGAGCCCGCAATAGCCGAGAAAGCTGTAAGCCGCTGCGAAACGCGCGCGTGCATGTGAAAAGTTTCTGATCGACAGCGCCAAACTCCGCAAAAAGTCCATACGAAAACCCAGATTACTCCTCCTTGGCATGCATCGCATACCACCCACTCGATGTCGCTTCTGCAGGCTCGCTGTCGCCCTCAGGCTCATGCTGCGACTGATACCGGTTCGGTGGTGCAACTCATTTGCGGCGCGACCTTATCGTCGTCGCCTCGCACTTGGGCGACTGCTCTCGTGATGCCTGGTTTGGTGTTGTTCTTGTCGGGAGGGAGTTCCCACATTCGCGAGAACGAAGGCGCGTCGGTTTTGCCGTGACATACGCATTTCCGCACGCCCTCGTACATCGTCGCCATGAGTTCGTTGCCATCGCCCTTGACACATTCCGCGAGAGTCTCTTCGTCTGGTGATACGGGTTCGTCAAAGTCATCATCGTCATCTTCGTCCGGGTTGTCCGGTTCCAGCTCGGGAGGCGGAGGTTGTGATTGCCGTCCTGTGCCAGATGGGAAGCGTTCGAGCGACAGACCTTCTTCGTCCTCGTCGTCTAGGAAGTCGTCGAGATCGTCTTCATCATCATCGTCGTATTCGGGCGGTGGAGGCGGAGGTGACTTTCGCCCCAGTTGACCTGTTGACGGCTTGTGTTGTAATCGGTGGTCGACATGGCCAGTGCCCTTGAACTGAACTGCACTTGCTCGTGCACTCTTGGAGATGTCGTGCTCGATCTCAACAATGCGTAGTCGGAGTGATTCGTAGTGCATCAGGTGTCCGACCAGAAACCGCATATTCCTGTCCTTGCGTCCCGCTTCGATGTTCAGTCGACATTGTGCTGTGTGAGCCAGCGTGTAGGCCTCCCGTAGTGAATTCATTTTGCTGTTGTCAAGTCCGTCTGTCGTTGTTGTTGAGAGTATGTTGTTGTGCAAGGTCTGTAAAAGAAAAGAAGAAGGCAATGGAACAAAGATCCTAAGGCCGATAACTACGGCGTTTCAGCGGGAAGGCGACCCACAAAGTACGGAGCTCGTACACCGCCCTTGAGTACAGCTGTCTTGGCCTTTGGTTGGCTGATTTTGAGGCGCGCGCTCCGGTTTCTTTCCAGTACCCACTGTTTTGCCGAAAATTGTGGTTTTGCTTGCGCAGATGAACGCGTGGAGTGGCCTGGAGGATGATTGTATGATGGAGAAGGGGTGGCAGTGGAAAAGAAAGCAACAACAACTTCTATTCGCATTCATCAGCAGGACGGGGTCACGCCTTGCGGCATGCACTGGATTGGTACTCCGCCCTTGGTGCTTTCCGCTTCGGGCGCTGGGTTGGTAATCCGCCTCGCAGCTCCGTCTTCGCCACTAGTTTGACTCACACTCCCTAAGCACATGTACATGTGTAGTGGTCACGCTGTGACTGTTAGTGTAGGCGAATGCGATGCAACGCGACTTACTCAGACGGCGTATTCGTGGGAACAATGGCGTCCCTCAGCCTTGCGTTGGCGAAGTCGGCGGTGCAGAGCATGTCTTTGGAGTCATACCGCAATATTTTTTCTGAACGCCGACGTTGTTGTTGTAGAGTTGCGAGCGGCCGTTGCGAGCGTCGTTAGACTCGGCCGCCTGCTGCCAGGGCGTCCGTAACCTTGTCTCCAGCGGGGCTGCCAAGCCGTCCACGACGTCGCGCGACATGTGACAGCACCATGACCTACCTCGCGGTATCTTTGCTGCCGTCCGTTTGCTCGCCAGCATTGCGCGTACTGCGATGCGCCTGAGGCTTCTATACGACTGACTGTTGATCCTCATTGACGTTGTCGCCATAATCTAGACCAGACCAGGTACCCGCAGTCCAAACGCACCGTCGATCCCAGTCGCAGCACGACGGTGGAGATTGAGCATCAATCGTGCTTTCCCTCCGCTGCCAGCAAACGAGAACTCCACTTCGATATGGCGCAGCCTTCGTCGCAAGCGTCGCCCTCCTCGTCCTCAGTAAACGCAACCTCGCACCCGGGCCCGACCGGTAATCCTCTCACGTCGCAGCAGCAGAAGCAGTCCCCTGTGATCAGACCGTCATCGATCAGCACTTCCGCCATATCCTCCGCATCCACCACCCCACTGCCTACGCCGCGCAAAGAGTCGTCATCCCTCAATCCCTCGCCTTCCGTCTCCAAACGATCGAGCTTCGCAGAGAACCTCAACACACGACCGTACCCTGGCTCGCCGCGAGCGCAGCGCACCCACTCCTTCTCAGGCCAAGCTCTGACAGAGCTCCTCATGCATCCCTCGAATAAGCTCAATGGCGCAGACGAGAGGTTCAAAGGCAGAGATTGGCGGACAATTCAAGTGCACGAGATCATAGACCCGAATGAGACGCGCTTCGTCGAGTTGGACACTAGCATCGAGGACACGACCAAGCTGCTTGTCAGGTCAGGCGCGCCGAATGTGGTGCTGGTGCGAGAGTCAAGAAAGACGAAGACTGCTATTGGTACTTTCGACTTCTCCGACCTCAATGCCTACCTGCTGCTCGTGCTGGGCATCACCCAACCAGATGAGGACGCCGTCCATATCGCGGAGAAAGCTCGCAGTGGAGAAGCCATCCCGCTGAAGGACATTCAGCATCATCTTGGAGGACATGAAGAGCCTGCGTTTATCCCTTCCAATGCCACCCTGTCCCAGGCTATGGAGATATTGGGCGGCGGACACCACAGGGTCGTGATGAATAAAGAGGGCACCAGCGAGGCGGTGGGTGTTCTGAGCCAACTGCGGCTAGTGAGGTTCTTCTGGGATAACCATACCAACTTCGCCGCGACCGAGAAGTTGTATCAGTTGACGTTGAAGGAGCTGCAACTTGGAGCAAAAGAGGTGCTTGCCATTAACGGCGACAAGCCACTTGCGGATGCTCTGAGACTTATGCATAGTGAGGGCATCACATCTCTACCAGTTCTCGATCAGCAACGCAATGTCGTGGGCAACATCAGCCATGTTGACGTGCGGGTAAGCCATTTACTCCTATTTAATGTGCTTAGCAACCTCTGTGTACTGACCAACTACCAGCTCCTCACAGACACCTCCGCCATCCCTCTTCTTTCCGGCACTTGCATTCACTTCATCTCCGTCATCTTGTCTGAGCGAGGCATGATGGATGGCAAGGACTCATATCCTGTCTTCCATGTCACCCATTGGAGCACACTGGCCCATACCGTAGCGAAGCTCTGTGCAACGCGCTCCCATCGGATGTGGATCGTGGACGCCCCTTCGCCAAACACCAGCGTACCGCCATCGCCAGGACCACATCACGCAGCGCCTTCGCCGAGCTCACATCACAGCAGCCCCAACATTCAGCACAACACTCCCATCACTACGCCGTCACGACAAGGCTCGGTGAATGAGCAAATGACGCCCGGACCGCCGTATACCAGCGTTAATCCAGGTGTCTCGATCTCATCTGGGCAGCTCCCTGGTGCTACTATGAGTGGCAGATTGTCGGGTGTCGTATCACTGACCGACATTCTGAACCTCTTTGCACGAGCAAGCGGGCTGCACCCAGGAGACCCGGAAGAGACCCGTCGGCGGCGAAGACAGAGCAGCAGCTCAAGCGTACGGCCGAGCTTTGACGGCGGTCGTCCTAGCATGGAGAGCTTGCGGGTCAGCCAAGATCTGTCTAAGAGTCAGACTGAGCTGTCAAGAAGCATCGAGCAGCTGGGACGGAGCTCGAGCAAGTCCTCCATGTCAGGGAGGAGGTAGGAGCCATTTGGGGGTGATGAGGAGCATTGAAGAAGTATGGCATTTTGCAAGGAGAGAGACAATCTCGAAGACTGCATCGCATGGAATTACTGTAGAGGGCAAACGGCAGACGTATCTGCATGCATAGCTGGCGTGGGCGTTCTGTGCATAGAGCGAGGGCGTTGGAGGTTGATAGTGAGGTATCACGAGACTACAGAATTAACATATGAAATACTGTCAATTGACCCTCTTCACTTCAATCTCTCATTTGGCAGGCTCACATGCTGTTCTGAGCAATGTCTGCCTTGTTGCCTTGCTGCCTTACGCTAGCGAACCTTAAATTTCGACATAAATATTTCCAAATTTCCTCTCGAACACCTCCTTCCTTTCATCTCCATACTTACCTTGAGAGGGTGCGCTCGCACACGAATGAGTTGCACCTAGCCACGGCTCCTGCATTGCACAGCGCGGTGAGAAGTGGCTACGAGTCTCCTTCGGGGGCCTCGGTCTCGTAATTTTTGATGGCTACCCTTCGACCCGTCGTCGTCCTTTTTCATCAGTGTCCTCGAGCTTGTGCTTGGGGCTGGAGAAGAAGCTACTACTGTTTGCGACGGCTCACTTGCGCCAACGTGTTTTGACGATGGTCTGTCGCTACCTCGCCTTCTCGCTCATCGCACTCGAGTATCCCTCCGGCAGGACTCGCACGTCCAATACCACCGCCTTGTTATTCTCACGCACCTCCCTCGCCGCATCCGCCATCGCCGCCGCCAGCTCGCTCTTCTCGCGCACCTGTCGTGGCCGCACCACCGTACACCCCAACCCCTCCGCGATCTTCTGCAAGTCCGGCTGCGGATCCTCCAAGCGCATCCCAATCCACTTGTTGTCCACCTCCCTCCCTCGATGCTTCGCGACGCGTTCCTGATGGACTTCATCGTTGAAGTACGAGCCGTTGTTCGCGACGATGACCAAGAGGGGGAGTTTGTAGCGCGCGGCGGTCCATAACGCGGAGGAGCCCATGAGATACTCGCCGTCGCCGAGGATGGCGACTGCGGTGAGGGGGGAGTTCTGAGAGTGCAGTGCGAGGGATGTGCCGACGACTTGGCCGGGCCCGGACGCGATACCTGCTCCGCCATCCATGCCCATGAAGGCGAAAGGGTGCGTTGCTTGGAGATCGACGCCTCGCCAGCCGAGGGGCACGCGGACTAAAGAGATGGAAGAAGAGGGGAGGGTGGAGTAGAGAGCAGACGCGAGATCCGGCATGAAGACGTCGTTGGAAGAGGAGGGCTGATTGGGGATAGACGGCGGCTCAGGATCTCTTGCTTCAGGCCAGTGGGATTTCTGAGAGGATATCGCTTCCGCGGCGGCGAGCAAGGCCGTGACGCTCTTGTCGACGTCGGCGAAGATGGAGATATCTGCCGGTGGGACGGCGAAGTGGTCTTTAGACCAGCCGTTGTGCAGGGCGCTGTCCATCGAGATGGAGATCACGTCGCACTCTGGCTCGGCGGATCCGCATGCGGCTTTCAAGTTCCCTGCGAGGTCGACCCAGTCGAAGGAGATGATCAGGTCTGCATCTCGGATCATCTCAGAGGTCTGAGGCGTGAGGAAGACTGCGGGAGCTGAAGGTTGCAATGGGTGAGGGTAGGGGAATGGCGCTGTCTGCTTCAGGTCTGTGATCACTCTGCCGTCGAATTTCTCGACTAGCTGGATCCTCTCATCCCAGTGCCTTGATTTAGGGGCCATTCGACCAAAGAGGAAAAGAGGCTTCTTCGACTCGCTCAGCGCTGCGATCGTCTTCAGCAGATCTTCGACCGACGGCGAGGCAGGCTCAATTGCATCTAGATATCTCCTCGTCTTTGGGAACTTCAACGACTCGGCATCGACAGCATCTTCCTGCAGGCCTAGGTCAAGGCAGACATAAGTTGGTGCACAAGGCTTACTCGCCGCCGCCACTGTCGCGTGCAACAAGCTCTCCACCGCTGCATTCGCACCTTGCGGCTGATCATCAAACTTGACGTACGGCCTCACCAGCGCTCCTTGATCCTGCGCAGTATGGATCCAATCGATCCAGGGCCTTCGTCGCTGCGCATCAAGCGGCCCGGTCGCTCCTAAAACGAGTATCGGCACGCGATCACAAAAGGCATTGTAGATCGCCATGGTGGCGTGCATAAGTCCGACATTGGCGTGTACAGCAGCAGCCATGGGTTTGCCGGTGATTTTGGCGTAGCCATGGGCGATGGAGACGGCATGTTCCTCGTGGAGGGTGACGAGCATTTCTGGGTTCGCATTGTTGGAGAAGTTCACGATGCTGTCATGGAGGCCACGGTAGGAGGACCCAGGGACGAGAGCAATGTATTTGAGGTCGAGATGGGAGAGTTGGTATGCGATCGCATCGCTGCCGTAGCCGATCTCTGGGTGCTGCCCGGATGACGAGGCTTTGGGTTTGTCCGAGAGTTCAGGCTGTCGGTCGTGATGGTTGTGATGATGGTGGTGCTGGTGGTGCTGGGACGCCATGTCGCCTAGTCAGGAAGGTGATGTATTTCTTTTCTGATTTCTTTCCAAGTGCTGAAGAGTCTACGATGATGACGGCCACATGGCGTTGCTCACACAGTCTACAAGAAAGCGGTCAGACTACAACCAAGTTCTGGACGGCTTTCGACACGGTACCTGCGTGGGAAGCACAAGGTCAACCCCGTTGTACGTCGATGTTCCAACGTTCAACGATGGCTCGCACACGACCTGCTCTATCTGTTGCTACACGTGGCTCTGCAATTGTGTTGCGCTCGAGCACCACAGGATGGCACAAAGCGGAGTTGCTCATCGCTGATCGCTTCGACGTCGTCCAAACAAGCTCATCATCTACCCGTGGGCATCCTAGCGGGGTAGCATTGCGTAGCGCAGAGGGTCGTCGAAAGTCTATCCAGCTCCTCGAGCTCAGCAGCTGCAGGAACGGAACTGTGTTTCTCGAGCATGTTGCTGGCCAAGCTTCCCATCATCTCCAAACAAGTGTGCTAAATGGAAAACATGACGGAAGGACGAGGAGACATCCGATCGACTACCGACTTGGCCGTTTCAGATTGAGTTGTTCTAGCCTGGCCCAGCCTTGCCGAATGTAGAAATAGCAGCAATACCATCTTTTCCACAAGCGTCTGTGCGCCGCCGAGGTACAACTGCCATTTTCGCCCGCGTCATTGGCTTCCACACCACACTTCACGTCGTCTCTTGCTCGGGTGCCTGTACGAAGAACGATGGACCTCGGACATCGAGTGGTTTTGGGAAGGTCGGTTAGATGACATACGTACCCTAGAAGAGATCGGTTCCTTTAAGATGTCGTCGGTTCGTCCGTTCTTCTTTGTCGACTGGACATTTGCTTTGCTCGACGAACCGCCATGATGATGAAAACGCTCTCGACTGCCGTGCTTTTCGGAAGCCTGGCATGCGCTCAATTCGCTCCCCCGGCTGGCGTGAGCAATGTCTCGAGCTCTGACTGTCCCACGAACGGTGGTGCCCACATCATTGTTGCAAGAGCAAGTTTGGAAGCACCTGGATATGGGTATGTTTGAAGACAAGGTCGCCCACGTGGCATATACAAGTACAACGGCTAACGGCTTTGCTCGCTTAGCATTATCGGATCCGTCAAAGATGCAGTGCTCAATCGAGTGCCTGGCTCGACCGCCGAATTCGTCACGTATCCGGCGACGCTCGACGACTACTTCAACTCCGAGAGCGACGGCGTGCTTGCTATGAAGAAGCTGATCAATGCCTACACCGACAAATGCAGCGCCTCTTTGCCTCTCGTCTTGATGGGCTACTCGCAGGGAGCTCAGGTCTCGGCAGACTCTCTAGTCGGCCAACAAGTCGCTGCATTCCCAGACAACTCCTCCATCAACCAGCCTTTGCCAGCGAGCACGCTCTCCCGCTTTGCTGCGGTGGTCATAATGGGCGACCCATCGTTCGTGACGAACGAGACCTTCCACGTCGGAAACGCCACCAGAAACGGTCTGTTCCCTCGTAAAGACGTGGCGAACTTCAACACTGCTGGGCTTGCCGCGAGAGTTAAGAGCTACTGCGACTTCAACGACCCATACTGCGCGTCTGGAAACCTCTCCACTGGTCTGCCTGTGCATCTGGGATATGTCCAGGAGTATGGCAGCCAAGCGGAGGATTTTGTTGTGAACCAGATCAAGGCGTTCTACTCGAACGGAACGAGCACTTCCTCGAACGGCACTTCGAGCAGCGGGAGTGGATCTAGCACCTCTTCGAATGGTACCTCAAGCGGTGGAAGCGGATCGAGCACAACCTCATCGACACCGGCTGCGTACACTGGTACTGCATCGACGATGAGCGCAGTTGGAAAGATTGCGCCTATTGCTGTCCTTGCGGGTGTGATTGCATTGGCAATGTAACGACAGAAAAGCTATCAGGGAGACGGCCGAACAGAACGAGTGGCTAGATGTACATACGAGAAAAACACGAGACGAGCTAATGTAATGACGAAAGCTGAACAAACAAGCCTGCAACACCGACCTTCTACCTCCGCCAGTTCACAGACATTTGATGACGAGTCTCGATCACGGAACACAGACGCTAATGCTTCACAGGCTGCCTCAACATGTACCTGAACACATACTTCCCCCACCTCGCCCCATCCCCCTCAGGCGGAACAAGACTTCGCCAATTCCACTCATCCAAATCCAACTCCAACCTCCTAATCTCCTCAAACCCACACTTCTCAAACATCCCCGCCCCAGCCTCGCTCGCATGAACCCAGCAACACACGCCCTCAATATCAGCACGATCCGTCCCCTGTCGAATCAACGCCGTCCCAACACCCCTGCCATGATGAGCCGGATGCACAACAATACTAGCGACGAACATGCACTTCACCCCAGGCGGCATGAGCGTCTTCATAAACCTCGTCTGAAGATCATACGACGTGTACGCATCAAGTTGCTCTCGAGGGACTTTCGCCTCATCCAGAAAATCAGGCTCCGGAGGCGGCGCAACCCCCCTCACACCCTCAACATCCAACTCCACCGTCCCTCCCTCCTCCTCCGAATCAAACCCTCGAAACCCCCACGCGACCCATCCGAGGATTTCCTGCGTGGTGTCGTCGACCGCTACGGTTAATTCGATGGAGCCGGGGGGTCTGCCTAGCCAGTTCTCGAGGCCGGCTTGCGTTCCTGCGGCGTGGTCGTAGGGGTTGGAGGGGTCGGCGGCTTTGAATTGGGTTTGGCGGTCGGTGGTGAAGGCGAGGCCGGCGATTTGGGCGCAGGTGGGGATGGCGGTTGGGGTGAGGGGGCGGAGGGAGAAGGGTGGGTTGGTGGATGTGGGTGGCATTGTGGAGGTGAGGTCTGAGGAGCAGGTTGTCAGTTTTGAATGGACATTTATGTATTCATGCTCGAAATGACCCTCTGACGCTAGGCTGTTTCGAATCGGCGGTGTCGAAGCTGCTGCTGGAATTTATAAGCGTTTGACGAGAGACTCGTTTTGTATCAACAGGCTAGTATGACAAGAGCCTGTATTCAATCGGCATGGACGATCGTGAAATCTTTCATAGCGTAGAGACACCGCGTCGAGAGAGGGCAGTGATATTGTTGCTTGTTTCGAGGCGAGTACCTTCGAGTTTCCTCTGACGCATTGGCAGCTTTGATTTCCGTCGACGTATGAGTTCAACCCAAGTGATGCTGTATATATAGCCTTTGTGCAAAGCCAGAGACGAACTCGAATATCACTTCACCGATGTCTACTGATCGCCCACCAAGATCGAGGATCGGAGCTTCTATTTGAGTTCACTCGCGCAGTCGGAACCACGCAGAGGTTGTGCAACCCACCAGATTGGGTGAAGATGAGCAACGCACTCCTCTTTTGTGTCTTCGAGCGAGTTCACTCGAGATGGATTTAACAGCTTCTGTCTTCTTCGCCTATATGTCTGAGATGAAGCGCTTCGTGAAGCGGACTCAACCATGGGCTTCAATCCTCTAGCCAAGGTCACTGGCAAACTTCTCAATATCTTGATCACCATAGCATCGACCTGCGGCTTCGTCCTCTTCGGCTACGACAATGCGCTCTTCTCCGGTCTGATCATTTCGCCATGGTTTCTTCGCACTTTCGATGACCCCAATGCCAGCCTCTTGGGGACAATCTCAGCTACCTATAACTTGGGCGGATTTGCAGGTGCCGTGATCGCGTTCTTCATTGGAAATGTACTCGGACGGAGAAGAACCATTCTTACTGGCATTGCGATCACTACCATCGGTGCTGTTCCATTCGCTGCGGCTACCAACTTGGCGCAGCTCACCGCAGGGAGAACGGTATGCGGTGTTGGAGTAGGGATCATGTCATCGACTGTTGGCCTTTGGCAGGCAGAGACCGTCCCAGCTCGAGCCAGAGGCGCCTACCTAGTTGGACAGTTGCTGTATGGCGCTACTTTGGGCTTGTTCCTCGCGCAGTGGATCAACTACGGGTTCTACAACGTAAGGACGAGAGTTGCCTTTGCCTTCCCGGTGGCATTTCAGGTTGTCTTTCTCTTGATATCGACATTGCTGGTCCTAGGTCTCCCGGAGTCTCCGCGGTGGCTTGTAAAGAAAGGTCGCAACAACGAGGCAATGGAAGTGCTGACTCGTCTGACTGGCCAAGACGATGCCCAAGAGAGGCTGCAGCAGATTGTCGAAGTCGATGCTTTGGAAAAGAATGTCAACAAGAGCCGATATCAAGCTCTGTTCACCAATGGTCCGACGCAGAACTTTAGGCGGCTGTGCCTTGCCGTTGGCGTTATGATAATGCGTGAGTTCAGTCTCTTTCTCCTTGACGTCGATGAAATACTTGCTGACCCAAATACTTGCTACAGACCAGCTGGCAGGCCCAAACACCGTCACCTACTACTTACCACGACTGCTGATCACCTTCATCGGAGCCTCACGTAAAGAAGCCCTTTGGATCTCCGGCCTTAGCTCAGTCGACTCAGCCTCCGCAACGCTCGTCGCCATCTTCACAGTCGATCGATTCGGGAGAGTGCCATACATGCTCTGGGGGGCTGTCGCACAAGCAATCATGTTTGTCATCATCGCTTCGCTGCTGGGGACTGCACCGCCAGGGAACAAATCCTTTGGTGTTGCAGCAGTCGTCATGCTGTTCGTGTACTATTGGATCAATTCGCTGTGCTGGTTAGGGCAGTCTTGGGCTTAGTATGTTGTCTCTCGGTGCTGATGAGCTTGTCGAATGTCTTGCTGACTGGCAGCAGTCCGGCTGAGGTGTTGCCGCTCCAGATTCGCGAGCAGGGCCTTGCCATCGGTAACATGTTTTACTGGCTGTTCCAGTTCATGATGGTGGAGATTACGCCAATCGCTGTCAAGAACATTTATTACAAGTTCTATGTCATCTTGGCCGCCTTCAATGTCTGCATGGCGATCATCGTATGGCTGCTGTATCCGGAGACGGCGAAGCTGAGTTTGGAGGAGCTGGACCTCTTCTTTGTTAAGAAATATGGAAACAGGGAGAACGACGTTGAGATAGTTGATGTGAAGCACGAGGAGGGAAGTGTCGGGGTCAAGATCGAAGGGGAAGCATTGTGAGTCGGAAAATCATCGGAGATTGCATCTCAGCAACGGCCGGGCCTGTTTCAACCTCACCTCGTCTTCCATAGCCGATGAATCACTGAACGATCTGTATCGCAGAATTTTAAAGGGTTTCGTCGGACGTAACGCATGCTCAATGCCGATCAAGAAAGGTGAATGCTGTAAGATCTCACCCCGCAGGGTGGAGCAGCCACCTCACCGACCTCCTCGACACGCAGCTGCTCACGATCATATATATTGCACCTCCCAACTCTCCATGAACTCGTGAAAGACCTCGATCTCATGTGTACACCCCATCACAATGTCGACCAAACTTCCATCCATTGAATCGTCACTACCAACCTACAATGAGCTCTTCTACGACGGCAAATGGCAACCGCCTATCTCCGCCCACTACCAGGAGACATATAACCCAGGCAATGGCAAAGTCATCACCGAGATCGCCCAAGCCGGCGAAGAAGATGTCAACGCTGCGGTCCTGGCAGCCGATAAAGCTTTCCAAGCGTACAAATTGATGCCAGGAGCACAGAGGGCCGGCCTTCTCAGGAAAGCTGCCAATGTAATGCGAGAGCACGCGGCCGAGCTGGCCCTTCTCGATGCTTTGGACACTGGCAACCCCATTGCTGAGATGCTCTCTGATGCTAATGTTGCAGCGGCTTTTATGGACTACTTCGCCGGCCTGATTCCGATGCTCAAAGGCGAGACGATTCCACAGGCGGACGACACCTTTCACTACACTTTACGAGAACCTCTTGGAGTCGTTGGCAGGATCGTAGCTTACAACCATCCTGTAATGTTTGCTGGCGGGAAGATGGCTGCTCCTCTGGCTGCTGGCAATACTGTTATCATCAAGCCACCGGACCAGGCGCCACTTTCGTGTCTGCGACTTGCAGAGCTTATTGGCGATATCTTCCCACCAGGTGTTGTGAATGTATTGCCAGGTGGAGTCGAGTGCGGTAAAGCGCTGTCATCACACAGACTCGTCCGCAAGATTACTCTGATTGGCAGTATACCCACCGGCAAAGCGATCGCTCGAGCTGCTGCCGATACCTTGAAGCAGACACTCTTTGAACTTGGAGGCAAGAACGCACTTATTGCGTATCCCGATGCGGACCTCGAAAAACTCACAGTAGGCATCGGGCGAGGCATGAACTTCACATGGGCAGGTCAATCGTGTGGATCCACATCACGAGTGTTCCTACACGAGTCCATTCACGACCAAGTCCTCGACAAAGTCGTGGAATACGTGAAGAAAGAGTTCACACCAGGCATCCCCACCAAAATGTCCACCACAATGGGACCTGTCATCACCCAAGCCGCACAGGAACGGATTCTGAAGTACATCGAATCCGGCAAGCAAGAAGGCGCCAAACTGCTCATTGGCGGCAAAGCTCCAACGGGGATCAAAGACATCGAAGGCGGCTACTTCATCGAGCCCACCATCTTCGCCAACGTCAACGCAGACATGAAGATCGCGAGAGAAGAAATCTTCGGACCGGTGATGTCGGTGTTCAAATGGAAAGACGAGGAAGAGCTCTACCGCCAGGTTAATGCTACCGAGTATGGACTGACGGCTTCGATCTTCACCAAGGATATTACGACTGCGCAGAAGGCTGTCAAGAGGGTGGAGTCGGGGTATGTTTGGGTCAATCAGGTTGGGCGGCATTTCCTGGGCGTGCCGTTTGGAGGGTACAAGGAATCTGGTGGAGGCCGTGAGGAGTCTTTGGACGAGCTGTTGTCTTTTACTCAGACTAAGAGTGTGAACATTAGTCTTGCGTAATACTGATGCTATAGGCTTCAATGATCTCATCGTGTTCGTTAATTCTGCTTTTAGTCGTTCTTCTTCGTCTGCCTCTAAGAGGCTTATGCTGACCTGTCTTTCTCGCACAGTGCCCATCTCCTCCCTCACAAAGGTCAGTCGTAAGGGTCCAACCTCCCTACTTCCCCAACACCGACTGCAGCGTACTACTATAGTCATGGCCTTCAAATTCCGACTTAATAACATCCTTCTCCGCCCCCTCAATCGCCTTCTCGAACTTCGCCGCCCCCTTCGGATCATCCTTGAACAGATGATCCTTCACATTCCTCTGTGGCGTCTGGCCCAACCACTGGAAAAGCGAGAAGTCCAAGAACTCCGACGCTCGGAAAATCTCCAGAACTTCAACCGGCTCGTCACCGATAGCTTCAATGAAATGACCCATGTTCTTCGGCACGATCCCTACGTCGCCGGCGGTGTAGTCGAATGTTCGAGCGGTGCCCTGGGCGCCAAAGATCGTCACGCGAGCGCGGCCTTTGATGAAGAAAGACCACTCGTCTGCGTTGGGATGCCAGTGCATTTCTCGCATGGCGCCAGGCTCGATGTCGAGATGGGCGGCCGCCACGGTCTTCGAAATCGGAAAATTTTTGCTGTCGGTGATACGGACTTGGCCTCCTGTAGCATTGACCGGTTCTTGGGCGAGCATCTTGTGGGTGAAGTTCAGCTTGGACTTTTTGAATGACTTGGGTTTCTCTTTGTCGATGGAGTCTGGGAGGGAGCCTTGGAAGATGTATTTCTCGTTTTCGGGGAGAGTGTTGAAGACTTCGGGGGCGAGTCTGAAGTTTTCGCCTGCGACGGCTTGTGGGGTCTGGGAAGGGAAAATCAGCATTGAGCTCGAGAGCAAAGTCATCTCCATCCTTACATGTGCCAACCAATCCGTTAGCAGGAATGTCGATTCCTCAGAGAAGCGGCCATCGTCGAAGATCAGAAGGAACTCTGTACCATTGGGGCCGAGACCTTGCAATGAGTGTGGGTGACCGGCAGGGAAGTACCAAAGATCTCCCTTCCCAACGTCGTCGATGAAGCTGCCGCCTTCAGTGTCGAGCGCGGTGACTCTCACTTCGCCCTCGAGAACGTAGGCCCACTCGGCTTCCTTGTGCCAATGCAGCTCGCGGATGACACCTTCGTCCAGTCGCATGTTCACTCCGGCCAGTTCGATGGATGTCGGCAGCTCCTTGATGGTGGTCTGTCTCGTCCAGCCACCTTCTTCGATACGCACATGAGAGTCTGCAAAGCTCCTACAAAGGGATTAGCCAGATCTCCCAGTCGAAGCTGGGGTACGAACCATCTCATGTTCTTGAAGTCTCCATGATCAGTCGACGGCGGCCGGATCATATCCGGATTCTGCCTCTCCCTATCCCGATTGCGAGGACCCAAAACGGTCGTTCCCTTGCCATTGCCCTGTACACATCGATCAGTAAAGACCATCGGACTTGTCTCCAACACCGAAAGTGCATACGCTAACTCACCATAGGCTCAGGCTGCAATCCCCTCCCAACAGCATTAATCTTGTGATCATACGGATCACGAAAGTCCTTCCTATAGGGACTCTTCGCATGAACAAGCGGATGTTGCTGCACAGGTGCCGCCCAGCACGAAGCCGGGAGCAACAACGTCGAAAACCAGCCCAACGGATGCATTTTGCTCACAATCAAGCAACCAATCTTACCAAAAGCGAACGAAGAGCTGCTAAGGATATACAAATTCATGCACTCCGCAAAATGCACTCCTCATCGTCGACAAGCTTCGCGGCTAACCCGACCTATCCGCCAAAACCACCCTTCCCCGGCCACCTCTCGACGTCATGGGCGAGAGCGGGCATTTCTGGCGCGATGGCGCCTCATCCTTACGTGTTCGATGAAGCCCTACTACCCGGTTCAGCGGCTTTGAGGGGGATGAGATGAGATCTGGTTGGAATGCCAAACGGCGAGCGCTAGTGACGAGCTCTTTCTGGACCTCACCTCCTCGTGGAGAAAACAGCAGCACATTGGCCGAGGAATGGGCATTTGATGGATCGTGCTGATCGCTGCAAACTTCCTTTCCATCGTTTGGATGTGATATATTGCGCGTCGCAAGGAGACAAGACTGTTTTGGCGGTTCTGAAGCATTGGGGTAAGACGTTGAAGAAAAACGAGGCCTTTCTTGCGAGATACACCCAGGATTTCGGGATTCCGATATACCCGTCCTAGCCGATATACCCATTCTTCAAAACCGACCCCGGCAGCCCATTCGAACACAGCAGCGCAAGCAATACCCTGAACGACAAGCCTACCATGGCGAACGACGACAACGCCAATGGCGGCGTCAACGAAACCTCTCCCTTGCTAGAACGGACCACCACCAACTCCAACAAACCCACCACCGCCACACCCTCTCTCCCCTCTCGCCTCCACGCCCACTTCACAACAAACGTAAGCACCCAATGGGGCGACCTGGCCCTCCTCTTCTGCTACATCATCACCGGCGTCCTCGACAGCAGCGCCACCATCGCCTGGGGCAGCTTCGTCTCCATGCAAACCGGCAACACAATCTACCTAGGCACAGGACTCGTCGCGCCCTCTGAAGGAACCCGCTGGCTACGGGCACTCATCGCGATTGGATTCTTTTGTTTGGGGAGTTTTGCGTTCGCGAGGTATCATCGCCTCTTTGGTGGGCGGCGGAGGTGGGTGATCGTCTCATCGTACACGCTGCAGTTGCTCATGGTGGTGGGCGCGGCGTTGATGATCACCCTTGGACCGCCGGCGGATCCGAAGGGAGAGGTGGATGTCTGGGTCGCGGTGCCGCTGGGACTTGTGGCGTTTCAATCGGGCGGACAGGCGGTGATTTCGAGGGTGTTGAAGTATGGCGCATTGACGAGCGTGGTGTTGACGTCGATCTATTGCGATTTGTTCTCGGATCAGGAGTTGTTTGCGGGGCTTAGAGAGCATGCAGAGAGGAATCGGAGGTTGGCGGCGCCGGTTCTAGTACTGCTTGGGGCGGTGATTGGGGGCATTTGGGCGCATACGAGTGTTGGGTTGATGGGGGCTATGTGGACGGCTGCTGGACTGAAGTTGGTTGTCATTGTGGCGTGGTGTTTGTGGAAGGCGGACAAAGATGATGCATCGACAGTGTAGATATAACACAGATGAGAACATGCATATAGCCATGTGAGAAAGGTTCCGTACGAAAAGCGACTGATCGCATCTCTTCTCTTCTACTCGACAATTGTTGGCGGCAACTCGCCTTTGTGTGCACATCTCCGGAACAGAATCTCTAAAGCGCCATCTAGGCCTCACACTTCTGCCTCAATCGTAGTCTCATCCCTTCCTCCGTCATCATCATTCCTTTACCACCAGCCTCCCCACCACCCACCAGCATGACCTCCCTTCCCATAGCCGCTACCATAAGCCGGGTACCCGCTCGGTCCAGCATACGACTTCGTCGGGTAAGCAGGTGGCGTGTGCGAGTATCCAGTAGTAGTAGGAACGGTCAAGAAGCCAGAAGAAGGCTCAGTGCCGGGGAACCGAGACTGGCTGGAGAATGTGACCGGAGAGCCTTCAGTGCTGTTGACAGAATTGGTGCTGTATGTTGGTGGAGTGTAAATGGCTGGCGAAGAGGAGGGGCCGGTGGGCACGAGAGTCCAAGTCGACGATGTGCTGCTGCTCTCAGTGGGAGTGATTGGTGAGCCTTCTGTCGAATTGGCTGGGACAGAGGAAGATCCAGTTCCAGAGACCGTAAGGGTGGAGTAAACGGTCGACGTGACGCCAGTAGTCGAATTGGTGTACACAGGCGAAGCGCTGGAGAACGACGAGCTCGAAGAGCCAGATGGCGTAACAGCACTGCCGAGCGTGGAGCTGCTGCCAGCGGTCGGGAACGGGATCGGGTACGTCCAATTGTACGAAGAGTACGAAGGAGGAAAACCAGAAGAAGCAGGCGCCGTCACGGACAGGGTAATGGTGAGTTGGGAAGTCAGAGTCGTTGTGACGCCCGTCGTGAACGTGGGGAAAGGAACGGAGCTGCTGTTCGTGAGGCCGATGGGCGAGCCTTCGGTGGATGAAGGGGTCTCGGAGCTGTTGGTGTAGCTTGGGACTGGGAAGCCGGTGCTGTAGACGGGAGGCGTGGTTGTGTTCGATGGGAAGATGGGAGAGCCCTCGGTGCTGGAGCTTGATGTAGAGGAAGAAGTCGTTCTGCCAGTGCCATAGCTGGTGCTTGTAGAGCCGTACGATGGTGGTGGTCCATATGGCGGAGGAGAGTAGGCAGGTGGACCATAGCCTGGAGGGGCCTTGCCCTGACGCAGGGCGATCTTCACAGCATGAACTGCGAAAGGGTAAGTAAGAGTCCATGACCAACAGCCAGACAGATCGATGCATACCTGGAAGAGGGTCTGCTGCAGCTGCACCAAGCACCAAGCTGGTCGACGCAATGACAAAGAGCTTCATCTTGATATTTCTCGTGCTGGTGGATAGACAAAGACGAGAAGGGCAAAGAACGAGAAAAGCAAAGTGAACGAAGGGAAGGACTGCTCAACGAACGGGAGCGTGAGAGAAGAAAGCCCCAGCAGCAGAGGACAAACGGACAAGCTCTTATATCTCGCTTTGCGTTGCAAATATCAAATCTGCCTACACCCAACTTGCAGCCGCAGCAAGAAATCAAGGTGACTGCATCTCCACCAGGAACAACAGGGCAACACAATCAATGCACGGTTCCTGACCGGACCGCGAGCCCCATTGCAGATCGTAGCTAGATGTCGCCATTAGTCAAACGCAGTCAGTCAGGTAAGGCACGGCGAGCAAACCGCCGCGCTTCAACAAGGGATGGATGGCGCTGGAAAGAAGGGTGTGCGAGTTGTAAGCCATGGCGTCTTGCATGATACATACGCGATGGAGAGCCGCATATGTAATACTCCAGGACCGGCGACCCGAGGGCCAGGTCGACGTCGGGAACGGATGACACCTCTGTGGGACAAGGCGGGCCAACATATGATGATGGACGTTGTTGGACTCGCTTGAAGTGGGTGGAAGCCAGTGAAACCGGATGGCGGACATTGGGTATGGCTCTATGGTCTAGCTCTTCCGAAGGACTTCGTTCCGTGCTGTTGCTGTCCGGTCAGGTGTAAGTTGTGTAACTTTGATACCAACGGAGTGCGAGTGGGGCTCAAAGATCAATTTGTTTGTACCTGCGTCTTTGCCATTCATCCGTGCTTATACGTGCTTGGCCACTCGACAAATCTGTTGCTGACGGCTTGCAGGGGTCCGACGGGTGTGTTGATGGTCGTGAAGAATTCCGAAGGATGCTGAGAGTACTTTTACACGGCAAAGTTTTCGACGTGGCACCGCATCTCAGCCTAGAGGAGTTCGCCGTATGCCGTGTAACAGGCACGACTCTTGCGGCTGCAGCAGCTGGGCCGTTTGCAGTCGCCTCAAAACCTGCAGGAGACGATCGGTAGCGGCAAGGAAGCTGCAGTTAGACGATGCTCAATGCCGTCGCGTCGTTGAACAGTCAAATGACGGATCGCGAACTGACATACCTCGCCGCTGTAGCAGCGTTTGAAGAAGTCGTTATCGTCGAGGAATGTGTCTCGCACGTGTTGGGATCGGTGGCTTCGATCCGAGACCGCCACCAGTTGAGTGCACGCGAGCGCCTTATCGTATGGCTGCCACCCTCACTTGTACCTGTCAAGCTGCTGACAGCAACAGAGAGCGTGAAGTCAGCGTAAGGCGCAGGGCAGTCCCAATTAGCACAGCTGCAGTTGCTGAGGAACACAACTTAAACCACCGACTGCAGTCCGTCCATCGACGCGCACGACAGAATTGATCATTTCCAAGCTTCTCCAAGCTTTCCAAAATGGACACTGAGCCATTGGGTGTGACTAGCCGATGTACATTCCGGGAGTCTGCAGCACTGCGCAACCAAAACTGGATTTGTCTACAGCTGCCATCAATGTGATCCAATGCAAGCTGAAAATCTGACAAACAGCGCTGGAAGATCGGTCACTTTTGTCAAGGAGTGATTGAACCCTTTTTGGATCAAGCCAGCAGGTCGCCAAGCAAGGGAGGCCGAAAAGATTAGGCTGTGCTCGTCTCAGATATCGAGTTTGAGGTCTCGAACCTCCAGCCAGAAGTGGTGGGCTTTCTTTCAAAGTGGTGCAAGATTGACACCTTTCCTCCACAAGTACGACGAGACTGTCAGCCCCAGCCAATACCAGCAGTGACAGTCGTCTGTGTTGCCTGACGTGCTCGGTCGAGATATCGTGATCCTCATGTCTCCGCATTGTCATCTGAAAATGGACTCCTCGTTTCATCGCGCGAAATGTCCTCCCCTAGTGCCATGGGCTGTAGCGGTGGCACTTTCAGAGTATCACTCCCGCTTGTGCCATTGACGTGTGCCTTGTCGCCATTGCCAACAGGTTTCGAGCCTTTCCGCCTCCGCCTGGGGGCTGGAACGCTGGGCTTCTCTTTGGTGACTTTGGCCGAAACCTCCGTCACGCTTAGGCTGCTTTCAGCTGCCTCTCCGATTGACATACCTAGCAATTTCTTGGCCACCACCGACTCGCTTGGAACGACTTCAGCCAGCTTCTTCTCGATTAGTTCATCCTGTTCATCGTCTTCTTCCCTGAGCCACTCGATCTGCTTGCAGCGGATCACGAGTCGAATGATGGTCTCGTCAACAGGAGCGAAATGAGCCGAAGATCTGTTGACCAGAAGGAACAGGAGCTTCCGCACTTCCTCTCGTTTGTAGTTGTTGCCCTCGCGTGCTAATTGCGTGTTCTTCAGAAGCGGACACAGCACGCGCAAGTACGTATGTCTCAGCGCACGCTGCCCATCCTGATCCGGCGCAAGGCCAGAATCTGGGTTTCCGGGATCCAAGTCCAAAAGGTTTCGAATGATGACGTCGACCAGGACGTGCAAATCGTTCGTGTAGAAATACTCGTAAGTCGAAGGTGTCGTGAATAGTAGGTAGAGCAGTTTCAGAATCAGGAGTTGAGGTCCCAGCTGCGACTCACGATTCAGCAGAAGAATGAGGTTCTCTCCAAATGTCCGATATGACGGTCCGTGCATGGACAAGAGCTTGAGGATTCGATTGGTGACCGGCCCGTTCTCCTCTGAAGGTGATATCGTTGCATTCGCAAGGCACATGTACTGTTCGTTCAAGACCAACAGTACCCTGATGATAGGGTAGTGATATGGATCGTCCGCATCGTCAGAAAGCTCCTCAATGAGCTGCAGCAGATAAAGGATGAAGGCGTCGTCCACAATCGTCAAGTCTTCCCTCGAGAGCTTCTGTATCCTCGACATCTCAAACAACAACTCCAGTAGCAGCCGGTGTAATCCAATATCATCATCCCTCTTCGCTCTTATCAGCTCCACAAGCCGTGGAAATGCGCCCTCAGTCTGCATCATCTCAAAAGCCGTCTCATTCGACCGCCCATCGAACAGCAGCAGCGCCGCGGCCAGATGCAGTGTATCCACCTCATCCTCCTGCAACAAGCAATACAGAATCTGCCTCCTCACATAATCCCGATTGTGCTTCGACAGCGGCGCATCGAGCAAGTGATAGCAGCACCTCGCGACATCGTACTCGGACTGCAGATACGCCTCTTTGAACCTCGTCGTGAACCCCAAGAACCTCCTCAATACGTCGTCAATCTCCTCGTGGGTCTCGCTCGGTGCCGTGACAATGTCGTCGAGTTCTATGAATAGCGTTCACAATCAGCATGTGATTCTGGACAGCACGTGGCCTTGACGTCGACCTTACCCTCCCAGAACTCTTCCTCGTTCTCGACACTCCACTCGAAATCGTCCTCTTCGTCCGAGTCCATCCTCACACGCTGCCGCCGAGAGGCGCGACCGGAGAGATGTCGTCGCCAGCGGGGAGAGATGCGAAGGTTGCGGGAGCGTTGTGAAGGTTGCAAGTCAAGGGCCGGAGTTCGGCTGACAGACGGCAAGTGAGGGTGGAGCCGAGATATCCGAACGGGTGAATATGTGGGCGAGAGTGACGGGCGGAGGCTGGAGGGCGGTATATATCTGATCGCAAGCGAGTTGGAAAGAAGTGAAGAGGAACTCGACGTTTGAAAGTGGAATGAGCAACTGACTGATACCGAAAGTCGCAACAGTGGCGAGACAGGTCGAGCCATGCAACATGCAATGCAATGCTATCTATACACCAGCCAGCAATAATATCTACATCATGAGCAAACAAAAACCTCTGCCCATCAAGCAAAGTGCTGTAGTGTGTCTGCTCGCGCTCGAATGGAAAATCATCGCTTCTGCTCGCCGTCTAACTGGGTATCGTCAATGCTCTCCACCAATCTCTCAACCGCTTGGCCGTCGGTGGCATGCTTCAATCGGGGGTGTTTGAGATGTTGCCCACCGTGGCCATCCACTGCGCAGCTGTCATGTCGTCGTTTCGGTGAAACGGAAGCGTCGCGCCCACCCTCGTGTGACGATTGGACATTGCGATCTTTTCGTTGTAGACTGAATTTGACCAAACCGTCATCGCGGAAGATTGGGAGACTAGAGTCGATGAATCAGAGGTCAGTGAAAACCTCTGAGGACTGTCATGCCACTCTACCAGTTGACTTTGGGAACCTGTCGCTGCTCATCCCAATCTTCTTCACCTCCTTCCTTCATCGTCAGTTTTGGGTCGATGCCAACAGTTGGCTGGCCTGCTTGCGATTCGCCGTTCTCCATGGTGATATCGTCCCAGCCTGAAGCAATCGGCTCGCTGGGCTCTGGAGTTGGGAGCTTCTCGGGCGCGCGGCAGACCGGCTGGATGAGCTCTGACTTCTTGTCGTCTCGAACATAGACGGCGAAGGCGGGTGTGCCATCCAGCCACGTTCTGGCCTCGTAGATCTCGTTGAGGTTGGTGACTTGGGTCACCTTTTCGTCATTGTATGTGCGCCACAGGTCGTTTCCGAAGTCGCGAATGTACGTGAAGTAATGTCCGCTGCCAGAGCCGCCACGGTGGACCATGACAGCCGCCAGGCGATACTTTAGGTCCTTCTCGTTATATTCGTCTTTGAGCTGGCTTTCAAGTGCCTGGATCTCATTCTCGATGACGGACAGACGGCTCTTCTGCGCTTCAGCATCAGCAGCGAGCGTGGCTTGGAGGTCTCGGTCGACATCAAAGCCGTCTATGCCCATGGATTCGAGGTCGTCGTTGATTCCGGGAAAGGTATTCAGATACTTTGCGGCCTCTTCCAAAGCAGCTGCGCCGTCCAGGTCGGCCACACAAGACGACAGCACCTTCTGCTCTTTCTTCAAGGCGTGGAGTCGCTTGCGCCATCCCCAGCATGCTTTGCGCTTCTGCAGGACTTCGCTGCCGCTTTGCTCGCAGTACCGGTCCATGTATAGCTCATCTTCAAACTTGACGCAAGCTTTCGACTTGGTAGGCGCACCAGTGATTGGATCTTGCATAATACGCGGTATGTTGATCTGTAGCACAGGTGGCAGCGAGCGGAAGGTCTTGTAGACCTCCACACCTTTCTTTGCGGCTGCATCTGCAATCGGAGGTTGTTGGTCCGTGACGGCATCCAGCATGGCGTACAAGTTCGTATCCTCGATAGGCACGCCAAGTTGAATGCTCGTTCTGATCTCGAGTTTTGGTGTCCCTTCCACACCATTCTCGACGGGTGTGTCGGTGTAAACAACCTCAAACAGCTCACGAATTGCGTCTCTCTGCTCGCCGAACTCATCTTGTCCTTTGGGCGTCATGCCCGCTTGTAGTCGCCACATGATCTTCTCGTGGACGTCCGACACATCTTGTTGCTGGGTTGCTTTCTCTTTTGCGGCGGAAAGTGCTCGCTCTCTGACGGTGGAAAACTTGCGTGGTGGCAATGCAGGTTTATTGTCATTGTCCTTGTCTTCGGCGCCGGAATCGGGCGGCGTGGGAGGTAAGTCGGTATCCTTCATTGCCACATCTGCTCCTTCACCATTCTCCGATCCTGCCTGAAGCGTGACGCTACTGGCATCCGATTGGTGTCTGTCCTCGATGGTGGCAGAACCTTTGGACTCGTCCGTCACGTCGCTGTCGACAGCGCTTTCAAGACCATTGGTTTGGGGTCCTTGGGCGGCATTCTCTTCTTTCACGGAGCTTGCCAGCAGCGCATAATCTTTCGGGTTCAAGAATGCACGGCATACGAGATCTTCCTCCGGTCTGACTTTGTCGCTGGGGCTCTTGATCATGCGTTCAAACAGATGCTTCATGTCCTCTGCGAATCGCTGTCCACCTTTGATCTCCACCATTGATATGTTGAGATAACCGACGCGTTCGTGCTTCTCATGATACTTGGTGGTGTCAAGTTTGTAGTCGTCGTAGTTGAGCACGATGTTCCTCAATGGGGCTACGCTGAAGTAGTACTGTAGTAAACTGTTGAGATAGCAGGTGTTGCCGTGGCTTTCCAGACCCGCAGGCCACGTTTCGGCCGGATATAGTTTTGCGGCAGCACCGATGGCCATGGCCTTTTGGAGCGCAGCGATGGCTTTGTCCGTTTGTTCGCTTGGTCGGTCCTGTCTTGCGAACTCGATCGTGGTGGTCAAGACGCTACGATCTATGTCGCTGATTTTCCCCTCAAACCCAAAATGGCGTAAAGCTTCTTCTGGAGTCATCTCGTACCCGCCGGTTGTGCCTGACACCAGCCATGAGTTGAGGGCCTCGCTTTTGCGTTCTCGGGCGATGATTGAAATCGCCTTCTGCGCCAACTCATCGTTGCTTTTGCTGTCGCCGGTCTGGTGCACGGGGTTAGCAACCGAAGGGGAGGCTCATAGATGAGGAAAACAAACCTTGACCGCAACGAGCGACAAGAGCATGTCATCAGCAGTGTCTTTGTTTGCTCCGTTGCCGAGCCATGCCAATGCATCTTCGTACGTGTCCATCGTCTGCTGCGCGGCTTTGATGAGTCGCTGACTTCCTCTAGCAAGTCCAATCTTGTAGAGCGCTTGTCGCGCGTCGTCCTGTTGGGATGGCCCAGCGTCTGAGATCAGAACGTGGTACAGATTCAATACCCGCTCGTCATCGTCCGATGCAGTGACCTGCAAATTCCGATAGGCGGCGCTGAGGTCCCGGCGACTGACGATGTCCTCTGAGGCCAGCGTTGCTACCTTGACTTGAAGTTGCTCGGTGTTTCGGTTTTCGGCGATGACCTGCAAGGACTCGAAGTAGTACGGTCTCTGCTCTGGGTGGCAAAGGCTTTGCCGGTCGTAAGCGAATTCGACGAGAGAGTCTGCAAAGTCGGGCAGCGCGCCAAGTGACGCGAAGTAGCTGCGTTTGTCAGTGGGCGCTGGTGATGGACGCGCAAAGGCAGGCGCGGCACACTTACTGAAGTTCGTCGTTTGACACACCCCGGCCTCTGAGCGAGACGTGACGTACGTCTACAAAGAAAGATGATAAAATCAGCCTCAAATGTTTGCTTGCGCACAACACAACCATGCATGCTTACACCCCTGAGCTGCAAGCAGCCTTTCAATGTCGCGTTCCGCGGATGACCATCCCTCTGCAGCGAAAGGGTTGACGGAGTTTGCGTCAGCTGCCAACCTCGAGACCAAGGCCAAAAGTTCCATCTGAAAGTCCTCCAGGTATTCACGCAGGCTGTCGCCAGAGGCGCGCAACCGATCATCCGGCACTGGAGGCTGAGGTAGTTTCCAGTCAGGGTGCTGCAACATCATGAGCATCAAGGACGCTCATCATCCTCACAACATGTCTTATCATACCTCATAATTGAACCCCAGCTTGTTCAGAAGGTCTGCGCACTCTTGTCCACGAACACCATAAGCTTCGATGAACCTCTTGTTGTTAGCAGGGAACGACCGCCTTGTGTGCTCCGTATTCAAAGCATCCTTGATGTATCTTCTCAACCTGCTCAGAGCTTCTATTGGCGTAGCTTGCCGTAACCCCTCCCTCTCTGGCTCATCTTCCACGACAGCTTCATACCTCCGTCTCAGTCTGTCGGTATCTGTGAGCAAGGCGATGTCCGCTGGTTCCAGCCTCGGCCTGCGAAAGCTTATGCGTAGCTGAGCGGCGCACTGGAAAGCGGTACACTGCCATGCGTACACTATACGCGTGTGGCCCACTTCATCCCCAAGCTCATGTCGCCGGAAGTGGTGGAGCGGATAGTCTTCGTTCGGACAAGGGTTGACCGCAGGAGGATAGTAGATGTGTATGTCTGCGTGAACCCTGCATTTCTTGCACACCACCGCGATCTTGTACTCAGCTCCATCTTGCGGCCTGGAGTCTATAGGCGGCGCTACACTCTGACTCCACTTCGGCGTGTACTCATGTTTGCAGCTGTTTTGCGCAGGCTGTAGTGGCTGGCCTTCTCCTACCGGTGGCGTGACATCGGCCAGGTAGTTGGCGTTGGGTGGCGAGCGAAGAGGATCGAACTGGAGGAAGTCGTGAAGCAGTTTGGGAGCAGTCTTGCCAGGACCGCCGATGGAGGGCATGCCTCCTCGTATTGTGGGAATGCCAGTGAGAGCGCTTCGAAGGGTGGGTGAGGTATGCGATGGCAGGGGCGTCGTTGAGGTCGGTGTGGAATGGGATGTTTTGTCATCGCCAGGCCGCAGGCAAGACGTACATCACCATGTCTTGGATGCACGTCAGTCTGCAAGCACAGGAACCTTGCTCTCGACGCCACGCCCGCGCCACGCGACTGAACTCCGACCGGGATCCTTCGCCGCCGCCGCCCTTCACTTCACTTCCGCTTCACCACAACAACATGCTTCAGCCCGCAGATTGACGGTACAGCACGTGACAGCTGTCGCAGCCGCTCGAGTTGGTTGTGCTCATTATTATTGCTGGCATCACCATTCAGAGAGCGTGGCACAAGCCGTAAGAACATCCTCGAGGACCTGCCAGCCAGCAACCACTTCCGGTGTTCGCATTCTTCAGACTGTAGCCTTCGACCCGTTCAACTAGCCATTCACCACACTCGCAGGTAATCAAACTTTTTGCGGACCCGACACCTTGGCTGCCTGCTCCGAGCTCGACCTCGACCAATTTCTCCAGCCTGGCAACCACTTTTATATGTGCCTCATAGCTCACAGACTCGACAGATTCGTGCCCTACCACTGAACTGAACTCGCGCTGCCGACACAGACAACATGTCGACAGATGCAGAATTAACCATGGCGACCACCAAGAAAACCTTCATGGACCTTCCTCGAGAGGTCTTCCTCATGATCTGCGCCTATCTCACCCCAAAAGACCTCACCCGACTAGCTCATTTCAGCAAAGACTGCTACCTTGCAGTTCAGCAACCTCTCTACGAGCACATCGACATCACTGCAATTGACGAATTACGGTCTCTCGTTTGGACACTGGGACGTTGGTCACTGATCGTCTCCCACCTCAGCGCTAAGTAAGCCGTTATTTTCGCTCCCAGTCTTGATTCGAAGCTAAACCGTCGCAGGCAACGCCAGCACTGGCAGAAGCTCACCGATGCACAGCTTTGTGCACGCGACATCAAGAAGGTCACTATTCTCGTCGACGCTGCAACTAATACAAAGTCACCATTAGTCGGTGTCGATTTTGCCCGCTACATAGGTACAATTTCCCGGGCCAGCAACAATGTCAACATCGAACTCTCGCTTCACGGAAAATGGACCATGCTCCTGATGCAACTCAGCTCTTCGACTTCTTCGCTTCCAGATGTCAAACGGCTCGTTCTTTGCCTTGGCGGCGAAGGCCGAGCGCCAGTTCTATCCGTACGTGCGCCCAACTGGGACGTTTGGGACACCTGCTTCTCAGGCTCCACATTTCCGGATCTGAAGGAGATTGAAATCGACACTCTCCATGGATCTCCTGCCGAGCGGCCAGAAACTCTCAAAGCGGCGGCTTCAGCGAATCGCGCCAGCCACATCAGCCGATATCAAGAAGACGGCGCTGTCTCCATTCCTTTCTACGGGCTCAGAAAGATCACCAAGCTTTCCATCAAACACAACGACTTGCTCACTACGTCGACTCTGGGAAACCTCTTCTGCTCTAGCATCATACCAGCAAAGCTCACCCATCTGGAGATCGTCAACTGTCCCATGCTGCATCAAGTGAGAGACTACGAAGACCTTTCGATACTGCTTCAGCGTGGACTTCCGCTCCTCCAACACTTCCGGTTCCATCTCCAACGCAATCCTCGGGGCGCGGAGCATTTACTCGCAGCATACTACAAGGACACTGCAGAACATCCCGAGTGGCATCTCTGTAACGTTGTGCGCGAACTTGGTCAAAAGATCAAGAGTCTCGATCTTGCGTTGCCGTTCGCTTGCAACCGGATGTTTGTTCCAAGAACCAAGCAAGCTCCGGCAGCACTCGCCGAGCGAGATTGGCCTGACATTGCGCGGGAGCCGTACGAGACGCTTCGCGAGAGACTCCTGTCTGCTGGCTACAAGTACCGTCGGCTGATCTGCTGGGACTCCGTCTGCGGCAAGAACCACGAATGGCAGGACATGCTGGATCTGGCAGACAACCAAGGCGACATGATGAGTTGGGAGATTGTGAGCAACCGCGACAAGACTGCCAGTTGGCATGTTAGCGGATTTCTGCCAATGAGCTACAAGTCAAGCGAAGTGCTGAAGCGGGAGCTGCCCCTAGAGGGGCGCTAAGCTTTCCATCCTGTGCGATTGTTGGGCATCCGACAAAGATGCTGCAAGAAACTACTTGGTATGGAGTACTCGACACCGACGAAGGAAATACGGGCCCTTTTGGCGGGTGAAGACCGATACTTGAGACAGCTTGAGGAAGGAGATTTGGTTGAGTTGAAGCGTGAGTATTGTTTCCGACCAACGACAGACTCAGGGTTCCCAGTCGACAAGCAGCGTGTTGGCGTGTTGAGGATGCGGACTGCAGGACCGGTGAGTGAGAACAAGCTGCGTCTAGGATAGCTGCAGCGCCTGGCCGCATTTCCTAGGCCGCAGAGCACAATCAGTGGATAGGTACAAGTATGCCCGCTTTGTTTCATTCAATTTCACTGGAGTTTGCCTGCGACATGTGTTGTTCTTTTGCAAGGGCTATTGCAGATCGCTGACAGCCGCAGTCCCCCTTTTCGCCACAGCTCAGGCAGCAGTCACGTGCTATCGCGTTTGCTCCTTCCTTTCAAGTTTAACAATTACACAGGACGTGAGATAAAAGCTTTGGTTCATTCCAGAACCTGCGTCTTCTCCAACGAAATCAGAAGTCTTCAAATACTCTCCTCAAACTCTCCATCCTCACGGACTTTCTCAAAACCTGTCGAAAACACATCACGCTCAACTCCCTCCCACGACAATGTCTTCCAACAACACCGCCAGCACCAACCCCGGCAATTTCGCCAACCGCCCAACGGAGGAGGTCAAGACCATCGCTTCCATGGGTGGCAAGGCCGCTCACGCCAACGACAGCAAGACGGAGGCAAGCCAAACAAGAACACATCCTCACCTGCATACCAAGACTGACATCCGCATTAGGAGAACACCGCTCCAGCAGGTCGCAACGCCGATGGGACCTTCACCAAGGGCTCGGATTCAGCCAAGGAGGCAGGCCATCTCGGTGGTCTTCACGCCAGTGGCAAGGTCGACGAGAAGGTCCTGCACCACCACTGTCTGCATCAGGCGTCTTCCCTGCTGACATTTAACAGATCGAAGGCGCTACTGACGCTGCTCCTGGCCGCAACTCCGACGGCACTTTCGTCCCTGGCTCGACGGCTGCCAAGGAAGCTGGCCATTTGGGAGGACTGCATGCTGCTGGCAAGCTGGATGAGAATGAGGTATGTTCATTTCCTTCGCAACTACTGGGGATTGTACTGACAATGTGCAGTCTGGCCGCAACGATGACGGTACCTTCAAGGCTGGTAGCGAGGCTGCCAAGGAGGCTGGTCATAAGGGTGGATTGGCTGCTGCCAATGGGAACTGAAAGGATTTGAGAACACCTCCTACTTTACGGAGAAGGTGGCAAGTTGATCGGGGTGTGATCTGATGATCGACCCCTCACGAGATGGTAACAGATTTCAATTATGAAAGCCCGGGAGTCGCTCGTTTCGAACAATTGAAAGTCCATTCAGTACTGCTTCGTTACCGCGTCCGTTTCACGTTGAGCAATCACAGAGTTGAAAAAGTAATATGTCAGGCTCGACTTAACTATGTGAACATCCAGTCCGGTCAAATTACAGAACCAAGATCCAATAGTTACATAACCCCTTGCTTGCATGTTCCACGATGCGATGTTACCAGTTTCAGCTGCGTCTGTATCGGGCAAAAGTACCATATCGGCTCTCGCCCGGCAAGAGAACGGGTCTTCGGCTTGTGAAATGTGCCAAGCCGGGCCGATCAATCCCGCGCCCACCTCACCTCCCAATACATTCTCTCCTTTCGATCTACCTCTGTTGCAAGAACCGACCCGATCCAATCCTCACTGCATATTTCGGCAACTCACGACTCTCCTCAACTTCGCACCGTAACTCTCGACAGGAATATCTCGCATGACTGGTGACGCTGCGATTGCGATGAATGCTACGATGAAGATATTGCATGGCCTGGGGAGCCCCAGCGACGGCAAAGGGAATACACTAAGAGCAATAACAGGTACAAAGAGTACAAAGAGCCAGAGGGTCTTGTTCAAAGAGGAAAGACGGCGCAGGCTACTTATCCACACTCACCGGTGTGTCAGTAGGGAAGCCACACGACCACAAAAGCACAATCTGTGTGACTGTCACTTGTCTCGCATCTCGTGAATCCGCACTTGGTCACAAAGACATCACAACTCATTTGAACGTCGTGCGTTGATTTGAGGAGCTTGGCCGAACAGTCTTCCTCCGACAATGCGATGCGCACCACTAACTGCTCAAACTACACTTGTGCTTGTGACTTCCAAACGACAGCGCACAAAGTATGCAACATTCTACAAACACCTTAAGACGCCTGGACATGGGCATGGCGAGCACCCCGAGAGCTCAGTCGAACTGCGATGCTCACGCCGAGTGTGGTCAATTCGCTGACCCTCCAGGCAAGACTTGCTCGCCCATAGCCTGCTGCTCAGAACACGGGTGAGGTGCTTGTCCCATTCATGTTTACCGCGCTCACATCGGCACAGCTACTGTGGAACATCTGAAGAATTTTGCAACGGGAAATGCCAAGGTAGCGTCCCTTGTGTGCCACATCCAGCGCCGTCGGGGTCCAAGAACACCGATAATGTCTACAAACGAGTGGTCGGGTACTACGAGGCTTGGGCCGCCAGAAGATCATGTCAGGCGTGGAAACCTACGGACCTACCCGTTGATGGCCTCACCCACTTGAACTTCGCCTTCGCGTATATTGAGCCGGGTAAGCGTCAAATTATGTGTGGCTTGGGATTCGAAAAAACCTCATTGCTTCTCGTTCTTCTAATGCGCTACTAGAATCATACGAATTGGCTACCATGGACGATGCCACCCCGGCAGAGCTTTTCAGCGAAACCACCGACGTGAAGAATCTCAGGACCAGAGACGAGGCTCTGAACGTTTTCATCAGCGTCGGAGGCTGGAAGTTTTCCGACAACAATACCAAGAATCAGCCTCTCTTCGGAGAAATCGCCCGTGATACCGACAAGTGCCAGAAATTCGCGCACAATGTCGTCAAGTTCATGGATCAATATGGCTTCGATGGGCTTGACATCGACTGGGAATACCCAGGGGCTTCTGATCGTGGTGGCCAACCGGATGATACGAAGAATTTTGTGCAGCTTGTCAGGATCTTGCGCGAGGTATGTAACGTCTCTCAAGAGAATCACACGGTTCTACGAACACGCCACTAGAGTGAGATAACTGTACTGACACATTGAGGAATAGACTTTTTACAAACAATCTCGTCCTCTCGGACTTACCTTCACCATTCCAACGTCATACTGGTACTTGCGCTGGTTTGCTCTGCCAGGGATGTTGCCGCATGTCGATTGGATCAATGTAATGTCATATGATCTCCATGGCTACTGGGATCGAGAGAATATCATCGGCAATGTGGTGCTGCCACATACCAACATCACCGAGATCAAGTTGGCCATGGAGCTCTTATGGCGAGTTGATATCCCACCGGACAAGGTTGTCTTGGGGGTTGGCTTTTATGGAAGGACATATGAGCTTGCCGACTCCGACTGCGCCGAGTCAGGCTGTCCATTCGGAGGCCCTGCAAAGCCTGGACCTTGTACAAACTCAAGTGGTACTCTGAGCTACTCCGAAATCAACGATATCCTCAACGACTCAAGTGGCTCTGAAGCTGGCACCCACTCCAAACGCCAGATCCAGAAACCTCTTTACGACCCGGATGGCTGCTTCAACTATTTCCGCTACGGCAACCAATACGTCTCGTATGACGATCCTCGCTCTCTACGGTGCAAAATCAAATTTGGCCAAGACAATGGCCTCTTGGGGTCCATGATCTGGCCGCTCGACGACGACACCCGAACTTACGAGTTGATTTCCCGGACTCCGCAACGAGACGATTACGGGAGGTGTAGACGATCCCAACAATGGGAAGCCGGTGGAACAGCATTGGTTGGCGAATGGTCATCAATGCCGTGTGTTCCCAAGCTGCGTTGACGATGACGCCAAGTCCTGTCCATCGGGGTACCATTGGATTGGATCAGACAAGGGCGGCGATTGTGGAAAGGGAAGGGCCCAGAATATCTGCTGCCCTGCGGCGGCTTATCCCTCTTCCGAATGTACCTGGCGTGGGGATGGGACAGAGTGCAATGGGCAGTGTCATGCAGGTATGGATATGTTCGTCCTCGTTCTTTCCATGGGAAGTTCTAATTGTGTACAGGCGAAATTACGCTGGCCACGTCTAAAAAGGGGGGTCTTCCAAAGCAGGAAGGAACTACAGATTGCGTCCACGGCGAGAAAGTGTTCTGTTGCGTCGCTAACCATTGGGATGCCTTGATTGGCAAATGCTTCGATTTTGGGTGTGGAAAGGAGTGTGACGAGGGCTACGAGTCTATTGTTACAAAGCACGATCGAACCACGTGTCAATGCAACGTTGGAGGCAGCTGCAGCCAAGAAGTGAATGTGTGTTGCCCAAAACCCGCCAAATTTAAGGGCTGCCACTGTGTCGGGCAGAGTGATTGCGCTGACAACTCTTGCGATAACAACGATATTGTCTTCGCAAGAGACCATTATGGAGATGGAAAACATGGTTGCAGCTATGGAAGGCAAAAGACTTGCTGTTGCAACATGCCAGATGAACAAGCGTTCCTGCCCTTTGAACTGGAAGACATATTCCCGACTCTACCGCCGGTGGACAACGACGTCAAGATGAGCGTCGTTACTCTCGATCAGACCGCTGCGTCAGACATATCGGAAGCTCGTGGGTTTGGTCTGGTGGTCATTGATGGTCCACAGTCGGCTGTGGCGAGTGGGAAATCGAAGCGAGATGGTTCACCTTCCGACCTGATCTTCATTGATTGCGACCATTTGCGTTCCGAGGGGATGCAGACGCTACGATATGTGTGTGCGGCGGATGACATTGCGACTTCGGACTGCAACAACTTCATGAAAGGTGGCGTGGAAGGAACCATCTTGGAACTACCCGACGACTGCGGCCCTGCTCCCTATGTTGTGTTGCACAACCTCGAGCGTGCTACGAACCAAACTTTGCCTGGCCGACTCTCCACGCTCAGCAACAAAACTGTCAGTCAACTATCATTCCACTATGATTTCAGCCTGGCGAAGCGTGACAGCGGCGACATCTACTTCAGAGTCGACTATGCGAACTGCGATGCCTACTGGGGAGCGGCTGTCGCTCGGTTCTACAGCACAGATCCAAAGCATTGGGATCAGACATTTACTGACTGGATCAAGACCTGTGGGACAGCCGGCACCTCGTTCACTCAAGACCTAGATCAGACTATTTTCGCCGGCGTTGCTCCGTGCGACGATGAAGATGCATATGCTGAAGTACGTTCTAGAGGTCGAATCGATGCAACGCCCCAGTTCGCAATCACAATCGTCGGTACCATATCTCCAGTTCTGGACATCGAAGAAGTCAATGCATACATGAGCACCTCTTTCGAAGCAGACGCCTACTTTGACTTTGCTCTTCGGGGGGATCTTAACTTGGAGCACATTGAAGGGCCGCTGTTTCCGCCATTGACGAGCGACATATTTCGGCATCCCGGCGTCATTACCATTGAACCAACTTTCCAGGTGGATGTACTCCTGGAAGCCGACACTGAAGTCACTGGAAACTTCACGACAGGCGTCCATGCCAGCAGCAGTGAACGGATGGTCGGGGCTTGGCCGAAAGCTGTTGAAGATGGCTCTGCGAAGCTGCAGCAGGAAGCTCAGAGTGAGAAATTTAGTGGGTTGGTGGCATCTGTTGGCCGCTCTGGCAATCTCACGGTTGGTCTCAGGCCCGTGGTTGGACTCAACATCACGATCAATAAGTTTGGAACAGATGGGAAGCTACTGAATGCTTTCATTGATGGATCGTTCTCGACTTATAACGGTGAGTAGTGAAACCCCAAGAATGATTGCTGACAATGTAGCATCCGGGGCTAATGTTACGGCAGGTTTCCATTTCTCTGATTCCTCAAACACCAACTCTAGGATCGGCAACGAATCGACGAGAAATGTCGACTTGGGGGCGTTCCAGGCAAGGCTGTGGACTGAAACATCGCAACTGGTCTTTCTTACAACCGAAGCGCAAATTTCTTTCGTCCCTGGGACTGGGACGAGAAAGTGAACGAAGTTCAAGATCGGTTATCGCCAGTTGACCTCATCAGGGAGCTGGCAGGCAAGCAGATCTCAAACGAAGGCCCGAAGCTCAAGATTGTACCCGAGGAAGCGGTTCTAAATGGTGGCAAAGGCGTCGTGGCCTGTCTGAAGCGGAAACGCGAGTGCGAGGATGAAGACGAATGCATGCACGCCATCTGTCTCGACGCCGGAAGCTGCGATGACCTGGACTACGCAGGCCAGATCAACGACCCTGACGACGAGGGAATCGACCTCGAGAGCAGCCGCGCAAAGCGCGAACCTTTCCGAGTCGAATTCGAGGACGGCACCAGTCTTGTAATCCAGTCACGATCTTATCCCTCCATTGGAAAGCTGTATTCAGGCAAACTCGGCACAAATGTCTACGCAGACAGTTTCGACTACTCTGACGATTTAGATTGCGGCAACACCAAGGTGAAACATTTCCCGGCCAAAGCTGCAGAGCCCTACGTTACGGAGCACATCATCGAACTTCAGACCATTGGGGCCTTCTTGGAGGCCGCACAATCGGGAAGATTCCGTACTTGGGACAAGTTTCTTGACAATGCAATGAGGATCCCGTCCAAATTCTTCATCGACCAATGGCTCAAACCGAATCTTCCACCATTCCTTCCACCTGTAGTCCCACGGGGGCCTCTACCTAAGGCGCCGTACGATTCAAAGGTTCCAAATGACAGAGTCTTCGAGGCCCTCGGATCGTCTTACAACCGTGAGAACTTCGTTGCTTGTCGAGACGAGATCAACAGCGTGAAAGCGAGGATCTGGGATGGCGTTGCCCCGGCCAGCCAGGTCAAGTTCGAGAAGGCCATCAACGAATGGATCCAGAATTGTGGACCCTCTGCCGCGTTTCTGAAGTACCTGAAAGCTATAGCGTCTGTATTCGAGTACCTGACCTCGCCCGAGGTCTCGCAGAGGCTGCGCAATGAGATCGCGGACGTAAGAACGCAGCTTGTTTACATCGAAACAAGACTTGCGACGGCGCCGTCGTCGTCGCCGAAAGGCCTTGCTAACGCGTGGGACAAATTCATAGAGTTGGTCACTTGATTCATCGTGATTGCGCTACGTGCTAAAGTTGTTCACAGAAAACAATTCCGGACCATGGAAGAATTCGCCAGCAAGTGGATCAAAGACGGCATTGCATCTGCTCAAGTAGCATATCGGAATTCCATCAAGAAACCGCAGAGCTGGCCGACCGTCAAGGACAATTTGGACAAGCTGGAATATGCCGCCAACAATCTGCCCAAAATCAAGTATCCTTGAACGTGGATCGAAGCGATCAATGCGAAGCTCGATTATATCTCTTCTTTAAGGATCTAGGAGATTGTGATGGTACCCAAACAAGATATTTATAGAGCCTTCCATTCTGTAGTAGATCGACTCCACATAACATTTATCGATGGTGTTGAGTGCAATGAATCCACCCCCTGGGACAATCGCCCTTCAAACTGGAATTGTCGCCCCAGTGCGCCCCTTACGAGTCCTTTGTTCATCAATTGATGAAGTATGGCTCGGAGATCACACCATATACAAGTCCAATGTTGCGGTGAATGAAGATCAATAATCAGCAATCGCACTTATAACCTCGAAGTCGTTGACATTCGCAGCACGAGACTTGACCTCTTCGAATCAAACGGACCCGCCTGTTCAACAGCACACGTAAACGCGATCAGTTGCAACCCGCGGACTCAAATGGATCCCAACTCACGAACCAAGGTCCACCGCCTCTCGCCATCAAGCGCAACATTTCCCTTGCAGGCCTCCAAATTCGCAGCTTTACGACTCTTTGCCCTCGAGGAGTCTCCAAATGCACTCAGCTCGACCTACGAGATCGAATCAAAATTCTCGCCGCACGACTGGCAGAGCCGTCTCGCTCGTCCGGAAATAAACACATTCGTAGCTGTGGACCTCACAGACGACGGGACATCTTGGGAAGAAGCAGGTTGGATTGGAAAAGTGACCCTCCTTGGACCTGTCGAGAAGGAGGAGTTCGAAATCAGCGATGTCCAAGGTCTCGGCTCGGGCACAGAGTCTCGCTGGCAGATGAACGCTCTCTACGTCCATCCGAGCGCACGAGGGCGGGGCGTCGCGAAGGTCCTCATCACGGCAGCTATTGCTTTTGCGCAGAGGGAAGGACCGGCGAGGGTAAGGATCATGATCAAGCGGGATCATCAGGAGGTAAGGGGGCTGTATGAGGGGATTGGGTTTGTGGATGTGGGGAGGTGTACGCTTGGGGAGGCGTTGAGGGCGAATGGGGATGGGAGTTGATTCCTGAGCGGGAGGCGGAGACGGCGAAGTATAATACGAAGGGAGGATTGGTTATGGAGTTTGTTGGTGCGGGTGAAGGCGAAGGTGACTCCTGAGGGCTTTGTGAGTTTGGCCTTGTGGGACTGTCTCCGAAATGACATTACGTCGCCGCGGGAATTGCTCTCAGCGTCGTAAAATTTTTCGGTCATCGACATTATTGCCGTTTCCGCAGCTACATTCGCAGTCCAACGACGTATACACTAGACGAGACGTGTTGCAAACCTTCAATCCGGAGAATAGTGTTTGAAATATGCAATACGGATGACCCATGTGATTAGCTTGCACTGTCGCTTGTAGATGGAAATTCATCTGCGATCGTCACTGCTACTGGCAAGCGACATTCGCAGTTACCACTTGGCAATCATCGAAGGTGCTAATGGGATTGTTCTAAAGCTTTTGTCTCTGCAAAAGCTAAGTTGCGTGAGTGTTCTGCGTTGCAGTACCGGACACAATGAGTTCTAGCAACGTCGACAACAAGCGTTCGTCCTCGCGAGCATCGATACATACACGTATAAGTAAGAGCTTTTCGCCCGTAGCTTGTTCCCACATTGAAGGGAAAGCAGATCAAGAATCTTCTACAATCAGTCGCCTTTAAGCTCAGCATACACTTCTTCTTCGACCGAAAATGCAGTTTATCTCGATCGCGATTTTGGCCTGCATGTCTGCACTTTTGCCGTATGCTATGGCACAGGATACTGGCACGTGCAACCCCTCCGATCCACAGATCTGCAACGTCGACGGAGGAACCATGGAGTGTACTGCTGTAAGTTCTCTTTGATACAAGCCGAGTACAGCACCAATTCTTTGACTGACACGAAATCCTAGGGGTCTTGCCTCACATCGGTATTGTTGTACGCGCGCGCTGTTGGCGTGCACCTTTTACTGACACAACGAGTTAGTGCACTTACACAGGTCCCGGTCCCATCAGTGACCCTTTCGTCAACTGCGAGTAAATAGGGTGTGTTGGCAACCCAAAATGGAGTGGCTTGCCATGGCCTGAGCATATCGATTGTTTACCCGGGAGGCTAGCGGTTGGCACTTTCCGAATAGAGAAAAATCCTCGATATGATGTGGAGGGTGGTTTTCGAAGTCTCTCATGTGGGGAGAGAAGAGGTACGCTACCCGAAAGTTCAACACGACAAGGGGCGACTAGTACAATGTCGTTAAAGACAGGTCTTTCCATAGACGATACTAAAGATAGTGTTCAACAACGCTGTCGTACAAATGTTCCGATGGGTGCAAATTCGAGATCTCTAGCGTACAAAGACGACAGTCAAGAACTTAGATTTGCTCAGCACATGAGACCATGGCGAGGCATCGAGCACAATTCAAGCGTGCTCAATGAAGTCACATCCGCGAATGAAGCGTATCCATCCTAGTAGACATGCAGCGAATTTAAAGTTGCGCAAGGATTGTGACGCGTTCGGGCAGGACTAGATCGCAAATCTAACGAATTGGCAGCGCGGCTAATTTCGATCAGCGTTGTAGAACTAATTCCATTCGAGCGCAGCCTTCAATGTCGCTGGCTCGTGTTTCCGCGTGGGATTGATCCAACCAATCCTGCCAAGAAGTTTTGAGTCCACCATCTTCTGCGAGCTTAGCTGCAGTCTTCGCTGCGATCTTCGCAGACGTAGGTAAGGAGGCTAATGCAAGGACCAGTGCGCTGAAAGCATCCGATCTCGGTATTTCCTCTAATGCACCCTACATACTTCTGTAGATGATTTGGTGTTCCTGAAGCTCGGGCCACCTTGCACCGTAGTTCAATGTTCCTCTCGACTGTAGGTACTAACCTGCCAAGCATAGGCATGCAGGCGCGACGAGGGTAATGGAATGATCGATCTTAGCCACGTGTGCCGTAATGATATCTCCGCGGGTGCTGAGTGGTTCACGCTAATTGCCTTTACTTGTTGGCATTACGCCATGTGACGAACGGTCGGTAGGTCTTGTGAATAGCTCGGACTGTAAGCATACATCTCACAATGTGTACGTTCGAAAAGGCTAGGAGATTTGCCCCTTCAAACTTTTCGCAGTAGCGTTTGTCCATACCAGGATTTTAGATCGACATTTCCTAAGCGAGCACGGTGCGTCCAGATCCTAGGGATGCTACTGTTGAGCTTAGTTGTTCGTTTTTTCCTTGTCATGTCGTTGTTTCGCGCCCTCTTTTGCCCTACTTGTGACCTAGTAGGTACGCAGTCTCGGAGCGACGCGCCGCGATGTCACATCATTTTGATGTGACCAGACTCGCAATGACCCACGCTCCCTCGGTCCCTCAATGCGTGTGGCTCGATTGCAGTAACTACACATGCTTTTCCCTAGTATGTGGAGCCGGTAAGACGAAGTTGCCGGAAACTACTTCAAAACGACTCGTTCCCTTTGAGACTTTGGTCTCCGGCGCTGATACTTAACATTCACTTACCCAGGCTATCACGCGCTTGCATATGCGAAAGCGAATGGGAAGGAATGGCAATTTCGCCCGGCTCGCCTTGGTGGGCACAAAAGTCGCTAACCCTTGGAACTACCCAATCGGGTTAGTCATACATGTGATCGTGTACATGATGTCAGTGCGCAGGGTTGTCCATGGACAAGAGTTCACATGAACAAGAGAATGCTGCGCCACAAATTCTCCCAACATCTTCAAATATATAGTCTGGTTGACGAACGAAATGTCAAGTGGAACACTAGCATTCTTCGACGGCCTACCACTTGTCACATCAGACACCATTCCTGTCTTGCGCCGGTTTCTGCTCCGAAAACTCGGAGAGGAGAGCCCGAGTGTCGACTCGAAGATGTATTGGCCCGTTGATCGGCATAACATGACTCTCGGGTAAGGAAAGCAGCGTAGGTCGTTTGCTGCACAGCTCATGCGTATTACAGAATTGCTGTTGTCAGGTTCGCCACTGATGTGGAGGCCCAAGAGGCGATCGACAATTTAGAAGGTACAGCGATGGATAGAGATCATACGATTCATCTTGATAGGATCGAAGCATCAGAAAGGTTTAGAGCAGTGCGGGCTCATGGCGTGGTCGATGAGGAGAAACTGGAGCGGCTTTCCACTTTGGAGATTCATGCTACGTGGGCACGAATAGCAGATGCATGAAAGCTGAGGAAGCAACCCATGAGACGATCGAAATACTCCATCAGCCTTGCTAAACGATACTTTTCATATGTCATTCTGTGCTACGCTCTCACTTAGCACGTACTGTTACCATATCAGGCAGGCGAACTGCCAGATTCGGAAGTTCTGCAGCCTTCGTGCAACAGCCGAGCCTCCGCAAAGAAGATCTGACGAAGAAATATTCCTTTGTCAGCTGGAATGCCCACTCGGCTGTATATTGCAGGCTTCTAAACTGTGGAGACTTTAGCACGGACTTACTACAGCAAATGGATGCCGCGTCTGAGCAGCTGCCCATGGGCTGCGACTGCACTCCGATGCCAATGCCAATGGCCAGGCCGATGGATCTTCGTAGTGACGGTGGACATCTCGATCGTCAGTACAAAGAGGTAGACAGTAGCTTTCAGACGATAACTTCCACTCTAGCACTGCAAAGCACACTTTTGCAGCTTCTTCAACAACATCTACCAGTCACCATCCCATCATAACAAATACCATTGGAACCTGCCACACTTTGACCGCTGCAACTTCAAGCGCGCCATGACGCATAACCAAGGGCATGATCAGGCGCGCAAGCAGATTGTCGTGGCCATGACCGGAGCCACTGGACAGATCTTGGGGATAAAAACATTGCAATCCCTACGTGGATTGAACGTTGAGACGCATCTCATAATGTCGCACTGGGCGGAGACGACATTGAAGTACGAGACAGACTACAGCCCGGCAAACGTCCGCGCTCTGGCAGATCACACACACTCAGTGCACGACATGGCAGCGCCAGTGTCATCAGGATCTTTCAAGTGCGATGGCATGATCATCGTGCCGTGCAGCGCCAAAAGTTTGGGCGCTATCGCCGCAGGCTACGGCGAGGATCTCATTGCGCGAACGGCTGATGTGATGTTGAAAGAGCGGCGGAGACTTATATTGGCCGTGCGAGAGTCGCCTTACAGTCTGATTCATCTACGCAATATGGCTACGGTTACGGAGGCTGGTGGGGTCATAACGTCCCCGGTGCCGGCATTTTACACCCGTCCAGATACGATTGATGATCTGATTGATCAGTGGATTGGTCGGACGCTGGATCTGGTCGACTTGGATACTCAAGCATTTCAGAGGTGGAAGGGTTGGGAAAAGGATTGAGCATAGCGTAGTAGCTGGCTCTAGGCCGTACGTTCATTGGGTTGGGAGCCTTTGAGCAAAAGAATGGACTTCTGGTGATTGAAGCAAATTCCATAGTCAATATCAATCCACGTAACAGGTGCACTGTATCTCAACATAGCGGCGATAATAATACGCTTCGAGTAGTATATGCGAAGGCATCTGAAGACGTTGACCACGATTCTAAAGCCACAGAAGAGGTGTGTCATACACTTTTAGAGACTTTGAAGACCTGCCGTTTCAACAAATCTAGTTATCTTAGCGTGCTATATCAACACGCAATCTTCGTACGATCACGAAAGCCAAGAGAACCCCATTCTCGAAGTACCTTCTCTTGCACCTCAGCAGGAAAAGCTCCCTTGAAATCCGCCCCGGCTGTCCTCGCTCCTCAGAAGGAAGTATGCAATTGCACACGACCTTTCCGCCGTGCGTACTTGCTCGACCCTCCGACTGAGCGACTGATGGCAGTAACACCCAGGTAACCACATCCTCGAAAGGGATCTCGTCACGAGTAGGAAGGCAACGCGTCGAATATGCCCAGATGACATCGTCCCAATTGTAGATGTCGATGTCGTCTCCAACCACCAAGATCTTGTGGACGTAGGTCCCGGGTTTCGATGCGAACAGTACCCTACCAATTTCCCGGCAAATCTTGTCGCTGGTCCAGCCTTGCAAGCCGAAAGCATCCAGGGGAACCTGGACGACTGTCCAGATCATCATTGTCTCGATTGGCACCGCGACATCCAGTACTGGGATTTCTGCGCGTCGAAGTGCGACGATCATATTCGCAGCGAGAGTGGGCGAGGGAATGGTGTGGGTTTCGTCCCCGGACCTGCCAGAGACACACATTGGCAGGATTGCATCTTTACGGTGCGTGATTGCTTTGACGTTGAGCAGCGGCATTTTCTGCGAATGGCCGAGGAAGCAATAGCCATGCATCTCCCCCAAAGGCCCCTCGTCTCCCAAAGCATTGGCGTCGATAGTGCCCTCGAAGACCATCTCTGAGTTGGCTGGGACTTGAAGATCGTTTGTCTCGCATTTCACCACCTTCATTGGATGTCCGGTCATTGCACCAATGTACCCCGGCTCGGATACACCGTCTGGGAGAGGAGCTGCGCCAGCCATAGTGCGGCAGGTGGCACGCCTATCGCCAGCGCCCGTGGACAGTCTTTGCCGATAGCTTTCCACATCTCATGAATCCGCCACAAGTGCTGGGGCCAGATCATCGCGGTCACAAAACGAGTCTTGTCATGTATCATTGCCCTAGAGATGGCCCAATTCTCCCATTTGCCGTCCGGTGATTTGACGATGTGGATTCCGTAAGTCTGAATGTACTTCCCACCGTCGCTCAAGTGGCATGTGGGTGACGGCAAAGCAGTAAGGTCTATGTCGAACAGCTTGACTTCTTTGCACGGGCCGGTAGGAACGCTGACAGGGTCAACTGGTTCCACTTCTGTGCCAGCAACCAGATAATCGATGATCTCCTTCATGCTTGATGTGGGCGGCAAAGCAAGGTGTCGAGCTATACGCCCGAACTCGTCTTCTCCCGGGCGACGAAGACATCCAGGTGCACCCAAGATACGAAAAAGGCCGTCCTTGGCTCCTTTAACATTGTGGAAGAGTGGCGCTTCAGATCTCGTCTCAGATGCATGGCGTGTGATTGCTGCCACCTCAAGATAGGGATCACACTCTTGGTGTATGTCTGCGAGGTCGCCATCAGCCCTGAGAGCATTGACGAAAGTTCTGAAGTTCAGGTGCGGTGGTTCATCTTGATCGAGCACAAAGGCCATCCTGCGTTCCTTGTAGAAGTCTGCAGGTTATCAGACGCGAAAAAACTTGATCGTTACTAGACTCAGGGCTTGGTAAGATTCTCGTTCGAGGCTGCCCTCTCAGTTCTTGGTGCTTACTTCGTGAGGAAGTACTATGTCAGGCAGAGGTTTGGTACCTCAGAACGTTGGCCTTGACTTCATCATCAAAATTTGCCAAGGGTCACATTCTCCACGAAGATGCAGTGCAGAGTGCCCATCGGAAGATGCATTAGCAGCTGAGTAAGTATGGAGGCGGTGGGGAGAGGCTGTTCCAGTTGTTACAGGCCCGAGCAGAATGCAAGCGGGCTTGCTCAACTCCCGGACAGAAGACTGTTGGGTGGTAAACACATCGACTGAATCAGCGTGTGCAGGTCACAACTCAAGGGCGAATGAGCAGGGTAAATGTTGGCACGAAGTCAGAGACTTGCGGTGATCTTTGAGACGTAGTCTATGTCAGCTTCAGGGGTTCCGAATGGGGCAGGTTACCTGCTTCATATAGTTAGGCCAGGCATAGAAAGGCATCAGCAGAGCCGTGCAAACCCGAGACAGCTCCATAGACTCAATATCCGTTCCAACAGTAGATTCAGCCCTCGCATCCAGATCCGCAAATCCTTAACTTCGAGATTCATCGTACTCCCAAACTTCACCCTATACATATCATGCCAAGATACGACATCCTCCACGTTGTGCCCTTGACCGACGATCAATATGACGATTTCCAACGCGCTGTCACAACAATCCACACCGAATCATTCGGAGTGCCCAGCCTTTTCGTGAACGTGGCATTCACGAACATCACATCCCAAGTGCAATTCATTGCTGGCAAAAAGCGCCAGGGCAACCATCTTATTGCCCATGTACGACTGGGCAACAGGACGAAAGAGCAGCTCCAGAAGCTGGCCACCGACATCATAGCCGCCTGGGATCGAACTGTCGTGGAACCGCACGCGTCGGAAGGCAAAGCTGAGACGAGACGACGAAAGCTGCACTCTGTCTTTATTCTTGCGTCCGATGTCGTTGGAACTGAAGCGGGGTTGCCAGTGCCAATCGCTGGTAAAGAAGCTGAATTCTTGAAAAGCCATTACGTAGAGATCAAACGTAGGGCGGATGAAGGTGACGATTTGATGGTTGATACTATCGAGGAGATAAAGCAGCGTGGCATGCTTTGAGAGGTGCTTGTGGAGCAGTACTGGACCGGCAACGATATTGCACTACTGAAACGCTCTGACATTGATTGATCGGTGAAAACGTGAGCCAAACCAATCCTCGACTTGAAGTTTGGAATATTTTAACGTCGCTTGGGCAAGATAGTTTGGTCTTATGCCATAAAGGAAGGGATTCTGGGACCGGGTCAAAGCCAATGTTTTAGCATAGCCTAAGCCTGAGCCTAAGCATCTCAACAACATTGAAACCTCCGCTACTCTCAACGCAGCGCTATAGAACTAATACAGACTGCACCGATCATGAATCAGTACTTCAAGTTGCGATGTCCGCGTAGAGGTACTTGACTCTGAGGACGTCTTATACCTTTGCAAAAGCAATTCAGTGTCAAAGAGTTGCTTGAGGTTGACTGTTGGCAATATGTCAAAGCTACTCCTCTCTGTCTCTGCCCTCTTAACACTTGGTGCAGCCGCCTCGATAGAAGCAAAAATCTATCAACGAGAAGCCGACGTTTCTTGCAAGGAATTTGTCCCTTACGGCTTCAAAAGCAACAAGCTTCATGTCAGCTTCTACGACAATGTCAGTTGCCTCGAATCGAAGTGCTAAGCCTGCGATTCTGACTGCTTTGTTAGAACCCGACCGATGTTCCTTACAACGGACGAGGATTCCACGCACCTACGCTCCCTGCAAATACAACAGTCCATGATAACTACTTCTATCTAAGTAATAAGACTGCGGTGGCCTTCAGCGCATTTGCCTGCAATGTCACCTCTCTGGGGCTCACGACCAACCAAACGCAATCATCTTGCTCTCACGGCGGTTGCTACACAACGTACTCGAATTACGTTCAGATCCGCAGGCCTGAGAATGGCGACTGCTTGACGAATCCAAATCTCAACACCAACGGCTCATTGATGCTGTTCAAGCCTTGCGACCAGGAGCCAACGACGACGGCGCAGTTCTTCCAAGCCACACAACAAATTCTGTACGATAATAGCAGGAAGAAAGTTACCAACGTTGGTGTCGTTGATTTTGAGAACGTGCAGAGGTCTAATGATGAGGGTTCTTTCTTTGCCTGGGCACTTACTCGAAAAGACAATAGGACTGTTGAGACTGTGCTGGCTGATTATACACAAGCCGGCTTGAGCGCAAATTTGTACCAAGCTTGAGGAAAGAGTCGGCGCAGAAGTTGATAGTCATTGTTGCCTCTAAAAACTTCTAGGTGCACTTAGGTTAGCGACTCTATAGATTATAGTATCACAGTACTACGTACAGCAATGCAGTGCGCATAAGATGTAGGTGCCGTCCACGTGGCACACTTTGTAGTAGTGGCGATGAGTGCGTCGAGCCGGGGGAGCGTAGTAGTACAGTGTGTGGCGAAGGGTGTAACAGAGAGGGAGGAGAGCCCCCTTAATAGAGCTGAACATGGCTCGAGTCTCAGCGATTGGATTCAACTAGTAAAAGCACTTTCAGCCGACAGAGCGTCTAATTCGTTTGACGCTACCATTGACCGGTCCAAATTTGAGATGTCTGTAGGTAATCCAAATGGGCCGGTATGATAGAATTCACTTAGGAAGTCGGCAGAACAAGAAGTTAACCAATCCATGTCCGCATCATTGAAAGTGTGTGGCTCAGTCAGATCGAGAGGGACTGAAGGGGTATGACTCTCGTCAGCAGCGACGGCCTCTGATGAGAGTTCGACACGATTGTGAACTCTACTCATTCTGTGCTCCAGTGCATTGAGCTTCTCGCGAAGGCCGCCCGACGTGTTCCAGAACGATGCATAGTTGTCGAAATTGTATATCAGAATTTCGAATCTTGACTGCGCCAGCAGTGCCTTGTCAGGCTCAAAAGTCTTGTTCACGACTTGAGCTGCGGCAGCCAGCCAAATGGTACTGGCGAAAAGCGGGTTCACGTACCTGACGTGGTATGGACTGCTGTTACGAACGACGCGCAAGATGTTATTCGAACATTCCAGATAGTGCCCCAAGGCTGTCGTGTTGACAATTCGGTTGTTTTTGGGCTTCTTTCGCTTGTTCGCGTGTAAAGCAGTCTCTTCTGCGTCCGACTGGACCCAGAACACTTCGTAGTGATGAAGCATCATTCCTGCGAGTTGTGTCATGACGAAGATGGTATGTTTAGCACAATCTATTGCTATTGTAGATTGGCCATGCTTGGAAGTATGGAATCCGAGATACTCTTGTTCGTACGTGAGCTGCCTGGGCAGTCTTTTGGAGAAGCGTGCGAGAGCGACCGTCGTCTCCTGTAAGTCTAGGCGCGTCTTTCGAGGAGAACAACGAGAGGACCGTGTACTCTCTTGATGGGCAATATTTTGGGCATCAACATGTCTAAAATGCTGATCTGCATTCAAAGTACCAGAAATGCCTTCCCGATAAGACAGCAGATGGGCTTTGCGCATAATGGAGTTCAATACGATGTACCAGGCCTTCCAGAAGAATTGCCCGATTGCTCCAGCAACCTGATGCATTCGCAAGGTTCGAGGCTCAGGTGACAACTCTCCTCGGCTCTGCTGGAGAACCATGCGCCATCCGAGATTGGTAGCAGTGTCTGTACGTGAGTCGCATCCAAGCCATTGGGCATCCGCCGGACCGTACTTCCGAAGACATCGAGTTCCCAAACAGCCCAAAAAGCTCTTCTTCGCTCCTCATCGAGGATCATTTGGAGGGAAAGGTCTTCTCTCGTAGCAGCTTCGTGATTGGCCTTGTAGGCATCGAGGAGATGCAGTTCCATCTCGTATGTGAGTCGCACACATTCTCCAAGCGATCTCCAGGCCACGCCACGGACATCTCGAGCGAGTTCATGGAATGCAATGAGAATGAGTGCTTGCAGAATACACAGAGGCGGGGGTTCCGACTCGTGTTTAGCTAGACAGTCTGTAGCCAGCCGTCGGGCCATCCCATGGAATGCCGCGGTGGTGGGCACCGTTGCAATGCCACTGTCAAGTAACGCAGGGCTGTGTGTTCTGGAACCTTCGTCCCAGAATCGCCTGGCGAAGATGAACATGGCGGCAGTCAAAGCTGCCGTCTCGACTTGCGGCTCGTGGTCATGGATCATGGTCATGAACGTTGGCTTATGAAATAGCGAGAAGGTCGACATGTTCTCGAAGTACAACTCAATGCTCGAATGTGTGAGCTGTACGCCACATCTAGCATCTTGAGGACGTACTTACAGACACTTGTATATTTCGAAGGAGACCCCGAGATGCTCCCATGCATATCTTCGCTGAGGGTCGGCCGTCTCAACAAATCCACGTATCTGCCCGAAAATATTGTGCGTCGGCAGCATTGCGTCCGATAGTAATGCGGACTCTCCTATATCTACGTAGAGCTCTGCGGTGGTGGCCGTGGTGTCGTTCTGCGTTGGCATACTGTCGTCAATTGTGGATTCGAAGCCACTCGCCTCCCAGCTCTGCGGAGGAGTAACATCTTGAGGTACAGAGTCTTGTCCAGGGCTGGCACTAGAATGACTGTCTAAGAGCGTCAGCGGGCTGGTTACGTTGGCGGGAGGTGCGCTTCACCTGGCTTGTAGTGCTAGATTTCGGCCCAGGCTTTCCCACGAAGGAGGCATACGAGCACGTCTGGCTGGACGCAGCACATGAGGCACAGGATGGACGGTCTCGACTACTGATTAAAGACGTGTTAGAACGATGGCAAGCTCGAGTCCTGGATTCCGGATTGCGAGAACACCAACCATTTTACTTTCCGCCTGCGTTTTACCACTCAGAGGTCAGCTGGGACGGGCTCATCGGGAACTGGGCACAGCACCTTCTGCAAACATCACAAGCGACATCAGGGCGCGACGTTCTGTCCATGGTAGAATTCTGACTCGAGGCGAATGATATCGAAGAAGTCGTGGAGGTTGCTGGACAAAGACTGCAGGGGTGCACTGTGCTGCATTGTAAGCACCGGCGCTTACGGCCCCGCAATTGGAGCAATTCTGTATTGGTTTAACGGTGGAGATGGATGTTAGGCGCAGAATATGTGTTGTAACCAAAACTAGAGATCCTCCGAATTTGTCTTTTCTTATCAGCCCGAGAAGCGGTGGCCTGAAAGTACATTTTACCGAGGCGTAAACATTCATTTAGGCCACTGGAAGGAGATGATCCTTCACTTCCACGTGCGTCCCGGCAACTTTATCCTTGCTCACAACGTCCACCTTTCCCTCGCTCAAGGCGTCATTTACCACATGGTCGCCAAAAAGCGCGGACACGTCTTCTAGTGCCACTCCAGTTGTCTCCGGAAGATGGAAATATATCACAACAGTACAAATCACGCAGAGGCCCATCCATAAGATGTACAAACCCCATCGCCTGTGGCCGGCACGTCAGTTGCTTTGGTAAGAGTGAAGGGCATTTCGTAAAGCTTACATTTCTTTGAAAGCAAGCCCGGCGGGAGCCGTCCAAACAATCGCACCCACAGAGTAGCCGAAGAAGTTGAGGCCAATGCCCGTGGATCGGTAGGCGATGGGGAACACTTCCGCGGCCCAGATGAAGATGGGAGCTTCGCTGATTTGGTAGCACACGATGAAGAGAAAAATGAAGACCAAGCACGCCACCTGGCCAGGATGATTAGAGCTTCCCAGGTATTGTGATTGCAAAACGCCCTCGATCAAGAGCACGACAGCGACCGCAGGGAATCCAAGGACTGAAGACGGAAAGTAAGCAACACATCCATATAGGTGGCACCCTTCTTACTTACGAAGCATACGTCTCCGGCCAACACGGTCCACAACGAAGGCGTTGACCCATGCTGACGTGTTGCCGCAAACACTGTATATCACAAGATACACGAGGGGCTGCACACCGATGACGCCTAGACTGTTGAATATAGGGACTAGAAAGTTCGTAATCCCGAGAACCTGTCAGTTGATTAGGCGACGAGGTCTAAGACTGTTGGGAACACTGAACTTGCTCCGGTGGATTGGGTGGCAAAACTGGGACGCAACAAGAGTTAGCAGTAAGTAATAGCAGCGGCAAACCTATACATGCAACGTGAACTTACCCCAAGAGGATGACGATGATGCAGCGTTTTCGCAACGATGGTTGCCGGGGCAGATTCGCATATGATGTGTCCTGTTGCTTTTCGAGCGCGACCTGAGCGATTATCTGGAAATATTCTTCTTGCGCTTCCTTGTCCGTGTCGTCCGCTGGATCGCGATGTAGCCTTCGAAGCACGTCCCAAGCATCTTCAGTCTTTCCGGCCCAGATCAGGTATCGTGGACTTTCTGCAAAGAAAAATCAGTCGCATCATCATGCATTGGGCAAGAAACGGCGCAAGGCATACAAGGAACGAAGAGAAGAGAGACACCTAGGCATAAAGGGCTAACGCAGGCCAATGCTAATGGTAGACGCCACTGGACGCTGGGGTTCGTTGATTTGTAGGTTCCAACGGCGATTGCCAAAGAACTATGGCCACACTGTCAGCGGACATCCATATTTGAAGACAAAGACATACATCAAATAACCTAGCCCCAGGCTTGTGACAGTCATGGACGCAAGCAACCCTCGATGCCTAGCTGGCGCAGTTTCGGCCAGGTACAGAGATACGAGACATATCAACAAACCTACACCGAATCCTTGAAGGAAGCGAGCGATAATCAGCATGGCCAAGTGAATACTTCCTGACGCCAACGCGCCGCCCACTGCAGCGAATATGGCTCCAGTGAGCATAGCATGTCTTCTTCCGAGCCAGTCTGCCAGAGGGGCTTGGACCAAGGCGCCAAACGAGGCCCCGGTAGAGAACAGAGCATTCACTGCGCCTTGGATGCTATGAGTCTCCGTCAATATTGCACTTCTCGCAACGTAGAAGCGCACAGGTACCTTGCGGTGTGTTCGGAATCTTCAATCCGGTTAGGTGAAGGAAATCAAGTCTTGGGCTGTTCAAGATAACTCACTAGGATCGAGATTGAAATAGCTGTAAAATCCAGGTTGCCCCAGTACGGCCGGAAAGACAGCGAATGCGAAGCCATAGGTGATTCCTCCAAGGCACACTGCGAGTGAGACGGCTATGTTGTATCGTGAGAGTTGAACCATGATCGATGGTCGTGTCACAAACGTTGATCCTATAATTCACGATTGTATTTCAATCGACACAACCACTTGCTTGAAGTAGTACGGCAAAACTCCTCTTTCGGAGAGACGAAAACTTCGGACAGACTACAGCTTCGGATAGACTAAATAAGGCTTCGGAGGGACTAATGCGTCGGAGAGATCTAGATCCACTTCATGGAAAGATTCATCCGATCGAATGTTCATGGTTTGTCATGATCGACTAAGAGAGTGAGAGGGAAAGAGAGCAATGTGAGAGTAAGATCCAAAGGAGAAAGCAAAGGAGAAAGCGGTTATATAGTAAGGCTCCAGAGTCGCCGGTTTCAAACGTATTACGCCCTTACCTCTACCATGTCTACACCTCAATGCGATCTGCGGCTCTTTACTGCACAGTCGCCGAACGGTTACAAGATTTCTATCACTTTGGAAGAGCTTGGTCTACCATACGACATGACCGTTGTCGACCTCAAAAATATGGCGCACAAAGACCCTGCTTTCCTCTCCATCAACCCCAACGGACGTATACCAGCCATGAAAGATAAAAGCTTTGGCGACGCAACTTTTTCCCTTTTTGAATCGGGTAGCATCCAACAATACTTGGTCGATCGTTACGACTCTCACCACAAGCTGTCGTATCCAAGAGGTACGAGGGAATACTACGAAACCAGCAACTGGGTACGTATGAAAGCCCAAACTACTTGACTGGCTTACGCTGAATTGGTGCCGTCTTAGCTGTTCTTTCAGAATGCTGGTGTAGGACCCATGCAAGGCCAGGCTAATCACTTCCTACGATACTCCCTGGCGGAAGAGCCTTTACCCTATGCCATAGACAGATATCAGAACGAAACTAGACGACTGTACCGCACGGTTGATAAGCATCTGGAGACTACTGCAACTGATTTTCTTGTTGGCGGCAAAATGACCATTGCTGACATTGCACTGTGGTGCTGGGTCGATTCCGCGAGTAAGTCCCTAGCCTCGAGGACTAGCTGAAGACTGCGAACACTCACCTTCCATCCATTAGGCTTCACCAACATTGATGTGTCCGAGTTTCCGACCTTGCAAAGATGGCACAAGCGAATTTCAGCTCGTCCAGCTGTGCAGAAGGGCCGCAAGATTCCAGCGGGTGCGGACCTTAACCAAGTGATTAAAAATTCGGCCGACTTTGAGAAGTTTCTGAGTGGGAATAGAGAGTGGATTGCTCAAGGGTTGTCTGACGATGCGAGAAAGGGTTGATTGAATCGTTCGCTTCAAAAACAAGGCCTTTGAAAGAACTTGCTGTGCACTTTTCTGTTCTAAACGTCTAATCAACGGCTCGCTCATGTGTAGTAATGGGGTCTTTGAAGTTCTATATCCTGGTGGAAGATAGAATCGATAGACAAGAATTGGAACTACTAGGACCAGCTACATATCGTTGAAAGTGGCAATGAGTCCATTAGTTCCGGCGTCTGATAAAACCTGCCATAATAGTTCATGGACTGCATAATGTATAATGCATAATGCATTCTTGCCCCTATAATACGCTGTTGCAAAGCCCTGATATGGTCTCAGAAGCAATTTTACGGTATAAGAAATAGGGGCTACGCGCTCCCAGAACATCGTTACAACATTCCCAGCGTCTATTAAAATCCTATGGAATTGCCTATCACGGTCTATACGACATCCTTCGATTCAAGGTACTGGTCCTTCTGCCTCCGCCATGCCTTCAAAACCTCCAAGCCTTCCACGTGGTCGTTCTCATCAAAGCGATGAGATTGGAAAGTCATTTCAATGATCACCCCGGACGGATCCGTGGTATACACAGACTGCCAAATACCCTCATGATCTATTTCTCCCAGAACTTCCATTCCGCAAGCTTCCCAATGCGCTTTCCAAGCCGTGACCTGCTCAAGACTGTCGCACGAGAGAGCGAGATGCTTTGTGTATTTGGGTATGCCATCATCGCTCTTGATGTAACCATTCTGGAGTTCAAAGAAAGCCAGGGCGGACCCATCGGCCATGCCATAGAGAGCATGGATGTATTTGTCGGGAATGGGCTTGTCGTGGCCGGCTTCATCTAAGAAGCTGTAAGCTCCTAAGAAGTTGCAACCCATGACATGCGTCCAGAACTGATGTGTTTTATCCATGTCGAGGGTTGCGTAGGCATGGTGATTTAGTCCACGTGGCTGGAGAGTAGACTCTATGGGTCGGAGGTTCTTTGAACAGGTTTCCAGTGCTGGCATGTTTGCAAAGAAGGGTAAGGCAGTGAAGGTCTCGGTCGAGCATCACGACGCGGCGGAGGGATTAAATACAGCAGTGTCTTTATCATCGGACGAAAGAGCGAACGTTGAGCCTGGGACAGTCGGACCATCTCTTGCAAGGCCGGTGAGATACTCCGAGAATCGTCAGCTTTCGTATATTACACAGCCGAGATGTCAGAGAAGGTGCGTCCCCCTGAAACCACACTCATCCTCACCATCGACAGGAGAATGGCTGCTTCGACTTGGCCCAAAGGCGCGCAAGTTGCCATTAGCTTCACTTGTGACAATCTTGGAGAAGCGCAAGAGATCAATTCTGGGGTCTGGCCAACCAACGTGGCACCAGGAACGCACTGGTCGGTGCTCAAAGTCCTTCCGAACGTGCTACAAACTCTTGAGAGGCACGGAGTCAAGGCCACTTTCTTTTTTGAGACTTGGAGCATTGGCATTTATGGCGCCGTCACCAAAGATGTCGTGGAGCGCGGCCACGAGATCGCATGGCACGGCTGGCAGCACGAAAACTGGACTCAATTATCTGCCCATGAGGAGCGCGACGTCTTTTCTCGGAGCTTCTCACAGGCCCAAGATCTTGGCTGTATGTACAAGGGTTTCAGGCCTCCCGGTGGTTTGATCAACGAGCAAACAGGTAGCCTACTTCACAAGTACGGCGTGCGTTATATCAGCCCAGCCGCTGAGCGAGCATCTGTCGAGAATGGACTTGCAATCCTCCCTTTTCAGTGGGAGGCGGTGGATGCTTTCTACTACATGGATCAATTCTCGAACCTACGTCAACAGTACAATGTCCAGAGAGATTCCCTTGGTCCAGACGCGTGTCTAAGGGGTATGCTTGACCTAGTCGAGAGAGCCGTGGAGTCGAACGCTTATGTCTCTGTACTCTTCCACCCGATCCTCCAAGATTCGTCTGAAAAGCTTGCTGTTTTTGAGGAGGTTGTGAATCGCGTTGCACACGATCCGCGAATATGGTGTGCACCGTGTTACGAGGTCGCAGATTGGGTGCTTGAGAATAGGGACAAATTTTCATCCAATCCGGGTTGGCCTAAAGCGACATGGTGATATAGCCAATACAGATTCCGATAACACCGTATTGAAGTAGCATGCAGCACTGGTCATGGCTGCTTTACGCAACCACTTAACAGCAATGCAGTTGATACTCTGGACTTTCACACAGTCTTGGCATTCATCTGTTCTTGTACTAGAAGTAGCTCCTTCACAGTCTCTCAATACAACATCAAGTGTCATCACATCAAGTAGAACTATCCTTCACGGACACTCACAAGACTCATTCAACCCGTTAGAATCACCGAACCACCAGACCGCATCAAGCGTCAGCTGGTGAATCTTCCACCTATCGCCCTCTTTCCGTAGACACCAATAATAATACCCGCCCTCGAAGAAATTCTCCCCCTGATCTCGTGCGTGGGTAGCATGCGAAGCACTCAGGACCGAACGAGCATAAGCGAATGTTGGAGATGTGAGTTTGATAGTGAAGTTTGATGAGAGATGCTGTGGCAATGTCAGGCGTAGTCCGAAGCGTGTGGCAGAAGCACTTACTGTCATCCTGTAAAAGCGCATTTCAGCGTCCATGCCAAATCTTGCCAGCTTTTCCCGTCCTCGACAGCTTCCAAACGGATACGTGACTTCGCAGTCATCCGTGAAAAGACTCGCCCAGGCCTTCGGAGCCGTTGCATCCACCATACAGCTGTCTAGGTAGTACGCATATTCGTTCAGCACGTCCACCATGCTTTGTCGTTCCCATAAATGAGTGACCTTGTCTTCCAGTGATTGTGCGTGATTGCCATCGGTTTCACCAGGACGTAAATCGCCGAGAAGCGTAGTGTAACAGAGCGGATGATCCACTGGAAGAAGAGCTGGCCGTAGTGGCTCGCCTGTCTCCCTTCGCGCTTCCAGACCGGTTACCATAGTGAGTGTGACAAAGTGGCTCAAACGCCAGTGGGCCAACAGACACCACTAGTATATTGAAGTTCGGTTGATCGTCCTGCTTCACGACCTCGGAGGATCTCGGCCGTGACACGCGACAAAAGTCCCTCCTCGGACAGTCTATTGGCATTTGACGGCAACGGACTTGATATGTCATACATTCGTTGAGCAAACCAAGGTACCTAAATATGACTCTACGAACCTCTTACCCGGGATCGTAGAGCTTAACATTCCAAATGCCTGTCCCATGGAGCCATCTGATCCGTTTCAAGGCACAAGAAGACGGCTTGATTTACCTTGGTCAAGTCGATAGTCAGGTGGTGCCTGATGTCGGTGTTGCTGTCTTCACGGGACGAAAGGTCTCTGCGAGAGTTGTATCAGGCACTGTCTTTGAAGGCAAGGTGACAGATGCGGTGCAGGAGGGAAGTTGCAATGAATCTGGACAGACAGAACCTTGCTGACGGGAAACGTACAGCTCTTATCCCCGCTGTCCATTGATCAAGTCCCTGTGATTCTATGCCTTGGCCTGAACTACCGCGACTATGCGAAGGAATCGAATATGCCAATCCCTGACGAGCCTGTGCTGTTTCTGAAGCCACACCGATCGCTGACGGGACCATCTCCGCAGAAAGTGTCAATCCCAGGAATAGCCCAGGACGGATCAAGCGACTACGAGGGAGAACTGGGATTTTTCCTATCTAGAACAGGAAGAGACATAGCTGAGCGAGATGCTTGGGACTATGTGCTTGGCTTCACTTGCTGTAACGACATCTCCGCTCGCAACTTGCAATTCAAGAGTAGTCAATGGTCCTTCTCAAAAGGCTTTGACACGTCTACGCCCACAGGACCGACTTTGGTCAGCCCAGGCGCCCTGTCAGATCCTCACAATCTTCGCATACGGACAATTTACAATAAGGATTATACTGTACAGGACTCCAGCACCCGGTAAGGACACAGTGAGAGGCTCAATATGCTGGCTATTGTTGATCGCTACTAATGACTGACAGTGAACTCATCTTCTCCGTTCCTTACATCATCTCATACCTTTCTCAAGGCACCACCCTGGAAAAAGGGACGCTCGTCCCCACTGGCACTCCGCCTGGTATTGGATGTATGCGACAACCAAAAGTCGTCCTAGGGGATGGAGACGAGGTCCGAGTTGCGATTGAAAATATTGGCATCTTAATAAGTCAGGTGTCCTACTCTGATGCCAATAGTAAGGAGGTCAGAGGATAAAAAAGCACAGCTCCCTTCACTGGGCATCAAGTTGGACTCATCCAATAAGGCGAAAATTGCCTGTTGACGCACGGATTAAGCCATTAGCAGCCCGCAAAACCCTTTCATGCTATACCGTAGTGCTCATTGTTTTCGACGGTTCCAAACCGACTAGCACAAGAATCATTGCCTTTGCGTTTACCTCTTCGGTCCTACGTAGACCCGTGTCGTAAGGGACAGTCGTGTTATCTAGGCAAGCATCTCAACATGACAAGATTGTACTGAAGTCTTCGTGGTCAATCAAATGTTGACAACGGGGCTTTGGATACAAAATAAGCATGAACATGCGGGTGATACTATACGAAGACAGTGTTGTCTGTGTAAGTATTCAAGGCATCGAATCAAATGACTCCTTTCAGACTAATGCAGAGGATCTTGCAGCTCTCATCTTGGCTTGCAGCCACAGCTCCGTGGTCATCGACCTCCTGAGCTGGACCTTCAATTCTTGTACATCGTAACTACCATCGACTCGGAACACAACACAGCATGTTTTCAGATTGAAACGAAAACTGCAAACATCGACTTCGATGGAAAATCAAAGATATGACGAGTCCACTGATCTCGCTCCAATACTTTTACGCTCCCTACGAGGAGAAACCCTGGAAAGCCGGTAATTGTGGAAGGTGTGATTGCTGTCACGATTTCATCGCTCAGCAATGGTACTGTTGCCAATCGTGCTTCTTCACCCTTCGCGATCGCTGCGCTGCTTCCAAGACCTCATCAAATCCAGGTCATTCGTTGAGACTTGCTCCTCTCAGTGAGCTACGAGAATCAGGACGAACCAAAAACGCCACACCGCAGTCGGTCATCAATGCCGACTGGTACGAAAGAGCAAAACGCCTATCCGACTCTAATTGTGGTTGTCGGACTTGCTTTGGGCACACGCCATCTGTGTTAGCCAGAAGATCAGCCGCTTCGGAGTGGCATTCGATACGAGATGTAAGCCTTTCAGATTTGGAAAATAGTAGCCTTTCAGGGTGCAAGGTCTGTTCGTTGCTGTTTCGTAGCCTAATGCGAGCGTGCCCTCGGGTGCTTTCTGATGGCACAAGGGTCACATTAGGCATTTCGGCGACGTACTTCTCCGTTGGTATGAGAAAGCCCCTACCCGGCGAGACAGAGCTCAAGGACCTCAAAGTCAGCACCAGGATGGGATACGCAGAGGCGTGGGCCGGTCTCAACACAGCTGAGTCCTTGGGCACGCACCTGGACAGCCCTGGGGTTGTCAGCAAGATACAGAAATGGCTTCATGATTGCGAGACGCTCCATGACAACGAGCATTGCCGTGAAGCAGCGAAGACCGTCTTACCAAGCAAGGTGATAGCAGTTGGAAGTCTCGATGAGCCGTTTCTGCGCCTCGAACAAACCAGTGGCCGGACCGGAAAGTACATTGCGCTCAGTCATTGCTGGGGCGGGTGCAATGAGGGTCAGACCTTGCAAAGCAACCTGACTGGAAGACTCCAGACAATCGATGATTCTGAGCTGTCAAAGACGTTTCGCGATGCCATACGCTGTGCGAGGAAACTCGGAGTTCCACATCTTTGGATTGACTCGCTTTGCATTATCCAGGACAGCGCCAGCGACTGGGAAAGCAAGTCTGCACGGATGTGTGACGTCTACTCCAATGCCTACTTCGTGCTGGTCGCATCATCAGCGATCGCCGATAACGTGGGTTTTCTCAACGAAGTACCTGAACAATACCGTGGGATACCGCTCGAGTCGGCGCCGGCAAGCGGCTGCTACGACATGGTGATCCAACAGCAGATTCCCCATGCGACTGGACCAGCTGGCGCAGTCGGCTCACCGGCGCCAGTCGCCGCCATCAACATTGGACCGCTGGAAACACGTGGCTGGTGCTTTCAAGAGACATTACTCGCTCGCCGTTCTATCGGCTTCACGTCCTACGAGGTTGCTTTTGAATGCCACGACCATGTGGCGTGTGAATGCAACAGCAGCAATCGTACGGATGCGGCCGGAATTGACAGTGAAAGTAAAGAGACAATCCAACAGCAGTGGATGTACGTGGCTGCTGAAGACCTCGATGGCGGCAACTCGGAGAAGCATCTCTGGAGAAGACCACTGTCTCAGATCACAAATGTGGGTACGCTGTACATGGAATGGAGGCGGATGATCGTTCCCAACTACACCTCGAGACAGTTGACGTTTGCGTCTGACAAGCTGCCAGCCCTCTCCGGTATCGCAGCTCTGGCACATCGATTGTGTCAAGACCAGTACGTGGCAGGGATGTGGCGTGCTGACTTGCATAGAAGTCTACTCTGGCGAGCAGATCAATGGAGAAGCAGTCTCCCTGGCCCTGGTCCCTTATTGTTCTGTCCAGACTATTCAACCGGCCCCTCGTTCTCGTGGGCTTCAGTCGACGGGTCCATCGTATACAACGTACCGGAAGACGGACTTGGCGATGTGCGCCTGAAAATACTAGATTGCCAGGTGGAGCTTGCAGGAGAGCAGAAGAATCGTTTCGGTGCACGCTCTGGAGGCTGGATGCGGGTTCGTAAATCCTTTCAGTTCCATCTGCAAGGTCGCTGCATCAGGGACGGGTCTTCGGATGACTATACTCTGAAGCCCGCGTGGTCGGAGGGAGGAATGGAGGACACCGAATTCGATCCAGATTGTTTGCTCTCTGAACTCAGCACACACAGTGAACGCGGTGTCAGCAAGTTCATCGCTCGAGCGAAAAGGGGCCAGGAGTCAGGAAAGACCTTCAGCGGTCAAGTAACGGGGATCATGATGGCCGAGGTACCTCGTGATAAGAGAGGGTGGTATCAGTGCGCCATGGTAATTGTTAGTGAGAATGGAGGTGCTTCGAACACGCATCAGCGTATTGGCTTTGCAGCGCTCAAGTCTAAGACTTTTGAGGCGGCACGTGAGTACGTCCGTCTTGCTCCTATTCGCGAGTTCTTGATCGTGTGAGCGCGGCCGCTGTACAGGATCTTGTTCAAAGACCAGCTAGTATTGCTTTTTTACGAGCAGGTATGAGAGGACGAGTGTCACGAAATCTAGACCTTGCTCTTACCAGAAGATGCCAAAAATAGACTCACATGCCTCCATCCTCTAGTTTCACTGCACTTTGGTACGGCTTTACTCATCATGAAGATAGATAGCCATCAAATTCGATGTCGTGATGCACCTGATGTCCTTGTGTCTGGGCCTTCCAGCCCTGCTTTTCCCCACCATCACAAGCCAGCGCTAGCGCAACGCTAGGCCCCTGAACATTCACTTACCGTACATTAGGCAGAAAGGCCAAGAAAGGACAAAACACTCAGCATCCGGTATTTCAACGTGGTCGCACACCGCAGTACTCATCAGGCGCTCAGCCAGAGTGGACGGGATACAGTGATCTTAAGTGAAAACCGCGATTGGTCGGTTTCGCGCTAACCAGCCTCGGTATATTGCGGTTGTAACCGTGCCGCCCGATCTCCCGCGTTGCACCATTCTTGTTCTAGTGCAGCGCTGCGGCCACCACTCGACAGCGAGTAAAAACACACTCACAACTCCACGACGTCTTGCGGGCGCGTAAGTAACTGTGCCTCATGATGAAAGTATATGTAACGGTGAAGGCAGCAGTAATTCTCGTTGCCATGTCTTTTTTGTATCATCGCCTTTACGAATATAGCTCGGCCTTCAGCGCGGATTCACCAACAATACTCAACAGCTTGATAGTCCGTTCACGATGAGGCGTAGAGATGGTTGCTCATGCCTTCGTGCGGTGCGCGGTCGCTATTACACTGGAGATCTTATTTTGATCGTTGTCGTCACTGGTATCGTGGTCTTGAGCACCGTCGGACCTCACAATGTGTATACAGCATTCACGACAGTTCGTAGCAGTTTGGCGTCTTTGCTGGGCGTGCCGGAGTACGATTCTGCTGATTCGACCTTTCTCGCTTGCACGCTTGCAGAGCCCGTTTCAAGCCACCGGAACCGAATTGACTCAAGTCAATGCAAAGGTATATCGAGAGTGCCGCTGAAAGCTATGCTGCATCACGACTGACCTTCGTAGGATTTCCAGAGCCTCCGTTTGGTTCCTACCTCACCCTGAACGCCTCCGCAGACTCCGCTGAAACGTACTACGGACGTTACGATCAACCTGTCCCGTTCAGACGCGTCGTCGATGAGATCGATGGCAAAGCGCGAAAGCGCGAAGCATCAAGAACAGCAATAGTCCTTCGCGCTTGGGATCAATTCTCCTGGACTGACGACGATGTCCGCAATGTACGGTCCCTCATCTCCGAAGTGTCTCTTCTTGGCGAGGATTACAGCGTCTACATTCTGCTCCAGATCAAAGACGATGTGGCTCCCGGGCAAGAGTTGGAAACGGCTAAATTGAGACTTATTCCTGGCGAGTTTGCAAATATCACGGAGGCATGGACAACATTGGACAGCCAGAACGCGTATCCTGCAGTGGGCGAACACCAGTAAGTCACCGCTGCCTAGAGTCAGTCGAGCAGAACCCTGTTGATGATAGACAACTCCCAGATTCTATTATCATGCGTTCATGGCGCTGCAGATGTTTGCAGATAGACATCAAGAATTTGACTACTATTGGAACTGGGAGATGGATGTCCGCTTTACGGGTCGTTACAACTCTCTGTTTCCATCGTTGTCGACCTGGGCAGAACAACAGCCCGATGACGGTCTTTGGCGGCGGAATACGCGCTTCTTCATGCCGTCTGTTCATGGCTCCTTTGACGACTTCACCAAATCAACTATCGCCTCCACTGCAGACTTTCCGGAAGCCTCACCGTGGATCACAGACACCTTTGAAGGAGCGTAAAATCTCGGACAGACGGATCTTGTTACCCTGTTTCCACTATTTGACGTCTCTCACACCGCATGGCCCCACAAGGACTATGTGTTGAACTTCGAGACCTTTCCCGTCACACCGCGCTTTGGGACTGTCGGGACGAACATGAGATTCTCCCGACGCATGCTACTGATCATGGGCCATGAAAATGCAGCCGGACGTGCTATGATGTCAGAAATGTGGCCTCCCACAATTGCCTTTCACCACCGTCTGAGGACAGTGGTGGTTCATCACCCGCTACAATATCTTATCAAAGCAAACAAGCGTAGTGAATTTCTTGGGATTGGTACCTGGATCCGATTATCCCATAGTGGTAATAATGTTGTGGTCTCGTCCGCGCCGAATGGATGTATACATTGTGGCCGCTGACGTCCAGATTCTTCAGTGGCTGATGCCTCTGTGTTGGTATCTATCGCACCGTACTGGGGTATACACAGTATGATGCTTTGCGGCACAGCCAGCGTTAACAATTATGCCGGACGATTGGCCCTCGTCGTCTCCATTGCAGTCTGGCTTCGAAACACCAACATAAGGTCAGTGGTGTTGCAAGTTTTCAGCAGAAGCGGCATGGTACTGCAACATGTTGCCATGATCTGTTCTTAGCTGAGCGCTAAAAGGGACGAACATATAAGTGCACCCGGGGGACCTGTTGCTGCTGTCAGACAACCGCAAGACTCCAAAGTTGACCACTTCATACTTACCGCATCATCCATTGCCCCTTTAGCCATTCTTCCATCACTCTTACGACCATGAGACTCTCCACGTTCTCCCTGGCGGCCGCTTTGGCATGCTCTGCGCTCTCAGCTGCTGTGCCAGTTGTGGCCAAGACGCCGGCCCTCCCAGAACAGGGTGCCCATCACTTGAGTCCAAGAGCACAGTACAACATCGACACTTTCGAAGATCTCGAAGAAGAAGCCACGAGAGCCACTCAGGACGAGATCACGGCTAGTGTCAACTACCTCGCCAACTTCTGGAGCGCAAATGGAGCGACCTGGGCATTGACGGGCGGCATCGCAATGCAGAAGTATGGTATGACAGAACGTACCACCCAAGACTCGGACTTGGGTGTATCGATCTTACCACTAGCCATCACCAATGCCGCTGCGGCGGATGCCAAGTACGCCGAGCTCAAAACTTGACGTGCGAAGTTGTTCACTGACTTTCTCCCAGCATTCAGTACCCCCCGGCGCTTATGGCTGCCTCTGGAACTGTAACTCGTAAGTAATTATCTGATTCTCAGTTTTTGACTTGCGGGCCTCGAAATGCTTCCTCGGGGCACCGACACTAAGTTGTGACAGTATTTGTCAATATCAACGGTCAACAGGTTCAGAACGACGTTTTTCCCCCAAGTAAGTACAAGAGGCCTTCAGAAAATGCAATTGAGCCTTCCACCGCTGACGTGCTTGCAGATTCGGAACTGGCCCCAAGCCTTGACAACACTGTTACAATCGATGGCTGGCCGATCGTAAGCATTCTCTCGCTCATCAAGTCCAAGGTACGGAGGGCCGAAGACCAGGATATCATCGATGTAGCTTGGTTTTGTACGGAAAGACTCAACGACGTCACCGCCATTGCCAGCCAGATTGATTACCAGAGCCGTTTGTCATTCGCATCCGACGCCAAGGCACGCCGTCCTGCAGATTTCGACGTAATCTGTCCAGGACTGCAACTCGATCCAAGCCAAGTTCCATCCAAATGAACTGAATGACAGGCCAAATGTACCAGCTTCAGGGTAGGATCGCTACGAAGATGAGGAGGGAGCGGGTGGTGGTACCAAGGTAGAGGGAGATGATAATGTGTGATGTAGCCGTATGATGCTTAGGCGTTACTTGCACAAGGCGTTACTTGCACACTCGCTAGGGAATTCATCAAACTGGTCTGTCTTGCTGAAGTCGTGGGTCACCAGAGTCCTTTCTCCTGAATTTTGTCTTCCATTTGGCCACATTATAGTGACAGCCGGCTCTTTGCTGCTTTCGACTCACGATGATCGCCCACATCTGACCCTTGTCTAGCCCGTCGATCGTAAGGCCACCTGTTGAGCGGGTGTCCAATCGTCCAAGACGTACCATCGACTCTGCGTACTTCTCCATCTTCGCCCTGGTATACTCTACCTCCTCTTCCGAGAGCGTGCCCAAGCGGAGATGCTGTTGACCCCATTCCAAACTCAGATCCATGCCGTCGACAAGTGCTGTCAAATGGTCCCATTTTTGGATAGAGACCAGATTCTGAGCGAAGACTTCCAGCTTAGGATATGGGATATTGTTCGCGCTCCATTCAATTGCGTCGTCACCCAAATCTCGGAGAAAGTCTTCGGATGACGGCATGATGTAAAAGCCCAGTGTTTTGCGGTCCTCCTGCGTACATCGATACCGTGGATAAGTGTGTATTAGTGATCTGAGCTGGGGCATTGGCGGCTCCACTCGTTCGAACTTCTCAGGCTTGCTGTCAATGAGTTGCGTTGCCGCTGGGAATCCGCTGTCAGGTACGCATATTCGCCATTCCTAAAACATGTCAGCAATGTGCCAAGTGTCATGACAGCGAATGGCTTACATTCGAGACACGGCTGGCCCCGTAGTACCTCAGTGCTTTGACGCCAGTCACACAGCAGACATGACCGGCTGCCTCTAATAGCTGGATGACTTCCTGTACCATGTAGACCCCATGTCCTTCCGCTTGAACTTCAGCCCTTGAGGAGCTCATTGTTCTTGTATACGCAGACGTCGTATGTGCGCAAGATCCCACGGTGTCTCATAGAGCATAGGACCAAAGTATTATGTAGTGCGCAGAAGATGTAGGTGCCGTCCGGGTGGCACAGTCGCGGGCGTGATGGGTTGTTCGCGTAGCGGGTCTCACGACTGCCGGTTCCCCAATCTATTCACTTACCTCCACAGTCACGTGCATTCTCACTCCAGGTTCCTGAAACTAAAACCCCAACCGGCGATTACTTAAGTCACATCACAGGCCTATAGAAGGGCACAGCGCACATAATGGCCTGTTTGTAAGGTGCCAGTAGCGAAATATACGGAGAAGAATTTTTGGATGTATAGCACAGAGGTCGAATCTTAAATGAATTCAACTTTCGGGTATCATTTAGATTCAATCCAATCACTAAATTGTATATTGAATTGAATGCAACAGATTTAATAATTCACTGCTATCGGCGATGCTATTGCTGCCGACAACGACCATAAGGGCATAGCAAATAAATTACTTGAATTGAATATTCAATTCAGATACATCACATTCAGATTCAGGCTGAATTGATTTGAATTAAATGAAATGGATTCAAGATTCAACATCTATAATACATAGGTAACTTAATCACACTTAAAGGTGACTGAAGGGAAACCATATTCCACAAGCTCATAAAAGCTGGCTAACATCTAGGATGGCTAAGCCTCAAATGCCTATAGCCGAATAAAACAAACCCAGATCAAACCCGACCAAACATTTCTCAAACTCCCAACCCTACTTCCCCAAACCCTCCCCAACACCCGGCCTAACCCCCTCCAAAACACCCACAACCTCCCTCCAAACCCTCTCCCTAACCTTCACCCCCTCTTCACTCCCCATCCACTTCCCTCCCTCCTTCACAACCCCCTCACTCATAAACCCCCCATGACTCCCCCTCCCGCCCAAAACGCCCCAAACCAAACACCGACTCCCCTCCTCCGCCGAACTCCCAATAACCCTCAACAGAACCCTCGTATACAGCGGCGGCGAGAAATGAGAGTAGAGACCCGTGTCGCAGAAGCCCGGGCTGACGCAGTTGATGATGACGTGGTTGAGGTGTTGGGTTCGGCGGGCAACGGCTTGCACGCAGAGGGTGCAGAGGAGTTTGGAGAGGTAGTAGCGGTTGAGCATGTCTGCTTTGCTCTCGTCGCTCAGTGCGGCGAAGAGATTGGGCTGTGAGAGTTGGTTGTAGGGTGCGAAGATCTGGATCGCGGACCCGACGACGCTGAAGTACGTCTCCGTGTTGTGCTCTTCGCCAGTCTGTTGGAGTTTCGGCAGGAGGAGGAGGAGGCCGAGGAGGAACGTGGACAGGACGTTGACGGTTAGGGTTTGTTCGTAGCCTTCTGCGAGGCTGAAGTGTTTTACTTCGATGCCGGCGTTGGCGATGAGGGCGTCGAGGCGGGGGAGGGTGGTGATGCAGTCCGTGGCGAAGGCTGTGACGGAGGAGAAGGAGGAGAGGTCGAGGTGGTGGATGGAGATGGTCGTGGTGTTGGGGTGGTCTGGTGGGAGGGAGGCGAGGATTTGTTCTTTAGCAACGGCGGCTTTGTCTAAGTCGCGGCAGGCGAGGATGAGGTGGAAGACGTTGAGGCGGACGCTGTAGGTTTGGTCATTCAATCAATTCTTCGAAAGGAATCTTCCACGGTGACGACTCACAGGTGCTTGCAAGCCTCCAAACCCAACCCACTGTTAGCTCCTGTGACGATGATCGTCTTGCCGGAGAAGTCTGCAGCAGGAACAGGCACTGTCGTGAATATCTGTCCAGCGACCATCGACGCTATCTCGCTCAGTGGCGGCATGTTGGCAATTGCTTTTCCAGGTGAGGATGCGCGCGAACCAGCTCTCGAAAGACTGTCTTCGCGGTCTTTTATACCAGTCGACAAAGCCATCAAAACGTGAATGGCAGCGGAGACCTTCGGTTTTCTTGGCACGAAGGTGGGTGAATGTTGCTCCGGGAGCGAAGGAGGACGGCATGTGGCAGGCCGGGTCTCCGCTTGGGGGAGGGAATCACAAGCTAAACCGCCCATTCTCTTCAGTCGTAGAGAGTGTGAGTTCATGAGACAAATGGTTTCTCGGAGGCCTACATAGAGCGATAAGCGATCCGCGTTCACTCACAGTCCCAAAATTGCATCCTTTCCAACTGCCATCTCCCTGGCAAGTTCAACGCCGCGCTATGCAATAGATCCCACTCCAGTAACGCCTCCAGTTGGGTATCTTGACCTGAATCACCTTGGTATCGTCCTTTCTGCACTGGCAACCCCCAAAAATCGCACTATCTTGACATCCATCTCACGACTTGATCGGGTTCTCCGGCCGCTGAAAAAAGTGCGCTTCGGTGTTGAGCACCCAATCGTCCAGACTCCATTGATCAGGGTCGTCGAACAGCAAGTAATAATACTTGAGCGTCTCCGCAATCCAGAAACTCTCCATGCCGTCAAGGAGTGACGGCCGTGATTTGGTCACGTCGTCCAGCGCGCTGTGTCCGTATGTGGTACGACTGAGACCCTCTGCGGCTTGGAACATATTCCAACCCATGTCTTGCCAGTGCTTTTCACCGGTGATGCGGTACATGTAGAAGACTGATTCGATGGCTTCTGGTCGGAGAATGTATTTGCGGCTGTCGAGGTGAATGAAGCCCGGCGGGAGGCGCTCGTCTTCGACCTTCTGCATCACGTATTGCTGGTGAGTGGGAGGCGGTGGTGGTGTGTAGATTGGCCGGGCTGGCATTGTGTACTCGTAGTCTTCAGCTGCAGGGCCGCCGTATCCTCCCCAGATGTCGTCTGGATCGGATTCGAATTCTGGAGAGGGAGAAGTAGTAGGACGCGGCGAGGAAGCTGGTTTAGGTGCTGCAGGGAAATCTTCGTCTTCATCCGCGAATTCATCGAAATCGTTCAATTGGCGTTTGTTAAGAGCTCTCATCTCATCAGCGAGCGATGCGGTTCGTGCTTCTTCATCGTCTTCACCAAGGTATGGCACTGCCGTCTTTGAGGCTCTAGCAACAGCTGCAGCCAGACTACTGCTAGCTACGGCGAGCTCCTTCTCGTAGACCTCGAGGTTCTCGATCTCGTATTGCTCCATGAAGGTCGTCCGCTGGTCCTCCCGGAACTCCATGTATGGGTCGAGTTGTCGGTCGTATTCCGTTTCGTTCCACTGACACACCTTCAAGTCTTTGCTGTCTGCACACGAGGCCAACGAGAAGCTCTCCGGCATGATACCACTTTTGGTGACATTGTATGACCAAATGCACCCGTCGGTGAGTTTTCGCGCAAGGTCGATGTGCTCTGGAACGTCGAAAATCTTGCCTCCCAGACCGAACATGCCACCAACGAAGCATGTGAGATGCTCACCCTTGGGGATGTGACTCAAGATAGGTTCGCCCGTAGTGTAGTTGAAGGACATGTGTACTTCTCCAGAGACGAGAATGTCCCGGTTCTCTGGGGTCATCGGCTTGAATAGAAGCTCATCAACGACTGGCTTCATACTCGCCAAGTACATGTCCTTGTATTGGTCGAGTCGCCCGCCAAGGAGCAAGTACTGTTTGGGCAGGTATTCATAGGTACTGTCGCTCTGACCGCCCAAGGTATATGTTTCTTGCACGTTCTTACCACTCGAGGCAAGTCCTTGAGGCAGACATGCTGGCTCGTTGTTCTCATAGTCCAGTTGCCTCAGGTCTTGATGATGCATTGCCGAGTTTGAGGTGGTCTTGTTGCTGACTGCCTCTGACAGATCGCTGAACTGTTCAAGCTGGCGCTTGATGTGAGGATTTGCAATCCCAGCATTTGGTGGTAATGGGTCCACCGCTCGGAAACCATCCATAGATGTCTTCTGATCGTTCGCTGCTCCAGCGCCTGGTTTGAGGGGGTCTTTCGCTTTTGCTGCATTTGTCGTGTCCTCGCCGCTCGAGCCCCAATTCGGGTCACTTCCGGATGGATGCTCTGCCATGGGATGGCGCAGAGAAGCATCAGAGTCCGACACACCTGCCATAACGTTGCCCACGGCAGGATTCGCAACACTCCCGAGCTTGTCCTCTGCATGCGCCTTGTTGGGGCCTTTGAAACCCTTTGCAGGCGTGTTCTGCTTGTTCAGGGTATCTTCTGCCGCAGCTACGACCTTCTCATCGACTTTGACAGGTTCGCTGCTAATCATGTAGCTGTCGCCCTGTGGTGCAGGCATCTGGTTGTACGTTCGACTTGGAGGGACATATTCGGGCTTCTTACAGCCACTCGCGTCAAGCATCGTCGGCCACATTCCTGGCAATCGAGTATTGTTTTGCCACTTCTCGAACTCGTCTGTGATCCGTGCGATGGCATCGTAATACTTCGGCTCGCCTGTGAGTTGAGCGAGTCTCGTGAATTCCAAGCTGAGCGTTCCCAATTCTGCCATGACAACTCTCGTGCCAGCACGGCGAGCATTCGAAGCCAGAGTTGGTTTCCAGTAGTAATACGTTTCTGGCATGCGATTCGGTGTGTCGAAGGCAGAATAGAGGATTTCGGCAAGCTCTACTGCCTTATCGAGCAGGACTCTGTACTTCTTGTCCGAAACATCGTATGCCGCAATCAGGCCTCCGAGATATCTGATCGTCACCTCGAACAGTGGGATGTCCGACCTGGACGAGATCGTAAAGTCAATCTCAGCGGTCTTGTTCACAGCATCTTCAAACTCCTCCTTCATGCCCATGATCCACAGAGTGTCCAAGGAATCAACGAGTGTAGCTCCCCAGCCATTGAACGAGTTCTTGCCAATGCCTGATACTGGTTCCACCTCGTCGAAACCCCAGCCCTTCTTCCTGAATCCAGCCCACGCCCATTTGCATGCATCTCTGACCGCAGCGCGTCGGTCCTTGTCAACGCTCCCCTTGGCCTGTCCTTGCTTTTGAATGAGCGGTATTGGGCTCGGCTTGCCACTGGGCAGCTGAATAGTGGTAGAGATTGGGAAATGTTCCGGCAGTTTGCTCCAGTGAATCGGTTCGTGGGAAGTCGTGGGAAGAAAAGGGTTGCCATACTCGTAATCGTCTTCGATCCGACCCAAACCAACCTCTACCGGCAACTCGTCGTCGTCAAATGAAGGTGAGACTGCCAGTGTACTGCTTTGCTCTTTCCACACCGCGTTTCGAGTCGACGTGGGTTCTGGGGTTGGGGTGGGCGATTCGGTCGCTTCGAGTGCTACAGAGCTCGAGGTCGTCGGCGCAGGTTCCACGTCTGCCTCCGGCCTTGAGGCAGGCTTCAAATCCAATGCTGGATCTGCCTGAGGTCGCGGTATGGGTTCCTGTTGCTGCTGCTCCTTGCGCAGTACGGAGCCTCCGCCCACCGCGCTCTTGGTGAAGTAGTCCGCATACTCCTCCACGCGCGCCTCGTTGCGCTGGTACAGGAAGAAGACTGTAAAGATGCAGACGGCCACGGCCAGCAGCCGTACCCGCCGCGTTCTCCCCGGCATGACTGCCAGACTGTCGCCTGCTATTCGGCGCCGTGCCAGCCGACGCAGAAGTCCAAGGTGCAACGGGTCCAGAAGCGAGCGACAGAGGCAATAATGACTGATCTAGGAGCAATCAAAAGGAAGGTGAAGCAGAGCACGAAGCCAACTGGCAGCAGTCACACGCCTACCACACATCCCTCTCTCAATGCGATCCCGTCTTGGCTCTTGGCCGGAGTGGTGAGCAGACGCAGGGTGCAGAAAGCTTACCACCACCGCCCGGCCAAAGTCCTCGGGTATCCATCAATATTTGATTGATCTCAATGGGAAATAGCGGGCATCTAACAAACAGCTGTTCTGTTAGGATCAACACCGTGCGCCGCCACCAATGCACCAGCTCTCCCAAAAATGTCCTCTTTCAGCCTTGTGCCGTTCACAAGCGAGCTGTGGCCGGTTTAAGGCGTCTTGCCCACCTGCAAAACCCAGCGAGGCAACATGTTCCGGTTCATCTTGTGAGAGATCCCTCCAGCTTGTGTCAGATACAGACCAGGCTCACAATCTCTCCTTCCCATCTACCCTCGCCTCCACGATACACAGGACAATGTACAAAGAATGAGACCGTGTGGCTGGCTGGTCCGCAACGCCACATGAAAGTCAATCCGCAACGGTTTCTTAGGGTACTTCAGGTACTTCACAAACCGAGGCATCTCCAGCCTTTTAAACCGGACGTTTAGGACGACAACAGCTGGTCCTGTCTTGTGGCCACCACATTCTAGAACGCATCCGGGGCAACTTCTGATCGAAGTCAATCAGATGACGTGCCGCAGAAGATGCTCCAAGTGCTTGATCTCGTTGGCGTCTCCTCCAGCTAAGTATCGGCAAAATTTCCCACCATACGCTCTTCTAGAGATTTATGATTCCTATTGCTTCTAATTGTAGTCAAATCTCACTCTCGGCTATTAACAAGACTCGCCAAACGGATTGGATAATGGGGCACTGCCTGAAGCTATGAACGCACTTCAGCCGCAGCACACGGGCACTCAGCTCTACTAACCTATTAAACGTGCCTCTCGAGACTTGACATTGACTGTGCAGCCAACAAGTCATACCTCACAAAAATTTGGATCAAGCTTCGCCATGGATTTCCTACCAGGAACCCCAAATGCCTCCAATAAGTTCTTATCTCTCCCGCCAGAACTGCACGCACATATCTTCGAATATTTGGGCTTTCCTCCAGTCTCAATGGACATACCACCTGAATACGAAGCTTGGGCCGCACTGGAGCGCACATGTCGTCTGGCACAGGGGATCACCGAGCCGTATTTGTACCACAAGATCTACACCAATGTTAGAACCCACGGCAGGTCTAGAGACACTCCTTGGAAGACCGACCCGGAGAAGCAAAAGAGTTGTAGTGAGGCGTTTGGTACAGCACAGCTGGTCGATCTCCTAGAGAGACGCCCGAACTTGCAGAAGTTGGTTCATTACCTGGTCATAGATGAGTACGATCCCTTGCAGTTCAGGAGGTTGCTGCGCCTACGACTGGAAAGCCTGGAGTCTATCATATGCCAGCACGAAGGGGATGTCACACCAGTGCTTTCGAGTTCTCTAGATGATCCAGATGCGTTGGTGGAAAGTCAGGGCAAGTTAACGAATTGTGAGTGTCATACCTTTTCGGCGACGCTCACATCTAACCTATTACCTGTGCAGTCGTGCTCAGCATACAACGAGATACTTCGGCCACGTCCCTTCTTCAGACTCTTGCCCTATCCGATGCTCCTCTGATGCGGCATCCAGCTACCACACGCATTCGTCTGTCCTACCTGGATATCACTTGTTTCGAAAACCTGGAACCTGACTACTTCACTCACACGCAGCTCAGTGAGCTTAACCTCGAACAATGCAAGTATTCTCTGCCAGTACTAGGCCGCTTTATACAGCCATCAGCAAACCTCACAAAACTCTATCTCCACTTCGACAGTCCAGCCCCTTTCACGGCCGAAGAGGAACTCGCTCTCATCCCAATGATACAATCAGTCGCTAGCAAGACTCTAAAGATCCTTAAATTCGTCTGGAGAGACACGCACCCCAAATCGAAAGACTGGCCAGGCTGGGACTTTACGAAATTCGAAGCTTTGAGATATCTTCACGTCTCGCCGTATCTCCTGTTCCCGAACAAAGAGAACAAAGAGATTCCACCGATGCATGATCTTCTTGCCCGCACACTCCCACCGCGCCTCAAGCTACTAGGCCTGGAGGGCATAATTCCTATCGACCACCCCGGTCGACGTCTCGGACTTGGACTCTCACTAAGCCAGGAAGACACGGACCTGCTAGAAGGCTTGGTTAACTTCAAAGCTGAAGGTAATGTGCCTTCGTTCAGGCACTTGTTGGTGTTCTACGCTGAGGGGCTGGCTGGAATACCTCAGGAATTGGTCAGCAAGGCGGCTAAGCAGGATGTTAGTCTGGGGTTTCTGCAGTCCGAAGATCATGAGCATCTGGACTCTCTGGATATGGAGTGGTTGGATGGGGAGAATGTTCACGGTGGCGAGGAGAGTGAGGAAGATGAGGATGAAGATGAATGGGAAGACGACAATGAAGATGAGTGGGAAGATGACGAGGATGATGACAACGGCGAAGAAGACGAAGAACAAGACAGGGATGCTTCGGACGAGGACATGGAGGTTCAGCACGAATGAACACTTACCCTGATTTAAGGATCACTTCCATGGGCCGGGGAATGCTCTTCAAGGGGTTGGATCGTTTCTCATGTCGAGCATTGTCCGTCATCATTTGGAAGATAAACCAGGGTCACGGAACAAAACACATCTGTTAGCTCAAACATGTGCGGCCAAGAATCATTCCTGCAGCGCAAGGCCAATTCTCCTGTTCGTCATGGGTAATAACAGTCTCGACCGAACAATCCTACAGTACATCACAAGGCTTCTGATTCCACATCCATACAACTCCGGAGAATACTGAGGATGTTGCCGGTGCCTTCCATTCTCGTCTTTGTGGTCCCCACGTGGCCCAGCGGTGGAGTTTTACTCCACGCTTCCCTCCACACCTGGGGAAGATCTACCACTATCGACGGAATCCCCTCACGACCCAATCAACTTTGCCCTTGAGCTACAGAGTAGCTGATTCACGAGGAGCTTCGTGTGCAGACTCCTCCGCGGAGATCGACACAAGAACGCTTGATCACCAACAGGCTTTTTCAGCTCCACGTACTGGCTTAAACTTGAGACTTCATACCATAATCCTTCCTGCGGACGGCGTGCGGCGCAGAATGCAATATACCAACAACGTTACGTCTTATCCACTACAAATTGAGTACTTTTGGTGCAGCTGAACGAACATTCGGATCAGAATTCTTGGCGAGCGCGACCACATGCTCTGCTTGTCCATTCACCAGTGCTATGGCTGAGGAACGATCGAGGCTTGAGATCACGCCGTCGGTATTGATGGCTGAACATGGGCATACTATGAGATAATGCGTGGGACTGGCTCACAGAGTGTTTTTTCCCAGGCAGTTCGATCATCAGGGGAAAGTTGCCCGGCTGGTCAGGCACATATCTTCAAGTGCTTGTTGAAGGACTTGAAAGATGCACAGGCGCTCCAGCAATGGATGCATGTAGTGCTCCAGAAGACATTGAGATTCAATGGGACCGAGAAGAATCGAAACGTTCTCACAATCGTCAACTGAAAAGGCTATCCCGTAAGTCGTCATTCGCAACAAGGCACTGCCTACCTTCAGCTATACGAGAACGCCTTTCGTGCTGACTCCTGCAGGTCAGCGTCAAGCGCAGAAACGTCATGTTTCCAGGTCACCTATGTCAAGTTCAAATACCCCGAGAGAGGAACGGCTTACTTCATGGACACTGTTGCCATTTGGCTGTGGACCACACACGTGGTCTGAGGCTGTGGAAGCGTAGGGTTTGCTATGTCTATGCATAGTCACCAGGATCAAATAGCATGTGATCCTTCCAAGAAGTTTGACATCACTTCATCGAAATCCAACACACACCAAGCAAATGCTAATGTCCGCGAAGCACGTTGCTACAGCTTCTACGGCAAGAGAAGAGGGTGAGTTACTTCATCAGCTGCGAAGCTCCGCGGGACTGGCACGACCTGATCAGCACAGCTGAAGCCCGGAACAAGTTTGATGACTACTACTGTCTCGACGGCGCCAAGCTACTGGAGAGCAGTGACATCCTGGATGGAAGACCCCTCTCAGCATACACAGACGTTGGATGGCTGAACCCCTGAGGAGGATCCGGCACAAGTGGTGCGCCGAGTCGCTTTCAACGACATCTCACAACCCTACCTACATCCTTCGCCTTAGCTTGACTCCGCTGGATCCTTATTACACGGCCTCACACGTGCGCTGATTCCATGGACCTTGCCTATAGTGATCAAGTCTGACACTATCAGCTTGCAGGAGGAGCGGCATCCTGTAGTCGAAATCGACTCAAGATCCATCGCTTGGTGTCTCCGTTTTCTGCACCTTGGAACTGGCAAGGAAGCTTCACCTCACGTTTCCTCCGCTCTCGCTGCCAGACTCAACGAGCTCCAACAGGAACCTCTACCTATGACCGCAAACTGCAATTCGTCAATTCCTACATCCATCTGAGATTGGCTGGCATCTTCACAAAACCACCAACAATGCCACCAAATCTCCAGGACCAAGACACTATCTTTCGCAACATCAAGCTGGTCACCACACCCTGGAGCATCTTCGTCTACGTTATAAACCCCTTCATCTCCTGGGCGTTGATGATGTACACTTGCTTCCACTTGAACACAGGCGGGATTCTCTCCACGCGTGCGCAACTCACGTTCGCCGTGGTTATATATCCCGTGTCCGTTTTGTTTCTGGCCATGGCGACGGGCGAGAAGATCAAATCACGGCTAGAGGAGAGAGGGTACGAGCAGAGAAGAACGAGAGCCCGTGAGATTGATCTGCTTTTGAATTTGGCCGTGTTTGGCGCCTTCTATTATTGGCTTCAGAGTTACGAGAGTGATGGGAAAGAGAGCAGGTTTGCGGTTGGGTTGATGGCGGTTTTTGGTGGATTGATGATTTGGTGGTTTATTGTCATGATGTCGATTGGGCCGGTCCTTTGGTTTACTGTCAGGGTCAGATAACTCGGAAATGTGCGTGATGATTGACTCGGAAAGACTTTACAAGATATCTATCTTGGATAGATTGTGGATTATCTAGCTCACTTGGAGAGCTGGGTGGTATGTGACCCCTCCAACCCTCCAACCCTCCACCCTGCAACCCAAACCGACTCGAAGGCCAGTCATCTGATGTGTTGAACATTTCGATTCCACTTACGTCTTCCTCCAGCCAACTCGCCCCACTCAGTAGGCTCTCAGACGGACACGGTGCAGCTGTCTCCGCCAGTGATCTCAAAGGGACCGACATCCGTCCTTGTCGTGTCGAGCTCCAAATGGTACCTGCCCAAAACCCTATTGGTACTGGTATAATAGATCGTGAACTGCGTCGAGAGCGAACACTGGTTGGACTGCTGCATGCCCTTCGCGATCATCGATCCCAGACCTGAGGCATAGCCCAACTGGCCACTATCCGGGGCGTAGCAGTGCATATACTTGCCGGCCATCTTCAAACCATACTGTCCAGCGAAATGCGCGGAACTCTGGAAGCCCGTCTGGCCCGTGTTGCAGTCGCGCTTGCTGTTCCCCGTGGGCAGACCGGCTGCCTGAAGCGCTCCGCCATGCCAGAAGTACATTATGAACTCGCGGCCGCCGACGAAGCCAGCTCCGGCGACGAGGATATGAGCTGCACTCGTTCCCGCGATCCGAGCACTACACTAGAACCCGGAGCCTTGGTCGTCGGTGCAGGCGTTGCAGGTCTTGACGACTTGGTCGCAGCCGCCCGCGAGGCTGTAGTAACCGACGGCCGTCAATCCAGCGGCAACGAGCTTGTAGCCCAGAGTTCGCTCTTGGGTGGCATCGACGTGGAAAGTCTCGTTGGATTCCAGATCGCCGGTGATGTAGTCGATGTTGATGTTTGGGTAGACCCTTGAGAGTTCTGCCATGGTTGGAGTCACGGCTTTGATTTCGCCTAGGGCGGGCATGGCGGATGCCAAAGCTGGGAGAAGGGTGCAGAGTGTCGTGGAGATATGCATGTTGAAGAGGGTTTCGAGGAGATGCTCAGGAAGCGGTTGTACTGTTGATGCTCTCCAGTTCAACGTCTTTGTTGATATATATGTACTGCACTGGGGGACACGCAACCCACCGTGTTGTGTAGTATGCTTCCCAGCGTCTTTTCGATCATACTCGGACACTGATTTACTGCGCCACATTGAAGATCGCTGGACATCGACAGCAAGAGCACTATCTCTATACCCCATAGATCATAGTACAAGGACTGTACCAGTGCAAAGGCAGCGACACGCTTATGCAAGGTCAAGTCCGATCTCTGTGGAGAGGATTTGTCCCTCTGCTACGGGAAAATGTGAGTTCTCAATATGACCTGCCTCAAAAGGGGAAGATGAGCACAGGAGGCTTCGGTGGCCCCAGCCTGACTTTGCAGGCTGGATGTTTTGACGTAGAGTGGGATGTTGAAACACTGAATCATGGACAATGATCATGATCTATCTCCTCGGCGGAAGATCTGTTAAGCCATCAACAAGCGGAAGTGGCAAGACATAAATCAGCTTGTTTCATTGCCTTCATCAGGTTTCTCTTCGCCACCCTCGCAAGCTGTTGTTCCCCTTAGCCCAGCCATATCACCACGCATCATGCAACTCACCAACCTAACTTTCGCCACTCTCTTCATGACCCTCTCGGTCTCGACTGTCTTCGCCGACAAAATCTGCGGCAACACCATCGTCAAGCAGGTGGGAAAATGCCACAACGACCAAGACGCCCAAGTCTGCTACGACGGGGTCGACCAGATCCTTTGCGAGTGTCCTAACGGGGTACGATGGTTTCTGAAGGTATGTTTGCGCGCATCGTCCAAGACGCTGACATTTCGATAAAGAAAGCCTGTGAAGCTCAATGTGGACACGGTGACAGTGACGGAGCATTCAACTATTGTGTGGTGAGTGCCTTGAGTGATCCTGGGGCGTACGATATGGCTCTATGCTGAAGAATGCAGTGTTACTAGATTGAAAGGACGCGAACCCGTCGGACAGTCTGACTTGGGTTGTTGACCGACCGGCAACATCGACGGATGCTGGGGGCAGCGGTGCTTCAGCATGTACCTAGTGACATGATGTGATGCTCCTCAAGAAAATGCAAATTTGATGCACCTTAGGCTGTTGCCCTCTCTTTGCGTTACACGCCGCACTCGACTGAAGCCAGACTTCTGCAAAGCATCGATGGCACCTTACCGCATTAGGAAGGTGTGCGACTTGGCATGTGACAGCCACGATCTGGGCCCAAAAAAACCTTCAGGAAAGTGAGAAGAAAAACAATGGCGTTCTCAGTAGTACAGAATAGCAGGTCGACCAACTTCAAAACTTCAAAAGACAAGTGTCCCGGTTGCGATATTTTCATTCCCAACATTGACTGGACTCCTGCGCTCGGCACTTGCGCTTTCAAGTCCATGTTCTTGCTTACCTAAGTTACATTGCCAGGGTGGATGTACGGAGACCCAGTATGGATCATGAAGCTGCTGGTCGCCCAAGTTAAGGCCCAGAGTAGGTGAAATGAATGTTCACCATCTCGGTTGTCGGTTTCAACCGGAGCAGAAATATTCGACTTTTCAGTGGTTTTGTTAGCCCCCAGCGGAAAGCAACGGCATGGACGTGAGATCTTGGAAACATCTTCAATATTCCAGTCGTGCTCTGAACACGTCCATCCTACCGTAGCTGTGAAGCTTCTTAACCCTCGATCTATTCGCATGTACTCCCAGCTCCCGCTCTTTACACATCCCTCCAACTGCAGCGTCTGTCCTCACCATAAAACATCATCAACGGCCTCCTTCACAACATCCCTCAACTCCATCATCTCCTCCCCAACAACCTTGCCCAGCTCTTGTCCTTTCCCATCAGCCTCCAACTCTTCGACTGCTCCCTCGTCTTCAGACATCTCCCCCACCATCTCCCCCTCCTCATCTTCCTGCTCGCCCAGAACCTGTGACATACCTCGCAATGTCTCGGTGCTGGACGCACTACGTCGCTTCTTCATCTGGACGTGCACGCTTTGCATGATGTCTGCCGAGACCGCGTCGATGGCTTGGTGCAGCATTTCGGCGAGGAGGCGGCGGATGCAGAGTTTGCTGCCTTTGGCCGTGGGGTCGATCTGACGAGTTTATTTAGTCAAGTTGTTGTTACGATTGTGAGATAGGCTGACTTACAGCTTCCAGCTCAGGCTTGTGCGAGAGCAGGTAGTCATGCACAAAGTGTTGCGTCTCCGGCATGGACAGCTGCTTCTCGTTCGAAGTTACTTTCTCCTGAAGAATTCGGTGCGTCTCTCGGAGTAGGCGGTCTGTCTCTTCTTTGATATTGATCATCGTCTGGGTCATGTTGAGAACATTTTCAGCCATGTCGTTCTGTTTTTCGGAGGCTTCGACTCCGGACTTCGCCATGCTTTGCAACAACGAGGGAACCAACGACATACAGAAAGACGTCAAGCAGGAGATGCGTTCATATCAAGGGTTTAGCTTGCCTGAAAATCTATGCCATTAGTAAAACACAGCAACCCACCCGCGATATTCAAGGAAAACGAGCCCTGCAGCCTTCCGTGCCCAGCAAGTGTCTCGGAGCAAAAATCCAGACATCAAGTGACAGAGGCTGACGCCGACGGTCACACGACGATGGGCCCGCTGCCTGTAATGGGGAGCCCCAGGACGCGGTTCTGTTTGTGGTGACAAGCGGAAGTGACACCCGGTCCTGTTTCAGCACAAGGTGAGGCTCCACACTGCAAACGGCTTCGGGAGGCTGCATGAGGCGGGACACATTCGGCCGTGGCGGAGACTGGATCTTTACCCGGACACCATTGAGCAGCAACGAGGCAAGACAGTGGCTGCAATGTCAATGTCATAGAACGAGAAATTGGTGGTTGTGGCGTAGGGCTTTACGGCACCTGTACAGTGAGTATACTAATTATTGGGTATCAAGGCATTAAGCATCAAGTTCAAGAATTGAAGTGGGCTGCAATGCCTCGCTCGGGATCGCTCATCCTGCATAGAAGTCAGCTTTTGAATCTCGTCACTGAGGTGTTGAAGACTTACTTGTGGATTTTTACGTCGTCTCCGAGAGTCACATTATTCATGGATTGCGGCGTGATCAGAATGAACTGTCGTCCGACGGAGCGTCTTGCAGTCTGAATCATCATCTGCATGCTCTGCGCACGATTGACGCTGTCCATGAAGACGTCGAACTCGTCCAAGCAGCGGATGGGTGAGCCCATGGCTTCCCAGATACTTAGGAGGAGGCAGATTGTCGAGAAGGACTTCTCACCACCGCTGAGAGTCTTCGCTTGGCGGCCGGACTCCGAGACTCTGGTAATGTCCGGCTCGACTGAGATGTCGAGTGTCTTGTCGTCGTGGCTCAGCAGAAGACGACCGCGGTACCTGCGTTCAGAAAGAAGGTACTGGAAGGTGATACGTGCTCGCGCCGATATGAGCCGTCTGAATTGGTGCCAGCGGAAGTTGCGATGTTTGAGTGTTTCCTGTAAGATCTGTGTGGATGTTAGCCATCGAACATTGATATGCTACAATCACAGCTCACCTTCGCAACCTTGACGAGAGAATCTCTCTCCTTCTTCGCGTTCTTCCACTCGTCATGGGCGGCCTTGTGCAGGGCGGTGAGTTCCTCTCTGGTACCACCTGCGCGTGCCTCTTCCTCACGCTGCTGTTGCTTGAATCTCTCCACTCGCTCATCCAGTGATTTGATGGTGGCTCCCGGCTCGATCGCTACTCGCGCAACGACTTGCTCAGCTTGGCGGGTCCAGTTATCCACCTTTGCCTTCTGTGTGTCGCGCTTCTCTTCAAGCCTGGTCACATGTTCTTCCGCGGTCTTGACATCGTCCAGGGCCGCGTTCTTCTCCAGGAGGGCCGCATGCCTAGCCTCATCAACCTCCCTAAGCTGCCCTTCAGCTCTCTCTACACGCTTGCTGGCATTCTCGACCTCTTCTTCGACCGCATCGAGGGTCCTCTTCAACTCGGCGCCGAGGCCTCCTAATTTCTCTTTCTCCTGCACCGTATCCTGATATTGATCCTTGTTGTTCTGCAGATCTGCTTTGGTCGTCTCCAGAAGGCGCTCGAGTTCCTGGCGTTTGCCATCTGAAGGGCGATTGCTGTCAATTTCGGCTTGCTTGGCTTCGACGGCGTCTTCATCTTCCTGCATTTTGGTTTTCAGATTCTGCTGATCGCGCTTATGTCGTTTCAAGGCTTGCTCGGCCTTGGTGAGATCGTTGAGCAAAGCACGTGCTTTTTGGTCAGCTTTTCCAGCCTCCTCGTTTGCGTCATCAAGATTCTTTCGTTCGTGGGCAAGTTGCTGGTCACGATTACTGCGCATCCGGGGTTTACCTCGCCATGGATGTACAGGTGATGATTTCTGTGCTCCTGTTCTCGTTCGCTCATATCGGACTCCCGAGCCTCTTTCAGTACCGAAGCCGATCGACGCTTTCACGTTGGTGGGTCGAGGGTCTTGACCAATATAATCTCTCGCCTGCCTGCTGTCTTTGATGAGCACGGTCTGTTCGATGGATTGATTCATGATGAGCGTATTGCGGACAAGGTCGTCATCAATTTTCAACACTCTCAGGATTGTGTCGACGCCCTCTTCTGGTTCGTTTCCAGTCGTATCGATTGGTCTCGGGTTGCCTATAAAGATCTGGATTCTTTCCATCCCTACTCTCTTGGCGATCTGGAACAGAAAGTCCTGGTCATCCTTGCACGTCACGGCGAAACCTTCCAGGGAGTTACCAAACGTCTTTTCGACGATTGAACCCCACTCTGGCTTGTTCAAATGGACTTTCGTGCCCATGGGTCCGACTGGCTTTGCTCTCCACCGTGTCTCTTTGTTGATTTCCGCAACGAGTCTTTGCATATTTGGATGGTACGGGGCGTGCCACGGACCATCCTCCCGTTGCAGCTGCTTCAATCGTCCGTCGATTGCCTGAGCTGCTTCGTTTGCTTTCTTCGAAGCAACCTTGGCAGCCTCACTTTGTTTGGAAAGGTCACGTCTAGTCGTTTCCAGATCTGGCAAATTAGCCGCATGCTCGTCAAGAGCCTGCTTGGCAGCCACTGCGGCAGATTTGAGCTCCTCGAGCTCCTCGAGTCGCTTCGCGTGCGCATCTCCATGCACTCCACTTAGACGATCCTTCTCAAGACCGATCTCGTTCTCAAGACGCTGCTGCTCTTTCTTGTTGTCCTTCAAGCTACCATGGATTTTGCGCTCGTCGGAGGTCATTCTCAGGAGCTCATCCTTGTTCTTGTCGAACTTCTCCTTTGCTGCATCTCGCTTCTCTTTTGCCGGACCAATGTGCGTTTGAAGTTCTTCGATCCTGCGTTGAGCTGCCTGAACCGCTTGCTCGTGGCCCTCGTATGCCGCAGTGATGCTCTCTGCTTCCTCAGCCTTCGCTCGAACGTCATCATTCTGAGCTTCGACCTCGTTCTCGTAGCTTTGGAGCTTTTCTTCTTCGTTCTGCACTTGCAACCAGGCATGCATGCGCTGGGTTTCTCTTAGCTTGTCTCTGAGGGCCTGACCGCGATCGGCACGTTTCTTCCGCTGAAGAGCTTCCTTCTCCTTCTGCGCTAGAAGTTCGATGTCCCCTTCGCGAACCCGGAGCTTCTCGTTCATGTTGTCTAGCTGCATCTCGAAAAGCTTGTAGTCGGCATCGAGCGTCTCGAGCTGTGTTCCCTTGAGGAAGAATTTGTACTTATCGGCGACAGAGCTATTTGAGAGAAACGAGCGGGCCATGTCTTGCGTAAGTACATTGATAGGGTTGTCCAACTGCAAGCTGAAGTAGTCGAGGATGTCGTCCAAGTCCGCCCTTCTGGTGGTGACAACTTTGTTCTGGTCATTCTTGATCTTGAATCCACTGGTGCCTGAACGCGAGAAATGTCGCTCCACAGCAATACTGTCCCCGTACAGATCTCTCTTGTATCCATTCTCACCTTGATTCTTGATCTTCACCCCGAGTGTCGCTGTTTCCTGCCCAGTCTTGATCATGCTCTTCAAGTTTGCGCCTCGGTTCGTCTGGTTTGCCTTCCCACCAAGACACATGGTGAGGGCAGTCAGGACCGCGCTCTTTCCACTGCCATTGTGGCCAATGATGAAGTTGATGAGTGGGCCAAGACGTATCCTGAGATTCGAATGACACATGAAGTTGCGAGCAGTAATCTCTTCAATGATACCCTCGTCGGAAGCGATATTGTCCTTGAGCTCACGAAGTTGCTTCTCGACCAACTGGGTGGCTGCGAAATCATCGACCGTGGAATCCGCGTCACTGCCGTCCTCGCTGATGTGCAGGCTGTACTGCACTTCCGCATCGAGCATCGGAGCATCTTCATCGTCATTCAGCAAGTCGTCGTAGCCATCGTCTCCGTCGTCATCGTCGTCGGAGAGCACTGAGCCTCCGCGTTCGCGTGCCAGGGCGATTTTGGTGCGCTTGTTGTTCAGGTTCTGGCGAAAGCTGGACGAGGCGCTCTCGATTTCGACTTCCGTATCGCCGTCGACGTCGTCGTCGTCGCGGGCTCGTTTACCTTGCGCCATGGTGGTGGGTGTTGGGATAGGAAGTGGTGATATCGGAATGAGTCCCACGTCGGCAGATGAGGTCGACGCGTGATGTCCGCGTCTCAATTAAGGTTCGCGCTAGCGGCACTCGCGACAAGAGTCTATCTGGAGCTCCACTCTTCACTTCTACGTTCTCTTCACCCCTACATTCACTTCATAACATGTCACATGCAAGACTGCCATCAATGATATTCCCACAGACTGAACCCAGACTCCTGGTGTCAATCACGCCTCAGCACTCGAGCTTGAACTGCTTCAGGTATTCGTAATTCCCAACCTCGGCTTTAACGCGAGCACGAAGCGCTTCTGCAGTCTTTTCACCGAAGAGGGAGGACCATTCCGCCGCTTTGCTCTCAAGGTCGATACGCTCCTCCTCGGGCTGAGATCGGATACGTCAGCACGTCGAACACACTGGGCACTCGTTTCTGGATGCTTACCTTGATTCCCGTCCTGTTTACCCCCGAGGAGCTCAAGATCTCCTTGTAGAACTCTTGCATACACGGATCCGCAGGCCACTGGTCTTTTGGTATGGGATCCCACTGATACTGGACTCCAGCTGGGTCAATCCCCAATTCATGGCAGAGCTTCGGCAGGAGGGTGTTGGTATGATTGACAACATCACACGCATCGACAATGATGGGCCGACTCTGCACCAGTCCTTGCTCATACAGTTTGGTGTAGCAATCAAACATCATCCTCGGCCAACACAGGCTTGTGAGCACCGCATACTCCTCGTCCCAGGCTTCGTTGAAAAACAGGTTCTTCTGCTTGATGTAGAATGATGGCTGCATCAGTGCTGGATGCCGGATGAGCAGGACAGGCGTAAAGCTCCGGAAAAGTTCGTCTGTAAATGGGCTTGGGTTGTTATTCCATTCATCATACTGGTCTTTCGGCAAAGGATTGTGCAGCCCGTGCTTCGCGGCCAGCTTCATCACATCGCGACGAACACTGCACACCGCGTGCTCTTTGATGAGTGGGATTTTGCCCTGATTCCACGATGTTTGTAAGTTTACGTCCTCCCTTCAGCCATGAGACTAGCTGCACTTTACCTTCTCATCAGCCTCCTCGACCGATCTCTGTAGTCTTGTAGCCATCACCGCATACGTCTCATCTGGCATGTTCGCCTTCTCTGCGTTCCGCCAATGCGCCTCTTCTGCTGCTTGGCAGTGTTGGAAGTTGAGAAAGAGTCTTTCTGGCCCGTAAGTCACCCCCAGAATCGTCGGGTTCATGATGTGGCCGAGCTGCTGGTGAGCACTGAAGAGCTTGTAAAATAGCTGGGAGCATGTTCGAGGGGAATCGAAGATGAAAATGCGTTTGGCATTTTGTTGCTCTGAATTGCTGGCCATTTTCGCTCAAATAATACTTTGCAGTGGGTTCTGGAGTCGGAAGAGATTGTGATGAAAGTCTTCCAGAGAAGATGTGCTGCCGCCATGAGGCTGAGCTTGACTCTCGGGCTTCATGCGAGCCTCCACCAGATACAGGGCGCCATAACGATCCGATCCACGCCGCCATGACTGATTTTGGCCATACTGCCTCGTATAGGCAATCATTACGGATTGCAGTCAACTACGCCCCGCCAAGCACAACACCTGCCAGGGCTTCGCACCTAGCATCTGCACATCAGGCTGTACATGTCCGTACTGTGCCTCTCAGCGCATTCTCTCCGGAATTATATTAATGGACAGGAATTGAGACGGACCGATTTGATACCTTGAAGCAAGGCACATGTAGCCTACCACATTGCTCTGGGGCCGACCGAGTTTGGTGATCCAAAGGCCAACAGTGGCGGGTTTCGAAGCATCCATTGTGCAATGAATCCAACTTCTTCGAGTCGACAATCCGCACAGTCACTCGCTGCTCTGACGAAACAATAAGCATCGACAAACGATATGGATCCAAGCAGCGGCGACACAAATGGAGTGCGATGAGTGACCTTGCGGATCCCGGTAAACACTTCCATCGCTACATTGAGATGTGTTGGCTCTCCCGTTCGTCCTAAAATGGTCAGCCTGCTCCTGGAACCATGAATTTGCCCGGACTTCCAAATGCTTTGTGACTTTCACAGGTTGCGACTGTGCTAACGAAGCTGGCAAGACGATGCCAATGCTTCACAACTTCAAGGACGCACCGGAGATACCAACCGACAGGCAGGCTTTGTCATGAGTCGCTTCGTAGGCGAAATGACCAAAGCAAGAGATACGACACTGATATGGGCTCGATGCGGTCTACCATCGGACATCAGCTTGAACCAAATACGCTGTCAAGTGCAGTCGACTCCGAAGACAGCCCCAAATCTCCGAGCGTAGTGACAAATACCAAACCAAGTTCCCCAACATTTGGAGAAACAACACCACAGTGACAACATCTGCGGAGCGAATACACGGACTTCAACACCATACACGGCGCATTCGCCCTTTCGAAACATGGAACGCAGCGAAGGATTACATGCCTACGAGGATTTGACTGCCCTGGAAGCTCCATTGCTCCTACTGCTCAACCTCGGGACGGGCCACCTTCGAGCATGATGTAACTGTAGCTGTCGTCACGAGGAGAGCTTCGCATTGATATATTAACCTCACCTCGTCGTCGTTGATCAACAACTAACCACAAGCATCGAATTGAAGGCATTCAATTCCAAAAATTTTGTCGATATCGAAGATCCTCCACCCTGCACCAACCCTCAATCGATCTCAACGACACTTCCAACTATATAATGTCGACCCAACGAGTCTTTCGCCTCCCCTCAAAGGGAGCAGGCTACGAAGCCATCCAAGAACACACCGAGCCAATCCCCCAAGCCCAAGCACACGAGGTCGTCATCAAAATCCACGCAACCGTAACATCCCTCACCCCTATACCCTCTCCTCCCCAACCCCACAACTAACACTCCCCTACAACCAGACCCTCAACTACCGCGACCTCGCCATAGCCAAAGGCTTCTACCCCTTCCCCGTCAAAGAGAACGCCGTCCCCCTCAGCGACATAGCCGGCACAATCCACGCCCTAGGCCCCAACGTCACCACCCTCACCAAAGGCGACAAAGTCATCGCCAACTTCGACATTTCCAACACCGTACGTATCCAGCAGGGCAGAAGGTCCCCTACTTCGTGTGTCAGACCCATCACTGACCTTCCACTCTCCCCTTCCAGTTCGGACCCCAACAAGACTGGCTCCACGGCCTCGGCGGCCCCATCGACGGCGCCCTGCAACAATACATCGCCCTGCCCGCCTCCGCCATAATCAAAATCCCGGAAAAAACCCCCCTAACATACCCGCACCTCGCCTCCCTAGTCTGCACAGGCACCACCGCCTGGAACGCCCTCTACGGCTCCGGGCACCCCCTAAAACCCGGACAAACCGTCCTCTCCCTCGGCACCGGCGGCGTCAGCATGACCGGCCTGCTTCTCGCACACGCCGCAGGAGCGCGCACAATTATAACCTCCTCATCCGATGAGAAATTATCGATCGCGAGGGAGAAATACGGCGCAGACTTCGGGGTCAATTACACCACCACGCCCAACTGGGCTGACGCCGTTAACGAGTATACCTCCGGCGAGGGCGTGGATATCATCTTCGAAAACGGCGGCTCCGGCACCATCGCGCAGTCCCTGTCGTGCGTGGCCCGCGGGGGCCAGATCGCCATCATCGGCTTCTTATCCTCTGCCTCCCAAGAAGATATGCCGGATGTCGCCGGGGCGGTGTTGGGGAAGGGGTGTAGTGTCCGGGGCATCAATGTGGGCTCGAAGCAGTTGACGGAGGATCTGGTGAGGTTTGCGTGTGCGCGGGGGTTGGGGGTGCATGTGGAGAGGACGTATGGGTTTGAGAGGGGGGAGGTGTTGCGGGCGTTTGGGGATTTGGAGAGGGGCGCGGTGGGGAAGATTGCGATTGAGATTCCGTAGGAGAGGGGAGGGGAGGGGAGTGGTGCCAAGGTTTTGAATGAAGGGAAGGGGTTGGAGGATAGGTCATTCAATCCAATCCTTCCAGCCATTCATTCTTCATCACGTGTTCTTCTACAAAAGAAGAAGAAGAACGACCTTCCTGCAGGCATACATACGGTATGCACGCTTCTTCTTCTTCTTCCTCCCCCAATGCGTGCAAGCGTGTCTCCTGTGCTCTCCAAGCTCTGCTCGAGGGAACAACAACCGTTCCTGTCCCGTCTCTCAGCCCAGTGTGGACCTCTTCGCTGTGAAGTGCGTCGCGCTCTATTGCAACCGTGTGATGCGCAAACGCTCGCTCGAAAACACCGACCGTCCCAGTGTAGTGTAGTGTAGTGTTGCTTCTTCGAAGTAATTATGTTTACGTCGCTGTACCCTGAATATCGCCCAAGTGTCGCGCCCGGTTGGGAAACCCAATCATGCCAAAAAAGACTTGAAGTCTTGCGTCTGTTGTTGCGCAAGAATGATCTACCGCGTGATGATGAGCCCGAATCCGTCGAGCCATGGTCCGCAGCTTCCGTAAACGCCTGCGATGCTATAGCCGCGCGGTGGAATGAGGGTATGTCTGTTTAGTAAGTCAGCGTCTGCAAGTACATCACAAGATCGTTCCGCCACTCACCCAGATCCACCATCCACCTTGCCATAAACCTCACTCCGCCGTCCAGTATTCGTCATGATTTGAATGCCATCAATCCAGAAACCAGCGCGCACATAAAAACCAAGCAGCATCTCGCCTCTCCGGGTATCAAGCGCAAACTCACTGCCGCCAGGCTTTCCACCTCGCTTGCCAAACAGCTCTGTAGAGCCATCTTCATACACAAATTCGATGCCGTCCAGACAGTCTCCTGCGTAGACTCTGATGCTGAGCAGCAATTTCGATTTCTTCAAACAATTGCCAATAATCACTTCCTGGGGCTGGGAACCCTCCATCTGACTGAAGCCGAGCTTGGAGCTCTTGAATCCAGGTCGTCCGTCTGGAAGCTTCACCTTGCCGCCGTTGGAGAACATCTGGGACATGTCCTCCACTTCGTGGTCGCCGCCGCCACAGCTAAACACCTTGATCTTGATCTTGCGCTTCTTCTTCTCGCTGGGTAGTTGATCTTTGATGATTTGCTCCGTCAGTGCGATCTGCCTCGGCATCGCTGGGGGTGATTGGTTCTGGTCGTAGTACTCGATCCAGTGGTGGCAGACGTCGTCGCCTTCTGGGAATATCTCGATCCAGGCGACTCCAGTCGCAGCCATGACGAGGACGGTACCATTTTCAACGGACCAAAGTTGAACGCTCTTGTCTGGGCTCATCATGGGATCGTTCGGCAGTTGGAAGGTGGGGTGGAACCGGAATCGAAGCGTGTCTAGTCTGTGCCAAGCGCATTCGTCCTTGGGCAGGCATAACCGCTGTCCTTGCTGCTTGGTCCTCGTTGAGTAGGGTTCGCGAGAGGTGAAAGTCCGGTTGAGGGTCACATAATCCCTCAACATGACTCCCGATTCCTGATGCGGGCAACCCAGAAGATGACCAGTCTCGTGTAGATGCGCTCCAATGCCGATGTTCGCAGCCTCCCAGTTGCTACCCGACTCGTTACAATCATTTGCGACGTAGTTGGTATCAGTTCGAGTGCAGTCTGAGAAGGCAGGGACGACTTCTTCAATATGGGCAGGGTAGGACTGCAGGCAGTGCGAGCCGAAGATGGCCAACTTCATAGAGTCATCTCCACCACCCAGCGCAGCATGGCCTCTCACCGTGCCCACCTGCTTATCCCAGTGCGAGTCGAGGAACATGCAGGAGACGTATTGTGGTTGTCCGTTTCGAGATCCAAAGTAGCCTTTCACCGCCTCCATAGCCATACCGTACAGATCGCCTTTCTTCGTTGCTGGGCCATGCTGCTGAGCCACATCCAGATCTTGTATCTCTTTCACTGTCTTGTTCATCCGGACAATGTGGATCTTGGCTTCATTCCGCATCTGGCCAGTCTCCATGTCTTTCCAGGTGAGTGTTCCGGGTTGCCATTCCTCATCGTATCTGTAAACTCTTCTCCCAAAGCCGTTGCGATTCATTTGCTCTGCTGTAAACGCCTGCCATAGATACGCAGCCATGCGAAACTTCTTGATTGCCGTGGCCAAGCTGTTGCCCTCCTTTTGAACTCTCTCTGGAACTGCGTCGTAAGTTTCTGGCGAGTCTTTCGCGACTAGGATGCACAGCTGTAGCGGTGGTGACGAGTTGAGAGGGAGGAAGTTGATGTTGATCCAGGAAGAATGCGCGGGGATGGAGGAATTGGGAGTTGGAACCTTTGGCGAGGTGAAGTCGAAGCGTAGTCGGTTCGGGCCAGGTTGGAGGTGGACGAGTGCTTTGAAGTGCGAATCGCAAACGGGCCACGAGGTAGGCGGAAATGTGTCTTGGTGGTGGCAGATGGTGACATGGCCGTCGATCGGTTGCGCCGGGTCTGCGCACTGGCCGAAGATGAGGAGGACTTTCTGGTGGACCTGCTGGTTGTCAGTAAAAGAGCTGTACTGTGTCGTGCACGAGCGCGATACCCAAGAATTGTCAGAAATGGAAAGCACGCGAGGGGCAAGCGGCGAGGTGGCAGCGATGGAGCGGTCTCCGGTTTGGCCTGGCATGCCCTGTGGATAATCAGCAAAGCGATTCGGATACACGCCAGTAAGCGACGGTGGGCGAACATTTATGCTGTAGCGGTTGCTGGACGAGCTGGGCAGGCGTGGGCGCGTCTCTCGACCGGGCACTGGCGGCGGCGTCTTGTTGCTGTAACCGTTCATGCCTGACAGGTTAGTATTGGACCGCTGCGAGGAGAGGGTGGTCGGCGGCGACGTCGACGGCTTGTTCTGGTCGACGCAGGAGCTCAGGGTGGAGGTGGACTGCCCGTTCTCGCCATTGTCGAGCGAGCTGTTGCCAGAGCTGTTGGCGTTGGAAGCTTTGGATCGACGGCGGATGCTCAGGTCCTTGAGAAACGAAGGCATTGCTGCCAGAGCGGTCGCCCAGAGATGCGCCGGGCCGGCGACTGAACGAGCGGCGTGGACTGCAGGTCGGCGGACAGGACGAGGTGGATGGTGGTGGTGGGAAGAATGTCGGCGGTGGAGGAGCGGGCGGTGGTGTCTGTCGCAGTTATCGTAGCTCGCCCAATGACGCCGCCGCGGATCTCGAGTGTGAATGGCGTCCAAGCGTAGGTTTGGAATTCCACCCCACGTTCATCCGAGCAATAGACCAAGACGAGTGCGGTAGCGACAGCGAGGTGAGGTGAGGTGAGGTTCTGCTTCACTCGAGCAGGCGCAACAGCAACAACGACAGTGAATAATGTGGCAGGAGCTTGGTTGGGTGAATGGCGGAGGAGAGATGGGTCGGTATTCCCTGCAGCGTCCACGCAAGCAAGCAGGATCCCAAGACCAACCACCCGCCAAGCACTCGTTTCACGATCTTCTGCGGCAACCTGTGTGTATGTATGCAGGCAAGTGGTATTGAAGTTGCTATCACATGTCTATCTCAACTCTCCAGGCGGAACACCGCATCCAGACTTCCCATCCAAATCTCGCTGGCGCAACACATGCAGTAGCTGCTCTAGCTCCAGCTGTGCTTGCGCCATCCGAGAGATATGCTTTCTAGTGCGGCTTCATTAGGAGACATCTTTTTGTACAGCACCGGAGGAGCTCGCCCGTATCGCCAAATCTTTGCACTCCCGTCGGATGCCCGCAGGTGACACGCTGCACCTGTGTGTAAGAAGTCAGGTACTGTGTCCGGGGAGCAGCAGTAGCAGGTTGCGACGCTTATCAAGTCCATCATCCATGGTGCATATTATCGCAACTCCTGCTATAGTTCGCTCCTGAATGTCAAAGGCACTGGACGCCTATCGTGCACGCTATCAAACTCATCTGCGGAATGGGCCAACAGCTCTCCTCGCCAGTGATTTCGCTGCCGGGACCACCGGGAGCGGCCGACTCATCGAAGCAAGGAATGCGAGTCGTGGACCAGACCCAATCAATATATTCAACGACTGCTGGAAAGAATGGTCGCCGTTCTATTCCCATCGACACCGACTTTTGCATGCCGTGACGTAGAAAGAACAAAGATCGAGCTGCCTTGCCCCTGCAAGTGCTTCAATTTCGGATTCAAGACCGCGCGCCGTCGTGGTTGAGGCCTGCTCAGATCTTTGGGCGTGCCAATGAATGCGCGCCATATTGAATAAGCCATCCGGTAGTGCTCATCAAATGCGTGGGCTAAGCGAAAGGCTAAACCGCAATGCGTGAATGTGACACGGCGTTATGTACAAGTCGTTCACGCTTACAGCTTGCGAAGAAATCCAACTCCGCCAACCATAGACTTTTCTCTCTGCTTCACCCTCGCCGTCAAAATCTCACATCTTCAGGACAGGTCTCCGCAGTGTTCGACAGCGCATCCGCGGCCATATCAGCCTCGCAGCTTGGCAATCGAGATCCAAAGAGCGGCCCGCGAAACGGCACGGAATGCAGGCGAAGGAGCTCTCGTGCAACCAGTGCTTCCTAGACGCCGACCTCTCTTCTCCTGTGTGCTGAAGAATACATGCCTGCTGCGACGACGACTTTGCATTTCGAGACGACCTTGTTCTAAAACGTCTCCGACCACACTCAATCCTCGTTTCGTCGTCTTCACACTCGCCGAGTTTCAGCTGAAGCCTTGACCGGTGGCTTGCGTTGCTCACGCTGCCCCTCTGTGCAGCACACCATGGCGGCTACCATGAATGTCGAGAGGCCGGAAGATGTTGCCAACCGGGTTATGAGGAGGGTGCAAGTGTCCAAGGTGAGGCAGAAGACACTTTTACACACCCGGCCACGATTGCTAATGCACTCCTGCAGATGACCCGAGCGCTGCAGGACCGCCTTGCACTTGCAAACGTAAAGATACAGAATGGATGGGAGAACTTGAGTCTGGACGCCATTGAGCCGCAGGTCGAAGAGCGGCTGAGGAGAAAGAGACCGGCTTCGAGCAACAACGACACCATCTCAGATACTGCCTCCACCACCTCCAGCCGGCTGCATTCCAGCAACGGCCTCGCTTCCTCCCCGATTACCGAGCCCATGTTCAACGACGACCTCCCACGATCTGGCGGCAGCTTCAGAAGTAAGAGGGCAAGGCCATCGGATACACAATCGTTTGCACCATCTGGTGCTGCTACGGGCAGGCGGACGAGATCGAATGGTGCCCGGCATGTCAGCTGGAAGAAGACGCACAGCCTGCCGGAATCTTCACCGATCAAGCATACCAAGCACGCCCGCTTCCCCTCCAACCAACCCTCACACTTATCCTTCATCTCAGAAGGCTCGACCATCGCCGACGAGCCTCCATCGCCCGAATTCAGCGAAGAAGACGACGCTGATCTCCCCGTCACCAGCTTCAACCTCAACGCTTCGACCCGTATCACCTCATCCCCACCCACGACCCCGCCTCCAGACCGCCGTATGAGAAAGATTAATGATCTCTACTGGTCGCGCACACCAAAGACTGGCGAAGAAGGGGCGGATCTCTTGATGTATCTAGCCACCTCGCCGTCCCCCGCAAAGGGTCAAGCCGATGCCAAGACGATCATCCAGCCTCCTTCCACTCCGCCCTGCAAGTCCACACCACTTCCATCCTCTCATATGACCCCTGGAACTGCTGGCAATGGCTTCCCCGGCTTTGGCCCGACCACTCCCGGCACAAATTTCTGTTTCTCCGACTTTATCAACGTCACGCCAAGCCCAGCACAAGGTCCATGGACTCGCACTCCTGTTGCGAGCCGGACACCCGGCGCTTCGACCCGACGACGACTCGACTTTAACAATCTCATGCCGCCGACCTCGAGCAGTCCCGTCATGACCCGCAACAGCCGCAGCGATGGCCTAGGCATGGAACTCGGCGGCGAGCTCGTTTCCTGAATGGGATCCTTCACATTCTATGGCATTATGGCATTACTTTCACGATATGATTTCACGATTACAATGCTCGAAACGATACGAGCGAAGAAGAAGGAGCTTTCACGCTTCCATTTGCCGACACACTGGGCACACTATTGGATCACTGTTTTTCCTTTTTCCTTGGAGAGTGATGGATGGATGGATGGGTGGAAATGGAAGGGATCGAAATACATATACCCCCCGACTGTCCTTTTTGACATGACAGAAACGGCGTACAAGCAATTGCTGTAGGAAATTTTACCGGGCGTTGCGTTTGAGTTTTGCGTTTTGAGCGAAAGAGAGCGAGAACTTCAATTTCCTTGGTGGAGGATTTTTTGGACTTGTGCGTGAGAATGAGACGAGAGAGAGCGCGAACGGGTCCAGGGATCACGCGACACCCCTGACACGACCCTCACAACCCTGTTTTCAGATGGAAAGGAAAGCAAATGGCGATGGCGAGTGTGTGTGGCCCGTCGTAGCAGCGGTATGTAGCTAGTGCAATACTGTGTATGCGCTTAAGTGTTTGCGTTGCCGACGAGGTCGCTGGCGGGGTGCATTTTCTGGATTTGTGGAGGACGCGTTGGGGGGGGGGCGCGTGCGAGGCGCGCTAGGGGGACTAAGGACTGGGATCATTGATGAAGGAAGTCGTGGGAGCGGGATGGGAAGTTGGTTGTGTTGCATTTGGGGGACGGGGAATGGGAAGAGGGTTGGTGGGACGTGTTAGTGTATGGACGGATTGTATTGAGGTGGTTTTTGGGGAGCTGGAGGGGGTTGTGGTTGCAGAACAATCGTGGCATGGGCGTGGTCGGTTCGTGAAGGGAAGGGAAATGCGGCCGGGAGTTTTTGGGCTGAGGCTGAAAGTTTGTAAACGATTCACGTGACGGAGAGACGAGGGCGACACTTCTACAAGTGTTTGTTCAAGTTGACTTCTTTCTATCATCTATCGTTCGAATATATTTCCTCCCTAGCTTGGTGAATTCATCAGCATCAACACTTTGCTCACCCTCAAGCAGTCCACAAACCTCGAATCCTTCCTCAAAATCTCCAAACAACTTAACTCTCATCACAAAAACAACCTCAACACCTCCACCAACAACATCATCGCCATCGACTGTCCATACGGCATACTCGTCAACTTGATATCCTTGTAATGCTGCAAATCATGTCCCATGCCCGTCCCGAAACTAACATCTCTCAGCTCACCGTCCGCATCGATTCTGCTCAGAACCGCCTCCACGGCTTTCATCGCCACGCCCTCGTACTCCTTGCTAATATACCTTTTCCGAATGCTTTTCAGGATACCGTACGCGAACCCTGCGGTTGCGGAGGCTTCGATGTAACTTCCCTCGCTCTCGGGGACGTCGAGCAGTGTTCGCCAGGCGCCGCTAGCGGGGTCTTGGAGTTTCGCCAGGGCGAGACATTGGGCCTCCAATGTGTCGATGAGGTGCGTTCGTAAGGCGTCTCCAGGGGGTAAGTCGAGCAATTCGATGAACTCCGGGATGAAAATCGTCACCCACGAATTCCCTCTCGCCCACCTCGCCCGGGCGAAGTTATGGCCCACGCCCCCTGGACTTGAAGTGTCGAATTTCCACCCGTGGAACCACAGGCCTGTGGACGGGTCCATGAGGTATTTAATATGGAGCAGGACTTGGCGTTTCGCTTCCTCGATGTAATGCGGCCGGTTTAGCAGTTTCCCGATCTTCGCGAGGGGAAGGACCGTCATCATGAGCGTGTCGTCCCAAAGCTCGTTGTGGTTCTCTTCCAGGTAGGTGATATGTTGGAAGCCGCCGAAGGTGGTCCGCGGCAGGTCGTGCATCGCCCATTCGGCCCACGAGTCCAGCCAGGGGAGGTATGTCTGCTCGCCGGTTTTCTCGTACAGATACGCGAGGGTCGTGAAGACGGCCATGGTGTTGATATTCTTCGTAGTTCCATTCGACAATTGTTCTTTATACCAATCCTGCATCACCCGCAATGCTTTCTCGGAGCCATCGATAGAGTAGTACTGCCAGAGGCCGTACAGCCCGATTCCGTGCGTCCATTCCCAGTCGTTCCAGCCCTTTGTGTCGATTACTCGGCCATCTGGGAGGCGTAAGAGGAATTCTCCTGTCTGGTCGTTGATGGCGACGAGGTTGTCGATTAGTAGGTTTATTTTTTGTTTGAGCGGTTGGGCTTGTAGGCCGTGGACGGTGATGGGTTGTTGGGGCATCTTTTTCTCTTGCGATTGGTCTGTTGCCTTCTTGACGAGACGACCTAGACCTTTTTTCAGAGCTCTCTAGACGACCTAGACTTCCTTCTCGCAGTCGACACTCACACAACAGCTCTACCTCGCGTGTGATACTTACTTACAGTACCTAGCTGGCGCCCCCAATTTCTCGCTACAACATTCCCCCGACCCCAATACTCCACCCACCACGCTTCCCCAGACTTCTCCGCAGGCAAATGTTCGGCTGGGGGTTCCCGCCAAGCCGTCTTCGGTTCATTGAAAGATGCGAGGTGCTATACCTCTGCAGAAGCGAATGTAACGACGACCGGCTTGGCGACGCAGGCGTGCGGATTCCACCAATGGATCGTACGGCTGAGGCTCGCGGGGATGGTAATGATGTTCCGAGCGGTAGGGCATAAGAGTATGCGATGGGATCTGAGAGACGAGAACAAGTTCTTTGGGAATTGAAGTCAGTGTTGTGTTGGGCAATCATGGCTGGTGATGACCCTACGCACAACACCGTCGACGTCCACGAGAAGATGAATCCTGCTATGGCGCAGGAGGAGACCAAGGCGATGGACGCGGCGGAGATTGAGCGTGTTATGACTCCTGACGATGATTTGAAAAAGGATAAGCAGGACTATGGCCGTATCGACGTACATCTCCCACCTCACCACGAGCAAAGCAACAAACTGACATGAATGATTCTTAGGCGGAAGTCGCCAAATACACCGAAGGCCACGCCATCACCATCTCCGACGCCGAAAACAGCCGCCTCAAAAAACTCATCGACAAGCGCGTCCTCACCATCATGGTCTTCACCTACTTCCTGCAAGCGCTCGACAAGGGCACCCTCTCCTTCACCTCCATCATGAACCTGCCTCAGGACCTCCACCTCGTCGGCCAGCAGTACTCCTGGCTCACGACGTGCATCTACATCGCCATCTTGATCGTCGAGTACCCGATCAATTGGCTGGTGCAGAGGCTGCCGATTGCCAAGTTTTTGGGCGGGTGTATTATTATTTGGGGCGGTATCCTTGCGTTGCATGCGGCGGCGAGTAATTTTGCGGGGATTTGTGCGTTGAGGACTTTGCTTGGTATGTGAATGTGGGAGTTAGAAGGTGAGAAGGGCGCTGCTGATGGTTTGCAGGTATCTTTGAGGCGGTGTGCCAGCCGACGTTCCTGATCATGTCTTCGATGTGGTACAAAAGAGAGGAGCAAGGTGAGCCTTTACGACCAACCCCTTAATCTATCAACACCAATCTAACGCAGTGCCCTGCAGTCCTCATCGTCTCCTTCTGGTACTGCATGAACGGCGCCCAACAAATCGTCGGCGGCCTCCTCGCCTACGCCTTCAGCCTGATCCCGCGCAACGGCGTCCTGCACTCCTGGCAAGCAATCTTCATCGCCTACGGCTGCTTCAGCGTCCTCTGGGGCATCTTCGTCATCTGGTGGCTGCCCGACTCCCCCATGCGCGCGAAGTGCTTCTCCGAGGACGACAAGCGCTTGATGGTGGAGCGGGTCCGGACGAATCAGACTGGACTGCAGAACAAACGCTTCAGGCCGGAGCATTTGAAGGAGGCGCTGATGGATACGCAGTGTTGGTGTTATTGTCTCATTCAGATTTGCACGACGCTGCCGACGGGTGGTCTGGGGGCTTTTGCCAATATCATCATTAAGGGGTTTGGGTTCACGACGCTTGAGGTGCAGCTTCTGGCTATGGTGCTCGGAGCTTTCATCATTATTGTCCTCTTCTCTTCGGCATGGTTGGTCAAAAAGACGAAGCAGAACATCATCGTCATGGCGGCGTTTTGCATTCCGTGAGTCATGCCCCCTTCCACCAAATCGACCAAGCTAACAAAACCCACAAGCTCCTTCGCCGGCACCATCGTCCTCATGGCCGTCCCCAACACCAGCAAAGCCACCGAAGCCGGCCTCCTCTTCTCCTACTACATCTGCCTCTCCTTCTGGGCCGCCCAAAACCTCGGCATGTCGCTCCTGTCCCGCAACGTCGCAGGCCAGACGAAAAAATCCGTCGCTGTCGCCATGAACTTCATCGCCTGGGCCGCGGGCAACGCCGTCGGGCCCCAGGTGTTCCTGAGCTACGACTCCCCGCGGTACTTTATTGCGTTCGCGACGCATTTGGGGTGTTATACGTTGTTGATTGTGAATTTGGTCGTGTTGAGGACGACGTTGTCCAGGCGGAATAAGAAGCGGGATGAGGCTGCTGCCGCCGGCGTGCAGGAGGCGAGGGATGAGCGGATGGTGCATGCTTTTGAGGATTTGACGGATAAGGAGAATCGTAAGTTTCTTACTCATTTGGAGGGATTGAGAGTGAATGCTAACCCGAGACATAGCCAACTTCCGATATATGTACTGAGAGGAACGTGATACGCATGTGATGGAAGATCGGAGATCGTTAGCGTGTGATCTAGATCGGATCTTATGGTCTTAGTGAAAATTCCAGAATTGCCAGTCTCTAAGATCCCTCTTTTCCAACCCCCAAGCATTGGCAATATGAGACCGGTTTGAACTACCCCGAGGAATGCAAGGCAGATCTTAAACCCCTCACAATATCCCACCGGCGTATCTATGGCCGGAGAAATGCTGATGTTGGGTGGTGAGAGGGTAGGGTATATCTTGTGGGTATTGCACGCCTGAGATCGTACCTGAGTACCCCTGAACGCCCCCGTCAGTCACTCATCGGCCCACAATGGCGTGGAGAACCTTGGTAGCCTCCTTGGCTTTTACGACAATAGTTCGCGCGGCTCTTACTACATTTGGAACAAACACCAGCCTGACTATTGCAAATGATCGTTTGACTGCCGTCGTGGACAAGACCTTTGGAGCAGTCGTCAATCTTACGCTCGACGGCCAGAACCTCCTTGGCCAACGAAGTGGTAGCACTGGCATTGGACCTTACCTCGACTGCTCTTGTACACCCGATGGCTTCTGGACCCCTGGCTCAGACAGTCCTACATACCAACTCCTTAACGGCACCGACAGCACAGGAACAGCATGGGGCGGTATCATCATGAGTGACACATACCCCTCAACCGGCCAAGTCCTCGAACAATACTGGTTCCTGCGAGATGGGGAAACAGGCCTGCACATGTTCAGCCGGGCCGCATACTCTAACTCAACGCCTCAAGGCCTAGGCGAGATGCGTACCCTCCTCCGACCCAACATCGACCTCTGGACGCACCTCAGCACCAACGACAAAACCTCCGCCCCTCTCCCCTACTACAACCACGCCTCCGTCGTCCTAAACCGCACCGGCGCCCCCATCACCGTCCAAGACGCAACCTGGTACCTCCCCAACCGCAGCGACCCCTACGTCACGCACTACAGCGACTACTTCACCAAGTACACCTTCGCGGACGTCTGGCGCGACCACAAAGCCCACGGGATCTTCTCCGACGGCTCCACCAGCGCCGACGGCTCGACCTTCGGCGCCTGGTTCGTGATGAACACGGTCGACACGTATTTCGGCGGGCCCACGCATTCGGATCTCACGGTCGACGGCATCGTGTACAACTACATCGTGTCGAACCACCACGGTGCTCCGACGCCGAATATGACGGCGGGGTTTGATAGAACGTTCGGGCCTGGGTACTATCATTTCAACAAAGGCCCCGCGGGGGCGAGTTTGGAGGAGCTGAGGGCGGATGCGGCGCAGTATGCGGATGATCAGTGGGCGGTGGAGTTTTATGAGAGTATCGCGGAGTTTGTGCCGGGGTATGTTGCGCCTTCGAAAAGGGGGGTTTGGAAGGGGATTGTGGGGTTGCCGGAGGGGGCGGAGAGGCCGATCGCGATTCTTTCGCAGGTCGGGGTGGATTATCAGGATAATGTGCTGGATCTGACGGCGCATCAGTACTGGGCTGATATCGATCGTCAGAGTGGAAGTGTGGAGATCAAGAATGTCAAGCCGGGGGAGCATAGACTCACTGTCTACGCCGACGGGATCTTCGGCCAGCACGAAGAGGAAGGCATTGTAGTCTCCGCTGCCGAGACGACGACGACTTCCATCACATGGCAAGCCGAGTCTGCCGGCACAGAACTCTGGCGGATCGGCTACCCGGACAAATCCGGCGGCGACTGGAGACACGGCTACGAGCGCGATCCAGTCCATCCCCTCCACCCGGAAGAATACAGAATCTACTGGGCCGCATACGACTACCTCGACGACTTCCCCGACGGCGTGACCTTCGAAGTTGGAAAGAGCAGTGAAGTCGAGGATTTCAATTACGTCCACTGGAGTGTCTTTGGTGGGAAAGCAAACTCGAATCGTCCGGAGCCGGTGTATGGTGATGGGAATATCAATAACTGGACAGTCCTGTTCAATGTCGAGGAGGAGCAGTTGTTGAATAAGGAGAAGGCGACATTCACCGTGCAACTCGCAGGAGCGAAGACGGCAGCAGGCAATCTCGACACTTTCAACGCCTCAGAGCCGTATTGGAATTTCGACTACACTGTCGTGGTCAATAACCACGAACTCGAGCCTTGGACGATTCCGTAAGTCAAGACATAGCTCCCCACCTCCTATCAGTACTAACCTTCTTCGCTTCAGATACAACGCCAGCGCCTCCTGCGCGACTCGCTCTGCAGTGACGTGCCATCATCTCGCGCACAAGTTCGTCTTTGATGCGGGTTTGTTGCAAGGTGGGAAGAATGAGTTGATCTTGAGCTTGCCGTTCAATGCTACGGGTTGGACGTCCGCGGTGTTGCCAGAGTCGGTATATGTGCAGTATGATGCTTTGAGGTTGGAGGTGCAGTGAGTATGTGCAGCATTGGACGAGTGAAAACGAAAGTAGATTTCTCTAGCCTGCATGTTGATCGGCTGCAATGCATCGTCGGAGCAACATTCACCCACCGGTGACCAATCATGTGATCTATAGCTGTGCTATAGCTTTCTGCTTTCGCGTCGTCAACCTGTTCGGTCTAGATACTCTACAGCTTCGCACTGAGACTCGTCGCAGGACACAATGGTGGCCCGCGAAACTTCAGGTATGGATATGGCGTTGTGTCTAACGCTTCACACCATTGATAATACCTGTAGAGAGATGACATTCGATAGCACCATCGATCGTCCTCCTCCAGCTCTATCCAGGAGAGGCAGACCAACCGATCGAGTGCAGCAGCGAGTCCGTCCTCCTAAGCAGCGATATTTCTTACGAAACACTATCGTACTGCTGGGGCCAACCCATCCGCGACATCGCCATCACGCAAGACGGTACGCCGACGCTCATCACGAGCAGCCTGTTCCAAGCCTTGCGTCGGCTCCGGAGACCAGACCGGGCGCGGACCGTCTGGATCGATCAGCTCTGCATCGACCTCAGCAACGAGGCAGAAAGGTCGACGCAGGTCAGTGTCATGCAGCAGATTTACCGCAACGCTGCTAGAGGCATCATCTGGCTCGGCGAGCTGCCGACAGACGCCGACGACTGCGGGTTCACCGCTGAGGATGTGGAGAATGCGTTTGAGAAGTTGGCCCTTTTCGATCCGGAAAGGTATGATCCAAGTGCTCTTGGAGAAACCAGCGGTGACTGCCGTGAGAAGCTGGGACGAGTCATCCTCTCCATGATGGGCTCGCCTCACGCAACGTGGAAAGCGGTGCGATGGTGGCGGCGCATCTGGACAGTCCAGGAAGCCCAGCTCCCACCGAGCTCCATCCTCCAATGGGGCCATCTGACCGTCTCCTTCAGCCTCCTGAAACGCATCGCCGTGCAAATGACACGCAGCGGGGAGTACTGCACGCAGTGGCGCCAGGTCTTCGGCGTCGGCTGGCGAATCAACCACTTCTGCACGCCCCTGGTGAATCTCCAAATCCACGAACCGACAGGCACGCTCGGTACTCTGTTCCGCTGGCGAGAGCGCGAGACGACGGAGCCGCGCGATAAAATCTTCGCGTTGATGGGTTTTTTTGCGGAGCCGCCGCTTCCGAGCATCCCGTCTTGCGATTACAGCCTTTCGGTCGTGGAGCTTTACAAGCTCGTCACGCTGGACCTCATCAGAGAGAATCGGGGCCTGCTTCCCCTTGTTGGCCGCCGTGGGGAGCCCCGTACGACACCGGGTTTGCCGTCATGGGTCTTCGACTGGATGTACCCCGAGCATCCAGAACTGCGCAGCGGCCATACCTTCTTTGGCAACTGCCGTCGATGGGAACATTTCGCTTGCGATGGCGGCCGCTACATCGAGCCGACTGTTCGTGGAAACGACGGCCTCGTCCTCCAGGGTTGTCGAATCGACCGTATTGCTATCCTGGCCCCGGTCCGCTATGTAGACCATCGAGTCGTCACGGACGAAGAATTCGACGACCACGCACGAGAGATAGGCGGCACGTTCAGAAACGTCTTCGAGACGTGGCTGGATTCACAGGATCCAGGCATCTCGTACATCGCGGGAGAATCAGTCTCCCCGCTTGACGCATTCCGGCGCACCCTGATAGGAGATGTTGTGTTACCCAGTGATTACACGGACTATCGAGCGTCCGCCGAGGACGCAGCTGCAGTGGATGAGCAGTTGAATGGGGGATCCACGCACGTGTTCCATTCTCTCCGGGACATGGTAACTTCGCAGTCATTCTTCATCACGCAGAATGGCTACTTTGGTATTGGCCCTCCGGGTGCGCGTGTCGGCGACGAGGTCTGGGCTTTCCTCTGCGGCAACTATCCCCATGTTCTGCGCGAGAATGGCGGAAGTGCTGAAGTGAAAGAAGGCGGATTCGTGCACGTTGGCGATGCGTACGTTCATGGGATCATGGATGGCGAGGTGTTCGAGGACATGGGGCGTGTGGCGGTGGAGGAAGTGGTTTTATACTAGGATTGATTCGACCTTCTGAGATAGACTGACAAGAGATAGCCCGAGGTCAGTTTGATTGACGTTAAGCGCATCATTTCGACCTGATACCATGGTCATGACGTTCTCGCCGTGGCCCGGGGTGAGTGTCGACTGCGATCTCGCAAGTATGTCTTTAGGACAAGTGCCGCTGCTGCCTTTTCCAGGCCGATGACGACGAGCCTGTTCGTAGCAAGTATTGCTCGCGGTCTGCGTAGACATAGAGCCGTGCATTTCAGGGCTTCGAAATGAGCATCCAGCTGACCAGCTGAGTTTAGCCGCCACTCCGTTGCCTGATCTAGGCGAGGCTGTTGTGGTATTGTCAAGACGTGAGGTCAGAATGAACTCGAGGGCTCAGGCTTGTCTCCAGACCCCAGACACAGATGCGGATTCCCATTTCCCGTGTCCCTTCTGTCATCTCTTGTAATTGACCATGGTTACATGGCGCTCCTCAACACGACACACGAGTCTGAACGAATCTTTCCTCCGCGCTGCCGCTTGACCCGAATACAGACGTGCCGCCTTATACATGACTCGTCGTCGAGGTTGTGCCTCTCTTGATCAAACGAGTGCTTTTAGAGCCGAATCTGCAGCGTCTTCGCTATGCTCGGCACACCGGCTCCATTCACCGCGAACAGGTAGTAGTATCCTGGAATCAGAACTCCAGCATCCTTCGGCAAACGGACGGTATACGAGGATCCGCTTTGAGTGACATCAGTCAAAGCAATTCGCCTCTGATCAGTATTGATAGAGTGGGTGGAGCTGCCCATCCTGATCAATGAGAAGGAAGTCTTGCTGCTGTCTCCCATGTATACTTTGATTGAACCCCCAGCCTTCGCGTACGTGACAGAGACTGAGGAGATCGTTGGTCGGGTTGCTTTGGAACCATCGGAGTTGAAGAGATACGGTGGCGAGAAGATCTGGCCATTCGGGTGGTCGACGGCACGATTGCAATAGCTATCGTCGGCACCGATGCCACCGCCGACGTAGCACAGTCCACCGCCACCGCTGAAGACCGTGCCGTCAGCGAGGAGGATTGAAACGGAGTGGTAGTTTCGGGGGATCTGCTCTTCGGCGAGAGTACGGAAAGTCTTCGTGGCTGGGTCAAACAGCTCAGCTGGAAGGATGGAGTCCGTATCCGTGAAGACGAGAGAGCGTTTTTGACCGCCTGTGATGAGGATCTTGCCGTCTGGTAGAACTACGGCATTTGCAAAGCCGCGAGGGTAGCGCATGTCTGAGACCTGCTCGACGGTAGCAGGCTGGTAAGGTGAGTCAATGCTAATGAGGTGTGCTCGATTGAAAGCGGGCGAGTCCGTGTAGTCTTGACTTCCACCTGCAGTGAAGATCTTGCCGGCATCGTACATAACATTGACACCGCACATAGCGTCGTTGTCACCATCGCGAATGCCTGCTTCAGAAATTGAGCCGTTGCCTGTGGTAGAGAACCAATGCATAGCCTTGCTGGGACCAGCTTGAAGGACTGAACCGTCTCGCCATGCGAACAGCCAAGCGTGGTTGTCCGTTCGCCATTGGCCTTCGTGGTCGGTTGTAAGCATGCCCTGAGAAGGATCGGCACCAGGCAGAAGCGTCCAAGCATTGCTACCAGAATCGTACACCTCTCCAGGCTTGTTGAAAATGCCTCCGCTGTACGACCCGCCAACTGTGAAGATCTTGCCATTGCTGAGAACTGTGGACGATTGGTAGCCACGCTGGATCTTCATGTCCGGTGCGCGGGTGAAGGCATTCGTCAACGGGTTGTAAATGCTGACAGCTTCTGCATTCGAACCACCAGTGATCACAATGCGGCCGTCTTGGAGAGAGCTGATTCCTGGACAGAACATGTCGTGCTTGGTGTTGGAGATCTGACGCTGAGACACGGCACCTGTCTTCCAGTTGTAGTCCGCAAGTTGTGTAAGACCTCCTGCTCCGCCGAAGTCGTTCTTGCCCCAGGCAGAGAACACCAGCATGCGATTCGTATCTGTAGGTACAACAAACGCTGCTACAGGAATGACCGGTAGTGTGACAAGTGGTCCCCACTTGCCAACATTCCCGACGTCGACTCTCCGAGAAGCAGTGAAGCGCGTATTCTGCGTCCAACGTAGGCCATAGGTGTCTGATGCCTTGAGATGGCAATCGTTGTTGCTGTTGTCGTATACAGACTTGTCACAGGGAACTGTGTTGCTGCACAGCTCAACGCAGGCTGCTGCATTGGCGATGTTTGGCACAATCTGAGCAGTTGGTCCCTCGTAATCTGTTCCCTGGCAAGTCTTGTACGTGAGGCCACTTGGAGATGTGAAGGTTGTTTCTGCGGAAGGACATGAAGTGATGGCTTGGGCAGATGAGATTGTAGCGTACAAGGAGATGATCAAAGAGACTGCTGATACAGCATGAGGCGCCATGGTGACTTAGCAGACCTTGGGGAGTGCTTGGGAGATGCAAACATTCGCAGGATGCGGTCGGTCTATTTATGCGCACTCAGGGGAGCCAGACTGCGTACCTGGGTGCATCGCATGCTGCGAACTCCCGTTCGTGCACGTTTTCCCAGTTCGAATGTAGTCGGCTCATGAAGAATGGTTCGTCGTATCGGTGCCGGCACTACTATAGACCAGTAAGCGAAAGAAGTTAGATACTTCCCACGTGGACGGTTCTGGATCCACTCCATCGGAAGCATCGCCATGGAAGCTTTCAAGAAGGCAATTGTTCCAGATCTCGGACGATACTGCTACAATGCGTGCCAGATCAAAACGACGATGTGGGAGGCATTTCTCGGCAGCCGAAAGAATTTCACAATCTCGTCGGCCGTAGGAAGATATGATATTCTTTCACGACATTTGCTGATGAGGGTTGCGAATGATTGTTCGGAAGATTAACGCCGTAGTAGAAGCCGAGTGTAGGTAAAAGTACGGCCTTGTTAGACTCTTGTCCAGTCGTACTCTCTCAAGACGAAAGGCTTGGCCGACTAGATAGCCATCTCGTATCTCGGTCCGATTCTTTTTAAAGGATGTCGCCAAGGCTGGCACATGTCGCGATAGGTAACGCAAGGCTCGTGGCATGGAACTCAGCACGGGCAGCAGACGGAGGCCGGAAGCAAACGCTTGCGTCGATCATGAAATGTTGGTGATGTCGTTGCAGAAGGAGGAAAGGAAGAGATGGAGTCCACTGCGCAAATTTAGGCTCGGAAGGAGTGCAGGTCCGTGCTGCGGGAGATGATGGATCGCACGTGTTTACCCCTGCATTCGACCTTCCTATCTCAAAGTCCATGTGCATGTTCCTTCGCCTTCTCCAACATCGATGTCTCGATCTCTCACATGTGCATTGAATATCAGACCTCGAAGGGTTCAGGACCGAGGCTTAATGACAAAGTTCTGCCCGCCGCATGATGACTGACAAGGCCCAGCCGAAACTTTGCGTTGGCTGAGGTTTTTAGCCTGTATGGTCTGCAGCTTTGTTGGTTTGAAAACCGGCATTTCTCTTCTGAGGAATATATGTGCAGCTCTCCAATGCTTGTCTCAGGATACGGGTTGGATGCGCTGGTTGTACAGCCCGCTCAGTGCCTGGCAGATCTCCGCAATAGTCATTTTGGCGAGATTCAGACGACTTTGACGGTGTGAACATCGAGCAATGCTGCCCCAAGGATTGAACCAATTTTGAGGGCTCGAAAAAGTACCCACTGCCTGGAGAGCATCCAACTGATATCTAGGTCTCAGTCGCTGGGGTCGTTCATAAGTAGCTCCCTCAAGACTGCCATCAGACTACACTTGTTCTTCGATGTCGAGATCGATTCCACCTTCCAATAGTACCACACCATCAACGCAATCGACCGAATCCGACTCGCCATCGTCTGTGCACCCACCACCTTGCCAGCCCAGTAAAGAAGACACCGCCTCTTACTTAGAAAGGGTGTCTGTTGGAGGCGTACTCGCCGTCAACGATCGGGACTACGATTACAGCAACGGAGAACTCTACAAGGCTGTCAGCTCAAGCTTCAGAGCGCATTTCGAAAACTTCCCACACCCGTTAACGCTGGCCGAACATAGCGCCATCCTCCACCAGACGATCGAGAGATTTCCTGACTATCATGTCGAGGTCCAAAGCGTCTCGCCGGAGGTCGACAAACGAAATGGGACGGCCATAGTGTACATGGAGACCGAAGTCACTGGAGCACCGCCTGGAACTCGAATGGCTTTGATGAATGAGTTTCGATGGAGGCGAGATGGAGGAGCCTGGCAGTGTTGGTTGCATCATGGCATGAAGGGGATGAGTGATTTCCATTGATCTCAAGTAGGGGTAAGCAACTCCATGTTCAGGGTCGTCCTGGTCGAGCCGTGGTTGATGTCTTGGGGTGCGTAGCATACACGTCAATCTCAACTGCCCGGTCATACGTTGCCATTTCGTTCAATGGCGAAAAAGGACAGGAGATCGTATCTCAGAATTCTTGCGTTAATCACAAAAGAGACATGATCCCGCTGGCCGTGGGGTCGCGGAAGCCATTGAAAAAATAAAGAAGAAACAACAAAAAGATGATTCTCTCCCCTCCAGGGTCTTGAAACAAGTTAGAAACCGATACCATCGTGATTAGAATCAACGAAACTCACTCGAACCAGGGACCTTGAGATGACATGTCGTCCATTACAGTCTCACGCTCTTCCAACTGAGCTAAGGAGAGTTTCAATGGCTGGTGCCACCGCTTAGCACTAATGTGATTGGTTCGGATCAAACATAACTAAAATATCATCCCCCATGCGACGGGACCGATATTGAACCGACGGATAACCAGGCTAGCTTGTCGTCCCTCCTCGTCACAGTTCTGCATGATGGCTTTGGTTCGCTACCTTGAGATCGTTTAATGCGCTCGTGTCAGTATAGTATCGCCACACAGAGTATATATCGCTTTATGTCAACAACATAATGAAAGATGAATTGAGAGAAGAGTAAACAGTCGTCGACAGCCCTTGCCTAGCAGAAGCTGCCAAGCAATATTGACTAGCGGATTGCGGGCGCGGGACAGCCGACGCGATTTTTGGAAGGCTCGCGTGAAGCTCAAGAACGAGTCAAGAAACAAATCCCAGCTCACCACATCACCTCGCAAATCCGCCGCCGATACACAAACGCTAAATTAAACCACCGAAAACTTCCAAACCCCCACTCTTGCAGCTTCCACCATGGCCTTCGGCGGACAGACGCCGACCATCATCGTCCTGAAAGAAGGTAGGCAGAAACAAACATGCGCAAGGAGCTCGAAGGATACTGATGGCACTTAGGAACCGATCAGTCGCAAGGACGGGGACAGGTCATCTCAAACATCAACGCATGCTTGGCCGTACAGGCGACAGTGAAGACTACGCTGGGACCTTACGGCGGTGACCTCTTACTTGTCGACGAGAATGGGAAGCAGACAATCACGAACGATGGTGCGACTGTGATGAAGCTGCTAGATATCGTACACCCAGCGGCACGAGTTCTCACAGATATTGCAAGATCACAAGATGCGGAAGTTGGAGATGGCACAACCTCAGTCGTAGTCCTGGCTGGCGAGGTGCTGAAAGAGGTCAAGGATCACGTTGAGCAGGGTGTGAGCAGCCAGGTCATCATCAAGGGTCTTCGAAGAGCGGGTATAATGGCGGTCAACAAGATCAAGGAGATTGCGGTGAACACGAGCGAGAGCAACCAGAGGGAGAGTCTGCGCAAATTGGCAGCAACTGCCATGAGCAGCAAGCTGATCCACCGGAATTCAGACTTCTTCACCAAGAGTGAGCTGATAATGGCGATGTGAGATGAGACACAAGCTGACATGGATAATAGTGGTCGTGGACGCCGTGCTTTCACTCGATCAGGACGATCTCAACGAGAAGCTAATCGGCATCAAGAAGATCACCGGTGGCGCCCTCGAAGACTCCCTCTTCATCAACGGTGTGGCTTTCAAGAAGACTTTCTCATACGCTGGCTTCGAACAACAACCCAAATCCTTCAAGAACCCAAAGATCGTCTGCCTGAATGTGGAGCTTGAACTCAAGAGCGAGAAGGACAACGCAGAAATTCGTGTGGAGCAGGTGTCAGAATACCAAGCGATTGTGGATGCAGAATGGCGGATCATCTACGACAAGATGGAGGCACTCTACAAGACTGGCGCAAAGGTGGTCCTCTCGAAGCTACCGATTGGAGATCTGGCAACGCAGTACTTCGCAGACCGCGATATCTTCTGTGCTGGACGTGTGGCATCCGAAGACTTGGACCGGGTGTGCCAGGCAACTGGCGCAAGCATTCAATCGACTTGCTCCGACATCCAGCCTCACCATTTGGGAACATGTGAGAAGTTTGAGGAGCGACAGATCGGAGGTGAACGCTTCAACTTCTTCGAAGGTTGCCCAGAAGCGAACACATGCACTCTGGTTCTTCGCGGCGGCGCTGAGCAGTTCATCGCAGAGGTCGAGCGGAGCTTGCACGATGCGATCATGATTGTGAAGCGGGCGATCAAGAACCACAACATCGTCGCAGGAGGCGGTGCATGTGAGATGGAGATCTCGGCGTACCTTCACAGCTTTGCCGACAAGAACGTGCCTCACAAGCAACAAGCCATCATCAAATCGTTCGCAAAAGCGCTCGAGGTCATTCCACGACAACTATGCGACAATGCTGGCTTCGATGCCACCGACATCCTCAACCGCCTGCGCGTAGAGCACCGAAAGGGCAATACGTGGGCAGGTGTTGACTTCGACCACGAGGGCATTCGGGATAATTTGGAAGCCTTCGTTTGGGAGCCATCTCTGGTCAAGATCAACGCCATCCAAGCAGCTATTGAAGCGAGCTGCTTAATCTTGAGCGTGGACGAGACGATCAAGAACCAGGAGTCACAGCAGGCGCAAGCACCACAGAGAGGCCTGCCACCTGGTGCTGCGCAGCGAGCGGTCAGAGGTCGCGGACGGGGTATGCCAATGCGCGGTCGATAGAGCTGGGGCCAGTGCCATGTGGCAGATTTATGTGTTATGCATAGCGAACGGGCGAAATGGTGGTACTTGCTGTATCAGCTGGAGGAACGTACTGTATGTACTGTATCGACCCTTTGACCATGTTCATGGCTAAGCGAACAACCGCAGTAGAGTTGAAAATGGACCAAGAAGTGCTGTTAATAGCAGTGCACTACTGTTGTCGTCCAGGAAGAATCCCAGTCTTGCCAATCAACGTCGACAGCCAAGGACGTTATGGGACCCCTGGATTTCTTGGTACTATAGGCGCCCCCGAGATTTGCTCCACAACACGCGAATTGCTGGGATAGATTGTCCAAATAGGGAACAGGTTGTAAGTGTGGTTTAGGGTTGCCGAGTCCACGTGTATTGGGAAATGCTCAGTGCGATCCCGACGACATTTAGACGAGCTGAGCCTGGGGCCAGAGTATAGACGAGCTGGGAGGCCTGCTTTCTTAACCCGCCTCTTCGACAACGATGCAGGTGTCGTCTCGACACGAAACTCCGGCCTGCGGACGTACGCTATGGATCCTTTTCTGCTCTATCTATCATTGCTTCTAACCTGCCAGGCACGTATACTCCCTCGGTTTTCGAATTCGACAGTCAATGGCACTTCGAGCGATGTTTCCTCAACCACGAGTTCCGTTGCCGTGGTTGGGGATTACATTGCAGCTGGATTGGGCTTGTCACATCAGACTTCGACGTCGAGTCTAGTCATCAGTCCAACATCGCAGGAGTCATCCCAGAGCTCAGAAGTTACAACCTCCACGGTACCTTCCTTGACGATATCAGAGTCGATTACAGCCTCCGCCTTAGCTTCAGATCACGGAGCGGAGACGACCACAGATGCTACGGCCGCCATTCATCCTCATGACGGTGTCAACTCTGCCTCAAATGCGAATGTTCTAGCCTCGAACGCATCGACTTCACCAAGCCACCTAGCAACACCTGCTCAGACATCTGCACAGGCACCTCCTCCATCCTCAGCAATCATTGCTGGAAATGTGACGGCATTCAGCCAGGCATTAAGACTTGTTACGGCAGCGACTGCTGCGTCTTCGAATAGGGCACTGTCACCCGATGCGAACTACAATGCAACTTCGAAAGGCCTTATCACTACACCTCCATTGGGAACGGGTGGAAATGGCACAATCTTTGCAAATGCAACTAATGTGGACCAGTGTTGGGCTCAATGGTCGAGCTACTGGAGCACGAAGGGAGCAGGCTCCTACATATACACTCTGTCCACAGGCACCACTACCTCCAGAGAAATCTCATGGCAAGGAGTGACCGCGACTTGGGAGACCTCGCGGACTTGGATCGACTACAATGGCGCATTTCCAACGGGAACGAGGACATCGACTTTCCTTACGACGGGATACCAGTCCGTATCGTACGTGCCGGTCGAAACTTTCACGGAGACTTGGACATCTTCTGTTCCAATAGTCCCCACTCCACCACCATGCGTCCTGCCATCCTACGTTTCGGACTGTCAATCGTCGTGGGAAGCTTACATCACTCGTTGGGATACGCCTTACACAGGCTACATGGATATACCTTCGTGTACACAAGCCAGGATTACCGGTTCGCTCTGCTCGACGGCTATTTCTTCCTGGTTGTTCACCGAGCGTATGTATGGTGGAGAGGATATGGGCATAGTTGGAGGAGAAGCGTCCTTTTACAATGTCACCAGCACTTCCGGCGGATCAGCGTACATCACGTCGACGTATTCGAGATATTTCCCGGCCTCGTCGACCGCCGTACCAGGCGGCACCCTTGGATGCCAGTCTTGTCGGGTGAGCGGATCCCATGTCAAATTGCTATTCTGGCCGTCCGAGACGGCAACCTCTCCCGGCGCTGCTATGACAACGGCAGAGATTTACGGGACAACTTTGACCAGCCCTACTGTCTACATCTCGTTCGACAGCCTGTGGGGCTTGAACTCTTGCAGCGATGTTGGGACACCAATGGCGAATGTGTAAGAAAGATCTTGTAAATGATGTAGAAAACCTGCTGACTCCTTGCTCCCGACGTCTAGCATCGTGCCAATCACCAACACAGGGGCCCTGTCAAGCATGTACTCATGGGGACATTATTTTCCCGCTTATGGAATGAGTGCCTCATTCTACTTCACAGTCTGTATAATCATTCGCTCTCTTGTCCCCAGGCTCGGCTGACTGTACGATTACGCAGGATCTCTATGTGACCCCGGTACCTGACTCCATCTACGCCAGCCAGCCTCGCTGCGCTTCGTCCTCCCATTGGATCAACGAATGGTGCGATCGTGGCTTTTTGAACAATACTATTTGCTCCGCAGAATATCCTTGCGCGAGAACACTGCCGTACGAACCCGTTTTGTCCGTTCCTGGTGAAGTGCGAGATTTGCAGCCGGCGTGGGCAGACTGTATTGGAGGGCTCAATGGTGTCTACGAGTCAGTTCGAATCGCCAGCTTGCGAGCAGGGATATGTTGCTGACAGTCCGTAGTCCACCACTAGCGTTGCAGGAGGCAGCATCACAAGTCTTGCCAGAGCCTCCTACTGCCACGAATGGTGGATCGATGTCCGCGAAGACTACCCATCAATCCGAATCCAGCCCGGATGCCACTACACCCGCAGCTCCCTCCCCGACGGCATCTCAGATTGTGTCCGCTACAAACACACCTCCAAGTCCAGAGCCCGTTCAAAGCCAGGCCGCTGAACAAAACCAGCCTGTTCAAACTCCAGTGGATTCCTCCAACGGCTCCCAGAATGCCAATGGTGCTGCCAACGGCGACCTCCTCGCTGAAACTCCGAGTAGCCCTCGACCAGAGCTAGATACTGATCCCTTACCAAGCAATGCCCTGGATGTATTGATGCAGGCCGCCGCGAACCCGCAAGACCCAACGTCCCAAGACGATGGACCTGCTCAGACTCTCAACCCAGGCCCTGATAGCCCACAGCAGACCGAGAGCCCCAATAACCCAGTGGCAGCACCAGTAGCAGGAGCTCCAGCCCAAGCTGCCACCACCTCGACTGCTGGCGATGGAACTGTCGTCTCCGCCAATCAGGATGGTAACAACGTGGTTATAGGAGCAACTGGCAGCGCAGCTAGAGTCTCATATAACGGAGATCCTGTGACATTTGCTGGCCAGACCATCAGCCAAGACGGAAACAACAATTTGGTCGTTGATGTGCCATCCGTTGCCATGCCGGCAGCAGCACCTGCAGCAGTATGGACTGCACGGAACGGAGGCATAGTCTCTGCAGTGGCTCAAGGCAATAACATTATCGTTGCAGACTCGCATAGCAGTCTGACGGTTGCTGCTGGTGCGAATGCTGTCTTCGACGGCCAGGCGATCAGCGCTGTGCCAGGTGGAAGCGCTTTGATGGTTGACGGCTCATCAGTGGTTATTCCACAAGCCGGTGACATACCCGCGGCAAGTCCAGGCGCTACCATTACATCAGCCAACGGAGACGTCGTTGTTGCGAACGCTCAAGGTAGCAACATAGTTGTTCAAAATGGAGGCAGTGCGGTTACTATCGCGCTGGGGAGTAGCGCTGTCGTTGGCGGACAGGCAATCACTGCTGCTCAAGACGGGAGCGGCATCCTTGTGGACGGATCTACTGTTGCCGTGCCTTCAGCAGCAGCAGCTAGTAATCTGGGGACAGCCTCGAATGGACAAGTATTCTCACTTACGACGGAGAACAACGGAGTTATCGAAGTAGTTGGTCAAAGCACCACCTTGGTTCTCACTCCCGGAGGCAGCCCGACAGTCTTCCATGGCCAAACCCTCAGCGCCATGCCGAGCGGCAGTGGGGTACTTATTGATGGCTCCTCAAAAGAAATGCCGTCTGGAGTCGCCACATGGACTGCACCAGACGGATCAACAATCACAGCGACTCCTGATGGAAGCGATGATATCGTTCTCGTGGACGATGGGAGAACGACCACCATCGATTATCAGGATGGACCGATTGCTTTTGACGGCCACTCTCTCTGCTTTGCCAGATGGAAGTGCCGTTGTTATCGATGGGACGACTGTATCTGTTTCGAGAACGAGCCCGGCATCTTCGAGGACTATGATTGATGAAGGGAATAGCAGGCAGGCGTCTACTTCTAACCAACCCTTCACTCAGGGTGGACAAGAGACTGCTGCGGCTCCGACGAGTGAGTCCAGCGCTTCGAGGAGGAGCGTTGATCTGCATGGGCTCTTGTTAGTGCTTTGTGGATTCGTCACGATCTTCGTGTTCTCGAATTTATAGAGAATGGAATCGTCTTCATTGTATCTGGTATCATGAACAATCGTGCCCTTCTCGGAGGATTTCAGTGGGAGGAAGGGCGTGGAGAGGCGTCGAAGAGCTGGCAGTGAATTGATGTGCCGCTTTTGGCTATGTTGATTGAAACTTTTATCCCGGGCTTTGTCAATCGATTCAATGGTCTGGTCTGAACGGATTCCACACAAAGACCTTTATATTGCCACTAGGTGCATCTAAGTCCATCTCCTCTGCCGGATGCTCATCGGTAGATACAGGCTTTGATGACCGAAAGGAGCATCAAATCTCGTCTGCATACGTCCTTCTGAATGTCAAACAGAGTATGGAGTCGTTTTTTCTCATTTCATCGTTGTTCCTCAGCAAACTACCTGTCGATTGGGGTCATCGTTGGCGACTTGTGGTCTTCGACGTTCGTTGCCGCTTCTGACCTTAGAGAATTCTCATGCTGTAGCCTCGTATCTCTCATCTCATCCCGGTGCTTTCAACAAGTAACGCGATCCGGCTCATGTTGATAGGAGGAAGACAGTGGACGAGGTGAGGTCAAAAGAAAGCGGATCGGAGCGAGCAGCGATGACGTGCCGACGTCCGACAGGAACGAACGCCTCGTGGCGCGCAACAGCTGTCCTTTGAGCATGTGAGTCCAACTTTCCAACAACAACCACGCCTGATCTTTTCCAGACCTCTTCGCTGATGGTCATGGACACGCCCACAACCCGTACGCGACACCGATAGCCACCGCCCTCGAACAACGACACCACCATGCGCCTCGCATACTACGCCGGCGCCTCAACGGCCGCTGCAGCAGCTTGCCTGCTGAAGGCCTTCCACCAGCGCCCCAACTTCTACAGCGCGACCGTCTACCTGTCCCAGTCCAACGCATGTCTCCTCATTCTCACGAACCTCGTCCTCGTCCTGGCGTGCAGCTTCATGTTCGCTCTCCAGCGACTCCTCTATGGCCCCCTCCGACCGATCGAGATCGAGCAGCTGTCCGAGAAGGCTTGGTATGCTGTTCTTGACACTCTACTGGCTATGCCGAGCTTTAGAGAAGACGTTGGAGGTTGGCTGTTGACTATGTTTGTGCTGCTTTTGGCTGGCAAGGTCTGGGGTTGGATTGGAGAGGGAAGAGTGGATATACTGGAGCAACAGCCGCCTGCCAATCCTCGTTTGTTCCATGCGAGGCTATCTACGAGTCTCATCGTGAGCGTGATCTTCGACGCGTTGATGCTGAATTACTGCGTGGAGACGGTTATTGCGGATCCCAGGCCAGGAATGATGGTGATCTTCACGTTTGAATTTGCCATTCTGAGCATCTTCTCTATCTTTACGCTGGCGAGATATATGCTGAGCTTGGCGGAAACGAGCATTGTCAAGAAGCAGACGAAGCTGGCGATTGAGACGCGCAAGAGCGAGATACAAGCTGAGAGGGTTGCGGCTAGACAGAGCCAAGGGGATACACCTGCAGCTGCTCCGGCTGATGAGGAACCGATCGAAGTGGACGAAAACGAAGTCGACGTGCCCGGATGGGAAGAGAAGAGACGATACCTCTTTGCTTTGGAAGTCTTGACAGACTTCGTCAAGCTGATGATTTACATTATTTTCTTTACGGTCAGCATCACATTCAACGGGCTGCCGATGCATATCATGCGCGATGTGTACATGACATTCGCTTCATTCAGCAAGCGCGTGAGCGATTACGTGGCATACCGCAAAGCCACCAGCGACATGAATTCGAGATATCCGGACGCAACGACGGAGGAGATTCGTGGAGATGCGTGTATTGTATGTCGGGAGAGCATGGTGGCTTGGGAACAACCGAATGCTGGTGGTGATGCGCAGCCAGCGGGCGAGCAAGGAGCTGCTGCACCTGCACCAGCCAGGCGGAGAGACGAAGGCCTCAGGGCGAAGAAACTACCTTGTGGACACATCCTTCATTTGCGGTGCCTGAAGGCATGGCTCGAGCGACAACAAGCTTGCCCTACTTGCCGGAGACCTGTCATTACCACCAATGCACCGCAAAATGGTGCTGCTGCTCCTGGCGGCAACCCACCAGCCCAAGGACAGCAAGGACAACAGCAACCTCGGCCGCCACGCGCACGAATGTTCAATCTTGGGCCACTTCGAGTCGGCTTCCTCAACGCGCCTGCCAACCAGATGCAGAATGTCATCAACCAAATACAAAATCCGAATGGTGCTGCTAATCAGAATCAACAAGACGCCAACCAACAGGGTGCCCCTCAGCAAGGACCAAATCATCTTGGTCTTCAGGTGCCTTACGCCAATGGCGCTGGTGTAGCACAGACAGGTCCCGCAGCCACTTCAAGAGGTCTGACCGGACTCAGAGCAGCTGTACCTCTTGACCTGCAACTCCTGCAGCTGGAACAGCGCATTATGCAAGAGGCACACAATCTCAACCTCGATCAGCAACGGCTGGCGAACCTAAGAGTAATGGAAGCTGAAGTGGCTCGGTTACGCAGCCAACGACTTCCTGCTCAGCAAGCAGTCGGCATGAATGGTGCTCAGAGGCAAATGCCACCTCCACAGGCGGCGTTCCCTCACATACCCATGTATGGCCAGATGCCTGCAATGATGCCGATGTTTCAAGGCTTCCCGCCGCCGTCTCCTCCACCTGGTCCGCTGACTGGAAACTCTGCCCAGCAGCTAGATAGCAGCAGTCAGAGCTTACCGGAAGGACTTGTCCTCCCTGAAGGATGGACCTTGATGCCTTTGCAGCGTGTGCAGGGCACTCAACCTCAAACGTTTGACCCATCTCAAGGTCAACAGGTCGAGAATGGCCCTCAGGCGGTTGATACCACAGTAGCTGCTGATCCCGTCACTGCTGTCGTAGAGTCTGCCGGTGTTAATGGACAGCCAACACAGAATGGAACGTCGAATACTGGACCCACGGACGATAATGGCTCACCTTTGTTCGTGCCCACGACCACCAACAACGTAGCTGAGAGTCAAACAGCTGCCGCTCCCGCCGGGCCAATCTCACAACAAAGTGAGCCACCGGCCGCAGCAGCATCATCACAAACAGAGACCAAAACGTCCTGGACGAACGAGAGTAGTTGGGGCTTCAACGAACAGCCAGCAGCCTCTTCACAACAACCACAAGAAGACTCATCGTCCCACCCTGCAGCGAATGGCAGCTACACGGGCAAGGGCAAAGCGAAGGCGGTCGAGGTGGAAGATGCACCTGATCCTGAAGCATAAAGCTCATTGTGTTGTGTTGTTTTGTAGCGTGTTGTGTGTCCTTTCTATGTGTATATAGATACGTGTATTGCCTAAGGGAATGCAGTTTTGGAATGATGAATTCGAATACCGTCCATTCTAGGGGTCACTGGAGGGAGCAGAATTTCTCGAGTCGTTTTCGTGCAGGTAAGAGGGGATTGAAGTGTGAGTTGACGTTTAGTATGTGCCATAGCTCTGTGCTCAGCTCTGCTTGATAACTGATTACATGTAAGTGAGTGAGTGAGTGAGTGAGTGAGTGAATGAATGATTGATTGATTGATTGATTGATTGATTGACCGATATGCTCAAAATACATGCTGTCTCATGGCAAGATCTACTATCCCATCCCATCCTGACTGACAACTCTGACAAAAGGAAATGGGTATTTTTATGTACGTCTTTGTCTTTCTCCCCAAAAAGCCTCCTCCAACCTACGCCTGAACATCCTGATGCTCTTTTCGCCCCTGTTACTGCCGTCACAAAATGCATACATGTACCCCGTTCTTCTATATTCGTACAATCCAAACCAGATCTCCGTACCAGATCTTTCTTCTTTAAATGATTCTCCGTCCTGCTCGGGACATTTTAGATATCTTCAAGATATTCCACCTCCCGGCAATACATCTCACGTCGCCTCCGTCGACCTCGTCCCATACGTACTCGCGCTCCCATTCCGCATCAATGAACTCGGCATCGGACTCGGACCCCTCGACGTTGTCGAAGGAGCAATCTGCAACGGCACCGCGCCCGCCCTCAACCCCACGGGCGCATCGTCCTTGGCCATGCGCAATTCCACAAATTGCAGACACTTTGCTTCGTTGAAACTGCCGTCCGCGAAGAGCGCTTGGACTTGTTTGCGCGTGTGGACGGTGGCGGATTGGAAGGAGCCTTTCTCAGCGCCGAGGGCGGGGATGAGGTCTTTGTAGCGCCAGGGGGAGGTGGTAGTGGATGTCGCTTCGGGGCGGTGCAGGAGACGGTCGGTGGTGGAGCCGTCGGAGCAGATGATGAAGATGATGGGGGTGAGGGATTTACGGATCATGGTGGAGATTTCTTGGGCGGTGAGTTTGAGGCTGGCGTCGGTGGTGAAGAGGATGGTTCGTAACTTGCGGTTGGGACGGAGGGTCATGAGTTCCTGCGCGGCGAGGGCGGCGCCTTCGGTGGCGGCTGTCGCGTAGCCGGCGCTGTTCCAGAGGACTTGGTTGATGGCTGTGACGTTGGGTGGGAAGCGGGCTTCCCAGATGCCGAAGTTGGGGGTGCCGGTTTCGGTGATGACGATGTCGTTGGGTTGCAGCCAGCGCGCCATGTGTCGCCAGAACCAGGTGTGGGTGAGCTCTTCGCGGTTGTCGCGGCGGTGGAAGGGGATGTTGTTGGAGGGGGTGGGGCCTGGGACGATGTGGAGTTGGGGGAGGCGCTCGACGATTTTGCGGATCACGCCGTTCATGCGTAGTTCTGGGTATTCGCTGTATTTGACCCGGACGATGTTTGAGTGGAAGTCGATGGTGCTGAGTTCGGATACTCGGTAGCTGAAGCCCGGCGTTGCGAAGTCGTTCTTCATCGCCCCTATGCTGAGGACCAGGTCGGCCGTCTCTACTCGTTCTCGTACTTCGTCGTCGCTCCCATCGCCGGCATACACACCACAGTAATTCGGTAGGGCTTCGTTGACCGCGCCTTTTCCCATTGGTGATACAAATGTTGGTAGCTGTGACCTCTCCACCAAGTCGTGTGTTTCCAGCAGCGCTCGATGCCGTATCGCGCATGCATCTACTAGAATGATCGCATTTCTCGCCGCCTGCATGTATCGTAATACCACATCCACCACATAGTCTTCCTTGTCCGGGTCGTTTGGCGGATATGACAAGTCAATCGGTGTTCGCAATCGATCCCCCTCTACCTGCTGCTGCACCATGTCCGCAGGTAATGCTATGTAGACCGGCTTGCTCTGAACCCAGCATTCTCTTATCGCGTGATCGATCTGATCTGGGATGTCTGCGGGGTCGCTGAGTGCAACTACGGCACAGGATATTGATCGCGACATGTCTGTGAAAGTATTCGGGTTCCCATTCCCCAGGGGGTTGTGCAGCTGCCGGTCATTTCGCTGCGAGTAAGTCGGCGGCGTGCCGACCACGTGTAGGATTGGGACGAATTCGGTGAACGCGCCTGCTATCGCATTGAGGGCGGAGAGCTCGCCAACACCTGGTCATGTGAGAAGGCAGTATGCTTAGGAGACAGGTGCAATCCTACCAAACGAAGTGAAGAGGGTCGAGATGCCCTTGATGCGCGCATAGCCATCTGCGGCATAGCCAGCATTGAGCTCGTTGCAATTGCCCACCCAGCTCAGACCGCAGTGTTCTAGATAGTCCAAAGCCACGAGGTTGTGGTCTCCTGGCACCCCGTGCACCGCTCGAATGCCGACCTCGAAAAGCCTCCGTGCGAGGTACTCGGCGACGTGGATGGGAGCGATCAGGGCAGAGGCGCGGATGTCTGAGCTGTGGTGGTGGTTTCCGTTGCTGCGGATGCTATGCGCCATGTCATCCTTTCCTTCATCCTTGACGCGTGCGGGCGGTCGAAGTCATGGAGCGTCGTTCGGGGAAGATGCACGTGCAGGGTCGAGATGCTCAGGGTAGGATGTGCGCGAGATGGACGAGGGAAATATCAGGGTATGCGGTGTGGTGTTCGCGGCGAAATGATGAAAACGTACGCAACCGTACAATGTTCAACCGTCGCGAGCGCGTAATCATCCTCTGGTCAAGACCTCCTGAAGGGGTCAGTAGTGGCATGGCAATTCCGGCAGTGGTGTCCGCCGGCAGACTAGACACTTTCTCCACAAACTGTTCCGCGGCTGTGGCATTGGGTTCGGAGAGCAGCTCCGCTGCGAAAAGAGGCTGACGGAGGCAGTGGTAGTGTGTACTGAAACATGGTCATGGCGCCGTGGAGGATGAGAATAATGGGCGAGGCCAGGACGAGGCTGTCTGTGAAATGGCACAGCGATCTGAGGCCAGGAATAATGCGGCGGACAGTGCAGGGCAGGCGGGGAGAGCGGCCGGATCTTCCTCAGCCGACACGTGGTTTGGCGATCCGTGATGCAGCCACATCTTGAGTATCAATTCGAATGAACATTGGGTTGATCGATAGTGAACGAGTATTTGATGGCTATTTGCTTAGACAGGCAAGGCTGAGAGTGGAGAGTAAGGCGAACGATTAATTTGACCACTGTGTCCTGAAACCGGGCGAGCTCATGGTCATGGTACTGAAGTGTCACTGCTTCGTGTGGCTGATGGTGCCTGGCGGCCGGTGTGGTAGCGGTGGTGAGAGGCCGCCATCCTGCTGGGACAAGAGGGCTGAACGTGGTGTGGTAGTGGGCATCGTAAACACATATCTAACAATCCCCTCCACGACCTCAAACAAGCGACAGGTGCACTGTGCTGTCATTCTGTTTCCGACGTTGTTTCGTCTCTACTACTGCGAGGGCTTTGACTCTTTGAGGCTTGAGGCTTGAGCTAGCAGCGCCCGAGTGGAGAGTGACGACTTCACGCCAACGCTGGACCATCCACACACCAACATCGCTTTCCCCGGTGCTCTCCCAGGATTCACGCTGCCTACCCTGGACGTCGAGCCCGAGTCTAGACGCAACGGCTGGGAGACGCCCATCGTCGCTGTCGCCTCTCCGCGCCCGCTGCCCGTCTTGCGCGCGCGCGAGATGATGTGAGCTTCCCTCTCACATCCAACACCAACGACACTCAAATCGCATTGCCGCACGGCGATGCTGACGGCTACGACGACTGCGCGCCAGAGATCTAGCAGCAACCGATCGACTCCCGACGGCGTCGTGCTAAGCGACGTCCCCGGCCAGGGCAACGCAGCAGCTCTTTTGCGCCCGCAGGCCTTCACCACCACCAACTCGCCCTACCCAAGCATCGCCGCCACCCCGCCCACCCTCCCCTCCCCGCGACCGCGAGCACATACCTATGCCGATCCGAGCATGCAACAGCAGGGACGCGCCACCCCGGTGACCCCAGGCGGCATGCAGCAGAATCAGCAGAATCAGTCTCAATGGCCTGCGCCGCGCCATGTCTCAGAAACGCAGCGCGCTGCCCCAGGCTACATCCCCCCACCGCCGCCCCTCCAGCAACAACCGCCGCAGCCGGGCATGTCATTCCCTCCTCCACCGCCCCGCCCGCCCATGAGCGCATCGCAGGCCCACGGCCCATTCGTACCCCCTCCCCCAGGCCAGCCTACCTACTGGAATCGACAGCCTTCCTCGTACCCTCCCCCTCCGCCACAGCAGACCCAGCAGCAGCAGAGAGAACCGCGACAGTACGATCCAAGCTTATACTTTGAATACTCCCAGCTTCCTCCTTTGAATCCTGGCGAGCCGTTGACTTCAGCCACCTACATTCCCGATGGGGGCAGCTTTGGGCCAGGTGTTGGCATTCCGCCTCTGCATTCGGCCAGCAATCCACCACATGCGCCCCCGCGCCCAACTCACGTGCCCCATCAGCCCAGCTACTATCGCGGAGGATCTAACGACTTCAGCACAGGTACTATGATGGAGAGCAGATACGATGGTGGTAGTTACAATCCGGACGTGACGGGCACTTGGTTCGCCAACCCCTACCAGCAACCGCCTCCGCAGCAAGTTCCTCCCACATCGCACTCTGTTCCGCCGCAGAACCTGATTCCACCGCCTACGCCCACCTCTGCCAAACAACAAAAGAGATTGATTGCGCCTGCGAATCAGACTGAGCAACACACCTCCCCAGCAGAAACGGGTAGACCTCCTTTCGATCAGGTGCGAAGTCAAACCAACGAAACCGTTTCGAATAGAGATCACTCCTCGTCGGGCGACACACCAGCTTCTCCTCAAGATCAGAATTGGCCGGCTGAACGGGTGCAGATTTGGTTGGCGGCCCACAACTTTTCGAAAGAGTGGCAAGCAGCTTTTCAGCACTTGAACGTGCATGGCGCACAGTTTCTGGACATTGGTAGGAGTGGTGGCCAGCGAAACATTGGATTCATGCCGCAGACAGTATTGCCGCAGGTTGCAAGAGAATGTACTGCCAATGGTGTGGTTTGGGATCAGCAAAGAGAACGTGATGAAGGGAGAAGGTTGCGAAAATATGTGCGGGATGTGCTGAAGACTGGGGGCGCCGGTACGCCTTCGACTGCTGCAACGAGTAGCACGACCAGTCTTCCCCTTCGCCCGAACAGACGCGATTCCAACACCCTACTTAACTCGGCGAGTGCTGGGACGGATGGAGGAGGCGTGGAAAACTCACCCAACCTCTCCAGAAGCGATATCAATGCTTTTGGGTCAACACCCACCACAGCAGGAGGCGGGGACGATTCGCCAGGCCGGACAATGCCATCGGTTTCACAGAACCGCGCACCAGGCAGTCGGTCTGTCACTCTGGATTCTTTCTCCAGCACTTTGAACGATGCGGAAAGGAGTGCATACACACGATCTGCGCTGGCCAATATCAATGACATGCGGAGGCAACATTCACCCAGCGGAAGTACAGGAGATCTGAGTACGACAAGCCAGAACTTCAAAGCCAGTCCACAGCAGAGTCCTGGATTAGTGAATGCACGGCCTTTGGCGAACGGCAATGGGCACGCCCGGGTCTCGAGTGGAACATCTTCTCATTTGAGGGGCCCCAGCTCAGAGGCGAACCTCCCACTCAACAACTACTCTTCAAGAGAAGGTAGGTATTACGCTGGAGTCACGGCTGATCACGAAGCTAAACAGTTCTCTGAAGACCACCCCAACGATCGACGCAATGCACAAGATGGATCGAGGCCTCCGCCAGCTGACGGCAGTCGTCGAGATACTCCAGCAAGCGCAAAAGAGCACAGGGGATTCTTAGCCAAGTTCAGGCGAGGGGGCAAGAGGGACGATCATCCCTCTCCTGATGATGAGCACGGACCAGCAAGCCCTCAGGCGACCAGAAATGGCCTCTATGGAAAACCGGGCGCAGCGTCGTCGGACATCTCGCTGGGTGATCGCCCGACATCAAGAAAGGAGCATCTGAGCGTTGAATCTGCCGACAACATTCCACCCCTACCAAGAGGTCGGCCTGCTGCTCGAGAAGGCGATAAGAAGTTCATCTTTGTGACTCCAGACGGCTGGAACTATCGTCTCATTGACATTACTGACATTGAGTCGGCTGATCAGCTCCGAACGGTGATCTGTTATAATCTAGGCGTTGCGGAGGGCCCAGATGTTACCATGCACCTCACAGCGCCTGGAAAGATGGAGCACGAGGAGGGCTTGAACGACCAGATGCTGATGAACGCACGGACACAAATGGCAGATCCGACAGGCAACATGAAGCTATATGTGCGCGCGTCTAACGTCAGTCTTGAGCCACCCCAGAGCGCTGGACTTGGTCTTCAAATGCCACAATCGCCTTTTGGTCAGGCCACATTTGGTGGGAAACCCCTGGACGAAGCGACCCTCAAGCGACTCAAGGAAGAAGAGGCAGGCTCGCCATCAACAATCCGTTCAGGCGAGAGCACCCTTGTACCCGACAAAGCGCGCGGTCTCGTCACCCTTGCGAAGGAGGGCGAGAGTAACGACCGCGCCGCACTGCAGGAGAGCATGCTTCAGCAGGACTTCATGAAGCTAACACAAGATCAGCAACAGGCGTTACTGGAGGCTAGGGCACAGAAGCACAGACTAGAAACCGAGCGGAAGCAGAAGTTCTATCAAGCTCAAAGGAGGTCTCAAATCATCGAGGGTGCGAATGGGAAGCGCGTGCACGACTTCGATAGCCCTCGAGCTTCTCCATACGAGACCGACAAGCAGCTCAACAGTCGCCCTCTGTCGTCTGGATCGACAGACCTGGAAAAGAAGTCGGACAGTTTCCAGCCGTTGCGTAGGCCACCGCCTGTTCCTGAGCCGACTAATACATTGAAGAAAGCCGACAGTCTCACAAAGAAGCAGGGACCTTCGACACGAACCAGCTGGCAGAACCGTAAGGAGGAGCCATGGAAGAGAATCTCAGGAGGTTCTTTGCCAGAAGAAGAAGGCAAGAGGCCAGGCGGAGGCATTGGTGCAGCACTTGCAGGCGCAGGCAAAGCAGTAGGGGCAATTGCTGCGCCTGGCAACGGGCCCAATAGCGCTCCAGTTGGAGGTTTGCCGACTCTATCAGCGAACATGGCCAAGTCATCAACCGCTCCCGATCTATTTGGACTGGATCCCGAACCACATTCTATGCAATCCATGACCTTTCAGCAGCGGGCAGCTTCTGGCCCCACCCGTATCAGCCCTGGAACACCGAGAAGTCCCTTCACGACCATGTCAAAAGGCGGCCAACCGTTCCGAGTACCTGCATATGAGGAGCCTGATGATGAAGAGGATGATGAAGACACTCTCAAGGCCTCGCAAAGACCTAATCTATCTCTTCGAACCACTTCGAACCCGATCGCTAGGCTTCAAGCTGAAGGTACGGCTAGGTCACATAGCCCAGATCTTAGCCCGAGCTCTGAGCGACCGACAAGCTCTCTTAATCGTATGATGAGCAAGAGAGGCCACTTTGAAGTGCCCGAGTACGAAGTGGCCTTTGCACCGTCGCCCAACGTCGGAACGATGGTCTCTTCGCCATCCCTCTAGCGAAGCAAAAAGAGAGGGTGGCACTCGAGCATGTTCCATCCCAGAAGAAGGCCATGAAGGTGCTTGGTGTGACTGGCACAGAGTCACCCGGCCGCTCACCTAATCGACCTGAGCTGCGAGTGAAGACATCGAAGCCGAATGTTAGGTTTGATTCACCCAAGAATCCGCCGCTCGACAAGCTTAGCGCGGATATCGACGAAAGTGAACCAGCGCCTTTTGGAGGCACATCGACATCGTCCGCAAACCCTTGGTCGACCGATTCGCCGGACGATTCTTCTCGTTTTGGCCAGCTTGGCCGACGAGAGAGCTTTGCAGGCGAATTCCGTCCACCAGTCGAGGACATTGCCGAGCGTCTTGACAACTTCTTCCCCAACGTCGATCTCGATCAGCCGATGGGAGAAGACGTTGAAGGTGCAGAGGGAAGTCCCGTTTCAACTGACAAGTCGACTCTCCATTCGAAGGCGTCATCATCAGAGTTGACTTCAAGTCGGATCACAACGCCCGCTTCTAGCATTGAGAACATACATACACTTGGGAGTGAAGAGTCCACACTCAAGGCAAATGCGCCCTCTGTCGCCGAGCGAAATGTGCGCAAGTCTGGGGGCTTGGGCAGGACGAAGAGTATACGAGATGTGGTGAAGAACAACTACGCTCACCTGGGAGGCCCATCACCGCATGCATCAATCTCTTCCACGTACTCGAGCCGGCAACCCAGCGTGTCTGGCTTCCCTACCATGCAAGCTCCCGTCCTGTCAAACAGGATCAGCACACTCAGGAACGATGGCGGCATTGTACGGCGAAAGAGCACAAAGATGTTTGGTGCAAAGATTGAACAAGTCAAACCCCAGCGTGGCAGCAGACTCATCACCAATCTGGATACCATTCCACAGGACACCATTCCGGTCGGCAATGTGCAACACGTCAAGCCTGAGCGCCAGCCCACGTTCAAATGGATGCGCGGTCAACTTATTGGGAAAGGTACATTTGGACGTGTCTACCTGGGCATGAACACGACAACGGGAGAACTTCTCGCCGTCAAACAAGTCGAAGTCAACCCGAAAGCAGCCAACACGGACCCGGCCAAAATCCGCGAAATGGTCAAAGCCCTCGACCAAGAAATCGATACAATGCAACACCTCGACCACGTCAACATCGTGCAGTACCTCGGCTGCGAACGCAAAGAATACAGCATCTCCATCTTCCTCGAGTACATCTCCGGCGGCAGCGTCGGGTCCTGCCTGCGCAAACACGGCAAATTCGAAGAGCCCGTCGTCTCATCCCTCACTCGCCAAACGCTCTGCGGCCTCGCCTACCTCCACAGCGAAGGCATCCTCCACCGCGACCTCAAAGCCGACAACATCCTCCTCGACCTCGACGGCACCTGCAAAATCTCCGACTTCGGCATCTCCAAACGCAGCGCGAACCCGTACAACAACGACATCACCAACTCGATGCAAGGCTCCGTCTTCTGGATGGCGCCCGAGGTCATCCGCGCGCAATCCCAGGCTCTCGGCGATGGCCTCGAACCCATCAACCAGGGCTACAGCGCCAAAGTGGATATCTGGTCCTTAGGTTGCGTCGTGCTGGAGATGTTCGCCGGACGAAGGCCTTGGAGTAAAGAGGAAGCCATCGGGGCGATTTACAAACTCGGGTCCCTGAACCAGGCCCCGCCGATTCCAGACGATGTCTCGACGGTCGTGGGACCGGCCGCGTTGAGTTTTATGTATGACTGTTTTACCATGTGAGTACCACCGCCATCACCCAGGCTTAAGCGTCGTGATGCGTTTGTGAATGAGCTTGCTGACTTGTGACCGACAACAGCGATCCCGGCGAGAGACCCACGGCGGATACGTTGCTGCGGGCGCCTTTTTGCATTTTCGATCCGCATTACAATTTCTTGGATACGGAGTTGTATGCCAAGATTCGAGGCGCGTTTTGATGAGTTGGGTTTTGCTTTGGACTGATACCCCCCTTTTTTTTGAGCTTGCCTTGCTTGTCTTTGGTTGTTGATGTTTTCAGAGGAGAGATGGGGAGAGGGAAGGGGTGGGTTTTATGTATGAGTGGGTGTACGTTCGTGAGGATGGGTGGGGGAGTGGACTTGTAATGATTTGATGACTTTCAACTTGGGAAGGGGAAATGGACACGGGAGAGGGAACGGGAAATGTAATAGATCAAGGGAACTGGGAGTGATGGAAGATGAAAGGGTGTTCGTAGCTAAAGCGAAGTCCTTGCGCCATACGTCGCAAGAGACTTTTTTGAAGGTCGGAGAATGTTTCGATTTCCTTTCGGCTAGACTTGTGCGCTTCCACCCTACTTACTCCTCGTGGGAAGGCTGCCCGGGCCTGTTCTACTTGACCGGCTTCCTGGTTCACGGGGTCTTTGTGCCCTTTTTCCTCTCCCTTGCGAACAGCGCCGGATGAAAATCCTAGCAAGCCTCTCCCTATCCCAGACTTGGCCGGTTCAGGGCCTTGTGTTACACTTCGCTCACTTTTCAGCGAGACATCATGGGCGCGTACACATCATGTCGGTTGCATTCATCCCTCCCACCCCTCAACCCGCCTTCCCCCTTCCCACGATCACCACATCGATCTTTATACTGCACCCTCTCATCCCACCCCCCCAACCTCCCAAACGGACTCCTCAACCAAGCCTCCAGCTCATGCACCACCTGCCTCGCATTCTCCCTCCCAACAAACTCGCCCACCAACTCCTCCGCCTTGCCATCCGCCCCCCTCAATTCAAAATTCCTCAAAATCGCCAGGATATACTCGATGAGGAAGTCGACGCGGGAGGGCGTCAGGAAGGGGAAGACGCGGAGTTCGCGGCGGAGGAAGGTCTTCGCGCGGGATTGGAGGGTGGGCGAGCTGCGGACGTCGGCCGGCGTGAAGGAGTGGTAGTTGGAGTGCGCGTTGGAGCCGATGTGCAGGGCATAGAGGCGGTGGGTGTAGATTTCGCGGCGGAGGGTTAGGGAGGGGTCTTCTATTGCCGGTGGTGGTGGTTGTGGGTGGCGTCGAGGTCTTCGCCTTCCCGTTGGCGCTTCGCGTTTCTTCTCTCCTTCTTCCCGTGTGGGAACGTGGTAGGTTTTGTAGTCATCTGGACTCCGCCAGTCGTATTGCACTTCAGACACCTGTGTCTTGCATAGTGGGCAGGTCGACTGCTCCTGCAGCCAGGAGACGAGGCATATGAAATCGAACGTCAGGTGGTTGCACGGCGCTGCTACGGCGCGTTCGGTGATGGGTTCGAGGCAGATCGTGCAGGTTTCTGGTGTGTGGGTGCGTTTGATCGCTGCGGCGCCTTTGATTTTGAAGTCATCGGGTTGGCCATCCATGCAATGAGGGTGGGTTTGTATGGATGTGACCGGGAGGAAGTTGGAGCGTGGAGTGAAGTGAAGGAAGTCTGGGGTTGGCCACGAGGGCTTGGCAACGGCTCTGCGTCATCGGCGGCTGGAGCTTTTGGCGGGGTCCAATGCGAGAGATGTGAGTGAATCCAACGACAACAAACGCTCATCTCGACAGCAACAGACGGGAAAGTGCAAGCATGGCGGCCAATTGCATCTTTTGCAAGATCATCAAGGGTGGGAATAGACTACAATTCGTTCAATCTCAAGTGAGGATAGCTCACAGCAATGTATAGGTGACATCCCCTCGATGAAGCTCTTCGAGAGCGAAAAGACTCTGGCCTTTCTGGATATCAACCCTCTTTCGTAAGTCGAGAGCAGACTGCAGGAGACAGACATCTCGTAGAAAGATTAAGAGCTAACAAGACATCCTCTCAAAAGCTACGGCCACGCAGTACGTCCACCCCACCCACCTTGATGTCCCAAACCCCCCTCAAATCACACCCTCAAGCTATCATCGCCTCAAAGAAGACCGATGGCCTTCTAACACCTCTCTTACCCACAGCTCATAATCCCCAAACACCACGGCGCCAAACTGCACGAAATCCCGCCCGAACACCTCACCGAGCTCCTCCCCGTCGCCTCGCGTATCGCGTCCGCGCTCGGCTGCGAAAACTACAACATCCTGCAGAACAACGGCCGGCTCGCGCACCAGGAGGTCGATCATGTGCATTTCCATGTCATCCCCAAGCCGAATGAGACGGAGGGGTTGGGCATTGGGTGGCCGCAGCAGAAGGGGGATATGGAGAGGTTGAAGGGGTTGTTGGAGGAGGTTAGGAGTAAGATTTGAGGTGGGGAGGGGATGGCTTTTCGGGAGGCCTGGTCGAGGTGTGGGCATAGCTGAGATGAACATGAATAGGTGTAAAATGCAATAACGTTTACAGTTTCATTGAATGTCTATTTTCTTCTATCGACGGGATATGGAAGTGCAAGAACTGGAGCGAAGGATAAAGGGCATAAGAACACTGCGAGAGTAGGCAGGGAATTTATCACACACTCCTGCGAAAGATAAGCTGAGTCCGCCTCCTCCTTCTCGCGAGCATAGGATAGGACGAGAAAGGTAGCGTGTAATTGAAGGATACAAGCAAGAGCGGCGAAGAACCAAACGAGGTAGATTCGGAAGTAAAAGGTACGAACGGTAGTAAGAAGTAGCAGATAAGACATAGGATAAACGATGGCAACGTACGAATCCCCAATGATAACTCCCAAACTCCCCGGACCTGAAGCCCTCATCAGCAGGTCAATGTGTATCCGTTTCGCCGATACCGAATAGTTCTGTCGTTTACGTCCTGTGTAATGGATGCCGTCTTCGCGTTCATGTCGTCGTCGTCGTCGTCGTTGCAACGACGGTCGCCGTCATAATTGGTTGTTGCTGGGCGTTGAGGAGGTTTCACTGCTGTAGGAAAGAGAAGATCAATTGAAGGGGTTCCTGAAGATTTTGAAAGAGAAGGGATGGTATTTCGAAGACTAACAGCATGAAGAGTTGGGTTTGGGACGAGCTGAAAGGAGAGGAAGAAACGTACACAGGATTCCATGCTCCCGAAGCACCTCCGCAAACCATCTCCCTCGCGCTCTCCAAGTCCATGCCTGTCAACTCGCTCTCACCTCCCCACCGCTGCTGTCGTCCTGAGACGCTTCGTACAAGAGCTTCGAGTACGATTTCCTCACAGAAGTCGGCGACTTCCCACAGTTCCTCGAGACGGTGTAGAAATTGAACCGTTCGATCACTTGACTTGCGGAGACTGTAACCAGTGCGCGGGTCGATTGTGAAGAGGTGCATTGGAATTAAGTGTCGCGGGATGAGGCTGAGGTAGAGTGTGATACGGAATTGGTCGAGGCGGGCTCCTGCTGCATCGCTGCTGGGTTGTTGAGAACGGCTGTTGGCCCGAGTTTGTGATGACGAATATGCAGTCTGTTCTGTGTGCATGTTCATGTCTTGGAGCTGCTGTTGAAGACTATCGAGATCGTAGCTTGAAGGTGCAGTGGCACGGCAAGTTGTCGCCGTCGAGCCCATGGTGGTTGTGGTCGCTGGAGATATCGTCGTTGGACGTAGCTCTTTGGGGGTGGAATGTATGGCAAAGGGGGGAGAGCTCAAGTTTTATAGAAGCAAGTGAGTGCCGTGAGGACGTGAAGTAACGAACGACAAGCCTCGTGACTGCTGTCTTCACACAAGGAAAGCAGTGCAACTCGCCGCGGCGTCCACGCGCCTTTTCACTGACCACTTGCTTGACCAGCAAAACATGCGAAAGGGTCCGTCCAAGGTGAAGGGTTCAAACGAAGGGACCCGCCCGAGGGTTGGTGAAGAGACAGTCGTACCGCAGCTTTTGTAGCATCGACTATCAAAACCACGATCTTTCAACATTCTCACGATGTGCACAGTCCTGCGCACAGTCCCACTTCTCACCAGACAAGGCCCCGAAGTTGCAGAAAATGGGCGATGACGGGCTCTATGTCTGATCGTCATTGTGACCGCAGTGGAGGACCCCTGTCTGCTGTGTTACCTAGTAAGGATACTGCGAGTAAAAGCTGTGCCACCAAGGATTGACGTCCTCTCACGTGTTTCTCACGTTGCTGCAATGTCGGCGTCTTGTCTGCCGGTCGGACACATTCGGCTTGCAATGATTCTTTGTCGCTGGTTGGACGCGGTTCCTCAGGTCCACTGTCGAGCTTCTCGGCTTTCTTGACATCAAGCAGGCTTCGCGTACTTGCATAACCGACATGCAAAAAGGTAGTTTCTGGTCCTCGTTAGTATTGGACGCCTGCCAAGAAGCAGTACCTTATCTATCGATGCCGCCGTAGAGATTGGAATCAGGAGACAGGGTGGTGGGGGTGAAGTCGTCGCATCGAAGTGTTTTGATAGATTGATCGATCTTCTGTGATCCGCGGAGCATATTGAATCTTTCAGGCCTACCTTCGTGAGTATCCCTGGAGCGGCAAGCTGCAAGGTCTTGCTTGTCTGTGACTGCGTTCCACGTACGAACGTGTAGATTGCACACTCGTCAATCACCACGACGAGAGTGATCTGAACAAACGTCAGATCATCTTCAAGAGACGACCGATGCATGCAGCTCCGCCAAACGCCGCACTCACGCCGCAGAAGACGACCAGCACGCCGTACGACGTGCCGTAGGCGAATGTGGAATGTGCATGCCATCCAACTTCGAGCAGCTTTTCTGATAGAGGGCCACCGACAACACCTCCAATACCTTTACCAGCTGCCATGAGTCCAATGAGAGTGCCCGTATCGACATTGCCGTTGCTTTCCAAGCGGCGCATTGCAGCTGCACAGCCGGGCCATGTCGTGTTGAAGCCACCGGTGAAAAAGCCCCAGATAATGGCGAACAAGTATAGCATTGGTGCAGAGCTCGCCAGTCCCCAGAACACGAATGCTGCGACCATGGAGCCGATGGCGCAGATGGAGATTGCGACTGTGACATGATAGCGGTCAGTGATCAACCCAAGAATGACTGCCCCTACAGAGACCCCTCCATTGTAGAAAGCAACACTCAACGGGCCTGCATATTGGGGAAGGCCGATCGTCAATGCGTAGGCCGGCATCCAGAGCAAAGGTATGAAAGCACCCAGGGACTGCGCAACATTTCCGAATTGATAGACCCAGAAAGGGTATCTCTTCATGTATGTGAAGTCTTGAGGGCGAAGGGCGCTGGCGATTGATAGTGGAAGGCGAGGCTGCACCAAGATCAAGCAAGGAGTGGTGAGTATGACCTGGGAAAGCATTAGCCGTTTGCAGATACCATTGACGAACCACACCATTGCTCACAAGAACGACAGCCCAAATTCGAAGGGCAGAGCGAAACCCATACGAATCCAGTAGCCACTGCATGATGAACGGCACCACAACACCGGCTGTACCAGTGCCAGACCACGAGATGCCGTACGCCAGCGCCTTTCTCTTCACAAACCATTCGTCCAGAAAAAGTGTGGCTGGGAAATACAGCAGGATACAACCAATGCCGTACAGCACACCCTGAGTTGCGAGGAGGCCAGCAACCGTGCTACAGAACGACGCTCCCACCAGGCCTATGACCATAGCTACTAGTCCAACGTACATGGCTGGTCGTCGAGTGTGAGGATAACGTTGCATGGCGATCCCAAAGAAGGGACTTGCGAAGTAGGCAACACCAGTCGCTGTCGTACCAATGGCCGCAATACCAGAACTCTGCCTGGCCCCGTGCGAGAATGGCTCATGTGTGCTGTAGTACACTTGGAACACACCAAAGGACAGAGGGAAGCCTGGAGAGGGTTTTAGTGGATGGTCACCAGGGAACATGATCGCCATGCTCACCCCAAACTATGCCATCCAGCATGAAGCAGCCTAAGAGGAAGAGCCATGCTCCACGTCCGCCATCAACGGGAGGAAGAGTATGCGATACAACAGCACCAGGTCCTGACGAGTCATAATGCAAGGACAACTCGTTGGCGGCATCTTGACGATCTTGAGAGGCCACTCGCCGGCTACTGGAGCCTGGCTGCAAGTCTCGAAGCTCAATGGTTGACGAAGCCATTGTGTGGTGGTACGGTGTTGTGTTGTATTGTGACTCGAAGGTGAAGAGGGGATATGTGCCCAGACTTTTGTCAACGGCTTTCAATACTTCGACTTTTGACATTTAACGATGCGGAGATAAGGTTCCAGCCGTAACGCCACGAAGACTACAGGTGCGATTTTGTGACTCTCATTTCCAACCTTCTTTCACCAGCCACCCCTCAATATGAGCACCTCCGACATGGCCGTCGACGTTGCCACGTCGGTCTCCAACAGCACGCAGAGTTCAGATGTTGAAATGAAGGCTGTATCCCCAAAAGCTGAAAGCGAAGCCTACACTTTGATAGGGCCAAGAAAAGCCGCGAAGAAGCCTGTAGCTGTGGACGACGATGAGCCCCTTGTTGATACGACCGAATCGATACCCCTCAAGTCCAAAAAGACCGAGCGGATGCAGAAGCGACAACAGAAGAAACTCAAGAAGACTACTGTGACGTCCGAGACGAAATCTTTCCTAGAGCTGCCTCCCGAGTTACTGCAAGAAGTCCTCAGTTATCTCCGACCAAGTGACATTTTCAGATTACTGCGGCTGAACAAATCCACGAGAGATTTTATTATGGACAACGAGGACCTAATCGCAAAGGACATCATCCTGCACAGATACCACACTCTTGCTCGAAGCTTTCACCTACCGGTCCCTCTTGCACAGGTCGATCCCACCGCACAAGCTGCACTCTTGAGCAAGAACTGGCAGGATAGGTTGCAGATCCATAAGAAGCCATACCAACACGTGCGAGTCATTGATCCGGCCAAAGTCTGTACCTGCATGTCCTGTATGCTTTCGTGGAACAACCTTAATGTTGTTCTCGACCTGGCCTTCTTCCAGCGGCACCTCAACAATCGCGACCCGATTCCAATGATCCCACGTGGTACCTATCCTGAGTGGAACCGCAAATTGGTCGAGCGAAATGCATCCATAGTCGAGAAGGCGATGCGAAGCCCGCTGCACTACGCCGCAATACTGCAAATCCACCTCACCACCCTTGTGGGCACTCTCACACGCCAAGTTCGAGTGGGCAAGAAGACATGCCACCCTCGACGCCTCTTCCACCTCTCGACGGCCGACATTGAGTCTGGGACGGACCGTTTCCTCGAGCGCAGTGGTCCGCCTTCATACGAGTTTCCCTTCCACCGAGACAACTACTATTCTCTCGAAGCCTACGTCCCAAACAGAAAGTGGGATCGCGAGGACCAGGTTTGGCTATATGCAAGCCCAGGAAAGCCGCATGATAATGACCTCTCTTGGGTTGTGGCTCGCTTTCAGCCTGACCTATCCCCGGAACAGGGCTTGGGTCAGTTTGTAGCAGAGTTCGCCGAACAGCTGCGCGCATCGTAGGATATGTGCAATCAATGAACAGTCAATTGGAAATGCCAGAAAACGGCCACGTCTTGGAATACCTGATGCTTGTCAGCCAATCATCACACAGCCTCAAATGGTTACACTCAGCCTGGCTCGCGCACAAAGCGAGCGAATGCTTCCTCACGCACAAACCGTACGCTTTAACACTCTTCCGATGTGAAGAAACTAAGATGTGGCACTACCACAAGACCGCCATCCGTATTGTATCGCAAACGGTAGTGTTCGGCCCAGAACACTTCTCGATACATTCCGCGGCTAGCTGGCGAAATTGCGCAGACGCGCGACCACATGGCAGGTTCAAGGTGTGTTGTTTTCATTCCATTCCATCTTGGCATGTAGATGCACTTCGCTCTCAGATCGCACGGTTTCGTGTCTCGTTGCCCTGCTACGCATCACCGCCGACTACTGTCACTCGTTATTGTTTCACACTGTATGACGGACTGAACACGACAGCAATAGCTTGGTAAACCGACCAAGTCTTTGCGGACGACGCTCCTCCGGCAGCATGTACCTCCATGGCGGCGTTCTGGGTCTAGCGGTCGCAGCGCTACCACTCGGGGCGTTGTCACAGATCATCACCATCACCGAGTACCCAAGTACATGCAGCGCTGTCTACACTTCAAGGACCGCGACTTTCACCAATGGCAGCGCAATCTACACGAGTGGCAGCAGCTCAGTGACTGTCTACCAGTCGACTGTCGTTGTAACGCCAATTCCCTCGAGCGCTCCGGCAACACCCACAGCTCTTTCAGACGCGGCTCTGAACGAAGGCCTTCCTTTCGTTCTTCAAATACAGCCCGGCGTCGGAGGAGGCTCCAAGCGAAGGCAGGCTGAGAGTGCAACGTATCTCACAGCTGGCGGATACACCACAACGGATCCCAGCAGAGCCGTTCAGTACAGAATAAACAATGGCACCTTGGGTGCAACAACCGGCGGATGGATCTCGACTGAACCAGAAGTTGAGAACATGCCATTTGCAATCTCTTCGACACTCGGATCAATCAGCACTGAATTCGCCTTTCAGAATCTACAGCTCCACTGGAACAACTCCGCCTTCGATGGTGGTGCTGCAGGATTCTTCACCGTCCGCGCCGGCAATGGCAGCCAGCAAGTCGTTGTCAGGTTCAGCGGAGCTCGCGATCCCAGTTGGGTTGCTGTCACATTCGCCGCTCAATCAGCAAGTGGGCTCGGCATACAAACACTCAGCTCTGTCGGATCAACGACAATCTCGACTTTGATCTCGATCGGCAGCATGACGGTTCCAGTGACTTCCGGCAGCACCACCGCTGAGGCTCCGTCCAGCACTTCAGAGAGTGCCCTACCTCTCGGCACCTGTGGTCCAGAAGTTGGACTCAACTGCTACGGCGCTGATGCAGGAAGCTGCTGCAGTCAGTATGGATATTGCGGTTCTGGATTCATTTACTGCGGAACCGGATGCCAGCCAGAGTATGGCGATTGCGATGTCGCCGAGAGCAGCACCAGCGTCTCGTACGTGCCTACGGTCATCACAAGCGGGACGGCTGTGATTTCGACGAGCGTACCAGTCGTACCATCATCCAGCGCTGTGGTCTCTGGCGACGTGGTCTCCAGCAGCATCCGTTCCAGTAGCGTGGTGTCTAGTGGCGTAATCCCGAGCAGCGTAGCCTCCAGCGGCGTGGTTTCCAGCGGCGTGGCATCGAGCGCTTCGATCTCCATCTCTGCCGTAGTCCCACCATCTGCCACCCCTTCATTTGCGGCACCAAGCTACAGCTCGCCAGCCTCATCGCCAGCAGTCTCGCCTACGCCCAGTGTCAGCCTCTCCATCGTGACATCCGATGGGAGCAGCGTCACCTACTCGATCACATTCACTCCAATTCCATCGGTCATTACGAGCGGCAGCTCTGAATACACTCTCCTTCCAACATACAGTGTGCCTGGAGAACCTATCGGCCCCATTGGTCCAATCCAGAGTTCGAGCTTGCGGGATACGGTCATCTCATTGCCTCCAACGCAGGCTTCTAGCTCATCGTGGGTTGTGGGATCGTCAAGTGTGCCGGCGTGGTCTTCCTCAGCCCCTGCTTCAGTGTTCTTGAGCACCTCATCTCCAGTACAGATCCCATCATCTGCCGTCCAGGTCCCATCTTCAAGCGCCCAGATTCCATCCCCCAGCATCCAGCTCCCATCGCCAAGCTTCGCTGTCACCAGTTCGTCCAGCTGGAGGGCTTCATCTCGGTCCACCACAACCTACACAAACCTGGAGACTTTCCCCTCGATCATACCAGACCCGACGACCTCTTCCAGCTCGACTGCTGTGATCAGCCCCAGCACTGCCAGTCCTCGTGTATCGAGCTCGCCATCTAGCAACGTGGCGCCGCCTTCCAGCAGTGCAGCAATATCTTCAACCAGATCATCAACATCCTCAGCAGCATCAGCTACATCCACCGGTGCAATCTGCCCCGCTGGCGCTGGCAGCGTCGTCACAGACTCGCAGGGAGCTCAGTACACCATCGGCTGCGGCAGGGACACGCTGGGCAACTCATCGCCAGGTCTCGAAGCACGCAACTCATACGCCGACTGCATGATTCTGTGCGACAACACCTCCGGTTGCCTGGGATTCACATTCGCGGGAGCTGACATGTATGGAGTTGGCCCGGGCAACTGCTACCTCAAGAGCTCCAACAACGGGGAGCCTCTGGAGTTCTCGCCTTCCGATGTTCTGAATCCACGGCTCGTGTCTGGTATCCGCGTCGCAGGCGCTGCATCGCCATCCCCCAGCTCCTCGCGAGCGGCAACTTCGTCTGCTCTAGGATCTTTACCAGGAAGCTCCATTCTCCCAAGTTCGACCCCTCTGAGCAGCATCGCAGCCCTCCCCTCATCAAGCCCAGCCCCAACAACCAGCAGCGCAGCCCTCACCTCATCCTCATCGCCATCCTCGAGCTCAGCTCCACCCACCCTCACCCACCTCGTCCTCAACTCCCCCACCCCCTGCGACTTCGGCGACCCCCCAACCTGGGACGAAGACGACTCCTACTGCGAAGTCCGCCTCCCCTCCCCCATGACAGTCTACACGCAATCCTCGCCGCGAACCTACTTCTCCACCAACGGCTTCATCGCCCTGCTCTCAGGCTCCTCCCAATATCAAGTCCAACGCCTCCCCACCCCCTGGCTCCCCAACTCCACCATCGCGCCCCTCTGGGACGACTTCTTCGTCTACCGCGAAAACGGCCAGACCCCCACGCAGGGCATGTGGTACCAGTTCAACAACGGCGGGGTGGAATACGAATGGTACGTCGCGCGCGCCGGGGTCGAGGAGACGATTTACCATTTCACGGCCGGGTATAATTATTCGCGTCCGGGGGTTTTTGAGTTTAGGTATTATTTGACGGGCGGGGAGGAGGAGGGCAGTTTTGCTAGTGTCGGGATGCAGGGTCGTAAGTCACTACCATTATCTCCTTCTCCATCGTTTGGGTATTGGTAAGGGCTTTTGCTAATGCGCTTTTTTGTGTAGTGGATTCCACCGGGTTGGCGACGGGCTTTCAGTACAGTTGGAAGACGGCGATGATCACGCCGGGACTGGTGTTGACGTGTGATACTAATGCCAACTCCTGTACGCAGGGGGCACCGGAGTACTGAGAGGGACAGAAGGATAGGAGATGGTGGGGGAGTAGAGGATGACAGGGGAAGTCTTTTATTTGAGGTGTAATTTAAACACATGCAAAATCGATATTGAGGCGTAGGGAGAGTATTTGCTTGCTTCTTTGTTCAATTGCACATCATCTCGAACGTCCTATGTGTCTCTTGGGGCTGTGTGTCGGGGTCGTGTGAAGGTAATGATACATTGTCGACTACTTCGTCTCTCAGGCCATTGTCGCCCGACCCCCAATTCTCCGCGAGAAAGCCTTTTCCGTTTCCACTCAGACGCCAGACTAGTATTCGCCCCTGATAGACCTTCCTTCCGATCCCAAACGCCCTGCTAAATTCCAACTCAAGGCAGATACGCACCACCCGCCACAATGAGATTCATCTGCGTGAACCGCACCTTGTACACCGGGCTTTTCTTCGTTGGGAACGCCGAGATCTGATCGGGCGAGACCACAACGTCCTTCTTCGCCTTGTTCTTGCTCACGGCCCCGCTACCCACGGCATTACCGTCGACTTTGGTTCCCGCGCCACCTTCTCCCACGATCTTGCCTTGGCTGTCTTGGTTTGGTTGGACATCCCATACGCGGACTGTGCCGTCTGCGCCGCCAGATACGAGCACGGTCGACTCTACGCACCAGTCCAGACTCCAGATGCCGCCTCGGCCGTGTCCACGCATGCGCTTGACCAGACGTCCAGTTGTGAGGTTCCAAAGAATGATCTCACCCCTGTCATCTGCACTTGCAACCACCTGTCCGCTTGGTGCACATGCAATAGCAGTGACATTGCCGGTGTGTCCAGTGAAAAGTCGCACTGAATGTCCTCGTTGCAAGTCCCACATGCGCACCGTGCGATCGCCGCCGCCTGAGCCTGTGAAGACGTAGGCGTTGTTGGGATGCCAGGCAACAGTCTCCACATCGGAGTCGTGACCGACGAATAGTCGGAGAGGGGCAATCTGAGGCGTGCTCCACAGCCGTGCAGTTCGATCCGCGCTCGCAGAGGTGAAGTAGTGACCTTGAGGACAGAAGCGCACATCCCAGACTGGCGAGTTATGCGATCGGTAGACCACCAAATTTGACCATGTGTCCATTGACCAGAGGCGGATGGTTGAATCAGCAGATCCAGAAAGCAGGTATCGGGGCTGTGATTGTGAGGAGCTGGAGTTGTTGGTGTGGCCGTTGGAAGTTGGTCCAGGTAATGAGATAGAAGGCGAGAATGAGAGAGCGTAGACAGGCCCGGCATGGCCCACTAAGCGTCTCGATGTGGAAGGCTGATATGACGGCGGATCGGTGGGTGATGTGAGAGGCTGGTTCTCCAGCGACCATACTCGGATGAATGACTCAGCTGTTCCAACGGCAACGAGTGTGTTGTCGCCAGAGAACTCAATACAGTTGACACTGTCGAATGTGTTGTGGAAAGTGAACATCGTGACGCTGACTCCAGGTCCAACTCCTCCCGATCGGCCCTCAATGCGGAATCGGTCCCTGTTCTCTTTGATCTTCTGCACCTCCATGGCGACATCTCGTGCGGTTGATGGTGGAAATGGAATGCCCTCACGTGGAGCTGCGTCGTCTAGAGGTTCTCGCTTGATTGACTGTTCGAACTCCTCTATCAGAGTGTTTTGACCGGGGCCTGGTGGGTGCGCTGCGTCATGCTCTTGTAGCTCGGCTTTTACATCCTCCATCAAGTCGCTTTCCATCGGCAAAGGGCCGAGCGAAAGCTTCGAAAGCACCTGTGGTGCCTTAGGATCGAGGTTTGCCGAGCCAGGATTGTGCCCGGGGATTCCCTCATCTTCTGCTGGAACATCTTGGGGTCCATCGCGCTGAGCAAGCAGTTTGGCGAGACTTCGTTCGGCTCCAAGGGAGGCACGATCGACCCCGCGAACGTAGAGGTTATTCTGAATGATGCTTTGCACGATCAAGCCGCCTTCGTTGTCCTTTGACTCCAAGAATGTAACAAGCGCCGCCAAGGCCATGTTGCTCAAAGTCAGGCGATACTTGTTGTTGCGGTAGAGCTGTGCGATCTCGTTTTCCTGCACATGCTCTGGTTCGTAAATGGCGGATAGTGCACGCAAATCGTCCTCAAACTCCGACTCGAACTGGTCTCTGAAGCGCTGGAAGAACTCTGTTCCATCCCGGGCGAAGAACTCGGTGACGCACTGAAGAAATGAGTAGACGAAGAGAGGCCATAACAAGCGTTTGAGCTCGGGCTTGTAGATGTCGAGGACGTTGTCGATCCAGTTCTGCGTGAGCTCAAATGCCCTGCCGTACTTCTTACCGCCCATCTCGTCGATTGTCGTTGCGATCGGGTTGCCGTTTGCATCGGTCTTTTCGCTTTCTTTCCTGAGCATAGCCTCCGTTCGGCTGTATCCTTTCTTAGAAAGGTATTCAAGAACCTGTATCAGCAGTCAGTCTTTGCGTGATGACCAGTTTTAAATCAATGTTGCGCGAATTTGCAAACACGGAAGTCATTGTTCGAAAGCTCACTGTGCAAACCAAACCAGCTTGTCTTAAATATTCTTTGTGCCCTGGATGTGCTCTGTCGTAGCTGTACGGGGTAAGAAGCGGGGGTGGGAGGTGTGGTGTCGGCGATAGACCAGGCCCACGCTCGTTTGTGTTGCCCGTGACTGGCACCATCGTTGCAGGCCGGCTCGTGATGCGAAAGAGCAAAAGGTGTTGGGACGAAATGCTTGGCGTGTGCTTTGCAGGTCGATGGTCGCGGGTGGGGGTGTTCAACACCAAGATGCGCTTTCGCGAGTCGCGCACACGGCGTTTTGCACTGGTGAATGAAAGGGGTTCATTAATTGCGGCTTACAATTTGATTGAGATTTTGCTGCGTCTGCCCTCCTCCCTGCCCGCCTGGAGTGGTCGCGGACGGCGCATTCATGCCACCAGCGCTGGGAGGCCCAACGCTTGCCGTGCGCGACGACGGCGGTGGCTGCGCTGCCATGATGAATAGTTTTTGAGGTTGTAATTACATGAAATGGAAGAGTGGAAGAGGAGTCGCGAAGGCGATGGCAACGCCGTGAAAGAGATGAAGTGAGGTTGGCTACGACCGCGCTGGGATGCTGTTTATTCAAGACGGCGGCGGAAGCTTTCTTTACACGTGAAGATCAGGCTACTGCTCCGAACACATGATAAAGCCACCCCAGCGTCCCATACATTCCAACTACACTTCTCCCGGCTTGCTGATTTCCTCGACATGGCAACACGATAGTTTACAAGCAACATGGCGGAACAGACCATCACGCCAGCGGAGCGCATACGCGAACTGTCCGCTATTAACACAGATGTCGCCGTAATGCTTACGTCTGCTGGACAAGCAATCAACGCCCTCACCAACAGACCCGCCAGAGCCGCCGATGGAGACGCGCAAATGACGGACGACGCGAGCAGTACCATGGATGCGCATAAGAAGGCTTTCACAGAGAACACTGAGGCCTACTTCATCAACGTTCAGGCTGTCTTCGCGCGACTGAGGCGACAGGCATATGCGTTGGAAGAGGCGGGCATCATTGACTCCGACGACTCGGCACTGGCCACTACAGTTCCTCGCTCAACGACAGGCCCTGTAGAACCACAGGCTCGCGGTACGCCGCCGCTAGCGCCGAAGCAAGAGCCCGTGCGTATCGTGAATGGTGGGCTTGGGAAGTTCGATGTGGGATGGTTGAATAGCAGGGGTAACAAGGTTGGGGAGGAGAAGGAAGCGGAGTTGATACAAGAGGCGAAGGAGTTGCTGGAGGAGGCTCTGTCGAAGGAGGGGACTGCCGGAGGTTGAGAGCATCGCCAGACGCATGCGTGGATGCGAGTCTACCCACACTTCGCCGTGAGAGCGTAACGACTCCCGTATTCGAACAGAAAGTGAATGCGATTCGCGTGTTGCGAAGAAGATACCACACATTCACTTTTGGTGGGGCGCGCGCATCAGACTTCACTTCTGGATCGGCCATTCAAAATATCCTCGCTTATCTGTCAGGTCGACTCGCTGCGCACCTCGAATTTGTGAAGCACACTCGAGACCTCCCAACATGAGTTCTACCAAGAAAGACAAGAAGAAAGGTCAGCCTCGGACCGGGTTTCCCGTCAGCCCAACACCGTTCTTCATGTTTTCATCCTCTGCAACCGAACACCCGCCAGCGATGCCAGCATTTGGCGGCGGTCGCGTTGTGGGTTCATTAAACGATGCCACGGCGTCTACATTTGGTGCTCCATCGAAGCCTACCTCGCATGCCATGACTCCTTCTGTACTCCCGGTCCCGAGTGCGCAGAAAGGTCCTGAGCCGGGAGAGTCTGGCGCACACACCACGACAACTACTCCCTTCTCGAGTGCGCAGGGCGTGCCTGACCCACGCCTTTCTCTCTCGCGCAATGTCGAGTAAGTCATGCCCGCCAGTCATGATTTGATCCTTGACTAACAACAGGAGCACCTCTGGCAGCATCATCGCGTGCCGAGTCGGTACACCGCACACCACCTTCTTCGTTCATCGCGCCGTTCTCTACAAGTCGTCCGAGTTCCTCAAAACCCATGCCGAGCTCGAGAGTAACGACATCGACTCTGAGTCGTCCATTTCGCTCCCGGATTTCAACTCCGAGGCCTTCGCACTCTACTCGAAGTGGCTCTACTCCAGCGCCATCATCAGCATCCCAGAAGACGAGACGCCCAAGGACGATGCTGAATGGAGGGTCCTCGCCAGCGCATACGCCCTCGGCGAGAAACTCATCGACATTGACTTCAAGAACACCGTCATCGACGCACTGCGCGCCAAAGTCAAGAGCAAAATCGGCAACACGGTGTGGAAGGTTGCGCCTGAGCTCGTTCGCATTATCTACGCCGGCGACTCCAAAGACTCGCCCGCGCGACGCTTTGTGGTCGATTTGTACCACGGTCACGGCGGTGCGAGCAATCTCGACGACCGCAGCCTTCCAAGCGACTTCTTGTTCGATCTGGCTCGTGTCGGCCTTGTTCGAACTATCAAGAGGCACGTCAGCAGCGAGAGGTGCGAGCATCATGAGCATGGCAAGGACAAGGCTTGCTACATCGATCGTAAGGCATGAACATCAGATAGTGGGGGAAGACCGGAGGAGATGAAGCAACAGCCAGGAGTCATGACGGCGGCGATGTAGTCTGGTTCTGACTGTTAGAAGCGATTCGTATGAAAACAAATGTGAGCGCGTTGAAAGTTACGACGGTACCGTGCATCAGCGGCACTGAACATACTGTGTTTCCGGCGTCGGTCCTCAATCAACGAGTGTCACATGTCAGGCGCGCGGAGCTTGAAACTGCACGGACCTCCGAGCGTTTGTCACGGGCTTAAGAAGTCGTTTGCTCTTCTCAACCTTCTCAACACCCACCACCTTGTCTTCCACTTCAACTTTCTGGCGCATCATGAGTGCTTCCAACAGCATGCATTCGAGTCGGCCACAGACGGCAATACCTGCAGCTGCGCAGCGTCCAACGCAAACTGGTGCACCGTCTTCAACTCTCATCAGTTCTATGCGCGATGCGTTTATTAAAGACGCAGAAGGTAGATTTCGCATGTCCCTTTCGCGACACGCTCCAAAAGCTGCCGATTCGCAACAAGTTCGTGATCCATGCAGAGTCCCCGTCCGCGACATTGAGTGAGTCCACCCAGGTCGATCCTTGTGCCATAAATGACTGGAGGGTGATCGCTGACTGACATATGGCATAGTGCGAAAGACACCATGGTGTCTGTTCTCGTGTGCAATCCTCCCGTCACATTCAATGTCCACCGCAAGACCCTCCTGCGCTCGTCCGCGTTCCTCAAGGCCAAGGCCAAACCGGAGTGGTCCAAAGGCGAAGCGGCGGTGGGGATTCCGAATCACTCTTCCGAGATCTTCGGCATCTACTGCAAATGGCTCTACTCAGGCTGCATCGTTGGCTGTATGGGCTTGCCAAGTGCGACTGTCTGGACTTCGGCTTGGGGTCTGCTGGCGGATGCCTTCGTTTTGGGTGAGGAGCTCATGGACACGGAGTTCAAGGATACCGTCATGGATTCGTTCCGGGCGAAAGCTCAAGGCGAACATGGACGCAGCTTCTGGCTCAGTGCCCCAGAAATTGTGCACACCATCTATGATGGAACTCCATCGTCGTCTGCTGCTCGGAAGTTTGTTGTGGACATCTTCTACAACCACGCCGAGTCTGCCGTCTTGGATAAGACGGAAGAGTACCCAACCGACTTCCTGCTCGACCTGTGTCGCAAGAGTCTGTCGCGCGCGAACAGGACGCCGATGGCTGCTCCTGGAGATGTCTACACTTTGAGCTGCATCTATCACGAGCACGGCAAAGACGGAAAATGCTATCTCAATGGCAATTCATGAGGACTACGTGGAACTGCGGAAGATGGAGAAGTCATCCCGACTAAGGGCCTGAGAGGCGAGTTTGAGATCATTGAGGCGACCCATAAACATGGTCGAGAGAAGGAAAAGCTACCTTCTCCTCAAATGAAAATGCACGTTGAGACCACGGCGCACGAGAATACGCCACTAGCTGCTCGTATGACTGGTATTCATCGTCCAGGGGCTACTCGAAAAACCATGGAGAATCCCATGCCTGCCGAATTTGATTCATCCGATGCTCAATCATCAGAACTGGTCTCCCCACCCCGAGTCCCTCCCCTCATCGATTCCCCCTAAACCCATCGAAACCATCTCCACTCCCCTCCTCAACACCAGGAAATCCTGTCGCGCCATCTCCCTCCTCATCAACGACCTGGCCCAATCTCGTCAACTCCGTCTGATAGACATCCGCGTTCCTCGCCAGCCCCTGCTTCACCTTCTGCAACTGCTCGAAATTGATCCTGCCTTGGTCATACATATCCTTTGCTAGCGAAGCCTCCTCCAACAGTACAGACTGCCCCTTCTCAATCGCACTCTCGAGGAACTGCGCACGCTTGAAATCGACACGGCCCTTGTCGAGCATGATGCGGAGGTGGTAGGCGGCGTTCCAGGCAAGCTTTTTGGAGATGATACGATTGTTGGTGGTGACCTTGAGGCGAAGTTCGGTTTTTTCGTCTTCCGTTAGCTCGTTGTCCCGGTCGAGGAGCCGCTTCTCAGCTCGACGGGCGTCTTTGTCCATGCGGAAGAGGCTTCGCACGCGGTGTGAGTGGAGACGGGCGTCCTCTGGCACGCCAAGGTAGTCTGCCACGTTCATTTTGCGGGCTGATGGTTCGACGAATTGGTCTAAATCTGTTTTGCCATGGGCTGATTCCTGAGCAAACGATATTTTCGTGGAGAACTGCCTTGTAGACCGCACGTTCAGGTTGATGGGCCTGGCCATGGTGGAGAAGGTGCGACTGCCATGTGTGTTAGTGTTTGGCGGCGCCGGGCGGTGGAGTTGGTTATCAGACGTGCCTTCTCCACTCGAATTCTCGTTCCCAGGCTGTGGATCGCCACCAAGTCGGATCGAGTCTTCACGGACAACGTCCTCTGGACCCCATAGATCACCAGCGTCAGCCTGGCTCGATTCTCGGGTCGAAGGACTTGACCGCTGATCGCGCTTGACGCCGTAATTTGGAGTCTCAAACCCAAAGTCGTAGTCGTCTTCCTCTTCCCTGGCAGCGGGGCTCAAATCGTCCTCATACGAACCCATGGCTTCCTCAAAGTCGACGTGTTCCGCAGACGCAACCGCCCGCTGATCTCCACCTGTTGGCGATGCAGTGTCTGAACGCTGGCGCTGCTCAGGTCGGAGATTGAGTGGAGATCGTGAAGCTTCCTGCCGAACGAACTCATCCCCAAGAGATAGGGGATCAGGCAGATCTTCAGGCAAGAGCACAGTACCTTTCTTCTTGACCTCTGCACCCACGTTTCTGTATTCCTGCTTAGCATACGCAAGGCCACCAATCGAGTCCCAAAACTCTGGATCCACCTGCGATGGCCTCACTGCATCCTCTTCTCCGGGTAATTGACAGGATACGAGGCGACCAACGACGATGACGTGGTCGCCCGCCTTAACACATCGTTCCGGTAACAGCTTGGCGTGTAGTTCGGCCAAGACCCCTTCCTTGTGGATTACTCGTGGAGGTGCGTCCTCGTCACGGGAAATGATCTCTGCGCCCAGTTTCTCAAGCTGCAAGAATCCGTCGTGGGGCTCCTTGAGGCGCTTCGTGAACGTGTCTGCAATCGCTGCACCTGTTGAAGTGGCGGTGAGCAGATGTACACGGAACTCTCCAGACGTTGAGATTGCATCCCAACTTCGGCTTGGGACTTTGACATTGAATGAGACGATTGGTCGCGGACGGAAGGCTACAGTATTGAAAGACGACACCGTGATGCCTCGGCTGCGGCGAAGTTGGCTGTCCGCGATTTCCTGAACGTCGGCTCCGGCGTTCTCCTCATTATTCGTGTCGTCAACGGCTTGGAGGCGAGGCACCTGCGAAGTGATTAAAACCACTGGGTGACTGAGTGGTCGAAGAGCAAGTCGGACATCGTCAGCAAGCTGTGCAGCTTTCTCACGGCTAAGGTCTTGTTCTGCATCAATATCTGGCATATTGGCCCAGACGCTTGAAAGTGATGCGTGCACACGAGACGAAATCTTGACCAAAGAATTGCTCAGCCGCTCTCGTTCCCTCTCCATGGCGCTCGATACCTCCAGCCGGAACCTCAAAACACTTTGCAAGGAGCCATGGGCTACGAAAGAGTCGTTCAAGAACACAACATCTTGACAGCCAGTCGCAGACTTCAATTGTTCAGCCGTATAGCGGGTTTGAAAGCTTTGCAGGACTTGCTGCTTGCCATGACCTGTGATAGATACAGTACATCTGTACACGGTTTTCAAAGGCTCGTGATGATCGTGCGTTTGGTCTTCAGCCGGGTTGCCACTAAGTTGGGCAACTATGAAATCGAGTTCTGGCCAAAAAGGGGTCCAATCGTGCCGCTCATGGATGACACGAATACCGCGTGAGGGGACACCGCATTTCTGGTACCCTTTGGCAGCCACCTTTGCGAACATTGCTTTCGCTTGCTCTACACATCCCTCGCTGCCTTGAATCAACTGCAAATGTCGGTGGTCTTTGAGACTCAGGATGGAAGCTTTTGAATAGCGACGGACCGAGCTGACACGAGCGGAGACGTATGCCCGTACAGCATTGTGCTGTTCACCGGGAGGGCAGACTTCAACCAGCGATGTGAAATCCCTGTTTTGGCTCATGCCTTGGCTCTGATCTGAAGCCTGCGTCGCGTTCACATCGATGGTCTTTCGGTCTTCCCCTGACGTTTTGCTTGAACGTCCTGTAGTCCCAACACTTTCGTCCTTGCTCATCTCCTTTTTGATGAGCTTGAACGCCCTCTGCATCGATGACAAAGCTTCTTTGGGCCCGGTAAGTGTAACCAAGCGGCTTTGAACCTTATCATCACTGCTCTCAGCCCGCAACTCTGTTGTTTCCGTTGACATCGTCAACTTGAGCGCCTCGGCTAGCCTTAGAAAAGCTGTCTTCGGCATCACTTGCTGCCACTGGCTTTCTGTGAAGGCGACCACCAGCTCCAAACTCTCATCGGCCAGTCGACGGAAGACATCACTTCCAGCCCTCAGATAATTGGTTGAGTAACGGAAGATTGCAAAATTCTCGTCGCGAAAGGCACGGTTGCACATGTTCAAGTCATCCCAAATTTTCGAAACTGTCTGCCACGGGCCTGCAAGATACACAGTGGAGTGGGGCGACTGCGTTGCTTGGGTTAATGTGGGCTGAGATTCATCTTGTCCCTGGCCAGTTGCTTCGGTGATGATCTGCTTGACCACAATTTCACCGCCATATCGCCATTTCAGGAACTCCAGTTGGTCGCCGTAGCGAAATCGCCATCTTGTTGCCGTCGCGGCATCAATCGAGTGCTCCAAAGCAATATGGTCTTCCGTTCGAGAGCGTATGGCTGTGCGGCCAGGTTTTATGTTCGAGGAGGGTAGATAAGTGTTTGAAAGTATGGGGCCCATTCGCCACAACTTGGGAGTATTCTGTGCGCTGCCAGGCTTCCCTTCTGAGGTCTCTTGGGGTGTGCTGGCCGACCCATCGGTCTTAGCCGGCTGCGTCGCGTGGTTCCCCTTCAGAGCATTGAATGCGTCTACAACCTCCTTGAATGACCCCGATATCAAAATAGAGTGAATAGTGTTGCGCGGCCCAAGGTCATCGACCCCTTCTCGCTTCTTAAACAGCTCTTGCACTTCTATCCTCGCGCCCGTACGGTCCTTCAAACGTTCAAGCCTTGCACCGTGTACCCCTTGGACCTCTTGGAGAACGTCACCAGCAATGGCATACTCGAGCATGAGACCAGCTTCGGACCGAAATCGCACAGCATATTGACCTGCATCCATGGTATGGAATGGCTTTACAGCCGCAGAGACTACTTCGCTTTCGAGCATCGCTTTCGGGACACCTCGTCTGTCTCCATTTCGTCCATTGTTGTTAGCGTCCTGCCTCCTGCCCTTCCTGGGCTCTCCCTCCTCGGACCTGGCCTTGATGTGATCCAGCGAGATGCTCCCATATCCGTGAATCGGTGGCGACCAAGTACTATGCCTCCGAATCCTGAGTCTACGAGGTGGATTGCCTTCCTCCTCCACCTTTTGCTCCTCGCCTTCTTTTGAGGGAAGATCCTTCAACGATACATGGCTTATGTTTGAGGATCTGCTGCGACGGCCGCCCGATTCCTGGGTGAACACTGGATCTTGCTCGTCATATTGGAGTCCAGAGGAGTGGAACGCTGAAGTGCAAGAGCTGGTCGAAGGTAGCCATTGTCGTTGGGTACGCGTTGCGAGGATGTTCCATTGGTAGAAGGCTTGATAGAAGCGTCGAGCAGCGAGGCCTGGACGCTGACGCTGCATTGAAGGAGCCGCCCTATTTTCAATGCGAGTTCGATGACATATCGAAGACGTGAAGTCCATCGACCTCGCCTCGACCTCAATGCCAAGACTCACCCCCGAGCTCCTCCGCAAACCTTCTTCGGACCTCACCCATTGACGACGACGACATCAATCAGATCTCCCATAGTCCAAATCGCCTACAATGTCAATAATACGACCCTCCCTCCGCCCCAAGAGCGCCGTCTCGCCCCAACACATCCACCAACAAGTCCGGCACGCGACCCTCCTCCGGCGTCCTAAACGACCTTACACCTTCACCCAACTCATAACCCTTTCCGACGGAAGTACATTCACACACCGCACGACATCTCCCGCGCCGATCTACAAAAGCACAAAGGACACCAAGAACAGCCCTCTATGGAACCCGAGTTCGCAGAAGTTGTTGAATGTCGAGGAGGATGAGGCGGGGAGGTTGAAGAGGTTTCGAGCGAGGTTTGGGAGAGGTTTTGATGTGGAGACTTTGGAGGAAGGAGAGGAGGCGCGAGAAGGCGAAGAAGGCGTACCGCGAGAACGGGAAGAGGAGAGTTTACTCGATATGATTAGTTCGGTGGGCAAGGAGGCGGAGAAGAAGGGTAAAGCTGCTGGGAAGGAAGAGGCTGTGAAAAGTGGCAAGGGAAAGGGCGGGCAGAAGTGAGCAGAGAAAAGCATCGGGTTGTAACAAAGTCGGTTTGAGGAGCACGTTCCGCTTATTCTGAACATCACACTGGACAAACGCATTGAGCATGGCAAGGAGGCCAGTGCAAGAGCATGGTGAATCACGCCGGACAAAGGACACAGACGGTCATGTTGGACATGTGTATGGGGTGAGAAAGGAATCCACACCCCCAGTGCCTGCAAGCAAGAAGACGGGACATGACGTGTGAGAATTACCGCACAGCCAACTGAGCAGGAAAGATGGCAAGATTGACGAGAGGTCAAGCAACTCAATGTACAGCAAATGTATCATACCACCGCGAACAAGGTCTCATTGAGACCCATCGAACGCCTCGCTAAACCATCAATGCCTCGCTCCCACCTTCATCTATGCACTCGAGCGCCTAGCCCTCTCTTCAACACTCGCTCTCAACCCCTCAATGACCTCCTCTCCAAGCCACCTCACCTTCCCATCACCCTCACGTCTCGCCCTCTCCGCCCAAGCAAACAGCACCCTCAAATTCCACAATGCATTCCGATCGTTGCCCCGCACTGCCTTGCTCAGTACCATTCTGTCATCCACCACTGTTGCACGATCGTCCGAATAGACGGAGCTGTGGACATCAGGAGGAAGCAAAAGCTCGACATCAGCGCGATCTACTTCCTTGAAAGCGTGAAGATTGAACAGCGTGTGCCAGATCTGCGGATTGAGCACTGTAGCCGTCTGGGCATCATTCAACGCCGCCAATGCAGCACTGAAAGCTGACGAGTGGGCTTCTGCTGCTGGGCATCGCCTAACGAAGACTCGCTGGTCCTCGCGGAAGGCTTTCAGATGCTCTGGATTGTTCGCAAAGTCGAGGGTTACGCGCCAATAAGCTGGGTTATCGGTCTGTATCGTTGCGATAGTGTCCAGCTCTGGTAGCAAGCACGGCGCTCGCATGCTCACTTCTGTCCCGTCCCGCTTAGTGACTTTGATGGGCATGTGAATTGGTCGCTGTGTGTCGATATCCTCTATGATGATGCATCTTGCCTCAGCGGCGAAGACCCAAAGATGTCTGAATGCCTGAAGATGAACTCGGTTGTCCTGTACATCTGTGGGAAACAGCGGGTAAAATGCGCAGATGAGGGAGGCAATCGCCAAATTTGAAGTCCCGAGGCTGAACGTCCCACCGCCCAGGAAGAGTACACCGATGGCCAGATGGGCGGCAAGATGAGAACCGTAGGTAGTGTCAGAATCGGTACGGCCATGCATGCGACGAAGATAGCGGAAAGTCTCAAGATCACCAGTTCCGGCCATGACCACAGCCGCACAGAGAGCGAGAGCGTCCATGCAGCGCTTCAGTGCAGAACGTCCCAGCTTGGCATCGAAATAGTATGATTCTGACCAGCCGAATGCGTAGAAAGCCTTCAGCACACCCAGAATCTCATCGCGGGCCAGGACATTCCCACTGCCTGCGTACTTGAGTCCCAGTGCCCAAGCCAGTCCAGTGAAGACGTTGAAGAGCGGGATGTGAGCACTGTTCATGGTGTTCTTCATGGTGACCTGATTGCTTGCGTCCACGAGCTTGCTCTTGTAGAAGTTCGGCAGGTTCGCGTGGATCCAACCAGGTCGGCCGGACACAATGCCCTGCGCCTCGATATTGTCCCAGAGAATGATGTGCTTGGCCATGGCACGAAGCATGAGAATGTCTGGTCTCACATGGTCGTACTGTGCTTCAGTGTCTGGAATGTCGATCTTGTTGGCCACAGCCCTGTCGCCGGACTTCATGTAGACAAGCGCCACAGCAACGACTGCTCCGGCAGTGGCTCTGTCAAAGACGTGAACTGCGTTGACCGGGCGAGGGCCAACCGCTACCGCCAAAAGCCGTTCCGGCAGATACATGCCGTGCAACCCTCGCAGGTCATTGCCCTTGCCAAGATTAATCAAGCCAAGCGCAAATCCAGCTGCCAGGCGGTAGGACTCGTCTCTCAGCATGTCTGGTCCGCTGTCTGGATCCTCCATTTCCATGTACTCAATCTCAGAAAGCATTATCTCGCTCATTCGCCGATGCTGAGTGTTGTAATAGAGCAAGCCAATACCCATGAGACCTGCTGTCTGCGTGGCCGGCGAGACATTCAACTCAGCAGCACCGGGCGGCAGCATCCGAGTGATGTGGACAGACAGCATTCTGGTGATAAGGCCATCCATGGTGCCAAGATACGAAGCCGAGAGCCCAAGGAGAAGGCCGACGGAGGTCATCGTATGCTTTGGCGTCAGATATTTGAAGGAAAGCCACTTCGCCAAGTTCCGCAAGTGACCACCTAGCCCCAAGGCCAAAAGCATTCCGGCGTGTCTGTTCGTGAGCTCATTCGGCTTGTTGAAGGCAATCCAAGACGTATCGATTCCCTTGACGTTTCGAGAAATTCTCATCCCTGCAGACACGCCAGCATGAAAGTACGCCCAATTGACCTTCTCCTCGGTCAGTCCACTTCGATCTGTTGTCAACGTATGCCCCATAGGCTGCATGACACAGGAGGAGTTGAAGCCGGGCAGATGGTATTTCTCCGTGAGAAGGGGCGTTTGACTGTCGTAGTGTATCATGCCATCGCCAGCAGGCAATGCGATCATGCGTATCGTCACCCAATGCATCAATCTACGCTGATGTTCAAAGTGTGTTGCCTCGTCCCAATCTGGCTGTTTAGGGCACTGTGCGACCTGCACGCTGTTGAAATGCATCAAGCTCATCGCCTCCACTAACCTCCTGTCTTCGCTGAAGATCAATTGGGAAATGGCGTGACGTCCCGCTTCCCTTGTTTTGAGTTGCAGCCCAGGGTGATCCAACACATGAATGACGGCGGCGACGTCCCTCGAGGCACCGTACAAAAGCCACTGTAGTTTTGGCGCTGAGGAAAGTGCCTCTCTTGCGCTTGTACTGAGATCGTCCCGGCCCACCAACTGCAGTAAATCGTCCTTCCAGATCGTTGGAGGCTCCTTTTCACACCTAGCGATTGCGTCCTTGAAAGGGGCAGATATCGCTTCTGGGTACGTGTCTAACATCTCAACCGTAAAGCCTCTTTCAGCCAAGCATTCGACTGTTGTTACAGGGCTAGTCGTCACGCCACGCGTTGCAGATACCATGTCCGACAAGGCCAACAGCCGAGGAGTCACAGTGTTTTCCAACGTGTCCAACCCGTACGAGTTCGTCCCATCCATTTCCGCGATCGAGGAGAATGATGGATAACGCTCTGATGAACCGTGCTTTAACGAATGCTCAAACCATTGGAAGACGCTGACTGGTTGATCGAAAAACTCAAGTCGAGGAGGACTTGCAACAGTCGATTTGACATACGCCCAGCGTCCATCTGTGGCACCTTCGAGCTCGTAATATTTCCCTTTGCCATAGGCCCAATGTTTCAGATTTAGCCACGTGCCGATCTGTGCCACCACAGGAGCTATGTCTAGCTTTGACGTCTCCATCTTGGAGAGAACACTTAGCTTCTGTTCTTCGTGACATAGGTGCAGCCCGAGCATGAGCTTGGCAGCCACATTGATCAGATCGGCTGGCCTGAGTGCATCTGTCTTGAGGGACGTAGAGAGCTCATCTGCCAGAGAAGCAGCAACGACTACAAGTTGATCTTTGCGTGAGTCCGATCCCCTGGGAGAATTTCTGATGGAGGTTGGCCTTTGAGGAGGTAGCCATGACCAGACTGAAGAACGCTCCAGAGCCATTGCATGTGTTGTTGCTTGGAGCTGCAGAGCCGATGTGGATTGTGTATTGCCCTTCCCAGTTGCCATCTTGGAGATGTTAGGAGCGGCTCGTGCCTTGGCGTCGAGTAGATCGATGGCGAACGTGAAGATTGTTGCAACGAAAGCTACGAACTCGACAGAGCTACTCGTTCCTTGTAAGATGCCGACGTTAGCCTTTAGCCAGGCGTATGACTGACACCACAGCTTTCGAACAATTTGACTTTGTGATCTCGGAAGTAAGACTTCACAGACTGCAAGCAACTTCTCAACTTGCGGGTCCGCTGGTTGTAGTTGAAGCCTGCGTCGGTGTTTTACTCCATCGATGCCAGTCTCATCAAATCTCGCACTCGGTCCTGCATGCTGAAGTCGAATCGGCGTTAGAGGACGTTCAAGCGTTCTATTCTTGCCCACGTCCTTGTGTTCGCTGGTCTCCGCTGACAGAACACTCAGGGGATCGTGAAATCTATACGATGCATTAGAGGGCAGAGGGCAAAGTGAGCGCTGATCTAGACCGAGTTGGATCCCTCGCCCTCCAAGTAAGATTGCTTCAGCTTCGCCGTCGTGTATCTTGAGGATGTCCTCGCAGCGGTCCAGCCGTCGCTGATCGACAAGAAGCGGAATTGCAGCACACGGCGATGCTGGCAACTCTGGCCACAATAATCTTTGCTTGATCTTCAATTGCATGTACTGCAGCTCGCCATCGGTACGGTCGTGAAGATAAATCGCCAGGCTCTGCTCTTGAGAGGCCTGGGCACCGCGTGGCTCCAGCAGCGTTACCACCTTGTAATTTGTGCTAGCTTCATGGTTGGAGTTTTGCGAAGGTGTCGGTAGGCCCGCCGGAAAGGAGTGAATCTTCCTTACAATCAATTCGCGCTTGAAGCCTTCCTCCGAGCTGTCGAAGACGTTGTCTACGCCAGATCTTTCGATTGTCGCCCGGATGTGTTGGAGAATCTCATCAGTAGTCTCTTCGCTGTCGAATTCGAGTGTGCTGTCGAGATCCATTGACTCATCACCACCAAGGCTTTGACCATAGGCACTACCTGGTGTCGAGCCACGGCTCTTCCTGTGGCTGAGCGACCTCCTGGTATTCGGTCCACCAAAGGAGGTAGTACGTCTGCCACCGCCGCCCCCAAAGCTCGCACTGACAGTCGTTTGGCTGGCACGAACATCCGTGTTCATGGAGCTGATCCTCCGGTTCTCTCGAGCAGGTTGCTGGGAGCCAGCAGGCTGGTAGTCTGGGTCCATTTGAGAGGCCATGACTTCTTCTTGTTGCTGCTTACTTTGGTTACGAGACAATGTAGTCCCCTGAGAACCAGCGAGCTCTCCGACTGGATGGTTTGGCGCAACAAAGCTCTCCCTAGCGCCGTCTCTTCGTCGCACAGCTGGCGTTGTCGCTCCTGTTCCGACATTGGCAGTCAAAAAGGAGCTTCGGCGCCTAGCCTTAGCGGCCTTCTGATCTGCCCGAAGTTTCAAGAGCGTTTTCAGAGATTTGTCCTCCACGTACCAAGCATGCCACACAGTGACAATACTGATGTCGTGATTGAAGCTAACGAGCAACGATAGCGGTCCGGTATTGTCGGCCTTCGAGCCGGACAGTTCACTCTTCGCCGAGACATGAATGATCTTCTCTGCAGGATCCAGTCCTTCAAACTCGACACTGAGTGCATTTCGTGATCTCGTAGACTTTTGCGGCCTTTGGTGTTGAATCGAGTAAGTCACCACTCCCAGCTCGGAAAGAGGCCCACTCAAAGAGTATATGTTCGTAACGTCTTCGTCGCCACGCTTTCCAGATGCTCCAATAACTTCCTGGAACAGAGTGTTGAGCTTAGGATTCCCACCTAGTGGGCTCGGCTGGGTTGGCTTGTTGTGAATGAAGCTTGTCCTCGCGAAGCTCTTCACCAGCGTGGGAGATACTGATTGCCTCAGAAATGAAGGTCCACGGCCTTGCGAGGAGAAGAACGAGTTCGGTGGAGCGGCCGGAACTTGTGGAGTCGGAGGAAGTGAAGACTGGACGGTTCGTTTCCTCTGCAGTATGATACCTCGTGGTGCTGCGAATGCTCTCTCGACCTCGAAAGGCAGATCCACGATATGATGAGCGCCTCGCAAGAAGTAAATATGAGCTTTGGTCTTCAGCAAGACAACAAGCGCCCTTCGGGGAAATTTGCTTTTGAAGGACTGTCTTTTGGTCTCGGTCTCCTCCTGAAAGCCTGACGAATTAAGGCTACTCCGTTGTGGCCTGAGCTCATTTGCATGGGCAGTGAAGATTCCAGGCTGCATGTCTGAGGCGGCTGGAAAGCTAGTGAGGAGCGCTTGCACCATGGATTCGCCTTCCAAGTCGAAGCGGTAGATGTTTCGAACAAATCTTCCCTGCGACCAAGCAACAGCATTTTGGGTGACCAGCAGCTCCTCCTCCACACAATCGTTACCGTCCGCGACAATGTAGGTGTCCCATTGATACTGATCCGGCTTTGGGTCGGGCGGAAGAAGGCCTTCAGTTAGTAGGTATGGAAGGGCAACGGGAGTATGCACTCCCAGGGAATTGACCGCCGCCATCGATGCGTAGGAAGTCCTCAATGACTCCCCGCATCTTACCAAATACTCACCTTGGTAATCAGAATCGTGATGCGCGAGGATTGGCGACTTTTGATGGTCGGTTGGTGGTTTGTTTGACCAGGTGAAGTCCCTCGTTTTCGCTTGCGAATTTGGAAGACGCGACGGCGCGCGTCAACAAAGCGCCCATCAAAGCTTCATCAAACCCGCCCACGACGGCAGCAACCACGAGCATCCCTGACACCACCGCCCACTCTATACTATGAAGCAGCCCAGAGTGTCCAAACGCGAGCGCAAGCTCCATCTGAGGTATATCACGCCTCGTCATGTGCCTCATATCCGCTGACTGATCTTTCACAGCTACGAGCTCCCGCACCGCATTCACTCCTCCCTCCTCTACCCCATCTCCGCCCCAAATGGCTCCACGCTCATCATCTACGGCCACGACAGAGGTCTCAAGGCCCTCTGGAGAGGTGGACGGCGGCGCTGTGAGACCCCACGAGCATCGGCACCCAGGACAAACGGCACGCAGCACACAGATGTCATTCTGATCGACGACAGCGACGACGAGGGACACGCAGATGAGCCAGTCGAGGACCAATTCGAGAAGGAAGAAGAGGAGCTTGACCCAGACTGTCCATACCCCAGCGCCATTCAAGACCTCGACATCCGCCTCGATCGCAGCGTCCTCCATGTCGCTGCACCACCACTCCAGACTTCCGCCCTTACACCAGCAATACTGAAGAAAGTGGCAGTGGTCGCAATCACATCCAGTGATGGATCTGTCAGGCTACTGCAAATACCATTGTCACCTCCATCAGACGAACAGAAAGGCCAGACATTGCAAGACGTATCCGACTCGAAAATCGTGCTTCATCCGTCTGGCGGTATCATCTCTGATCTTTCGGCCAAATATTTGCCCATCGACAACCAACCACTCACGGCCCCAAAGCGTCAGCAAGAAGATGTCGAAGGTCACTTGCTGGTGGCTGCCGCTTCACGTGCTCTCAGCATCTGGTCCATCTCAGTCACAGCCGATAATCTGTTCGTTGAGGACCAAAGACCCACTCATAAAGTCCAGCTCGCCAATTCTCTGTGCAAGATCTCATTCCACCCATCGACCCGCTCGGCGCAGCTGCTGGTGGGAGATCGTCTCGGAGCTGCTCGAATCTACGACCCATATGCATTCCGAACACCACAAAAGCGACCAGACTCGAGCGGTTCAGCAACTGAGCCCAACCCAAATCTCGGCGATCCAGGCATCTGGATCATGACGTACCACACCACATTCGCTCTTCCCAAGGACGGATCTCTGCCAGCTGCACTGACTCGTCGCAAGAGGCTTCTTGATGCGAAGTGGGTGCTAGGAGGCAAGGGCATTCTAGCGCTGCTAGAAGACAGCCAGTGGGGGGTGTGGGATGTGAGTGGCACTTCGAGGCCTGCGAGACTCGTGGAGGCCTTTGCCATTGACGGGTTCCTCACATCGCCGAGCGCCAATGAGCCTGTCGAGCCCGTACGCCCCAAGCGAGGAAGCTCAAAACTCGCACCTATGACACCAAACACGCGAAAGTCCAAGTCGGAACAGTTCTACAGCGGCGACTCCAAGTCGAAGCTTTCGGAGGCGGTTGCCAAAGGTGGCATCTCTGTCGCAACGAATCACCCACGAAGCGGACAGTCTGATGAGAGCGTCATCCTATGGCACAACAGCGATGTCTATACTATCCCGAGCATGCAATCATTCTGGCAGCGAAGTACCACGAGCGGCGGTATTGGCTCGCTCTACGCACCAGGTATCTCACACGTCACTGAACTCGACCCCATGCACGAGATCATATCCTCCATCTCACTCTTCGCTACAAAGTCGTCCAGTGCAGGAATCGGCGCCATGAACACTCAGCGGGACTTGCTCGTGTCGACAGAGTACCACATAATTGTCTTGCAACAGCTACGTGCACAGACCACAGCACGCTCACTCTTCCAGGCTGCCGAGCGCCCAGCGTCTCGCGACCAGCAAATGCTAGATGCTGGGGCTCTCGACCTAGCTGGAATGGATCGCGTACTCGATGGCATGGCAGCAGGCGGTGGACCTGCGAGGAAAGTCGGCTTCGCGACTTGAACGGATCTGACTACGTCGGTTCACATCCTGTACGACATTCTGCGCTAACGATACCCCAAAAAGCATGAGCAAAAAGACCCTTGACTTGACTTCACTTCATCTTCACTCACATTTCTACCACCTCCTTCCACCCTCGTTTCACATCAGTAATCCCAAAAGACTCAGAGCATACCCGCATGGTTTGGTGGAGCGCTTTCTCAAGGCCAATGAGATTTGCTCAGTATTACAAGCGGAAAATCGATGTCGCTCCACGTTCACGAGAAGTCTCCTCGAGAGGCGTAAGGGACACTCACTGTTCGGCCGACTACGGTGAGTCGAACGTTGTGAGGGAGTGGCGGGCGACGTGCTCGTTCCAGCATTGCATCTGCCCATCAGGAGATCAGGATGTAGTGATGGTTCTGGGTGGTTGCTACACACATCAGGATACTCGTAAGTTTGCAATGGAAAGTATCTTCATTTCGTTGACTACCATTGCTATCAAGTCGTTTCTTTCCGTCCTCCATATTTCGACTCAACCCACGCCCCAAGCCGAACATGGCTAGTCTCATACGGAACATACATTGTGGTATATATGGCAGTGTTACACAAGTCGAAGCCATGTGACCGAGGAAACGAGGCGCAGCCACATCAAAGCTGTGCACCTCGCAGCGGGAGGCCTCTTTTGTGAGGCTGGGTTCGACACTCGACTATATACTAGCTCCAGTGTCAGGTCCTCTGACACTTACGATTGATGAAGAGGATAGAACCTCCACGATGCAAGGACTCACTTATCAACCTCTGAAACCCGGCAAATCCTTCAGACTTGCTACCTTGCACGGAGGTCAACCAAACGACCAGATCAGCCTCACTGTTCAAGAATACGACCTCAAAAATTGTCCACCATACATTGCGCTCTCGTATGAGTGGGGCGAGGAGCATGAGAAGAAGATCTCGCTGAATGGAATGCCGTTCCGCATCCGCACGAACTTATACGACTTTCTTCAAGTCATTCGACCTGGCCCGTCAAAGACCCGGCTCCTGTTCATCGATGCGCTCTGCATTAATCAGACTGACGTTGCCGAGCGTTCCTCTCAGGTGCACTTGATGAGGGACATCTATGAGGGAGCTAGAAAAGTATGGGCTTGGCTTGGCCGAGATAGTGTCGCTTCCGATGTAGTGGCCGATGCTTGCCAGGGACAACAAGCCACGGACGTCGACGATGCCGAACTTCAACGTAGCGCCAAAGAGGTGCTTTCACGAAGATACTGGACACGGATGTGGATGATGTCCGAATTGATGATCGCGAAGACCATCACATTATATTGTGGACCTCGCTCGTTCTCCTGGGATGAGCTCGTTGAGGTTTTGTCCTCATACATCCCGGATTGGTACCACACTTTCGAGTCGACGAAAGCCTTTCGAGCCGTGGAGGATGTGCGGGCGGCAGTCCGGAAAGGCTCGAAGATCCCAGTCTTGAGGCTCTTTGACGAGTTCGGCCAGATGGAATGTCAACACAAACAGGACCGAGTGTACAGCTTGCTTGCCTTCCACGCTCACGCGAGAAGGCTGCCTTGTGTTATGGCCGACTACGCGGGCAGCGCCGAAAAAGTGTTCGTCGAAGCCCTTCGGTACTGCGCACAAGCTCCTGGAAAGGTGGCAGGCACACGGCCTGGTTTCGAGATTGCAAAGTGCAGTCGAGCCTTTCAAGCAAGCCTGGGCATCGAACCGGAGAAAAGCATTTCTGATGTACTCGAGGTCATGAAAGAACACCCAAGCACAGAGACACTGCACAAACCCGTCTTCAGAGAGTCATTGGAAGAACCACAGATGCTAGGCAAGACCAAAACAGGTGCATGGTTCGAGACGGAGTCACGCTCCGCTGGGCTGGACCTGACTCGTATCGCGGTCCACGCACATCGATACACCAAGACGGAGATGGTGTTTACAAGCAAAGATGCCCGCCACGGCGACCAAGTGTTCCGGATTCGCGGCTCAGCAATTGCAGTGGTCTGTCATGGCTCTAGGTCATCGTGGCGGATTGTAAGCCTTGGAGTCGTGGTGCCCAAGGCCAAAGAGATCAAGCACAAGTACGCAGATTTCTTATACCACAGCCTGGACGGGAGTGTCGAGGTGGACGCTGCTGGGGATGCTTCTGTGTCGCTGAGCTGTTTCGATGTTGCGGTGCTCTCGTCGCTGCCTGAAGCGACTCGATCTTAATGCTCTCCGCGGATACCTTGCACGAGATACGGGCGTTTGGAGCACTTCTGAGTTTAAATGGCAGGCAACGGAGTTTGCTTGCGAGGGACATGAGAGGTGGTGGCGTTTGAAGCTTTTCACGTTCAGGGGCTGAGCATTTCGTACGTGTGTCGTCAACTTTCAAGTAAGTGAGAAAGCCATATTTCCTAATCTATCAAGGCTCCTAATTGCCATACTTCTCCCACACAGCATCGTACTCCTCCTGCGTCAAAGGCGTGACGCTTCCATGCTTCAGCCCACTCGGAAACCCGTCATACTCCGACTCCGTCCACTCTCCGCCCAAGATATCCCTCGTCTCAAACGGCACATACTCCGTATAATCATCCAGCAACATATGATACAACCCTTCCTCGACATTGTCTTTAAAGACCGCCGTTCCCTCCCTCGGACTCTCTGGCCGGACATACCCTTCGACCCTCGTCCACTCCGTGGAAAACAAGCCTTGGGTCATCGTCTCCTGATAGACCTGATTGACAGTCTCGTTCTTCAGAAACCTTGCCCAATGGTCCGGTTGTCCGAGATACTGGAATTCCTGATCGATGAGAGGCGTATCTTCCAGAGCGAGGTAATCCTGCGGAGCGCTGAAAGAGATGAAATCCGTTGTGGTCGCATACCGGATCCGATCGAGCATCGCGGTGCCGGTATGCTCGGTGTCGGACTCGGCATAATGCCTCGAAGACCAGAAGATGAAGAACTGGCTGGTATCATCGTCCCAAACAGCACTCGGAGCCCACGCCATTCCCGCGGTGGGAGTTTCAACTCTATCATCTCATCAGCACAACCGCTCCACTCCAATCTACCAAAACAAGCTCAACTCACGTCACAAGCCTCCCCTCCCCCCACCCCGTCAACCCCTCAGACTCCCAAACAACCAACCCCCGACTCCCCCTCCGCGTAACCTCATCCCAACTAAACCCCTCCGCATTAATATCCAAATCCGTCGCGATCAAAACCCACTTCTCCCTCCGTCCATCGCTCGTCAGAAAGACACCCCTGACGCCGCCCGTGCCGACGTTGGAGGTCAGGATTGGGGAGCCGTTATTGAGGAAGGTGAAGGCTGAAGGAGAGTTGGAAGTGGAGAGGTGCCATTGCACCGCTGGCGTGGGGTCTGAGAAGGTGGAGATGAGGTAGCCAACGAATTCAGTAGAGGGCGTGGTGGTTTGACGGGGGAGGAGGGCTGCGAAGGAGAGGGAGGCGGAGAGGGATGCAAGAAGGTGTGAGAGTCTCATCGTTGAAGGGGTGCTAACAAGAAATGGAAAGAGTGATCAAGCCATCTCACTCGGCAGCACGACTTTCTATATACTTTTGCATCCAACATGGCCAAGCCGGAGGATTTAATCATGGTCGAATCCATATTGGAGCAGGTACAGCTACTGCAGCTTCTCGAGGGGACGGCTAAAGCTACAAGCGACAACCAGGGATCTGCATTTCTCCGTCTACTTGACCTCTGCATGCCAAGATGGATCCCAGTTGTCCTTCATGCTTGGCAAAACAACACTCTATCCTGTCGAAGTGCAAAAGGGGAAGGAGAAGAATACCATTCCTCTCACATCGACTCTTCGTAATGGGACGAGCCATTGCCCACAGCAGTCTAGCTGGCTGCAACCGGCAGCTCCATTCAGGCATCAGATTCGTTGGCTCGATCTACGTTCAGTCTGTGCCGCATAGCACGCATACCGTCATGAATCATTTTCCCTAAAAGCATCCAGGTTGTTCACCTCATGCTGCACGCAAGAAGGCACTGCGATCATGTTCATGCACCACCCGCCAACGATTCAGCACTTCCCACAGGCCGAATGTCTCGCCAGTAGAACCAATAGCACCGAAAACGTCGACGACGACGACGAAGAAGAACAAGAAGAAACCTGGTCCCCCCTCCAACTAGCAGCCTCCTCCGGCAACCTCCCACAGGTCACAACCCTCCTATCCTCCGGCATCAACCCAAACGCCCCACCCCAGGGCTGGTACGGCAAAACCGCCCTCCAAGCCGCCGCGCTAAATGGCCACCTCCCCATAATCAACCTCCTCCTCGCCAGCGGCGCCAACGTCGACGCCCCAGGAGGCAACAACGGCGGCCGCACAGCCCTCGTCCTCGCCGCCGGCGCCACAGGAATCCCTCCGGAGACACAAATAGAAATCGTCGACCGCTTGCTCGCGGCAGGTGCAGATATCAACCGTCCGGCGCATAAGTATAATGGCCGCACGCCGCTGCAAGCAGCGTGCGAAGGTGGGAATCTGCTCGTCGTACGGCGTCTTTTGGATTTAGGAGCGGATGTGCGAGCGCCTGCGGCGAGAACCGCTGGGCGGACGGCGCTGCAGGCTGCGAGCGAGCAGCAACATATCGATATCGTCGAGCTTCTCCTTCTGAAGGGGGTGATCCTCCATCAAGACGACTCAGGCGTTTCACACTCCAGATCGGGCCTCACGGCGCTGCAGGCCGCGGCTTCAGTGGGAAATATGCTGCTGGTGGAGAGGCTGCTGGAGGCTGGGGCAGACGTCAGTGCGCCAGGTAGTAGGTATGGGGGATGCTCGGCGCTGGGGGCGGCGGTAGAAGGGGGTTTTGTCGAAGTGCTGAGAGTTTTGATTCGAGCTGGGGCGAATTTAAACCAGACGACCGGGAATCATAGACGGACGGCGATTCAGGAGGCGAGGATGAGGGGATCTTTAGAGTCTGTGAGAATACTTAGAGAAGCGGGCGGTTGACCGCTTGATAGAGAGACCCCTTTTGAAGGCCGCCAACATAAAACTCTATCCCAAGAGATTGATCGAGACCGACATCTGAAAGGGACACCGAGATCTTAACAAACCATCTTTGATACAAGTCTACAAGTCTACAATACAATTTAGACACTATAGTCTCCAACATCAAGCGTCCAGCGGCATGACCATTAACTCCTCCAAGCAAATACTGTCACCAGTCCTCATGTACATCGTGCTTCGTAAAAACTGTCCTCATGAACATCGAAAGGAGATATTGCGGTAGTCCTGATCCATCTCTTATCCTCAAACATGAACAACGACCGTTCCTGCGACGGCCTCAGTAAACGACATGCTCCTTGTGGAAATAGGTCGGACTCACTATCACGCACCCGAGTACAATGAGTCAGACAAAAAGTCCTCATTTGGCCGAATCTCCTTCTTCCTAGTCGATCTCGTGCTCAACGAACGGACGAGCTCTCCTCCACGAGCGAGCAGATATCGAAGCTTCTGGCCAAACTTCTTGAGGTGGAACTCAGTCTTGCTCATGCCAATGCCATCGTACGTTCTTGCACGGCTGTCGGCGCCAAGGCGTGCTTCTGCCAGGGATCCAGCGTCGTAGGCAGTGTTGCCATCAAACGAGTGATTGCGACCTTGCTCCACCGGTACGGCTCTGTTCTTGCCCTTGAAGAGAGTCTTCCTGAATGACCGCGTGCGATCACGCTCATCAGACGAAGCTGAGAAGAAAGAGCGCACTTCATCGAGGTTGAGGCCAGCCGGGGGAGTGAGACTGCTCGTAGGATATCGATCTCCAGGCATGTGACTCTGGTGCGTGGAAGCACGTCGAGGGAGGGGTGACTTTGGCAAGGTTTTGGTCGTGGTGTCTTCGTCAGCAGCGGCATTGTCACGACCTCCAAGTCCAAACTTCTTGGAGATGCTACCCATAATAGAACGTTTCGACAGCTTACGGACATGCTTCGGGGTAATGCCAGTGAGTTGCTCGGTGGTGATGGAGCCAGGCGAGGAAGGAAGATGCGAAGTGGTGATAGAGCCAATGTCGATACCTTTCGTATTCTCAGTGGGCTCGGCAGGGAGATCCAGTGACTTGGTGCGACGCTCTCGAAGAACCTCACTGGCGAAGGAATTGCGTGTGTGAGCTTTCGACGGCACCATAAGGTCAATGTCGACTTTGTTCTCAGCCCAAGGGTAGTTCTCATCCAAGTTCCAAGGCCTGCTGCTTGGCTGCGACAGCACCACAGAACGCTTCGCGTTGCGAGTGATCGGGTTCATCTCTTTTGGAAGCATCTTGGCAACCTCTTCCTCAGTCGTGGGCACCTTCGCTCGAAGTAGAGCAGACATTGGCCGAGTCAGGTCCTTGCCCAGGTCCGAGGGCGCGGAAGCAGAACCACTGAGGTATGAATGCTTTCCATCAGGAGAGCTGACCGAAGACGAAACTTTGCCTGCGGAAGCCGACTCAGGGAGTGGTGGCAACTCCTTGTTCAGGCCCAGAGATCTAGCAAGCTGCGCCATTGAATCGTGCGTGCCGTTCTTGACAATCTCTTCGGCCCGCTCAGCGAGAGTCCGGAAGCCTGCAGAGGTACGGTTCGTCATGACCGTATCTGGTCTGCCCAACTCGCCATTTTGGCCGTCGAGGCCATCGTGTGCGGAGGCAAACAAACTGTCCAGCTGCAGGTTCGACAGATTTCTCAGTCCAGGTATGAGTTCAGACAGGCGATCTGTCAATGGCGTGACAGTAGGCACTGACAAACGTTGAACCTGCGAAGCAAAGTCCAGGAAGTCTTCTGGCGACAGTGGGCGTTTGGCAGGCTCGACACCCTCGACTTCGGTAGTCTCCTGGATTTGCAGTGCTGGCACAAGAGCTTTCTCGGTCTCCGGCTCAGGCTCCAATTCCTCATCGCTGTGGCCTGCCTCTTCCAACATGAAGCTGCTGAACTCATCAGGCTTGCTGAAGAAGGACGTATACCGCTCCCTGAGTGGCTCAGTGCTTTGAGGGCGTTTAGGAGATGGGCAGTAAATGCCAGGATAGTCGCGACGACGAACAAGGTCCATCGACTTGGCAGGTCGAATTTCGAGTGCTTCGTTAAGTCTGTCGATCAGATCGATGCGGCTGAAGTTCAGCGATGGCAAGTCTCTCGTGTCGGCGAGTGGTCGATTGTGTTGACGGGCCTGACGTCTAGCCTTGGCCTTGTCGGCAGACTCTTGAAGCCGACGCTCTTGCATTGCCTTGACGGCAGCAATACGTGCTGGCAGTGGGAACTGATCGTGGTGCGATGAGCGTTTGTGGTCCGAGATGATCATGTCTTCGACCGACTCTTCCTTCAGGCCAGGGAGATGTGTACTGCCAAAGCGAGGTCCGCCAGCATTGGTGTTGTTGGTGCCCGAGAATCGTAGATCTGTGATGTTGTCGCGTGGTCCCCTGATTGTCTCCATGGTATCATCGCGTGGGGAGGGCTTGCGAATGATAGACTTGCCCTTGTTGGCAGATGCTTCACTGCTAGGCGGCAGTGGTCGGTGTGGCTCTGCCTTCTTTGTGATGTTCAGTGGAGCGATCTCATCTGCAAAGGTGACTGAACTGCGCCGCACTGCTCTGAGATCAGCGTGTTGCTTCTGGAACGCCGTCAGCTCAATCTTGGGCTTGTCCGGCGTGGAGCTGTTCGAGACGTCGACGATCTGAGGTCTCCCAACCGTGACCGTCGTCTGAGGCAGCGAAAAACGGACAGCCACATCAGTGACCATCTCCGAGGCGCTGTTCAGAGTAGTGTCGCCGACGGTAGAAAGATCGCCTGGCAGTGAGAAGCGGTTGGTACCTGTGCTGTTGCTATCGGTAATGGTAACGCTTGGTTGGATCTGAACTGATTTCGAGTAAGTCTTGGGAGTACGTGGCGTAGGAGGAGGCATCGTATCCTCTGGCTGTGAGGACTCTGGCTCTGACTGCTCATCGATACCGGTGATCTCAGTCCTGTCGTCGGCGGCAAGGCGAAGCGTCTCATCAATTCCCAGAGTCTCCGTGTGAAGTGGACTGACCGCGGAAGTCCGATGGTTCGTCTCCTCGTCTGAGCGAAGAGGACTGATTGGTGTTCGCTCCATCACGTTATCATGCTCATGGTTTCTGGGCGGCTCTGGAGTTGTTGGCACCTTCACATCATGCCTCGTCTCTGATCGCGATGCTTCTCTGGCTTGTTGCTGCTGAATGGTGATTGTGTCGGCATCAAGAGCAAACGGGTCCTTCGACTGAGTCTCGTCGGAAGCCACCGTCGTGTCCACAGGGCCCGAAAACCGCATTGCATAGCCCACACCGCTTGGAATTGAGCCTTCGTCAGATGCAGTCGTGGCAGTGTCGCTCACTGAATTTTGTCTCTGGACCTCAGCCTGCTCATGCGAAGAAGGAGAAGGGATCTTGCCGTCTTGTCTCTGTTCATTGCCGTAATCAATGGCCAGGGGCATCTCTCTCTCATGCTTTTGCTGCATGGTCACGATGAGGTTGGTGGTAGTGTCGTCAGGCAGGTAATGTTGCATCGTAGTATCAGCGCTCGATGGCCCAAGCTCGGCCTTGACGAGGTCTCGTGTGAGGCGTTGGGTTGACTGCCTCTGGGAAGCCTCGACGGCCTCCAGTTCAGCAACCTTCACCAGCGATGCTGGCAATTCGACTGGAGCCTCAAACTCTTCAATGATCGTGAAGCGAGGAGTTTCGTTCGCAGCGAGCTCATGCAAGTCAGCCAGTTCAGAGATATCCTCAGGATCGTGGTCGACATCCAGCTCGTAGATATTGTCCTGCCGAGAGCCTTTCTCCAATTCGTTCATCGCTGCAGCCTCCGCAGCCGCTTTCGACTCCAGCATTGCTTTGACGCGCTGCACGAAGCCAGATGGTGGTACCGAAGGGTGTGCCACTTCCATGTCGGGCTCATGAATCGGCTTTTCCAGCCCATCGGCATAGTCAAAGTATTTCGCTGGCAAGACTGGCTCGCTGGAAGAGTCAGGCAGGTCAACCAAGTCTGGATTGATGAAAGCCGGATCGACGACAACTTGGATAGTTGTGTGATCTTTTGGAGTCGGCGGGCTGGACGAGTCAGGCGCTGATCCAGAGGATGGTGGGTCCGACGATGGCGGACCAGTGTCAGTCATGGGTGTATCAGTACGATGAGGCACTGTTCTCGCCATGCGAGCGGCATTGTGGAACATTTGATGTGCCATGGGAGCAACGTTGGGCATGGGTGGGCCACGATGTCCACCGTGCGGGACATGCGGGACATGCGGGTACGGCGCATAACCAGGTCTTGGTGGACCATACTGAGGTCCTGGCGGATAAGGCACGCGTGACTGATAATGGCCTGGCGACGGTTGCATTGGCTGCTGTGGCATACCCATCATCGGCTGAGGCATTCCGTGTGGCATGCCTGGAGGTGGCATATTACGCATTGAACCTTGTCTGTACTGGTACGGATTTGGAGCGTATGCTGGACCGGGCGAGTTGTTGACGGCTCGAGGTTGCGGGCGCACGTTCAGCAGACTTGGATCCTGAGGGTAGCCGCCTGGGAAGTCAGGGTGGTAGCCAGCGTAGGCTTGCGGTGGAGGTAAAGGGCCTTGGCCAGGTGCTCTCCTAGGCATATGCGGAAGCCCAGGTGGAGGGCCATGAGCGTAGGTGTCGCTCAGGGCAGGAGAGGGTGATCTGTAGCCTGGTCGCTTGAGCCTGGTCGGGTACACGAATGGAGGTCTGTTTTCTGGCATTGGTGGCACAGGACCTGGAGGCATGCGATTGCCCTGGCGTGGTTCGTGTCCCTGGCTCTTCAAGCTTGTGGCCGAGCGATGTCTTGGTAGCTGCTGAGCTGGCGGAGCAGAAGTCATCGAGTAGGAGCGAGAGTCGCGAGGATTGTCTGGCGTGGGAGGCATCATTGCCAACGACGGCTTGCCGACGTGCACCGGTGGAAGAGAGGGCGGCATGCTCTGCATGCTGGTAAGGGAGCCACGACGTTGAGTCGAGGCGTTGTCCCATTGTGAGCTGATGCGTGAAGTCTGAGATGGTGCGTAGCTGTGATTTGATGAAACGCCTGAAGTGTGATGCTGAGAAGGTCTGGATGCGTGGCCGCGCCTCTGGCGAGTAGCTCGTGGCATGGAAGGTAAGCGGGAGCTGTTGAACGAGAGAGCTCCAATGTCACCGGTATCAGTTGATGTCTTTAACATGCTGAGGACGCCGGCATTGGCCAGGGTGTCGTTCGGGGGCATGCTGGGTGGAGGGGAGCGGACAGAGCGTGAGGCTCCAGTGGCTCCAGACACGTTGCTTGCTCTGCTGTTGCGGCCGCTGGCAACGCTGGAGACTGCGTCGGTGAAAGGCATTGTGCCGCCCTCGGAGCGTGTGCGGTGAACGATGGACCAAGACGTGCTATCCAAGTGAGCAAGCAAACCAGAGGCCTGGCGAGTAATGAGAGTGCTGGATGAGTTGGTGAAGAGGCGAAGACGGCTGCAAAGAGAAGATGGAAGAGCGAGAGAAGCGCGGCAGGTCGAGACCGGCCATGTAGGCCTGCTGTATTTGGTGGAGCGGCGGTGCTTGCAGTCTGTGTTCTCTTCAGCAATCGCAGCTTCATGTGACAGTGCCAAAAAGTGTAAGTGAAGGGGAAGAGATCCGCGTGGGAAGGCGTCTCGTGGCAAGCACCATCGCCCACGCAGCAGTCACGCTCAGAAATGGAGTATATGTGGGGAGTCGCTCCTCACTATCGGAGTCGCAGCTGCCATATATTGAAGCACAAGAAAAGAAAAGGGGCCTCACAGTCGCCAATGAAACCATTCTAAGCCTGATATTTGACCTCCTCCGGGTATCTCGAGCTACCCACGCGCCAACACGCGCCTCCCATGCTTGTTGAAATGACTACCAATGCCTGCGATTCCAACATCTTCAATTACTCTATTGAGCTGCTGGTGCAGTCTGTCCAGCCGGTTGCTCTTGAGTCGCTGGTTTCGTTTCGCCCGTCGCTGGTTGACCCTCACCCGTGTGGCTCTCAGTCGCCGGGATGCTCTGGGGCTGCTCCCACTTGGCTGGCTTCGCGAAGTTCGGATCTTGCCCTGTGGCACACTTCGTCAGCATCTCACTCGCAGTGCCTTCACGCCTCACTTACATGGACCGTCATCGCTCAGTTGACATCCTCCTGGGCACTTGCACTTGCCACCAAACTCAGATGGCAGATTCTCCGCGGGTATCTGAGCAAGCAGTTCCTTTTGATAGCTGCCGCCCAGAACGTGGATCTTCGCAACAGTGACCGGGTCCAAGAATCGCTTGACCACAGCAAAAACACTGCTGAATCCCCAGGGCGCGTTGATGATGTACATTTTACCCATTCTCTCCGGGTAGTAGTTTTGGCTGATAGCCGAAGCCTTCTGCACGTATCCATAAACTTGTCCTGCCTTGCTCAGCCCAACACCCTTCATGTCCATGATAGTGCACGACGTCTCGAGGAGGTATCCGGCTTTCCGCGAGCACGCTGGTAGACGTGGGTCCGCAACCTTCTCGTATTCCACCACCAAATTTTGCAGCATGCGCTCGTCCGAAGTGATTTGTCGCATCTTCTCCAGGTCAATCTTGCCAAACTGCTCAATGTAAAGCGGTCTGCCGTCCTTGTCCGTCTTGTGGTAGTACTGCGGGTAGTAGGCGAACATCTGCGGCTTCTCGGTGTATTGAAAGGTCCTGACGAGGTTGTCCACACCGCCTCCAAACTCCTTTCGCCATTTCTCGCAGTCGACGAACCTGGCCAAAATGCGTCAGCCGTCATAGAATATTTACCCAATGTTATTCGTGTCTCACATTTGCTTCGAGTGCTCCACGTTGAACTTTCGTGCTCTCAAGAATCTCAGCATCGTCAGAGTATCTAGTCTCTCAGTGTAGCCGGCTTGCTCGAGCATCATCCGTAGCTGGTGCACAGCAGCATCTTGCTCCTTCGTGGTGTGGCCTGGGTGGCCAGGTCGTGGCTCTGGCGCCGTGGTTGGGAAGTCGTAGTGGTCATATTTGGGGTCGAGCTCCATGTGAGGGTTCTGTTGCTTTTCCGCCATGGTGGGCGCCTTGTGGAGGTTCTCGATGCTCGCAGGCGCGTATGAAGAAGAAATTCACAGGCTCTCTCAATTTGCTGGAGGTGGTGTGTGCTGCCGGTGAATTGCTTTGTTGCGGTCAAGTTGTCAAAATGGCGGGGAGATTGGCCGATGAGATGGAGAAATCGCAAGGGGCGTTGCTGTGGCTGAGTTCTGGGAAGTGACGTCGGGGTCAGCCACCAAGATCACCGAGATCCGCGCGTGCTGAAGGGATTGGCGACGAGAGCTCATGTTGGAAGATACGAAGAGTACATGTTGTTCTGGAGTATGAGAGGCGTTCTGCATAAGAGAATTGTTCTGACAAGCTGCCTGCTACTGAGACTAGCTGATTACCACCATCATATCCATCCAGGTCCTCCATCGTACCCTGCATTTAGTCTACTTTGACTCCTCTACTTGTCTCCCATCTTCACTCTCAAAACAATCGACTTCTTCCCTCACTGACTGCCGCCCAGAACGATGCTCGGGTTGACTTCACTGGCAGGGACAAGTGGTTTGAGATGGAGACTGCGTTCTGGAAAACGGTAGTCTCTCTTCGATCCAGACTTGCAACCCTGCCTGCTCTTGAACGGCTCTGCAAGCGCGCCAAGCAGCTCTCCATCCACCTCGTACGCGTCGGTGAACCGATATTCGGGAAATTTGGCCTTCTCAGCATCCAACTCATCGATAATCGCCTGAGCAATGTCGTCCTCGAAGCCCGCGCCAGATTCGAACGCAACCTCGCAGTCCTTGGGTACACGCTCAATGATCTGCTCGAGTATCCACCTCTTCTGACTGGTCTCCCCGGCTTCGTCTTCGCGCTCAATGATGCAGATCCGTAACTTCTTTAGGCCGGTCATGTGTTGAAACTGCGTCCAATTCAACCTCCGGAGCTCCTTGTAGACTTGGCGAGGACCCTTCGTGGCCACCATCGCGAATGTCAGGGAGGTAAGCCTCGATAATGCATGGTTGGGCAGAAGGCTCTGGCGAATGACTGGATACATGCCATCCACGTTGTTGCTGGCGACGCAGACAGTGTTTTCGTACAAGATGTCCTTCGCCTCGTCATGGATTTGCCGACACGTGGCAAGAATCTGTGTCTCGCATTTCGTTTGCTTGACTTTGTCCAGCTTATCCTTCGGAACCTGTCCCAGCGAATATGAACCATAGTTCAATGAAATGTGGCCAGGAGTCATTACTTCGAGGTAAATCCAGTTTCTGAGCTCCGCCGGCAAATCGAGGAAGCGAAAAGGCTTTTTCTCCTCAGACTTCTCTTCAGGCTTTGCCACTGCTGCCCCGGCAGTCTTCTGGACCTGGACAGTTGTGTTTTGAGAACTATGCTGTTTCTCCGCCGACTTGTCGCTTGCTGTGGCAACATCCATCTCGTCATTGGCATCGCGCACACTCCCATTTCGGGGATCATCGCGATCGAAATAGCAGTCCTGTTCAATCTCTTGCAATTTGCGTCTCGTCCAATACACGGCAATATCCACGGCGGCGTCGTTATCCTGCCTGGCAAGGAGATCGCAGACCTTCGCCACAATGGTGTTCTGATTGTAATCGTAGGTCAGGTCGATGATGTAGTCGGCCAGAACACGAGCGCCTTCATCGTACCAGATATATCCTTCATCAAGCAGCGCCTCGGCCAGATACCTCGACAACTCCTTCACGCGCCAGTGATTCCGAGGGATTGGTGGTTCCTCTGCGTAGAAGGTGCCCATAGACTCATGATCACTGTTTTCCACTAGCACCTCTACTGCAGCTTCATTGGCAGTCGTCGGTACTGATTCTTCGGCAGACTGCTCCTCTCTGGGTGTCTGGACCCGGATGAGCTGGTCGAAAAGAGAGCGAATGAAGCTGGCGACGATACGAGAGCTGGACTCGACTTCGTGCAGGCCGGCAAGCAGAGCGGGGATATTGTGCTTGTTGTCGCCCAATATATCATTGAGAATGGCATCGGCTGCGATGTCACCTCGACCAAAGATGGCGAGCTTGCCTTTAGAAGCACGGTCCAGAGTTCGGGTGAGAGGGTCGTTTGAGTATGGCTCAGGTGTCGAGGCAGCTACTTGTTGTGTTGAAGACGACTTGGTTGCTAGAAAGTTCGGCGTGTTGCATTCTGGTCGAGGTGAAGAGCTGGACCATGTTGATGTCGATCCGAAAGTGGGTATGAGAGTCGAGCTGAAAGGAGAAGCAGCGCCAAAAGATGGAGCGCCGCCGAACTGGAACGGCGGTTGCTGACAAGTGCCTGGGAATGACTTCGAGGCGTCTGTCGGTGGTGTCGAGGTTGTTTGAGGAGACGGTGCGAAGGACGAGAATGCACTGTGGCCATTGAGCAGAGACGGCGGCGCGCCGCTGAACTCGAACGGCATGGCGACGATGCTATCTCGCGTGTTCGGGTGTTCGGTGTGGTGGAAGTTGGGGGTTGAAGAAAGAGCGGGCCAGAAGAAGACGGAAAGAGCGCGGGCGGGCCGACGATGCACAGACAAAGCAAACGCCGCTAGTGTGAAGAGAAGTGAATACAAACTCGCCTTCTATTAGAGTCTCTGCCATTCACGTCTCAGCTGCGTCGCCACTTCCCGCTTTCCCGTTCGTCTCCTTCGGCACCACTTTCAGCGAGAAGTCAACATGTTTCACGCCTTGGTGGATGCTCGATGAGCTGATGATGTCGATGTCGTCGCAGACGTAGTCCGCCACGTTGTCCTCCGTCAGCCCGCCTGAGACTTCGATGAGAGCTCTGGCATTCACACCCCTTCCCCAGCGGTCTTTCAAGTTCTTGGATGCTACTCTCACACCGTCTGGTGTGAAGTTGTCGAGCATGACCACATCAGCTCCCGCCTCTATTGCCGTGTTCGCCTCTTCCTCTGTCAGACACTCCACCTCCACCTTGACAGCGAACCCTGCAGATGCCTTTGCTGCTGCCACTGCAGTCGGGATCGAACCACCACACGCCCAGATGTGATTATCCTTGAGCATAGTCATCGCGCTGAGATCTTGTCGATGGGGATCGCAGCCGCCGACCAGCATTCCGTACTTCTCCACGAGTCTGAAGCCCGGGGTGGTCTTTCGTGTGCCAGCGAGAGTGTTCTTGTAGCCCGCCTTGCGGAGTAGAGACAACAGCGAGTCGGACTTGGTAGCAATGCCAGAGCATCTCGCGAGCAGATTCAAAGCCACTCTTTCGCCCAACAGCACGCATCTCACTGGACCCTTCACCGTGGCGACGTGTTGCTTCTTCTCTTTGCCAACCTCATCTCCCTCCTTCGCATGCCACTCCACGGTGCAGTCGAGCTGTCTGAAGACCTCATTGAAGAATGGCACGCCTGCCAGAATGCCCGGGCTCTTCGCCAGAAGTCTTGCCTCTGCTGGACGATCGCCTACGACGAAGCCTCCGTAGTCGAAGCTTGGTGTGTCCTCTTCAAGCCAAAGGCTAATGCTCTTCTTCCATGATGGTGGCAGCAGGTTCGCTGGGTTTCCGTGGCGCGGTGCACCCTCTGTGATGGGCATATTGCTGGCTGTGATCTTGTTCGATATCTCTGGCTTGAGTGGGGGTTTGCGTTCAACTTCACTTCGATTCGCGAAGAAGTCTGGATAGATCTTAGAAGGGCCCAGCAACGCTCACTTACTGTTCAAAGACCGTCTCTATGAGTCTGATAAATCTGTCACGCGTCGGCCAAAACCGCGTCGATGATGATGACAATAGCAAACTCGGGGCCGATGTCGTCCAGACTTTCGAACCTCAAAGTTCGCCTGGTCTCGGTCCGAGCGCTGAAGCGTGCCGGGCCGACAGGAACAACAACACTTCCTCCTGTGTTTCACTTTCCCATCTCTCTCTACAACCCTGCAAGAGGGTCTTCTTCTCCTGATTGAAAATGCGCAGAATATTCGAACGCGTGCATGACTGTAGCCAGTGGTCGATATGAATGACACGCTACCACGGTCACATTAGCGGCGTCTGCGCGATCATCGAGGAGGACCTGATGGTCAGAGTGGGCAAGATGCAGTCTCGCAAATGGCGCACAGGAATGCATTGCTGCAGAATGCCACGCATGTTAGTGTGGGCTACGTATGAGGCAAACGATGAAAGCCGCCCGGTGACTCCTCGCCTCCGTACACCCAGAAGTGTCCAACGTGAGAGTTCCTCCTTCAACGCCTTTGATCTGGGCCCAATCAACAGTCTTCAGCTGATATGCGCAGGCTTTTGGTACTAGGTCAGTCCCTCAAAAGCTTCTTTGATCGCACGTTCCACAGGAGCACGGAGCTGAAAGGTCTGATGACGAAAGCCATATTGTTTCACAAGCTGCGCTGGAAAATTGCCTTGGTGTGGCAGCTCAGCCTTATCCAGGCTACACCAATGATTATCATGGCACTCTTATGTTCTTCACTGGTTCATCTCAGCACTGTGGTACTGCCTCTTACTTCTCGATTGAGTAGAGACTCTCCTCTAATTTCATCTCTCGACTTCCATAAAACCCCGATCGCGCATTTCCTATCTTTCTAACCTTCATAACTCGAACCATGGACCACATAGCTGACGAGAATGGACAACGACTCAAGTTGCGGATACCATACACTGCTAAAGGACTACAATATGACGGGAAAGGCTGGGGAACTTTCCCGGAACGAGCCGGCTACCCTTGGCTCGTAGGACTTGTGACTGTGCAAGATATGAATGACCATTTCTCGCAGGAGGCCGAAGCCGATCTGCAAGCTTTTGCTCAGGCCTGGATGTATTTCGGAGTCCTGAAAGAAGTCCTGAAGAACGCTTACCGCGAAGAGGATTACATTTTAGCGGGTGAAGACGACGGCACTGCCTTCCTCACTACCAAAGGCACTCGCCAATGGCAATACAACGGCGAAGATTACGGTGGTCCTCTAGATGTCGGGAAACTCCGTGGCCAGGAAAAGATTGACCTTGGTCAAGCTGCGACAACCCTGAAGGAGGCGCTCAAGATGAGTGAGTTGTGGGACAGATTCGCCATTGGAAAGCGTCCTCTCTGGGCGGAGCTTTTACTATCTTTTAAGCTCGTCATAGAGCTGCTCGCCTGTGTGCCGCTGGGTATGCCCAGGAAGACTGAGTTTTTGGGGGATCTGAACCTCACTGCTAAATCAGGTCCTGCCGCAGACCTTGTCCGTTCCAGTCTGTTGAAAGACAACAAAGTGTGGTGTTGGCATCAGGTGGACGCTCTTTGCACCACTGTCTCATACAGCACCCTGGTTTACCTGACTGGTCTAACACGTTGGGATCGCGGCCTCGACCATTCGCAATGCCTGGAAACCAACCATTGCATCGCGTACAACATCGCTGTGGGCGACGACTTTCACACTGCGCATGTGGAAAAAGAATGCAAATGCCAGCATGTGGAAGCATCTCGTTCTGAACGTGTACAGATACTGGAGCGCGGCGGTATTCCCGTCCTAGAATGCGAAGAAAGCAAGACGGAGAACCTCCAACTTCGTTTCGTCGCGGCATCACCGCACGTTGACTACACCGCCATATCGCATCTTTGGGCGGACGGCCTGGGCAATCCTTTCGGCAACACTCTTCCTCGCTGTCAACTGATGCGTTTGATCGAAATCGTGCGGGCGACGAATGAGTCCGAGCTTTCATTCTGGTCTTGGTTCCCACGCACCACTCCAGTACGCATATGGCTTGACATATACTGCGTTCCCGCACAAGTATCCTCAACAGAACAGGGCCACGATCGCCGATCACCCGAAGAGCAACAGCAGGATGTGAGACCCAAGCGAATGGCTATTGCTCGGATGGACGTGACGTATGCTTGGGCAAGTTACGTACTAGCCCTCGATCAAGAGTTGATACACAGCATCGAACGTGGAGGCTCTGAGAGTGCCCAGCAGAGTAAATCTTCCGCCCGTGAGCATGATCCGAATCGCACAAACATGAAGACGACAGCATACATGGCTATCAGTGCCTGGAACACCCGCTGCTGGACCTTCCAAGAACACGTTCTCGCACGACGAACAATACTTCAAGGACTTCACGCTCAGGTGCAATACTCTGAGACACTGGAAGGCTACCTAACCGATCGCGGTATACAGCTCGACTTTCACAGGATGTTAAGCCGACAAGCCGTCATCAGCGGAGTACCTTCCTCAGAGCGACTGCTGAGGACACGCACGCTCTGGTTTGCGCTTCTGGTTTCCTGGCTTTTCCTGCTTCGCAGTCGTCGTACCAAACGCAAGACTCCTCTCAAGATTACTACAACCGACAATCAGTTCTCCCGAGCCTGGAACTGCTTCTATGGCCGGACCACCACGCAGTGGGAAGACATGATCGTGGTACTGACTAATCTTATGGATCTGAGTGCCGGACATGTGCTGCAATTGGGCTCTGGTGCGCAGATGAAATCGCTGCTCTCCACGCAGCAGAGCCTGCCGTTGTCATTGCTGCTGGTGGAAATGTAACGACTTGGACGAAGTGAAGATGGAGTGAGTGTTCCTCGACTTCATGATCGATGGATACCAACGATGCCGCAAAGCGTCCACTTGTCATGCCCGAGAAGAGGGAGCCAGGTAGAGGTCGTTCCGAATGGGCTGGGCTGCTCCTCAAGCCTTTACTGTTGTACCGGCACGATTCGAAGATGTTCCGGCTGCCTCTTGTCGGTGGTCGCCTGGTGGAAAGCTTTCGATACGCTCCCACTGGCGAGTCGGAAGTTCTCTGCTGGATCTCCATCGACGACGCCGAGCTGCAGTATTGTCTCAAGCACCTGGAGTGGGAGCCACAAGAAGCTATCATCGTGGTGGAGCGCTCCAGCATCAACTTGCTTATAGACCGCGACATGCCCTCTCGTGGATTCTGCCTCCTCGCCACAAACCCTCCCATCGAAGATCGGTCTCCGGAGGCGACCATCTATGTCGGCCCAGTGACCTGGGGACCTGCTTCCGAGGCCGGAAACAGCAGCTTTGACGACACAGACAGAGAAGTGCCGCTCGTTTCCCACGTCCCCATCAGGACGCAAAAGCCCATACTGATCGCCTCAGGTAAGTATTCCAGAGCTCGTAAAAGCCCAAATCTAAAAGTTGCCTGCAGACATATCGCACTGGACCAAACTCCCGCCCTCTCGATCCCGTAGGCTGAGGACTTTGAAACAAATAGTCATCGCCCAAACCATGGTGATCGTCCTAGCAACGCTAGGCTACGCTATCGCCGCCCTAATCAACAACGTAAGCACCTTGACCAAAATCCGCCAACTAGACGTCTACAACCCCGACTCTATCAAAGACTTTCTATAAATTTTCCCCGCGAACGTCCAGGCATGCTTCGCCTCGTGCCTGAAACCAACCAACGACGCTCTCTCCGAGCTGCAGAGCGATGGAGGAACAACCAGCAGCATTTCCTACTCCGAAGTCTACGACCTCCTCGACCAAACCCAGCACTGTCTCGAAACCACCTGCGTGCGCTTATACCTCCGCGTCAGCCTTCCGCAGTGGTGCGCGCCTCTCGCCGCGGTCGTGTTCCTCTGCTGGATCCTCTCCACCATCCGCTACGCCGTCCTGCTGCTGCTCATGTATTCGATCCAGTCGGAGGTCGACGTCAGTCAGAAGTGGTGGCGGCAGTTCCTTACCATCTTTGAGATTTTGAGGGTGAGTGAGGTGCCGTGGTATAAGAGACCGCAGTTTGTGATCTTGAAAGTTGTGGCGAAGGGGATGGGGTTGGTTGCTGGTCGAAGCAAGACAAGGGATGTAGCGCGGACGAAGGGGATGTAAGGATTCGACGATGTTGACGTCTCGGTTAGAACAGTGAACTAAATTCGGGGTTTAGGTACTGCTGCAATAAGTCATCAGTCCAATTCCAGTCCTCGCTGCATATCACCATCGCCAATCTGAGTCACATCCTGCGCGAAAGTCCCGCCTTTTACGGACATTGGCTATTTCTTCGACGTTGATGTCGTGCTTTCTACTTCGTTTAGACATTTGACACAAACATCAACAGGCCATGGCTATTGCGGGAGATGCGGTAATGCAAGAGCTATTGCTTTTTGTGCGTCCCATTGTGAACCTGTGACACCGACCATATGCAGCCCTCGCCTGAGGTATTGTAATCGAATCCTCCGGACTTAGGTGGGTCCGGTTAGGAGATATATGATTTTGGGAGCTGCCAAGAGCATTCATACGAGTTGCTCTCGAGTAAGACATTGAGTTGAGAAAGATGGCGTACAAGAGAATCGGCGTAGTTGGATCGACTGGACGGTTGGGTCGTGAAGGTATATTTTCCATAAACTTAGAGCGAGATGATGTTTCGCCCACTAACATGTTATCAATCTAGTTACCAGGGCTCTGGTCGATGAGGGCTTCGATGTGGTCCCATTCTCGAGGCAAGACACTGTATGATCAACGCCAAGTCTTGCGAATGTGGTAAGGCCATGAGACTGATCCAGCATAGACGGTGGCTGGTATTCGAACGCAAACCATAACGTCTTTCGTCGGATTCGATGTGATCATTTCCACAGTCGGTACGTTTTCTACTATCTTGTGATAATTACCTGGTATTTAGTCTGATCATACAAACTCAGGGCACGCAGCCATCCCAGACCAGATCCATCTGATCGACCAGGCAAAACGAGAAGGCGTGAAGTGCTTCGTTCCTGCAGAATTCGGCATGGACCATCGCTTTTCGAATGAGAAGCTATCGGATCCGAAGCGCAGGGTTGCGGAAGCCCTTCAGCGTGCGGAGTTCCCTGACGGTATGAATGATGACGAGAACCTCTGAGCCGCAAGATCTAATCCTCCTTACAGGCTGGACGTCAATTGCAGCCGGTTTCTTCGACGCAGTCTTACCTGCTCTCGTCTCCATCGACAAGACGAACGCCACCATTACCCTCCGTGGGACCGGCAAGAAGCAGTATCCTTTCGTAAGGCGATATGATCTCGGACGAGCGTTGGCCGAGACATTTCGAGAACCACAGAAGTACAAGGACCAGTGGCTTCTCGTTGCCGGCGATTGGAAATCTCTCCACGAGATTGCTTCGTTGGTGCAAGCGAGATCGTCGACGCCATTAGAGGTTCACCGTTTGCCGACAGAGCCTAGAACGATGTTCTTGCATATTTTCGAAACGGAGGGTGGGAATGTCTTTGAGCGGGAGAATCAGAGTAGTTTCCCGTTCGAGTTGGCAAAGGTGGAGGATTTTGTTGGAGAGAGCTTGGAGATCCCTTAGCCAAATGGTGTTTTCTACGCCAATTGATGTTCAAGCACTCGAAGAGACCGCATGGTATTTGGTGTATAATTGGCATCTTGTGGGTGAAAGGAATGGATCCCTCATCTGAAAGATCGGCGCTCGTGCAACCAAAAGTGGGTCCATGATGCCGATCCCTGTGAGCTTATTAGAACGACAGATCTCTTTTACGCCACAACTTGAACGTCAAAGTGCACCATATCCAGCGTATTCAAAGAGCATCGTTACTCCCATCGATGATTCCAGAAAAGGAAGTGTCCAACTTTGACGTATTCAAGGACTGCTTGTCCTCAAGCGTCATCTCTCGACTCGCACCCGACAGTGGCGAGAAGAAGCGGGCCATCAAGGGCAGAAAAAATGGGATCAAGCCTGTTGCGAGGACAGCGCCGGCCGGAAACGACGAGAGCGATGCGGCTGAGTTGGCTGAGTTCATAGAGGTCTGCAGACGTGATGTGCGAATTCTCCTTCGCGTCATTGACATACCATGCGCGTAGTACCTTGCTGAAGAGGTCTTTCCAAGTCTGCCAGCTGAAGTACGTCTATTATCGTACGCTGCGGTCCAAGATGACGCTGAACTGGTCGAACGATATGCAAGTAAGATCGAGCCCGGTCGAGACTATCAAGCAGCTCTGACGCCATGCAGCGCCCTTGGATAGCAATCTGCTCGAAAGTTTGGTGAAGCCAATGCCTCTCACAGTCACAGATTGACTCTGCTCGTATGGCCTGATAGGGGACGCATCAGACCTGGATAGGTTCTTCGAGCCGGGACTGTCCACATACGTGACTGCAGTCACTACACCGCCTCCAGAACACACTCCAGCCGTGACTGCATCAAGGCCAGATGGCTGCGAAATCTGCCAGCGGGAGCATCTTCCTCTGACGTATCATCATCTGATACCTCGTCAGGTACACGCAAAAGTTGTGAAGCGTGGCTGGCACAAGGAGTGGGAGCTGAACAAAGTTGCGTGGCTGTGTCGAGCGTGTCATTCTTTTGTGCACAAGATTGGCTCAAACGAACTGCTTGCGAGGGAGCTGTACAGTGTTGAACTCCTATTGGAACGAGAAGACGTGCAGAGGTGGGCGGCATGGGTTTCGAAGATTCGATGGAAATCGAGATGACAGCCACGTCGACGATTGCATGCGTGGCATGGTCCAATGGGCTTTGCAGATGGATGCGCCCAGGAGGCTGAGAGGGTCGATGTTGTGGCTACAGCGCATGGTAGTGCTGTCTTGCAGTACCATCTGGTGGCTTGCAGGGCTGAAGGTCGCACCATCCTCCTGACCATCCATCGAATCCGCGAGCTCGGTTCTTCTGCTAGCTCCGCAGCTATGTATTGCAAGCTACGGCACAAAAGTCAATACCGGCAATGGGAGGATTCGACTGGACGGAAGGATGACTCTAGCTGCAGCCTTGTGCATAAACATCCAGTATTGAGCTTAGCTTGGTTGCGGGCGACAGTTGTGTCGCGAGAAAATGTCCGATGAGGCAAGCTCCCCAGGCGACCAGGCAGCTGATCAAAAGTCTCGTCGATGGAATTTCGTATTGATAGAAAGCTGTCAATATGCTTTTGCACTTGTGAGAGCTATGCCGTGGAGTGTCGCCGGTATTAACTCCGCAGCTCTGATGAACATGCAATCAGAGGCATTGCTCTGCGCCCCAAATGATGACTCGTTTGACTATTCGCGGTTCTGTCGCTGCAATACTGGCATGCTTCGAACGGATGTACGAACCGGCAAATGCACAGTCGCTAGGGTGGGGATATCCTAACACTCTCCTGCACTGTAGCCGGTTGAGCGTGCTTGCGAATATAGCTCCCTCTTCGTGGCTTCTGTCCTATGGCGTGCATATGTGCTGTGCCATGAAGTCCGGTCGAATAAGAGCAGCACGCGAGATACACCGCCATGCTCCTCCGCCCTGCCAGGCGGCGGGTATCTTGTCGGATGGAGTGGGAGAGCTACGCAAGCCATGGGCGGGCACTATGGTGGCTTGACAGGTCGAAAAGGGCGCCATACAGGTTCCTTTTGGAAGTCAATGGCTCGCGATAGGACACATGCAGTTAGCTTGCAGGGGGAAAATCAGAGACAGCACGTGGCATCCTCAAGATCCTCGTCAAGGACCTTTGCGTGACCAGTGGGATGTGACCTTGGCGCTGTAAGGCTGATGGACAGCATGCATTGTGCGTGGCACGCCCAGTCGGTGAGTTGACGGTTCAGCCATGTGGCTTCGGAATGGCCGTCGATCCATGCCGTTCTAGGCGAGCAAGACACTGGCGATGCTGAATGAAGTTGGCTGTGAGATGAGCATACAGTGTTCTGACACAGTGTGAATGCAGTGTTGATGACGGGGCGATGAATGTTGGCCATGAATAGAAGAAGAGTTCACGGTCGTGTTGTTGCTGAGGGGAGAGAGAACGGCCTAGACGGAGCGAAGCGAGCCGCCCCTCATCGCATCCTTCGAAAGCCAAGCGGTGCTGCTCGAGGACTCGACCTGCGCTTCTCCACCTCCACCTGTACCTCCACCGTCCAAGCCGCCAGTACGAGACTCTTGCGACACTGCTCCTGAGACCCCTGCACTGCGTGTTTGCTGGCGCCGCCGCGAAGTCAAACACCACCGAGCCTACGACACTCTGCCGGCTCATCTCGCGTACACCACCACCACCAGTCGCAAACTCACTCAGCCCTCAGGCGCTACAAGGAGGTACCAGCGTCACAGCTGCCAGTCGACTCGCAACACCACCCTCGACAGACATCCTCGCCTATCTCGTTTAGTCGCTGCTGCACAGGATAAATAGGTCCAACTTCGCCACTAGAAACCATCGCGTCAGCAGCTGGGCGCAGACCCGACTAAGCCCGCGGCAACGGCCTTCAGCCTTTGTTCATACACCTCACAACACCTGCGACTAGGACTCCAACACCGCAAACATGTCGTACTATCCAGGCCAAGGCTACCACAACCAACAGTATCCTCCACCACAGCAATATCCACCACAGAACGGCTACCAACAACCATACCCGCCCCCTCAATACCCGTAAGTCTTCGCCGAAGTTCAATGTAAGCGCCTTGAATCTTCTAACCAGCAGGCCGCAGACCCTACGGAAACCCGTCGCCGCAACCACCATACAACGGCGGTGGCTACGGCGCACCCCCACCACCGAACTATGGCGGCCCTCCAAACGGATACCAACAAGGACCTCCTCCACCAGGCCCTCCCCCGCCCAATTACGGACACCCGCCTCCACAACAGCATTATGGACAGGCCCTTCCACCGCAGCAGGGTAATTTAATACAATTGTAGAATCAGGTACAATCGCTAACAGCTCATCAGGCTACGGTAGACCACCTCCACCACCCCAACAGCAGCAAGCCTTCGGTCACGGAGCTCCCAACGGCTACACATTCCAATACTCGAATTGCACCGGCAGGCGGAAGGCTTTACTGATTGGCATCAATTACTTTGGCCAGCGCGGTCAGCTGCGAGGGTGTATCAATGACGTGAAGAACATGTCCACATACTTGAATTCCCACTTTGGCTACAAGAGAGAGGACATGGTATGCCTTACGGACGATCAGCAGAACCCAATGAGCCAGCCGACGAAAGCGAATATACTCAGAGCGATGCACTGGCTGGTGAAAGATGCCAGGCCGAATGACTCACTCTTCTTCCATTACTCCGGACATGGTGGTCAAACAAAAGATTTGGATGGTGATGAGGAGGATGGATACGACGAGGTGGTCTATCCTGTTGATTTCAGGCAAGCTGGACATATCGTGGACGACGAGATGCATCGCATAATGTGAGTGGTGTAAGAGCTGTGAAAAGAGCTGTGCTGACATGATCAGGGTACAACCGCTCCAGGCTGGTGTACGATTGACCGCCATCTTCGACTCCTGTCATTCTGGATCGGCGCTGGACCTGCCATATATCTACTCCACCCAAGGCGTGCTCAAAGCGCCCAACCTCGCGAAAGAAGCTGGACAAGGATTGCTTGGGATCGTCTCGTCGTACGCTCGCGGCGATATGGGCGGCATTGCACAGACTGCTATGGGTCTCTTCAAGAAGGCGACGAGTGGAAGCGATACCTACGAACGGAACCTTCGAACCAAGACAAGCCCTGCGGATGTCATCATGTGGAGTGGCAGCAAGGACAGTCAGACATCGTATGTGGACCCCTATCTCCCCTGTGAACTCAACTTCGTGCCTTTGAACTCTGCCTTTGAGTCAATGGCATTTTCGAAGTTTCAGCAGCCGTCGTTATTACACAGAGACATCAACGGCATTGTGCTGCTATGATCTGTCGACGCGCGGGTTACTTTAGCGAGGCGTTGGTGGTGTTTTACTGCAGCGTTGAAGCCTGTTGTATTGCTTAGTGGTGCGATGATGTACAACGTAAACTTCTTAACGCCTCTTTGCCTTGGAGGGCCCTACGGGGCAGCTCCTTGGCGAAGAGGCGACGAGTTGCGTTGGCACTATCGCATCACATGCAGACGGCCTTTGCTGTTCATCGCTCGACTACCGTTATAGGACATGTTCGCTGACTTGAGTGTTTTACAGGCAAGATGCAAATATTGCTGGCCAGGCTACTGGAGCCATGTCGTGGGCTTTTGTTACGGCTCTGAAGAAGAACCCCCAGCAAAGCTACGTGCAGCTATTGAACAACATCCGTGATGAACTCGAGGCGAAGTACTCTCAAAAGCCGCAGTTGAGCTGCAGCCACCCACTTGGTAAGTCTGCAATATCCCCGCCTTCCCTCAATGCCTTGCTGACCTGCCTGAAGACACGAATCTCCTGTACGTCATGTAGATACCCCGGGCACTCAAGCCAGATTGAAGGAATTGTAATTACGAACGGAAGATGCATTACTATCAACGGCTGGATATGGGGAACGAAAGTTGGGCTGGTCCTCCTGGGAATGATGAAGCTTTTTGGGGATACCAGTCCAGAATGGACACTCGAGGTCATCGTACTATATGAAAAGTCAAGGCGTTCTTGGGGTATGCATTGCACTTCAGGTTGCTGTCACTTTGCCCACTCATGTGGTGATGCGAACGTCGTTCACGGTGGAGTCATGCTTTGGAAAATTAACGGTGAATGCTCTCAGCTCATGCAATCAGTAAGCCACCGAACGATCTCGATGCGAGCCGTCAGTGAGCCCAGCACGTGAACAAAAGCTGTGGTCGTGAAGCGCGCAGTGGGGACGGTGTTCCGAGGGTAGGAACGATACGCATAGTGACGACACAAGCATGAAGCTCCAGTCCAACAAACAAAGGACGGTTCTTCTCTCACTCGCCCATTCTCTTCCAACTCATAGTACAATCTCTCAAGTACCTGTGTGACCTCTACCAAACCACAACAAACACACACGTATCGACCTACTCAAACTACAAAATGTACCGCCAAGTCGCCATCCGCAACACTCGCCTCTTCAGCACTTCGGTGCGTTTCGCCAACAAGGGCCCCGTCGAGACCGCCAAAGATGCCGTGAAGACCGTCGATAAGACCGTCTCGCAGACGATTGTGAAGGGGATTGAGAAGGGCGGTACGTTGAAATCATGACTGATGTCATTCCTATTACCCGTTGCTAGGTGGATGTGGATGTCGAATGCTGACAGTCGATTGCTATTGCAGAGGAAGCTGCCGCCGAGGCCAAGAAGGTCGCAGGCATTGGTGCTCAGGAGGCTAAGGAGAAGGCTAAGGAAGGTGCGCAGGCGGCGCATGATACCAAGGAGCAGGCGAAGGGTGCTGCTAAGACAAAGGTATAAAGACGTCGACTTGAACCGGACTCCAGCGAGATGGGTTGAAGGACTGTCGAGCGGCACAGAAGAGATGAGACCAGGCAAGACGATACGAGAGACCACAGTATGAGAACATCGACATGAGTATGAGCGTGTACCATTACCTATAAGAACTGCGAAACTGGATTTCCTTTTGCTGTCTCCGAGTCCTTATAGCTATCACTTGGTGGTTGGAGTCTCCATGACAAGACCGCTCAGACGTCCATCAAGACCAGCTATACCGAGTCTCCCGCTTCTGCTCATCCAGCACACCGTCTTCACTTCGTACTGTGCACCCACGCTTCACTAAGAATCATTGTTGCTTCTGCTTCCCAGCCATCTCGAACCCCACACATCATCCACAAGCTTTCCCCAGACCGGCCAGAGCTCCAACACGTGCCTAGGGCTCGGCAACACTGCCGCGGTCAAACCCTTCCCACGCTCACGCAGAGCGATCTCGTCTCCCTTCGCAAACCCGGTTAAAAACGGCCAAGCCCCATCTTCACCATGCACGCAAACAACCGGATGAACATTCACAGATACGCGCGCACCGGCGCAAATGCACCCCGCCCAGGAAGGGCAGGTCGTTCGTGTGTTCTCCTCACGAAATGCGGGACACTTTTGCCGGCATTCGCGAACTGGCGGTCGGTTGATCTTCTGGGTGCTAGTGGAGTGGAACTAGCATGAGAGGGTGACGGCTATATTCGTTCGCTGGTGGGTTTGTTTGAGTGCGTTTGAGACACTTGTTTGTCTGTTTCTCTTTTTGACTGTGTCCTCTCTCTCGTATTCTCTGGCAAGATGAAGTCAACAGCCATGCAAATCTGCTTTCTGGTGGGGGCTGCTAACGCCTGGGCTCCTTGGGGCTGGCATGGACCTGGAGGGTCTTGGGGCCATGGATATGATCAGCTCACAGTGTCGACGACTTCTGGACACGCTCATGGGAAGATTGATCCGGAGTTGCCTAATGTGCGGCAGTTTTTGGGGATTCCATATGCACAACCACCTGTTGGCGAGCTGAGGTGGAAAGCACCTGAGGCTCTGTCCCAGCCAGACGAGCAGATCCAAGCGACTGAGTTGCCGCCTAGCTGCAATCAGTTCCTTTCGTCGACGGGAAATTCGTTGTATACGAGGGATGTTCTGGAGTTCAATCTGCAGGGCTTGAATCGCACTGGAAGCACATCTGAGGATTGCTTGACGGCTTCTGTCTGGACGCCAGTCAGCCAGAAGTATGGAGGTCGATGGTGGGGTGGGCAGAAGCAGCAGCAAGGCTTGCCAGTTCTCATCTACATCTACGGCGGCGGATATGCAAATGGCGGAGAGGACGTGCCGTACCAAACCCCGACGCAACGGGTGAATCGATCTCCCAACCACATTGTGGTCTCGTTCAACTACCGCGTGAACATCTTCGGCTTCCCCGGAGCCAAGGGCCTTGAAGACCAGAACTTTGGACTTCTGGACCAGCGGGCAGCTGTGGAATGGGTCAAGGAGAACATCGCGGCGTTTGGCGGTGATCCGAATAGGATGACTCTCTTCGGTCAAAGTGCGGGTGCTGCCTCCGTGGACTTCTACAACTTCGCCTATCCAGAAGACCCCATCGTCACTGGCCTCATCATGGAGTCCGGCACGGCGTTCATACCTATCGGTGGAGATGCTACGGGTGGGAGTTTCAATCTTGTTGCAGACAGCGTTGGCTGTAAAGGATTGGCGAACGATACTACTGGGCAACTGGCTTGTTTGCGCAAAGTCCCAGCACAAACGATCGAGACTTTTGTTGCAAACTACTCCGACAGTGGTGCTTCGCCTGGTCTGGAATTCGGCCCTATCCCTGATGGAAAGTCCGTCTTCGCAAACTACACTCAACGAGCGCTCGATGGCAATCAAGCCAAAGTTCCAGCCATCGTCGGCACAAACCTCGACGACGGCGTCGCCTTCGCGCCATACAACCCCTCCGGCCCCAACACAACCCTCGCGCACGCCGCCCTCCTAGCGACCTTCGTCTGCCCAGCTACGAAAACCATCCGTCTCCGCCAACAAACCGGCCGACAGACGTACAGCTACCGCTACTCCGGCAACTTCACCAACATCTCGCCTCGTCCGTGGATGGGCGCTTACCATTCCTCCGAGCTGCCGCTGCTTTTCGGGACGCATCCTAACTATAGGGGCCCGAGCACGGATTTGGAGTATGCGACGAGTGTTGCGATGCAGGATGCCTGGGTTGCTTTTGCGAGCGATCCGGTTAAGGGGTTGGTGAGTCAGAATTGGAAGGTTTATGAGATGTTGGGAGAGACGGAGGTTAGGGAGTTTGGGGTTTGGGTTGCTGCGAAGGATGTGAGTCTTGCTGATGTAGAGGGACAATGTTGATCTCGTCCTAGTGCGACTGCAAGATTGTTTTATGTGTACTTTTGACAAGGTGGATTCGAGCTTGGAACAAATTGAAGTCATGACTATTCAAGAGAGCGTATATCCATCGCATCCCCCTCCATCCAGCCCAACTCTGGCTACCACTGCATCAGCACAGTCTCTAACCACCCCATCAACCCATCCTCTCTAGATAGGCGAAGTCCCCTCACTACCTACACCAACAATCAGCATTGCACACCCTCCCATCAAACCTCAATCAACCAAACACGAAGATGCGACAAACTCACAAGAAAGCGACTCAAACCCAACCCCACCCCCACAATCCACATTCAAGCACGTCGTCGCCCCATCCTCGCTGACCTTGCACGGCACCGAGCACTCCAGGTCCGCGTAGAAGTTGCACTGCGCTTTGAGGTCGTAGCTGTTGAAGGCGGCGGCCGTGAGGGGGGATTTGTAGCAGGTGTCGTCGTATTGGACTTCCATCTGGGAAGGGGGATGGGAGGGTTAGTGATTGAAGAGGGTGGTTGAGTTGAGTTGGGTGTGTTGGGTTGGGTGTTAGGGAGAGGTTGGTAGGGAGAGGTACCTTTGTGGCGCCGCCGCCGCAGTTGGTTTGCGGGTAGAAGCCGACGTTGTTGCCTTCTGCTGCGATGAGGGAGGCGAGGGAGAGGGTTATTGAGGCGAGGGTGATGAGGGGGTTCATTCTTGGGGAGGGTGTGTAGATATTTGAAGGGGCGTTGCTTTGGGAAGGGGTTGACAAGTAAGTGGTGAGCTGAGACTCTTGGGGTTGAAGAGACTATCGCCCAGCTTATATGTCCACAGTGCGATGCAGCTGAAAGCTTGAAGGTGACGCTGCCAGGATGGGGTCGCATCTAGCAACTCAATCATTCTTCCTCGAATGGCGGGCTGCATACCAATGGAGTACGCTTTGCTCGTTGAACGCGCGGTCGAACAGACCACAATGCCTCACAGAGTACGATGCTATGCAGAACTAACAGGCTCGCTTCACCCGTTCGGGCAGCTCGTCAACGATCGTCTGGGGTGGCCTTAAAAGTTGTTTCAAGGCTTCGCAAACCCAAAGCCTCGTTTGAGAGCAACCTCATCAAGGTAACAGTATGAGATGCGGCTTTGCTTCCAATTACAGACTCCTCAGATGTAGGAATCCCTTGCAACTGGCTGACTGTAACCGTCGGCTCAAGAACTCTTGAGTAGGCCGTCGGAATCAATCGTAGGGTGATGGCGAGGTTGTGTCTAAAACGAGGACCACGTTGCAGAGCCATGTGTCCATCAAGGTTGTTGGTTGTTAAGCTTCTGTCAAGCTTCGGCCAAGCTTTCGTAAGTGAATGATAGTTGGAGTCGTTTCCTAGGCGGCGTACAGATCATGGGACGCCTTACGTTCTTTCAACCACATCTTCACACGTCATAGAGGCAGAGCTCAACTGTTCCTCTTTTGATCTTCCACCAAGATGTCCACGTGTTGGTGCGAATGATTATGAACTATCGAATGGAGAGCAGCTCGAAGAACGAATCGCATTCGATCTATTTGCACGAATCAGGGGCGAACGACATTCCCATCGATACGAACGACCACAAAAGCTTTACATATGAATTGAAAGACTGCAGAAGCATACGAGTACATTTTCTGCTCTCATCCGCATGCATATCCAACATCCTCAGCAAAATCACGACGCTCGGAGGCTAGCGCCAAGCTCCCGAACATTCACCTACCGAGAAAGTTCAAAAAAAAAAGCAAAAACATACAACACCCGGTATTCCCGCATGGTCACCCACTGCAGTACTAATCAGGCGGTCACGTGTTTATCCTGACAGAGCGGACGGGATGTCGAGCTTGCACGTGCCTGTGGTCGTATGTGGTAGACAAGGATTGTGGTTTGAATATGTAGGTTGTGTGGCTGCTTTGCCGTAAATTTGAGCGCAAGACGGAACACCACCAGACCGGGTTTGACTGAATAATTCTCATTTCTTCGCCTCGTTGCAATCGTCAGATTTCTCTTCACTCTTGACTTCATATACCCACCAGCCTGCCATTGGTTGAACCGAATCGAGAGTGAGGGTTTCCTTTGGCCCATCGTCTGCATCATCAAGATTTGCTCCGGAGCTGGTGCCACCTTCTATCGCTACCGAGCCCGCAACCATTCTGGTGTGAGTGATCTCCCCATGATCATCTAGCTCAACCGGCACGGATGCCCATCCAGGCGGTATATCAGCAGTGTCGACTCGATGATATCGGACGCCTCCAAGCTCACAACCATGTCTAGTCCCTTCGACACGCCTAAGGTTGTATTCACTCATAGGCCTGTCGTACATGCATCCACCATCTTCGTTCCAGAAGCAGAACGCCGTGATCCAGCCCGAAAGAAACCGTGCGCCACTGCCTCCTCCGACTTTGAAGGCGATTCTCTGCCAGAAATCCACGACAGTCTCGGATGATGGGTGATCGAAAGTCTCCACGAAGTGAACGAGAACCGGCTCCAGAAGCTCGGCGAATTTAGCACACTCATCGCCCAAGCTCGCCAGTTTTCCGATCTTCCCAACCAACTTGGCCCAATCTTCTCTCTCGCCCAACAGCGTCACAGAAGGAATGCCACACACGAACTGAAACCTATATTGAAAGTACTTCTGCAGACTGCCCATCATCAAGACCGCGGCGACGACACGGTCGCTCTCCGTCGTCGTGCTAAAGTCCGGCATCGCCCAAGTCTTGAGCGCAGGATCTAAGACATTCGCTTGGATCTCATCAGTCATCCTCACGGCGACCTTCCCAAAGTCAGCGAAATCAATGCTACCTCTATCAACCACGACCAATTCCTTTTGCCCTTCGTGCGAGACGAAGAGGTGCCGCACATCCTCCGCGTGGGCGTTGATGAACAGGCTGAGCTGAGAGAGGATAGCGAACCAGATATCGTCAGGTCTCAAGATAAGGTGATGATGGCTACTGTACGCCGTCAGGGCCGCGTTTACAAAGCCATTGGCAGAGCTGACGACGTGATGTTTGCGGAGGACGCTCTTGGTGAAGGAGCTTTGGATGATTTCTTTGCAATTTTCGCTTTCTTGTTCGCAGGAGCCAGAGAAGAGGTCGGTGTCTGAGCGCTCCTTCGTCATGCGCAGCGGATTTGCGGCATGCCGAGCTATTTGGGCTGTTATGGGCATTGTGAAGTTGTCTCATAGTTGGGAAGGAAGCGTTTTCCAGAGTTGCAAGTCGAAAGTGGTGTTACAGCATACATGCAAGCGAGCAATTTCGATTGGGCTCTTGTTTTGAGCGCCTTGGCTCCGTCAATGATTGCTGGTACTGTTGGGTGAAGGGCAAAGTCCACCTTTCCCTTTTTTTCTTATAAGTAAATCCCGACTTTCTCGTGCTCGACGAAACTCCTGAGACGATATAATCTTCGCACTCGTAGCGGGCTGAAGCTAGTTTTATGCCATGGTTGAACAACCGGTGAACTCCAGCAAGGGAGAATTCAGCCGCAGTGACACAGCCTCGTATATGCAGCATCCATGCATCAAGCTGGAGCACAGATCTCGACGTCCAGAAACGCAGGGGCTGCCATCCCGCACTAACAAGCAAGTGGTATGAGTGGTCTTCGACATCACAAACAGATTATACGATCATTGCTGTTCTGCAGCACAGCCATGGCAGAGGCCACAGAAACGATCCTGGTTCGAGAAGCCGGGGGAGAGAGGAAACGCTTCTTCATCCCGAGACCGCGCCGCATCGACCATCAAACTCAAACGAGCGTGCCAGAATTCAGCAAGATTATGAAAGACCATTTCGGTCTATTCGCAGCTTCAACGCCTTCGACTGGCACTTACATGCAGCCTGGACAGGACATCGACCCAACCTCCTTTGTCTCGCCCTGTCCACCCCAAAACACTCCGTCTCACCAACCTATTCCAGGACAAGACATTTGCGAGTGTTGTGAGGATATTGATATTCCGAGACTCTTTGGACACGGAAACGTAAGGCGATATCTGATGAGGGATGCCAGGGCCATCTTCCAATGTATGCAATGCGCTCTTTGTCGACTGCTCACTGGAGGGTTCCAATCGACCATCGGCTTGACATTGGCGGAAACGTGCAATCTACCCATTCAGCTGCACGTGGTCTTGACCAGTGTTCAAGCCGTTCTTCCCTTGGTGAAAGGGGCGGAGCGACAGCACGAACTGCAAGCTTATGTCCTCGACGAAGAAGGTTCTCGAATGGGAGAGGCTTCCATGCGGCTTTTGGGTGATGCTGCAACGAAGATTGGCAGGTCGAAGGCATTCAAAGGCAGACTGATTGACCCAGCTGCAGTGGACTTCTCCTTGGCCCGTGAGTGGCTCCATGAGTGCGACACCGGACATTACCCAAAGCATGGTTTGGCATCTCCGAGTGAGATAAGGCAGAGTTCTCCGAGAGGAGATTCAGGTCACCATAGCGACGTCTCTAACGGGTTAGTGGTTGTCGATGTCCACGAAAGGTGTCTCAAGCAGTTGCCTCCAAACTCCAGGTTCTTGACCTTGAGCTACACCTGGCCACTGTTTGACACTTTGAAGCTCAACCGGGCAAACCATCGAGCACTGATGGCGCCAGGTGCGCTCGCAGACAGCAACCAGAGGATATCGAACGTCATCCGCGAAGCAATGAGCGTTGTTGAACGATTGGGCGAGAAGTATATCTGGATCGATGCGCTGTGCATCACACAGGACGACGACGATATCAGAAGCGGTCTTATCTCTCGCATGGATCAGATCTATGGCGATTCGTATCTGAACATAATCGTAGCCACTGCTTCCACTGCTGGCGATGATTACTCCATCCCGGGCGTTGGAACATCCAGACTTTCGCAGCAGGTCACGGAAGAGCTTGATGGCCTGCGACTCGTAACGGCACTTAAAGACTACAATGCAGCTCTCGAGAAATCCCGATGGGCGACGAGAGGGTGGATTTTCCAAGAAGGGTTGCTCGCAGAACGATGTCTCGTCTTCACCGATGACCAGATGTACTTTAGATGCAAAAGCGATTATAGGTGCGAAGATGCGACATGCGAGGGAATTGTGGCAGGCTTCAGCTCCCATCCAGCAAGGCCGAGGCAGAGAGAAAGCAAGCTCGATTTCTTGATGACCTTGGACTTCCACGACAACGTCTGCAAGGGGGTATTCTTCCCCGAGTACGGACAACTGGTACGGGAATACTCGAAACGGTCGCTCACGAACGAGTCCGACATTTCGGATGCGTTTACTGGAATTTTGAATGTCCTGAGTGGTTGCTCTGGTTGTGACTTTTTCCATGCCAGGCCCGTGACAAGTCTTGAAAGATCAATGATGTGGTATCCCATATATCCTGGAGAACGACGTCCAGGGTACCCATCTTGGTCTTGGCTCGGATGGCGTGGTCCTGTCGACTTTGAGACCGACATCATCAAGCGGAAAGATGAAGAAGTGTGTCAGCCTCTGGTTTGGTGGTTCATCTTTGTTGACTTTCGAATGCATCCTGTACGACCTGATACTCCGCCGAACATCGAGCTATCCATTCGGGAACTGTTTGGCTGTTTCGTTCCACAGCTGATCCTCGAGCCGTCGAGCATCATCGCCCAAGCAGCTGTCGTTCGACGAAGATTGCGTGTGCCAGAAGAGCACATATGCTCCTTTGTGACCGTCCTAGAACAGACATTGCCATTTTTCGCCATACTGGACCGAGATAATCGAGCCTGTGGATTTCTTCCCTCGGTCGATCGAAACTTTGCTAGAGGATATGCAGCTGATCAAAGCCTCGGGATTGAGCTCGCAATACTAGCAGAGACGCCTTTGTGCAAGGCAGATACTCTGCACGACCGCGCACGTTTTTTCCATGAAGATTATGATTTGACGAGCCCGACTGCCCGGCTATGTTCGGTCATGCTCATCACGTACGATGGCAGAGGAATTGCTTCTCGCCGCGGGGTGGGCAAGATTCATAAGGACTCAGTTGATGCTGAGCTTGCTGAGGATGCCTCAAGAAGGATCCTGGCGCTTGGATGATGGACTGTAGATGATTCCGGTACCGCGTTGATCCAGGGAACAGGTTACTACGCTCGTACCTGCTGAATAGGCTGTGGGGATCCAATCCATCCGACTCTCATCGCAGCAGTGATCTCAGAGCGTGCTGTAAATGACTATCGTGGCCGAATGTCCATCAGCGGCTTTCAAGAGTCTCTGGCAAATTGATCTGATTCGAGGCAGACTGTAAAGCAATCTCTCTATGAGGTGAGGTCGTCGTCGGCACAGCACAGACTTCGGCTCGGATCGGAGGCAACGTCTTTCCTCGAAACACGGCACTTCACCTGCTGCTGTCCTCCCTCGAACACCATCATCCTTCATCACCTCTTATCTTCGTTTCTAGGCCGTTAACTCCAGATGTACAGAGGTCGTATTAAATTTGAAGCGCGGTGCTTGCTACGATCTAGAGGATCTTCATTCCCTCCGGCTGCGAGTCAGATTTCGACTGATGATAATGATCAATGCGATAGTCAGCAAAAAGTGCGGTGTCTTCATCAGAATCCCGGCTTTCCGCGTATAAGTGCCACTCGGCAGTGTCCCCAAGTCCCTAGTCCGGTCGAATGGTACGAGGGCGGTTGAAGAATATGGCATTTCACTGTGCCGCAGTTTGTCCAAGCAATCCTGGTCGTCGTCATCGGCACTCCACCGCGCTAAGAGGGGTCTATCAGTCAGCCGTCACTCTTTAAACAGGCCTAGGAGTGCGCGCGATGCGAGATTCGCTGTGAATGCTAAAGGACTCCAGATGCAGATGCCGGTCCCATTAGAGTTCACGAGCTGCAGAATAAGCTCCGGGGCGGAGAACAGCACTCCTCACGGTAGGTAAGTGCTAATAAAGATGGTCTTGGTATGATGTATCTTTTCTTCTTTCCTGTTCACTTCCTTTTTGTCTTCGCCTTCCCTCTTGGAGACGAGACAAGAATCCATCACAATGCGTCCTGGAGCACCTATAATGCTTCTGGCTCTGGCCACAGGAACCTCGGCAGCTACATGTACAGCCGATGCCTTCTGGAAAGCTCCTCCAACGGCTTTTGGATCTGAAGTGCTCGATATTCATGCCGAGGAAGTAAAAGGGTGGAATGAGTATGCAACTTCTGCTCCGACGTTTCCGGCTTTGCCTGTGGAGCAGAAGCCCATCGACTTCTGCAATGTCACTGTTTTCTACACTCATCCAGGTAGTTGAATTCGTGAATAAAGAGGATGTCGGATCGTAGCTGACATTTGAAGGATTGAACGATACCATCCGAGTCTCAGTTTGGCTGCCGCTGCAGGAGGCGGACTGGAATGGCAGGTTTCTCGGCCAGGGAGGCGGAGGCTGGGTAGGTGAACCTGCGAAGACCAGTGATTCAAAGTAGCAAGGACTGATTGTAATGTCTACTTAGGCAGCAGGTGGCCATGGCGCGTTGGCATCTGGCGTAGCCTTAGGCTATGCTGCAGCCGACACCAATGCTGGACATTCGTACTTTGGTGACCCGCCGGACACCATCCTCAGTTCTAAATCTTGGAGTTTGACAAGTCCAGGCAATGTCAATATACACGCCCTGCAGAACTTTGCTTATCGGGCGCTGGATGACATGTCATGGATCGCCAAGCATGTCACCAAGACTTACTACAGTAAAGACATCTCGTACTCGTACTGGAACGGCTGCAGTACTGGAGGGCGTCAAGGATTGACTTTGGTACGTCTGTTTTGCTGATTCACTCACTTTGCGGCACACTGACCTCCTACAGGCTCAACGGTATCACTGGCAATACCAAGGAATCATCTCGGCGGCCCCAGCAGTTAATTGGGTCACATTCTTGGTCACTGAGTATTACGCTCATGTCAAGATGAAGGAGTTAAAGTATTATCCACCTGTTTGCGAAATCCAGGCAATTACCAAAGCTGCGATTGAGGCCTGCGATGAGCTCGATGGCGTCAAAGACGGTGTTATCTCCGCATTTCGGCTATGTGGTTTTGATGCCAAGTCGGTGGTAGGTCAGAAGTACGAGTGTAAGGAAGGTGATACACGTAAGATCACAAAGGAAGCCGCAGAGATTGCCAACATAGGTTGGACTGGCCCTCTCAAAAAGGATGGCACGCCGGTCTGGTATGGTGAGTTGTCATTGCGTTCCTATAACCCTCCTCCATCCCCCAGTGGCTGATCTCTAGTAGGGCTCGCACACGAAGCCCCGTTAGTCGGCCAACCCAACTTTCAAGGTCTCGTAAAGACAAAGTGTGATCCAAAGGAGCAGAACTGCAAGAGCGACCCATTCATGATCAGTGCAGATTGGATCAAGCAGTTCCTGCTGAAAGATCCGGATTATGATCTCAGCAATATTGACGAGGAGCTCTTCCACCACTTGCTGCGCACATCCCGCCAGCAGTATCACTCCATCATGGATTCTGCCGATCCCGATCTCACGCACTTCAAACAAGCCGGAGGAAAAGTTATCTTATGGCACGGGTGAGTGTCAATGTAGCGCCTTGCCGAACACTAGCCTGTACTGATACTACTAACAGCCTCGCCGATGAACTCATCTTCCCCAACGGCAGTCTCAACTACTACGAGCGAGTCAAAGAAGTCACTCCCGAAATCGACGACTACTTCCGCTACTTCGAAGTCCCAGGTGTGACCCACTGCCTTGGCGGAGATGGCGCATTTCCTCTCACAGCTCTGAACTCACTCGTCGATTGGGTGGAGAACGGCAAGGCGCCTGACCATCTCGATGGACAGACCATACCAATGTTCAGCAGCAAACCTGATGCTGAGCCTGCGTACAGACCAATTTGTGCATATCCGAAGGTTGCCGCGTACAAGGGAGGGGACGTAACTAAAGCATCGTCATTTGAGTGTGCGGATGGGTTCGGGAAAGTGACTGGGAGGCACGATGAGTTGTAAAGGGTAAGAGAGGGAGAGAGACAATAGGGCGAGAACCTGATTCAAATTGCCCCATGCTAATGGTGCACTGGCAGTATCTACGACACGTAATTACAAATACATCTCATACCACATGAGAACAATGCACGTTATTTCGCTGTTACACTTCAACCCGTCGCAAAAATAATGCGACTTGAAACAGCCGCTCGTTACCAAAACAGAACCGCCGCACCGGGACTCGAACAAACGAAAAGCAAAAAGGACAGGACCGTAGCCCCATCCCTTTTTGCCCCCGAGCCCGCCCAAGAAACGAAGAACTATCCCACCCCCGGACGTGTGGTCTAGAGAAGACAAGAAGGGCTCAATCCATCAGATTTAACAATTCTTTATCTTAACTTTTTGCCGCATACGACGCGAATCGAACCCAGAATCCAGTCAAGCGCCATACAACCTACACCATTGCTGATGTGGTGATGGAAGCGAGTTCCAATTGAGTTATAAAGGTCAGTGCAATTTGGGCGGGAGCTAGTGCGGGCTAGGCCGAAGATGGCAGGAGCGCGTAGGCGGTGTGGCTTCATGCTACAGCTGGGCTGCCTTTGGGACGTGCGAAGACACGAAGCACAATGATTTCGTGGTTTCATGAGCCTCACGATTACATCGAGCATGATATTGATTTGTAGCGACATTCAACTATACTCCCCGACCTGCGCGAAATAGCCGTGCCACCTACATACAACACATGATTTCACAAGACCGGAAACCCACTGATTTCTCACATTTGTACCTGCTGTGAAAGACGCACACACATGCGCATGTGAAATTCTTGGCATGACATAATATTTGGCGCTAGCTCTAGAGGCTTAGATCTCTCGCCCACAACTCCGTTTCCTCTACACGGTTACAAACACTCTCAAAGCTCGACACCAGCACACCTCGCACCAGTACACATACAAGAGCATCCATACGCAGCTATACAGCTTACCAACAACGTGAACACTCATCCACTCTCGCCACCGGCAGTACGCAGCACTGTTCGAGCTCAAAGTAGTTCTACACTGACCAAATCACAAGCCATGAAGTCCTACACCATCACCATACTCCTCGTCGCCCTCCTCCTCGCCACCATCGCCCCGCTCGCCTCCACCTGGTCCCTGGCCATCTACGACAACGATGACTGCAAGCCATCCGTAAGTCCACAAACCCAAATCGACTACACCAGCGTACCACCCGCTAAAGCTAATACCAACAGTCCTACTACGCCTACGGCGACGACGGCGTCTCCGGCGTCTCAGAATGCACCCGCGTCGGCACCATTGGCGCGAACGCCATGTGTTCCTTCACGCGCGACGGCGGCCAGACGTCCGAGCCGTGCGACTTCCAGCTCGACATCAGCGGCAACAGTCCCTTCGGCTGGGCCTTCCCGGATGACACGACGTGCTATTTTGGCTACGACTCCAACTGCACCTTCGAGACCACGTACTTATTCACGACCCAGGACTGCGCCGATTTCCCGTTCCCGAAGCCGGAGAGTGGGTATGAATTGTACTTCATGTGCGGCATGGATTTCGAGTAGGCGGAATTTGGGGGCACACAGGCGCGGCGGTGGGTCTGGGGAGGTATTGGGACGGGATAGGTGCCTCTGCGGACTGCAGTGGGCTAGAACACCACGTCCGGATACATGACTTGTTTCCTTCTTGATGCGTTCCGGTCAGTACGAGATTCTTTTACAACACCAAGCGATACGACTGAAGATCTCCAAGGTCGAGATCCAGTAGGATCAGCAACAGATACACATACACAGAAAATACAGCTCAGCAGTTGTCTACTAAGCTCTTCCCTCTCCATCTTCCATACGTATTAACGATCGACGCCAATTTTGAATCTACTCCACTAAAGGATCTCAAAGAACTTGGTCCAATGTCGCACTTATGCAACCTGCATGCCCTCCACGCGAGCCTCCATGCAAGGCGACCTGCATGAATCAGGGACGAGATAAGCGCTATGTTTTGTGGTGACGTCCTCTATTCGACGAGTGGAGCTATAGTTTTCTAGCAGGCAGGATGTAAAGTCTATGTGTTGCTGGTAGTCCAAAGGCCCTGGCCATTTTGGCAAAATGACAATAGCCGGGAGTTAATGATTTATCTGTCCTGAGAGGGGTTCAAAGGGGCTTGATATTGCGAGCTTTTGAACCGCCGGTTTCATCATTGCGTCTTTGAGTCTCTTACAAACCATCACCTTCCTGTCGACATGTACAGAGGCATCAGACACCAACTACCTCCAAACTTTCCGTCCTAGAATACATTGATGTTCCTCAAATACATCATGGCCCACCACTCTTCCCCTCATGAAACAGGCCCACAACCCCCCTCCCTACCTCCGTCTCCAACTCCGTCCCATCCCTCGCAACCTTAACCTCCTTGTTCGAATTCCACGTATTCCTCATCCCTTTTGTCTTTTGAAACGTCACTCTCCTCACAGACAACCATTCAATCTGAAAAGGACGACTCCTTTGTTGACTTGAAGTTCCATCATCAGGAGGTCGCGTGCCGTCGCTCGTGACAATGCCAGCGCGGTTGTCATGTTCAGCTTCCCAGAACAGAATACCTCGCGGTGGGTCGTCGATGATGTGCCCTCGTGGTGCGGTGGCCGTGGCAGGCGTTCGTTTCATGTTTTGAGTCTTGTTGGAGGTAGAGTCTTGGAAGGGGTTGTCGCTCTGCTGGGAAGAACGATCCATAGGCGACGAGATCATACGCGCGTACCCGAAGTATTCGCCAGATTTGTTGACTGAAAAGATGAGATAGACGTTGCTCGCCTCGTAGAACGCGTCATGGAGGATCTGTTGGTTGTGTGCCTGCGTTTCCCACGTGCCTTTCATGAGACTCTCTTGTAGGTCTTCCTTGGTCAGACTCTTCAACACGAAGTATCTTTCATCAGGCTTGGTCTTCGCCAAGACGGGCTGTTGTTGAGAAAGCGGTGAAGTGTCAGGGGTACTGGTGTCGTCTTCGTGACTGATGCCAAGGCCGGCGACGGCGTCGCTCACCTCGTCAAGCTTGTCATTGCTAGACGCAGCACTGGAAACTGTCGAATCGGTCGTCATGGGACTTTGACGCATGCTTGCCGATGACTGTGACCCTTCTCGGTTCGAAGAGGCGTCTCTCCTGATGCGACATAGGAGCCGAACAGAGCCGAAGAGGGAGTGGTTGAATCTTTCAACAGCAGCGAAGCAAGCTTCCTCAGTCACGTAGTTGACAAAGGCACAATTCGACTTGGCCATAAGGAATACGCTCTCAATATCCATGGTCGCGTCGCGTGAGAAGTGATCTTTCAACGCCTCGATAGAAGCCCCCATGGGAATGTTTCCCACCCAGATGGCATGACCAGAGCGCTTCGGCTTTCGAGGCGGGCCCCTCGGTGCTTGTGGTGAGGGCGGTATCGCTACGTGTGGCGATTGGAAGTGTGGCGGGGATATTGGGGAGTGGTGTTGATTCGCCGCGTTTGGAGCTGTCGGCATCCTGTTCATATCAAGTGGCTGTACTTGTGTGTGCATGCCATAACGAGGTCCCTGGCGGTGGACGTAGCCATGGTGGTTGGGAGCTGTTGGCACCATGCCGTTCAAGTGCCCCGACTGATTATTGGCCGCAGGATTGTACACGTGCTGTTTGTGCAACATGGCGGCCTGATGTGCCTGTTGAGCCTGGGTGCTAGACAAGGTCCTCGGGTCATGACCCATGTAGTAGCTTGGGACTGATTGCAAAGGACTGTGGGGATCCGTGAAGCGGCTTTGATGGCCAAATGGGTGGAAGACCCCTGGCATGGCATGCGCTGCATGGACAGGACTCAAGGGATACGGGTTGGAAGGATAGATTGCGTTTGGTCCAGGGGCGGAAGCATATGGCCATGTCTGTGGTGATGCGAGCGGCGGATCCTGCCAATATCCATTCGGTGCCACGGGAAGATGATGGTCCATTGGTCGTCTACCGTGCAAAGCAACACGATAAACCAAGAAGCGAAGATCCAGTCAGAAATGTGTGTTCAGACGAACGTGAGACAAGACGAAAGGGTATGCTATGCCAGACACCTTGAATCCGTATGGGAGGAATCGAAGTGGCGCAGCACTTATGTGAACGGGTCAGCCAAAAGGTCTCCGCGAAGAGCGGCAAGAAAGAGCGGGCTAGCGACAGGCGTGCGCAGGAGCTTTGAGATGAATCACCGCATATGATGGCCGTCAACGGCGGAGGTCGAGGACTGGAACGCCGCAATAGTAAGGTGTCAGCGCACCGCAAGGGCTTATGCCAGAGTATTCGCCCGTGGAAGGCAGTAGCCCGTTCGCCATCGATGCTTCCCTCCCGAGAGCTCTCTCAAATCAACCAGGTTGTCCCAGGTCAGTATCTCGGCGGGATCTCCGATTTGGCAGCTTGGTTGGCTCATCACCGCAGACGACAAGGTAATCCTAGCGTCAGCCTCATCAACCAAACTAGTGCCCTTGCATCTGCAGCGTGTACTGTAGATCTTAAGCCCCTCGTCCGCGTCAACACTGCTGGGGCGACGTTACCAAACTCTAATTGATCGCTTAACTGCATAACCGGGCGGCAGAGATGCTCGAGTAGGGGTCTGCATTGAATACATTTGTTCAATAGGTCAGAGCCTCGTGGAGGGAAGAGCTATCCGAAACCCACCCGGCGCTAGGAGTCGCACGGGAAAAGCAGGGCTAGCTAAGGTTCACGATGTTCTGCATCGCATCGTTGTCCCTCCATCATCTAGCAGCGAGGAACACGCCACAAGAAACATATATATATTCCTTCTTCCGCTGATAGCACGAACCATTCGAATCTTCGAAACGAACGTTCGGCTCAGATCGTGGGACCACTGTGCCGGAACGCCTAGAACCCTCGAAAGACGGCCGAGATGACAAGGATCACATCCAAAAAAGTGGAGGTGACTGTCAGCCACCATTGGTCCAGAACCACATTGGTAAGTCGGACCGGATGTCTCATGGAAGCTCTGAGTACATCTCGAGAAGAAACTCCCGCGGCAAGCGAAGGCGGTCGGTACATTGCGTCATTTGCAGTTCGACAAGAAGATCGTCTGCGAGCAGCACCAGCTAGGTCGGCATCGAGTCATGTAATTGCTGTATGTGAGCGGTCACAGTATCGTAGTGAAAGTATGGCTCGTGTTGACAAGCTCCCAGTTCTTGTGCCGTCTTTCAATCCGTCTGCAACCGCTTCCCTCGGAGCAATGCCCGAGGCCGCAGATCTCGCGGAGCTTAACTTCCTATCTTCCTGAGAGGCCCGACAAGATGCTTGGTGGAAATAGGTCGGAGAGAATTCCTAGCGGCAGCTGGCGATCGATGAGTGCTCAACATGCAAGTGATATCGAAGTTCATGTAACGCATTGTACACGCTGTTCGTATCCTCGTCGAAAGGAATGCTCAGGAGTTCAGAGTGAAAGACGGGATCCAGGCATCGAGCTGTCCTTCAAGAGCGTTGGACTCCCACGGAGGTAGTCCTGCAGCTTCATTCCTCGACCCGACGGCGGTTTCAGCGGGTTGCCAAGTCCACCCGGTGGGGTCGCTGGTGAAAAGAGACTGCAGCTCATCGAAATTGATCTGTTCTGGTGGTATCGGCTCTCCTCTCAGCTCTGGCGCAAGAGCGCCTTCTCCTTGGAGATCGCCTCCCATGTGGTGATTACGATTAGATGGCGTAGAAGTACCCCGTGCTGGGGGCGTAAGTTGTAGCGGCGGTACGGAAGAAGGCATAGGAGTCGCAGGTACTTGTCTCTGTGGTGCGTGCTTCTCTGGGATCGACTTTCGAGCCAAGTTGTAGATTGACAGAGGGTTGAGGATATAGTCCGGTGCGCTTTGAGCCGGAGTGCCAGGTGCAGACTGCGAGACGTCGTGGTCGTCAGGTTCGTCGTTTGAATAAGGGTCCTCTGGTATGAAGTTCTGGCTGCCTGTGCGGCCTTCCTCCAACTCGATTCCGATCTTCTCAAGCATGGTATGTGCGGCTTGTGCCAAGGGACCCGCCGAGGCAAACATTGAACGCATGATGTTCAACGCCTTGACATTATTGCGAACGTGAGGTATAGTCTCGGCCAACAAGGCTCTGCTTGAGTCAAGCGATGGGTCGATAATTTGTGTCAGGTAGAAGAGCATGATCTTGCAGGAATCGTAGAGGATGGTAGGCAGCCAACTATCCGCAATTGCATGTGGACCATGACGAAGTGCTTCAGCCATGACAGTTGCCAGGCTTCGAGCATGGCCAAAGAGAGTTGACTGGAGATGTCGAAGAAACTCGCCTTGCTCTGGTGGAAAGCCGAAAGCTGATCGTAGTTTGTACAGCCCGGGAGCGCCTGGTCATTGGTGAGTATGTCATTGTATCAATCTTGCATGCTGTTGCTTACCTATCCGATACAGGTCACACATGGTCTGATGGTACGCATAGTGCAGCGCACACAAGGCGCCGACTTGCGACGTCTCTTGTCGAATATAAAGTGTCGTTGGAGTGAATTGAAGGTTTGCTGGTAGGTTATCGTACCAGTATCTTAGCTCTGCATCAAGTTGCGCAAACTCAGAATCCGGTAGCCAGGGAGGTCTCGCTGTGTCAAGGTGCTTGATGTAGGTCAACACCTTCCGACGAGTTGCAATGTGGCGGAGATAGAACGCTGTCATACCCATGCAGTCTTGCGGGTAAGTGGGTAAAAGCTCGGTTGGTAGGAACTTGAGCATCTGGCCAGGCTCGAGAGTCTCGGTGATACATGGCTCTTCCAGAACAAAATTTCGCTCATTGCAAGGCAGCTGTATCTTGATATCGGCCTCATCAATCAATGTCAACTGATCGATTCCACTGCCGACCAATGAGTCCGTTATATAACAGCACCACATCAAGCGTCGCCGAGATTCTTTGACACTTGCAGAAGGACCGCTTCCCGTCTCTCGGCAAAGCACATCTGTCGAATGCTCCAGGTTGATTTGCAGAGCCTGGGCCATTCGCGCGGTGATTGCGCTGAGCATGAATGCGTTGGAATAGTTTCCCATTCGGATCTCATAATCGTGGAGCAGAACAGCAGCCATGAGAGCCTCGACTGAAATCTTGTCGAGTCTGGCCAAAATGAGTGTTTGTGCGTGACTGGCCCAATGCTTTCCAGCATCGATTGGGTTGATTGGCAGATTGATTGGCAAAGCGGCGTTTCTGCTGGTCTCGTATTCGACAGCGTAAAACAACGCACCAAGTGCACAAACGATGTGCAAGAGCGCATTGCTGTCATGGTTCTTATTGGCATCGTTGTCCAACTTCTGCAGAAACGATGGCTTGTGCAGGAAGGCAAAGCAACGCAAATGGTGGACATTGGCAAAATACCGCTCGACCAATATCCGCGTCCTCGTGTGCTCAGGAAGGTGTTGCGCAACAAGCCAGCTCAAATCGTCCGAGAACGGGTTCGGTGGCTGCGTGTTAGTTGGCTGTCCTGGAGAAGCGAGTCCGATACTCGCAACAGGAGTTTCGATTTTCCTCGCCGGACTCACGACACTTTCAGGTGTCATTTCTGCGTCGGCCAGTCCAGAATCAGTTGACGGCGCCTGGTTCTCGCTGTTGGAAACAGAAACAGCAACACGTTGCTTCCAAGCGGGTTCCGAATCGTCTTCATAGGTGCAAGATAAGGACTTTTCATGGCATCGGGCACACGTCGGCTTCTGGCCCGAACATCTCGTTTTCGACGTGCGGCATTCCACGCACGATCGATACGTACGCTTTCGTTTCGTGCCGGCGCCGTGGAAACCGTTGCTTTCACTTTGTTGCAATGCCGGCGATGGAATTGTTGTTGGATCTCCAGACGAGCCTCGTCCTGGAGGGGCACACACCAGGCCCAGGCGCTCACAGTTGAAGCATTGCGGTCGCCTCTCGTCGCATCTAACCTTCCTAGCCCGGCTATTTCGTGTAAATCAGCACCTTGATCTCTCTCTGCGATCCGGTGAAGCGATATATCTCACCAGGTCTCACAGCCTAATCTCGATCTGGTCACTTTGCGGCTGCTGTGGCGCGAGTCCCCCATGGCCTTGGCCTTGGTGATGATGGTCGTACTGATGGGAAGTGTTGAGCAGAGCCGACGAACCGGGAAGCCGAGAAGATAACTTTCAGCGCGCTTCCAACAACGGTGAGCAGGGTAGCATTTTTCGCGCGCGCGCCAGGCCCTCGCAATGGGCGGAAGTCGAGACCGCCGGATAGTGATGGACACGTCGGCGATCGATTTTCGCTAGGGCCTACGCAGCTGTCGTCGCAAGCAGAAACACTTTTCGCGCTCGCTCGCTGCGAGAGGTGAAGTGTTCGGCAAAGATCAGACTTCAACACTAATGAGTTTCGGGCTTAGCGTGTTTCCTCTGAATTCTCGTGTCTCAATAGGAGTCAACATTTGAACGTCTATTTCTTCTACCACCGACATACGGCTACTCTGCATCTATTGGTGCATAAGGCGCCTGATCATTCACTTGGATCCCTCCTCGCTTCTTCTCATTGCTATCGTGGAACGGCGTCTTCCACCCGCCTTCATTCTCCGGCACAGCCAACCACAATCTCATGAGATGCCTCCGAACCCTCGGCCGACCTTGCTCGTCTACTGATCCTGGCGGGTAGTCCTTGTATGCAGTACGCGCGTGGAATACGTGCGTGTTGGAGAGTAGTTGGATGTCGCCAGGGTCCAAGATCATGTGCAAGGCCAACCTCGTGCAAGTGTCTTCGAGGACTTGCAGTGCGTGTTTTTGAGCGTCGGAGAGCGGTGGAATTCGAGCATCGGGTCCTGAGTTGAAACTAAGAGCGTTGTGTCAGTGAAGTTCCATCATTCAACCATCTCGACACGACGTACCGGGCCAGCGACGTGACGTTGTTAGGATCGAGCCTTGCAAACACGCGGGGAGAGCCTTGAGGATCGTTCTCTAGGTAGATGATGGATGACCTGTAGTATGGGTCTTCGCCCTCACTCTGCTCACCCTTACGGTCAAAGTACCAGTTGGGAGTCGCCAGCGCTTCGACAACTTCCGGGTGTTCCTTCTGCAGCACGTTGAAGACGTGGTGAGTAGAAGCGATGCTGTGCCACGTTGTCAGTGGCATTCGAATAACAGGCGAGAGGAAGCATACTCCGATTCGCCACCTTCCAAAGCCTTGGCAATGCACAGGAGTCCAACAAGGTCAGCACCATCCGTGTGGAAGTACTGCTTGGCGTTGGTGCGATAGATTCGAACTCGGTCCTTCTGGGTCGGGTCCTCGCCCAAGTCCTTCACATGTCCAAGCACATGTCCACGTCCATTCTGGCTGGTGAAATATCCAAAGTACGCTCCCAGACCAAGATACGCCACAGCAGACTTCTGCAATCCCCATTCCTGCACTGGAACTCCCTTGAACAGAATGAACCCCTTTCCGTTCAAGATCTCGTTCCTCACAGCGCCAAAGAACTTCTCCAACTTTGGTAGAGGAAACTTTTCTTTCGCCATCCCCGTGAAAGGCGTGCCCGCAGCGATGAATGCATCTGCCGCGCTGCTCAGCTCGGCGATCTCCTCATCGCTGAAGACGTGCGTCCAGCGCTCGGGGTTGTTGCGGTAGTCTTCTGCCTTCCATACGGTTGGGCTAGTGATCTCCGTGGGAAAGTCCTTGTACGGCCTGATCAACTCGTAGCGTGGTGGATGTTGGCCGGATGTCTTCAGGCCATCAGGAAAAATGGTCTTGCTGACGGGTTTGTTGTTGGAAAGGGTATGTGGTGCTGCTGGAGCAGATTCCGTCAGAGCGGGTGCCATTGTGCTGTCGTTCGTTCGATGTCGTCTGGTACAGTCTCCAAGATCAATTTTCTGATCGAGACGTCCATCGGCCGGTCTTATATCCCCCGACCCAACTCGCATCCATCACCTCGCCTTCACAGAGCCCCAATCACGCGATTGGCGAAAAAGGTCTCCACATCTCAGTCAGGCCAAGAGTTCTGGTGGCCGATGTTCCGCGTGTGAGCTGGCATTGCTGTCGGGTCGTCGCCTCGGCTGGAAGGACCTTGATGGGAAAGTCGGAGGGGAAAGCAGGAAAGAAACGAGAGCGAAGTCGGAAGCTTGAGAGGAGGAGAGATGGGATGAGGTCAACTTGCGAGTTGCGCTTTGGAGAGAGGATGAATGGCAAGTCGTATGGTGTCCAATGGATTGCAATCTCACTTCAATTGTCAAGAGCGTAGTCGACATCAGCTTCTCGGGCATTTGTCCTCGGCGATCGACCGTGGATAAGAGGTTGGTATACAAATCAGAGCAAAGAACAAGGCCATTGTTCAAACAGGCAGGCAGACCAAGCTTTATATGTTTTCCTCCCCAGACACGAGGTAGTAAGGTATCTATGGCGTGCGCTTAATCTCATCCATAGTTCAAGGCTCCGCATCGTCTAATCAACCAGAAGTAGAGACTCGTGATGGCGACAGCTGGGTCCCGACTGACGTGATGCAGGTGAGGCTCGCCATGGCTGGGCCTGCATACGAGATGCGACTCGTCGAGGACAGAACAAGAAGGTCCTTTTTTGACAAGGCTCGGCTCTGTCGATGAGGGGAATGCTGTGCTTTAGGCTCTTGTCGAAAGATCGCGACCGTTGTGTGTTTTGTCGGAGTGGTTGAAAGATCATCGATCTATCACCGACTTCACAATAACCACACCCTCTCCTTCCCCTGCGCATCCAGTACCCCATTCTTGTTCATTCGCCCATAATTGATCCTCATACCCACCGCAAGCAGCGCAGTCGCAAAACTGCAAGCTGCGCAGACGAAGTTACCCGTTGGATACCCCTCTTTGCTCTCGCCCGGGATCCAGATCCACTGAGCGATGATCTGACTGATGCCTGCGGCGCTGTTGTTCAGTGCAGTCGCAATGCCCATGCATGCTATAGCGGGGACATTGCAAGTCACCCAGGCGCTCAGAGGACCGGATGATGGGAAAGCTCCGCAGGCACAGAGCATGAGGCAGCCGTATCGAGCGGTGTAGTAGTCCGCAGGGAGGAGGCCTACGAAGGGTAACAACATTAGCCACTGGCGCGCACACAGGGCTGCACGAACTTACCAGCAGTCAACCATCCAGCGCCGCCTAAAATGGACGAGGCGGTAATGTGCCAACCACGGGCATTCATCCGATCTGCCGACCATCCCAGGAACAAACAACAACAATACCCTACGATCCAGGGCGGTACGGTCATCAGCTGTGCTTTGATAGATGTATAGCCAAGACCGTTGACAATAGTCGGCGTGAAGAACGTAAGAGACCCAAGCGGGACGCAGTTCGTAGTCTGGTCACATCTTTGTCAGTTCCACCCATGGTGATCAGATAGAGGCGCTACTCACATATGCCAAGTAGTGTGCCAGCATCCTCGGGCTGAACGCCGTTGCAAGTATTTCTCTCCTCTTCGACTTCTCACGAGTAAAGCCGCCTCCCTTGACAGCAATTCGGTCTTGAATAAACTTCTTGTCGTCTTCGCTCAAAAATTTGGCTCGTGTTGGATAGTCGGGCAGGCAGAACAGCACCGGCAAGACGAATATGACGGTGATTGCCCCTTCAATGATGAAGAGCCATCGAAAGCCTTCAAGTCCCCCGTCCCCGTTGAGATGTCCAACTCCGTAGGCAATGCAACCCCCGAATGCACCTGCAGCAGTCGCAGAGGCCAGAACAAAGGCAATCCGGACCGAACGCTCTTCGACCGGATACCAGAACGTAATGAGGTAGACAATGCCCTGCACAACACGTTAGACTGTATCTCTAAGTTCCGTCTCATCACGTCATACTTACAGGAAAGAAACCCGCCTCAAACACTCCAATGAAGAACCTCAACACAACGACCTGTGCGTAGTTTTGGACGCCAGCGAACCCAATCGTGAAGGCTCCCCATGCGCCGAGCAATGTCGCGAGCCAGATGGATGGCCTTACATAGCGTTTCATGATGAAGTTAGAAGGTACTTCGAACAACGCATAGGCCAGAGAGAACAACGAGACGGCAACGGCATAGTTGGTGTCAGACATTGATGTCTGTTGAAGCATACTATCGCCGGTTTCTTCGTTTAGAACCTTCCCGTTGCCGATCGATGATCTATCGACTATTCATGGAGTTCAGCAAAGTTGTCGATTCCCGGGTGCCTTGGTGTACCTACGATAGTTGAGCATGTAGACGAAAGCGCATAACGGCAGGATCCGGATATCGATTTTGCGGACGAGCTGTCGAGCACGCTTCTTGTCTTCGACATGATGGCCCTCTTCGACCGTGATTCCGTCGTGAGGCTATTGCATGGTCAGCGTAGTGGACTGTGAATCCAGTAAATTCGCCACTTACCAAGGAAACGTCGCTGACGTCCTCAGAGTGGACGGCTTCCACCTTCTCTTTTGCTGACATTCTCAGTGATTAGACCTGGTCTGCCCTCAAGTCCTGGGCATCAACAGTGCGAGCAAGTCGAAGAGCAAAGGCCGGACAAGAAAGCTGATAAAGACGCCGCGCTCGAGACGAGTTCAACGGTGATCCCCACGTTCCAAGATCGCACAACATGCTTTCTGCACGCACACATGCAACTCGGGCAAGAGTCGCGGCTATTCTGTTGCCCGTGGGGAATTTCCCCATGTTTATGAGGGGGATCGACAGAGTAGTCGTGCGGAGAACGATTGCCACAATCCTGCCACTTGATGAGTCTCCTCCTGGCCAAAGCCCAGCGAGCTGTAGTGGATCATGATGCTGAAATCTTGTAACGAAAGGACATCGTCCGTAGTCAGATGTTTAGAAGACGAGCTGAGGAGTTCGGTCTGGCTGAATCGGGTCGACCATGAATCGGTGGTGGTCTTCGAATCAGTGAATGAAGCTGGGCTGATTGCCGAATACTGGAATCAACGTATCATTTGTAAATGGTGGAGGCATCTGTTGCACGAGCATCAATGGTGTATGACTTGTCGTCTCGGCTTTGAGAGTGATGTTGGCTTTGCCGATAAGGCAAGAGCGTCCAGAAAGATGAGCAATCTTTGGGTCCGTCAGGAGATTTTCGCAAATCTCAATGCACACGTTCATAGGCACGAGATCCTCCAGTGAGTCGGGATCATCTTTCTTCGCGTTGTTCGTCGTCGCTATCGTCGTGGCTCGTTAGTCAGCTTCCGATGTATTCTTCCGAAGTCGGGTCGGGGCCCTCCGTACCGGGCCGTCACTCTTTTCGTGGCGATGATTTCATGCCAGATCAACCGTCTTCCTGTACAACTCTGCAAAGGACACGGCCTGAATTTATATCGTTCGATTTACACGCAGCAGAATGCCGTTCGCAACAGTCAACGGCCATCGGATCCACTATCTGGACACTCTGCACATAGGACACAAGGTTGACGATGGCAAACCAATCCTTGTCATGGTCCATGGTCTCGGCTCCTCGCAAAACTACTACATGCCGGTGATTGAAGAGCTGAACGGTTACCGATGCATAGCTCTCACCACATACGGAGCGGCAGAATCGAAGTCGAATGGCGAGAAGCTTACACTGGAGCAGTTGGCCGAGGATGTGGTGGGGTTGATGGACGAATTGAGCATTAAACAAGCGGTGATCTGTGGTCATTCCATGGGTGGACCGATGGCTCTTGCAGTCGCGGCTTCACATCCTGGTCGCGTTCCCGGGGTAGTGGGCATTGGACCAGTCAACCCATCAAGCGTGAAGCCGGAAATGTTTACATCCAGGATCGAAACTGTCTTGAAGGGTGCGTATTGAGCCACTGCAACATTGGTACCCCTCCTCTTCTCAATACAACAATACTGATGACTTTCAGACGGCATGGAGCCCATGGCCAATGCTGTGCCTAAGGCGGCGACGAACGCAAAGAGCACGCCCGTCCAGAGAGCGATGATCCGAGAACTCATCATTGGCCAAGATCCGAAGTCATATGCCTCCCATTGCGACGTGATCCTCAACATGAAAGACCCCGGATTCTCATCAATCAAGGTCCCAGTCCTCATTATTGCTGGCGATGAAGACCAGTCAGCTCCGATGGCCGGCTGCGAATATATTCACCAGCATCTTGGAAGCTCTGACAAGGAGCTTAAAGTTTTGAAGGGCGTGGGCCATTGGCACTGCATTGAAGCAGGCGATCGTGTTGCCGAAAAGATAAGGGCATTCGCCTCCAAAGCTATCAAAGTCTAGAATAGCAATGTATATGGAATTGATGCTCCAGCGTTTCAGGTCTCTGCCATACTCTCAAACAGCTTGTCGCGCTTGTTCGTAAGTGCTCGCAACTCGCCACGTGCCTCCTCCAGCGTGCGGCGAGCAGCCCGTGGGTCTGTCGGAAGGTCCTGGAATGCTCTCAAGTCCATCTCAAGATTGGCAAGCTGTGACCGCAGTCGCGAAACATCGTCCAGTCTCTGCTGCACCATCTGGATGCCACCAGCGGCCGAATCTGGCCGGGATGCGCTCAATCGTTCTTCGTACTCTGCAATCTTGGCCTTCAGTTGCTTCGCAGACTTTGTCCATTCAACGGTGGTCTCAGATACATCGGCAGGTGGCTGGAATGCATCACTCTTCAACTCTTGGAGCAGGTCTTCGATGCGAGCTTGTTCCTTTCTGAGAGCATCAAGCTGGCCTTCAGTACGTTGCAGTTGCTGTTTAAGCTCGAATTGGTCTGAGGTCAAGTCGATGACCCTCTTACCAACTTGCAACGGATCGGATGTCGGACAGTCAAGAGACACGATAACCTCAGCGAGCGTTTCGAAATGTGTCTCGTTTAATAGCTCGATCTCCATGGCATGAACAATCTCGTCGTTGATGACACCGCGTGGGCGAGAAAGCGCTTGAAGTGCGGTCCTTTCTATGCGCTCGACTTGGTATCGTTGTTCGTCGGCGCTCTCGTTCAAGTTGGCAAGCGTCAGCAGTGCTTGCAGTGTGTCCTCGTTCCTTTCGAAATTCGGCATGCGAGAGCCATATCTTTTTGACAACCAGGAGTCCACGACCGCCCAATCTTTAGCACGAGCCTGTACAGCGCGAGCTTTCGAGGGCGAGAATAGCGCATCCGCCGTCCAGTCGGTATCCATTTCGATGGCGACTTGGGGATGCAGGTCTGCCTGCGGTGTTGTCGAGAAACGTGTACTCCCGCCGATGTCAGGAACGTGATTTAGCGTCGGCGCTAGAGATGCACAGGCCAACGGCACGGGGAGAGCCGCTGGCCCACTTTCTACGGCACAACTCCATCTGACTTTCTCTAAGACACCTTTCACGCCCTCGGTCACCCGATTGCGTCTTGTTAACCTGAATCGTTCTCGGCCAAAGATCGAAAGATGACGTCCAATCTCGTGCTCAGGACGATCTGCATGTGGTTAGGCTGAGCCGCCAATGCAGCCGCACGGCCCAAACTCCTGCAGCTGCCAAAGCCTCCAGAGCATCGGGTCGCGCAAGATCACAGCGATTTTCACGGTACTTGCGGCTACTCGAGGCTACAAGCCATCGAGCCCGATTCTATGGCTTGTCAAACATCGTTGCTGGTGCCGTTTTGTCTGGTCTCCATGGGCGTGGCCATTGTCAACTTCCTCGGGGCCATATGAAGACTTCGGATGTGGCACGAGTCAGCGACAGAGACATGAGCCTGATGATCGAACTGTTTGAGTCATGTGCTATGTCTTGTGCAGCCCGACTCTGTACCGGATTATCGTCGCAGCAACCACTTTAGGACATGCCATTCGGATTCCACAAAAAGCCCCAGATGTCACCGACAGGGAAGTGCTCTTGCCATAAAGTGCCGCGACTCATGTTACGTGTGTGCCTATAACGTTGCTGATATACCTCTAAGGCCATTCACGAGGACATCAAGTATGTCTGTGTGCCCACCATGGCATTAAGCTTGACTGAGCAGCCCTCGCTCCGTACTGCTGACATTCGAGGTGAGGATGCGGTCCTCAGCAGGCCTGACATGGATTGCGCTGGTGTTAGCCACTGGGACCTCAGCGAACATGGTCAATGAAACAGCCTTGGCTGATTTGCCTCAATGTGTGGTACGTATTAACCGCCGTGCGCAAGTATCGAGTTGCTGCTGATGGCCATCTCACAGAGAACATGTTTGGCAAAGGTGCTACCGATGTATTCCTGCACACCGGCGGAATCGTGCTTTTGTGAGAACGCCCAGGTCGAGATTTCGTCGTCTTCCTGCTTGATGGACTCAAGATGCTCTTTCGAGGACCAATTACTCGCCACGAAGTTCAAGGCCGAAACATGCGGTCAGCGGGTCCGCAACAGAGGCCCCCTGCTGAGTGCTGTCACGTACACTTTGTTTGCGGTGGCCACAATTTTCACTATAGCGCGTGCACTATCACGTTCACCCAAGCTTGGAGGCGTTGGCCTTGGATCGGACGACTGCACGGCTTTTGTTTCCTACATCCTGCTGATCGCAATGACCGCCAGTGACTGGTTTGCGATCCACTATGGCCAAGGACGTTACATCTACACACTCAGCGTAGACTCAGTCAGCTTGTTCCTCATGGTAAGTGAAGCAGTTTCAACTGAACGCAAGTCGAACCGCACTAACAGTTCACTTCAGTGGTTCTACATATCCAATACTCTTTACAGCGTCGCCATCTTCCTGACCAAGATCTCACTTGTGCTGTTGTACTTGCGAACATGGAGCAAACCCAAAGGTGGATCATCGAGGTTCCATACAGCCTATCTGGTGAGCCTCGTCGGGCTTTCCACAACAATGATAGCCTTCACTATTGTCTGCATTGCTCAGTGTCAACCCATATCCTACATCTGGACTTTCGTCAAAGGAGGCACAGGGACTTGCATTGACCGTACGGCCTGGCTTTGGGGACTCAGCAGCGCTGACATTGGCTGGAATCTGATTGTCATTCTTTTGCCCATATCGCAATTGCTCATGCTCAAGGTTTCTGGTCACAAAAAACTCGGGTGCGTTCGAATTCTCCCGATATGCGTCACAAATGCTGATCGTTCACAGAATCTGCCTCGTCTTTCTCGTTGGCCTCGTGGTGATAGTCTGCTCTTTTGTACGACTCAAGTACATTTCTGGCTTCACAACCCACAAAAACTTCACCTATTTCTACAGCTACATCGGACTCTGGAACAGTATCGAAGTCAATCTTTCGCAAGTGTGCTGTTGTATGCCTGCAAGCATCGGCCTTGCAAGGCAAGCCTCGACGTATTTGCACCACGTTCGCCACCACGAATCCCGACCTGAGTCCCCACTTGGTGCTACCGTTGTATCTGGAACGCAATTCGAGATATTCGATCCTCCATCCACTATCGGGGCCACAGTCGACGTCGAAAAGTACAGCACAAGCCAAAGCAGCTCAGCCAACAGATCTAAATCGCAAGACAGTGCCCCATCTCCAGTCGTTCCCCTACAGCCAGGCCAACGAAGTCCCCCAACACCCTCACCGCCACCAAAGCATCCCTCTCGAGCCTTCGTCACCACCCACCACGACGTGAGTAGAAGCCGTGACGTACCCGACATTCTTTATCACGATCACTTCAACGATGTCCATCTGGAGGTCATCGATCCCCCTGAGTCTCCTATCAGAGCGCAGCTGAGATACATCGATCGGAACATGGTGCCGCACGATGTGGAGTTGCAAGGAGAGTATCGGCGTCCGTCAACCCCACGTCCTTCTGCCTCTCGTCCTCCATCAAGACGTGCTATGCGGTATTCTCCAAGAACCATGAGTCCTGATCTCGTGCCTTTTGCGAAAGCGAAGCCGTCGTGGGATACGTTGAGGGAATGAGAGGATGTTGTGGGGAGAGCTGCGCAGAGGGTAGCTTCGTCAAATATCAGTGCTCTTCTGCAGTTGAGCACTATGTCTTTAATTCGCTATCGTCTATAGTACATATGAAATTGATTTTGCAATGTCGTTTCAACTTATCAAGCAGTCAAAAGCACCCGTGGACCCGACTGCTGGCTACCCCTGGTTTAGACTTCTCAAGTGTCGGATACACCCGCTAGCGCCGATCAAACCTTTAGAGTTTGCGCTAGGAGGAGCCTAAACACGCTACTTCACGTCTTCCATTGTTGAAAGCCGTTCACTCTTCACCACTCTTCCATCTGCAAGTCATCCGACACCGCCCAGCCAATTTGGAAAGCATCCTGTTGATTCAGCCACTGATGAGGAAACATGTCGGCCAAAGCTGCTTTGAAAGCAGCCAAGACTGCACTGGACAACGCAGAATATGACAACGCCATCGAGAAAGCGCAATCAGTGCTATCTTCTGACCCCCAGAACCATTTTGCAAAACTCTTTCTTGGCAGAGCCTTGGAAAAGCAAGGCAAATACGACGAGGCGGCAAAGTCATATCAGTCGGCGGCGAACTCAAAACAGGACGATGCGCAGGCATGGCTTGGACTTTGCAGTGTTTACGAAGCCCAGGGCGGCAAGAAGCTTGATGAATATCGCGGTGCTTCGTTGAAGGTCGCTGAGATCTTTACCGCCACCGACGATAAGCATAGGTGCCAGTCGACCATCGACAAGCTTGTTTCATTCACAAAGCAACATGGAAGTCAAACGCAGAACAAGAAGGTTCTGGAGCTTCTGCTACCTGGAAGTCCGATCTACGATGTTCTGGAGGGACGGATACCTCACCCTTCGCATACTTATATGCGACTGGCGGAAATGACCGAAACAGAAGAGTCACAGCGTATCTCAAGGGAGATCAACGAGCGTCGGACGAGAATAGGTGCTCGAGTGGGGCAGGTCACCATGGATGTCAAACGGGAGGTCTTCGGGAGTAGCAATCTTGAGGAACTTTACCAGCAGGTCATCAACTGGTCCAGTGACGATGAGCTTCGAAGACAATACGAAGAAAAACTGCTCACTCGAGCTTACGATGCATTGATCGTTCTGCCCATGGAACAGAAAGGCCCGAAACTTGATCAAGTCCTAACCCTCGCCGAAGGTATGGTCATAATTCATCATCCATTCCAAAAAGCTTGGGACCTGGTCTTGGAGACAAGAGATATGGACGATCTGCGCGAACTGGATGTCGGCATTCTGAGAGAATTTGTTGCCTCTTTTCCAGACAGTGGGCTTGGACGAGTCTTGAAAGGATGGCTTAGTAGCGGTCTCTCCCCGTTCCCGCCACCGGAGAAGTCAGAGGAAGATGACGAAGAGGCACCCGAACAGCTGTCTCCCGAGGACCGACTACTTCTTCTCACAGAAGGTATTCAGGACGCGGAAGAATCACCATTTGCCCATCGATTGGTAGGCGATTTCTATCTGCATTTGGAGGAGCATCAAAGTGCTGTGGATAATGCTCGAGCTGGCTTGAAAGCAGTGCAGACGCAATCTAGCCGTCTAGGCATGAGCTTCCAAAACACAAAGGATGCTTTAAACTCTGTTTTAGGAACAGCTCTGGTCCATCATCAGGCCCCGAGGAACCACCCGGAGGCGAAAAGACTGTTCGAAGACATCCTGCAACGTAAACCAAAGTTCACTCCAGGTTTGATAGGTCTGGGCCTGATCTTCGAAGAGACTGAAGACTATCAAGACGCAGTCGACTTCTTCGAGAGAGCACTACAAGAAGACAAGGGCAATGTGCGAGTAGGAACGGAGCTTGCTTGGTGTAGAGCACAAAGTGGCGACTATTCCCTCGCCATTAAGGAGTTGGAAAACTTCTTGGAAGTCATCAGGGCCGACGACCCACGAGATAGAGATCTACGGGCTCAGACACTGTATCGCATCGGAGTGTGCCTGTGGGAAACTGACACATCCAAAGCTGCTCGTCGAGACCGCAATGGTGCTTACAGTCGCTTCCTTGCGGCAATTAAGACCAACATCAACTTTGCGCCCGCATACACAAGCCTAGGCTACTACTATGCTGATTATGCGAAAGACAAGAAGAGAGCTCGGCAGTGTTTCCAGAAGGCATTCGAGCTGTCGTCTGCAGAGGTCGAAGCAGCCGAGCGACTCGCACGATTCTTTGCTGATCAGGGTGACTGGGATATTGTCGAGGTCATCGCTCAGCGGGTCGTCGACTCCGGTAGGGCTAGACCACCTCCCGGATCGAAGAAGAAGGGCATCAGCTGGCCTTTCTCCGCGCTTGGTGTCGTTCAGATGAACAAGCAGGAATACCAGCGCGCGATTACCTCGTTCCTAGCTGCTCTGCGTATCACGCCCGAAGACTACCAATCATACGTTGGCTTAGGTGAGAGCTACCACAACTCTGGAAGATACAATTCGGCTTTGCGAACATTCAATTACGCCATTGAACCGCACGACGGCGTGTCGATGAAGGTAGCAGGCGAGACTTGGTTTGCCAAGTACATGCTTGCAAATGTCCACCGAGAGCTTGGTGACTTCGACGAAGCTACCAATGGCCTGAAGAAGGTGCTCGAGGAGCGACCGACAGAATTCGGTGTGCTGATGTCACTGCTTCAGACGTACGTTGAGCACGCTGGACGATGTCTCGAAACTGGTCTATACGGCCAAGCTGTAGAGAACGCCAGCCATGCCATTGCAACAGCCACGAAGATCGCTACAGATGTGCCCACCGCCTTCAATCTTTGGAAAGCCGTTGGTGATGCATGTTCCGTTTACTCTTGGGTGCAGAGTGCCGTGCCAGACTTCCCTGCCACAGAACTGAAACACCTTCTTGACGTTTCGTCGGACGCAAGGATGTACAGTGCTCTTACTGATGTCGACCAGGTCTCGCTTGCCACAATCAAAGATGACCAGGATATACTTTTGCTCAAGCCTATTGCGTCTGCTGTGCTAGCATACAAGCGAGCCATACATTCAGCATCTCACGAAATCCACGCTCAGGCTGTGGCGTGGTACAATCTGGGCTGGGCTGAACAGCGAGCATATTCATGCAGCGAGGCCAAGCAGGGAAAGAAATATCTAACATCTGCAGTACGATGCTTCAAGCGTGCCATCGAGCTCGAGGCCGGCAATTACGAGTTCTGGAACGCACTCGGCGTTGTCACAACTCATCTCAACCCCAAGGTCGCCCAGCACGCTTTCGTCCGGTCGCTACATATCAACGAGCTGAATGCCAAAGTGTGGGCCAATTTGGGCGTACTGTACCTCCTCCAGAACGATAACGAACTCGCACATCAAGCCTTTGGTCGAGCGCAGAGTATGGATCCAGACTATGCTCACGCATGGCTCGGGGAAGGCCTCATTGCCTTGCTTATCGGCGATACCAAAGAAGCTCTCAATCACTTCACCCATGCATTCGAGATATCTGATTCGGCATCACTCATCACCAAACGCCAATATGCCGTCTCCAGCTTCGACCACCTCCTATCCTCCACCTCAGCATCAAACGACCTCACCAAGCTCATCCAGCCCATCTTCGCACTCGAACAGCTCCGAACTCAGGCCCCAGCAGATCTACCCTACCGCCACCTCTCCGCCCTATTCCTAGAACGAGTCGGCAACCACAACGACGCGATTTCGGTTCTCGAAGAACTCTGCGCCTCCGCAGAAGCGGACTACGAAGCCACCGAATCCCTTTCCTCACTCGCACGCTTCGCCCTTGCGAAATCCGACCTCGCACGCAACCAACTCGCCGCATCCTCCTTCCCCTCCGCAGCAGAGAACGCAGAAACCGCCCTCGACCTCTCCTCCGACGCCGATAACAGCGGATTAGACGTCGAAGCTCGACGCAAACTCCGTCTCTCTGCACACCTAACCGCCGGCCTGGCACAGTACTATCTGAGACAAATCCCCGAGAGCGTGAGCATGTTCAAAGCCGCTCTGCAAGAGAGCTCCAACGACCCCGACGTCGTCTGCTCCCTCGTGCAAGTCCTCTGGGCCCAAGGCGGGAGCGAAGAGAAGAGCGTAGCTCGCGAACAACTCTTCGACGCCGTCGAAAAGCATCCCGAGCATGTAGGCGCCGTGACGCTCCTCGGCGCCATCGCAGCTCTAGACAACGATACGGATACTTCCTCCGCGGTCCGGGATGATCTCCTCACCCTCCGCACTCAAGACGGCATCTCGCTTCAATCCCTCAACGGCATCGAGTCCCTTCTCAACGCACTCGCGGCGCTCGAAAGCCCCGACGTAGCGCTGACGGAAGCTCAATCCGCCATCTTGCTCAAGCCAGATCATCCACAGGCTTGGTCTGAGTTGGCGGAGTTGTCAGGGGAGGTTTATGCGGCGGAGATGGCGCTCAAGACGGCGAAGGGGACTGTTCTGCCACTGGGCGACATGGAAGCGGGAGAGTTGGCGAGGGCGTTTGCGGGCGTGGGGACTGTGGGGGATGCGCAGAGAGCGGTGTTCCTTGCGCCGTGGGAGGTTAGTGGGTGGAGGGCTTTGGGGGAGGCTGTTGAGGGGAATTGAAAACGAAAGCTTGGAAGCGATTGAGTAGCATAGATAACGAAGGCAATTGCAGTAGATGAGCGAAATGAAATCATTACAGCAGCGCACGCATTGACTCGTCGTTGTTTCGATAGTGGAGATGGTGGTATATTGAAAAGCTTTCCGGAATGTACACAGTGGGAGAAAGACAAAACGTCCCTTCGCAATCATACAATTGAGTAGCCTCGCCAGGTTGAGCGCCATTATTCGCCTTCAAAGTGAGGGTATTGCGGCACGTGTCATGTCCTTTCTCTTCCACTGCCATGGAAGTGCGTTTCCTCCGGGTATCTCCCCAGCGGCATGCTCTCTTTGCTCTTGTTCTTTTTGGTCTTCGTGCCCTTTGCTACGTCCTTTTACTCGACAAACTCCTTGACCCTCCTCAACCAGCCGAGGTACTCCTTCTGCTCCTTGACATCAATGTAATCAGGCACGAAAGTCGCAAGAGCGGTGGTGATACCCCTATCGCTCAAGTACTGCTCGAGGATCTGCTGAACGTCCTCGTCGAGCTGCTGGAATGGTGGGCCGGTGTAAAGGTTCTCTGGGTGGTTGCGGAGGAGCTCGGCGGCGTTGCTGGAGAGGGACTGTGGGAGTTGGATGAGGTGCTCGATCATGATGTCGCCTTCGGATGCGGTCAAGATGAACTTGAGGGAGCCCTTACCGGCGCGCTGGACGAGGACGGAAACGCGAACGGGGAAAGCGGGGCTAGATGGCTGGTCGTCCTCCTGGTATATGTTAGCATAGCTCTCACTGGTATAGTACTCTGATCTCACACTGACCTCATCTCTCAACTCCTCCCGATCAGCTGGCGCAATGCTATCCTCAGGCGCAACCTTGAAGTTCTGGTTCGCGGTCCCTCCACGGTTTATAGCACCCTTGGTGTTCGCCCCGCCGCTCTGCAAATCCATATCCTCCTCATCAGCCATCGCGGGGTCCATCTCCTCACCCCACTCCTCAGACGGGCTGTTGAACTCAGAGATGCTGAAGTGCACGGTAATAGTCTCATCATCGTATTTCCTCGTCAGGTAGACATCCTGCTCGCCCGCCCGGTCCTGGATCTCCCAGAAGGGGTTCTCGGCGATGAAGGACTCGACGTTGGAGTCTGAGCCTGCTTGGGTGTTGGATTCTTGGGCTTCGATGTCGATTTCGCTTTCGAGCTTGGCGGCGAGCTCTTGGCTGGGTTGGTCGAAGCGGGAAGGGGTTGTTGAGAAGAAGGCTGAGGCGGTTCGGGGTGCTTGTGAGATGATTCTTGATTTGATGGGAGACGTGAATGCTTGGCGGGTGGTGGTTGTGGCGAGGCGGGCGAAGCTCCGAGGAGCGCTGCGGAAGACGGAGCGCAGCATGTTGGTTGACTGATGCGATCAAACGGGGGGTGGATTCGTCAATTGATCGATGGCGGCAATGCAGGGAGCGTTGACAGTCCAAGTTGATGGATTGATGGATGGACGTCCAAACTTTCATGTGCCAGGAGCTCGGGGCCACGCTAGCCGGCTCGGCCCATGGGAAAAGCTTGGCCAATGTCATCTTTCGCAGCTGTCGCCGACCTCGCCCAAGTATTTGACCGTCATTCATTCACCTCACTCCTTCCCTATAAGGCCGCCGGGACAGCCGTGAGATTGGTAGACAATTACAAGCTACATACACGCCAATCTACAGCATCCGTCACTCTGGGATACGTCCACAATGGCCACCACAACCGCCAAACCCTCGACCCTCCCGACTCCACCTCCCCCACCCCAAAAGAAAGAGAAACCCTCCCCCCTCCGCTCCATAATAGCAGGCAGCACGGCCGGCGCCGTCGAAATCGCCATAACCTACCCAGCCGAATTCGCCAAAACCCGCACGCAACTAAACCAACGCCTGCCGTCGGGCCAAAAACTCCCCTTCCCGCCCTTCGGCGCGCAATGGTACGCCGGATGCACAACGCTCATAATCGGGAACAGCATCAAAGCCGGCGTGCGGTTCGTCGCGTTTGATCAGTACAAATCGTTGTTGAGCGATGCGGAGGGGAATATCAGCGGGCCCATGACGGTCGTGAGCGGGTTCCTCGCGGGCGCGACGGAGAGTTTGCTTGCGGTGACGCCGTTTGAGAGTATCAAGACGCAGTTGATTGATGATCGGAAGAGGGAGAAGCCGAGGATGAAGGGGTTCTTGCACGGGAGTGGAGTGATCTTTCGGGAACAAGGGCTAAGGGGGTTCTTCAAGGGCTTCGTTCCTACGACCGCGCGGCAGGCTGCCAACTCTGCCGTGCGGTTTTCGTCGTACACCTCGCTGAAACAAGCCGCGCAGTCGTATGTCGCTCCCGGCGAGAAACTCGGCACGCTCTCGACGTTCGCGATAGGGGGTATGGCAGGGATAATCACCGTGTACGCGACACAACCGATCGATACGGTCAAGACGAGGATGCAGAGTATAGATTCCAAGGGACTGTACAAGAACAGCATCGACTGCGCGGTCAAGATTTTCAAGAACGAGGGCTTTTTCAAGCTGTGGAGTGGTGCGTTGCCGAGATTGGGCAGGTTGGTGTTTAGTGGGGGCATTGTGTTTGCTATGTATGAGAAGACGATGGATCTTTTGGAGAAGGTGGATCCGGAGAAGAAGTATGTGTGAAGAGGTAGAGATGAGAAGAGAATTTTGAAGATCACACGCCGCGAAACAAACATCGTGAAACGGCGGCAGGCTCTTGAGCCATAGCTTGGAGAATTCTGTTGTGGTGAACTGCCACAATACAGCATCAATGGAGTGGCGCCCGGGAATGCACGCGGCCCATGGGAAGGGCCAAGGGCTCGTGCTGGATGCTATGATGCCACCTCCAAGTGTCGACTGCCTTCCCCTGAGGAGCAACACGATGCTCGGCCAACTAATTGTGAAGTCGCCCTGTGAGAGTAACATTCAGCCGATGGTTTATAGACGTAGAGACGCGGATAGAAGGAAAGCCGACAAGCAAATTTTACGATATTCCATCCATTCGCGCAACGCTCACAGAAAAGGCATGATAGCTTACGCTTCACTCTCAAACATTCTCGACTCTTGAAGAACAAACGCCCCAAACACCATCGCCATGCCAGAACAACCCCGAAATTCACTCGAATCAAAATCCCAACCTCTTCCTCCCCTTGTCATCCACCCCGGCCCCAGGCTTGGTGTAGGAACAAAATTTATCCTTAATCGTAGTCACCTCATACGTCCCCTCCTCACTCGCCCAGACCTTCAAACTCCTCTCCTCACTAACCTCACTCCTCATATCCAGCACCTTGCCCTTCTTCCCTCCCTTCTCCGTATTCGAAGACCGCGTATACGTGAACTCGAAAGGCGGCTCACCGCCGAATTCAAACAGAATCTCCGCTTCGCCGCCTTCGTGGATGTCGACGTAGGAATCCCGGCCTTTGGAAACGCGCACTGACGGCATGCCGTGGATGTGTTTGGTGATGGTGGTGGAGGCGCGGCAGGAGGAGGCGGAGTCTTGGAGGCCAGTGATGGTGAAGATTCCGGGCTTTTCAGCGAGGCGGCGGAAGGTCGTGCCGGAGTTGACGTTGGCTTTGCGTTCGTGGCCTTCGAAGTTGTAGAAGATGGTGAACGGGGCGACGCCAGAGAGACCGAAGTTGAGGCGGTCGCCGATGCAGTAGTCGGTCAGGGCGTCGAGGGGCGTGATGGTTGGTGCGTCGTGCACGGAGATTTGGACGCGGGGAGTCGTGCTGTCCATTGTGCGAGCGCAGCCTCGTCCGTCGCTGACACGGCGGAGTGAGACAGCCGACTTGCCGAGATGCAGACGGTTGTGAGGGATGTGGATGTTGTGAGTCTTGGAGTTGATGGCAGTGTAATGCACGATTTCGGGCTTGCTGGTGCCGTGGTGCTTGATCTCTACCTCGAGCTCGAAAGGTGGTTCGCCGTGGAGTGTCACAGGTATGACTTCTTCGCCGTCTGACTCTACGCTGCAGAAGCTGTACGTCTTGCCTGGATTCGTGAAGGCCACAGATGGGCGTGAGTTGACCTTCTGGTGGATCGTGAGCGGACTGAAAGACCTCAGGTTGTGGTCGTAGTTGCTGTCTTCGAGCTTGGAGAATTTGTACTCGTAGGCTCCGACTTGCGACGTGTCCATGCGTAAAGATGCGGTCTTGAGTGCCGCGCGAAGCTCCTTGTTCTTGGGCGCAACGGTACCATGTCCTGGTTTCACGCTCTGCACGTAGGAGAGCTTGAATGGCGGAGTTCCCTTGAAAAGCACCTCCACAGAATCCTCGTCCCCTTCGCAAACATCTCCTTTGAAAAGGGAGCTGCCTTTCTGCTCCTTGATCTGACTCGGGTTGACACGCCACTCTGGCCTTGGAATGAAGTTGACGACGAACTCGTTCGCTGCCTCATCGACTAAGCCAGGACAGACGTTGTCAGAAACGTCGTTCAGCTTGTATGTGCCCTCCTGCTCCACATCAAGGCGATCGTTAGGATTGTTTGCACGTAGAAGCTGAGGAGTACCGTTTGCATCGGTGTATGTGACAGTCCAAGGGGCTTCACCCGCAAGTCGAAGAGGAAGTTGCGCTCGTCGACTTTCGAGAATGTCGATGTTCCTCCGACCGTCGATAGGTCCAAAGCTGACCTTTGGCTTCTGATGTCGGACGTTGATTTTGGCTTCGTCTGACAGAAACTCTTTGCAGCCCAGCCGATCGGTGATACTCGTAAGTGACACAGTGTAGTCACCACCCTCTTTCAAAGGCTTGGTCTCAATATCAATGCTGTTACTCGTGACATTCTCAATGCTGTACCTCTCGCGCTTCCCGTTGTGGATGAGCTCGTAATCGAGGTTGAAAGGTCCCTCGCCTGCAAGAGATACGTCAAACTTCGCAGTCTGATCAATGCATGACGTCTTTTGCTCGCTTGGTCTGAACTTGGCTGATGCAGAAGGCTTGACAGACTGTTGTAGTCGAAGGCCTTTCATCAGTTGTTGCTTGTAGACTGCATCACTCACGCTGATGAACTCGTACGTGTATTGACCGGCCTCTCGAGGGGTCAGGATCAACTGTCCGCGATGTCCGTGGACGATCTCGTTTAGTGTTGGATGAATCCTGTCGCCAGCTCGCGTCATGCGATATTCGACATTGAATGGAGGCGTACCGATCAGATCCAGATCAACACTGAGGCCGATGGGGCTGCCAGCACACTTGTCGAACATCTCCTGCTGGGCTATCGAGAGCTTTGGCTCAGGTGGGTTCTGAAGGAGGCATGAAGCAGGCTCCAGGACATCGCCGGAACAGAATTCAGTAGAAACTCCGCTGATGGTGTAAAGGCCAGGCTCCCTGATCTTGGGTGACTGGTTGCTGCGGTAGTCTGGGAAAGTGCTTCTCTTTGGGGACACACCATGGTTACCGTTGGGAGCCAGGCTATCCTCTGGGCTGAAGAGGTAGTCCAAGCGATATGTGGCGTCGGGGATCGGTCCCTTGCCTGTGGATCCGTATCTGAGTGGCAGGCTGGCGGTGTTGTCCTTTGCGACCTTCAATGGCCGCTGCGGCGTACAGCCATCGAGAACGACCGTAGGACGCTCGTGTACCATGAACGTATCGTGAAGATGCAAAGACTTATCAGCAGGCTGATCTCGGTCCTCTTTTTCGCGAGTATTGTAGGTCACCACGTTCCCAAACCCGTCCGTGATCTGGTCAATGGCGTACGCCCACCTGCCTGCAACTCCAAGCCCCTCGCTAATGGGAACGCGAACGCTCCGAGTCTTTGCCCAATCCGCATGTACGTTGTTGGGCACGACCAAGGAGGTGTGATCTTGTTTGGCCAGAGGCGAGACGAGATCCTCAGGCTGTATGTTTTCGAAGGTGGCCTCCTGCACTGACTTGTTCACCACCTTGCGGTACTTGACTCTCATGGGAGGAGTTCCGAACACCTGCAGGGCAGTATCTGAGAGCTCACCTCGGCATCGATCCTTTGGCGAAGACATGAGCTCTGCCTTTGGGCAGGGCACAACCACGGTGTGTGCCATCCTCTTCCTCGCAACTTCCAGATTGGACTCGTCCAGAACTTTCGCCAGAGCGTACAGACCGGGCTTCTTGACAGTGTAGTAAAGTGTCTTGGGCTCGTTCGGATTTTCGTTGTACGATAGCAACCGAGAGGCCTCTTGGTGCATTTTCTTGATCTGTGACTTGCTGATGTGCAAAGTCTCGTTGACGCCGGGTTGATCCAAATCTACTCGCAAGATGTCCATCCCAATCGGGGTCGTTGCATTGATCATAATCGGCAGCCTAGCCTCTGTCCTTGTCTGGTCAAGGCAGAATGAAGTGCGATCTGGATTCAGAATCGCAGATCCTTCTGGCAAGATGTGAATGACCTGTCTTCCCAAGATCAACGAATCGTTAAACGTGACCGTATCAGGGTTCACGTTGTGCTCGTTCACAGCCATCTCGTACGCTCCCCAAAAGCCTCTACCCAGCGCCGCAATTCCTGCCCATATCGGAATGGGTACTCTGAACATCAGCATGCCATCTGCGAATGCGTGTGCCAAAAATATCAACGTCATGGTCAAGGAACTCCACTCCAGCCATGGTATCCGTAGTCCAGGTAGCCCAAACAAAAACACTCCATCTATTGCGACCCATTTCATGAACAGCCATAAACTCTGCTCTTCTGACTCTTGCAGGCCGATAAAGTCGAATATCCGCCACGTCCATAACGCTACCCATAGTGCGACTGCATATAGCCGCTGTGACGGCGCATCGATAATGCGCTCTGGTATGAAAGGATCGCTGGGTGCGCTCGGTTGTGCTCTGAGGGTTGGGATCTGAGGGAGTGGTTTTGAATGTACGCCCGGTGAGGATCGGCCGAATGGTGCTGACCTGCTATTCCTCGCATTTGTCTGAGGAGTCGCAGGGAAAGCGCTTCGCATGCGCGGCGTGCGCGGTGTCTCCATGGCTACCTCTGTCGCATTGCTCGAAGTCCGGGTGTTGTGTATGGGGAGGTGTGCGCTGCCTCGATCTTCAGTTGGCAGTAGTGTAGCTACGTCGTGATTACCAAAGGTACGTGCTTTCAGTTTCGTTATTCGTGAGAGCGTGGAGCAAGAGGAGCGTGTTTGATGGTAATTATTTGTTTGACCTTCACTTTTCAGAGACAACGCGCCGACGCGTGAAGTCGCCCGAGGTTGGCCCGAGCTTCTTCTTGCCTGAGGTTGCTCTCACTCTCCAGCCACCGACAATAAGAAGTGCACAATAGCAGCCAAGACGCAATTGGCCTTCTTTTCGTCCGGACTGCCGTCGAGATGGCACACAATTCATCTTTTCCCTCTCTTTGCTGTACAATCCAGACCAGCAAACCTCACCGCATCGGCCTGCTGCCTACCTCGCTCTTCCTGCCCACGTAACACACGGCTGTACCCTCATTGGCCGCCGCAGTACAAACCACGTCAAATCCCTCCATTCATTCCAAGACTCAGTCGAGACACCGACAAACATGCCGCCCAAACGAGGCCAGAAGCGCAAGGCGAATGGTGCCAATGCAACCTCTTCCACCAAGAATGGCTCCGAGCTGGCGCCTCCAGATCGCAACTCCTGGCAAGGATGGGTCGAAATGGAGAGCGAGCCTGTGAGTATTCAATCCAACTCGTTCGTGAAGTATTTGAGCTGACATTCTATAGGCCTTCTTCAACGTCATGCTGAAGGATATGGGTGTTCGTGGAGTCCGGATCCAAGAAGTCTACTCTATGGACCCTGATATCCTGGCCACTCTGCCGTTCGTTCTCCAGACACTACATCTCTAGGGATGTCATCCACTAAACGTTCGCAGACAACCCGTGCATGCTTTCATCTTCTTATTTCGATATCGGACTGAAGACGAAGAAAACTCCAGTACTGGCAGCAATCAAGATCACATCTGGTTTGCAAACCAGATACCAGACTTTGCGTGTGCTTCAGTTGCAATGCTCAATATCGTCAACAATTTTCCAGGCCTACAGATGGGCAAGGAGCTTCGCGACTTTAAAGACTTCACCAAAGACATGAGTCCAATGAAGAGAGGCGACGCCATCGACAGCTTTGACTTTGTCAGACGCATCCATAACTCTTTTGCCACCGAGAATGATATTCTGAACGCCAATATGCATACCAAGGCTAAAGTCGACAAATTCAAGAAGAAGCAGGCCGCTGCCAAAGCTCTAGAGACCAAGCGAGCGAAGAAGGCTGCGCAGGAAGCCAAGTACGATGAGGAAGACTCGAAGAAGCCTGCTAAATCATCGACACGTGGCAAGCAACGACCAGTGAAAGAAACCACAACTTCTGCAAACATCTCAAAATCCAGGACCAGGAGATCATCGCGTTCGACCAAAGTGGATCCTGACGATGAGTACGGTTCGACCACGACGACCAAAGCGAAAGGCAAGGTCAACGGTATCAAAGACGAGGACGATGGCGAGTCGACTGGTCTTCGTCGCTCTGGCCGTGCGCGCAAACCGCCAAAGAAGATGGCATCCGCACGAGACGAGGAAGACGAGCCTGCAGCGGGATTCCACTTCATTGCCTACATGCCTGTAGGAGACCATGTCTGGAAGTTGGACGGTCTGGACAAGCACCCACACGATATGGGTTCCTTCGGACTCGACGGTAACGGTGCGGATGGCGGGACTGGCAATTGGGTAGATGTCGCCTCACCAGCCATGATGCAACGCATGGAAGACCTTGCAGGTTCTGAAATCGAGTTCAACCTCATGGCAGTGGTTCATGATCCGACAGTCAATGAAAGCAGGCAGCTGCTAGAGAACATCAAAACACTCCTCGCAGTCGACACGAAGCTGGATGGGGTCTTCGACGATTGGCGGTCGATGGAAGGCGCAGAGACGGTGAAGGACGTCGTCACAGGCATCTCGCCCGAGTTCGACATCACTCAAGCAGACATCGACGCTGCGGAGTTGCCTCCAGACAAGGAGGAAAAGATCACAGCAGAAGACGACCTTCTGAAACTGATTGAATTCAGGGGAAGGGTGATCACGGAGCAGAAGTTTCTGCGAGGCAGCTTGCGCGAAGCCATGATGTCGACAAAGGACGACGACGAAAAGGCCAGACATCGAAGGCACGACTACGGCAAGTTTGTTCGCAGCTGGTTGGGTGCGTTAGCTGAAGAGAGAGTGCTGGACGAATTGGCCATGGGTTGAAGAGGCGCAAACACACTCACCCACATGGGGCCACTAATGGACCTCATCAGACGAGCTTCCACAAATCACGAATACCAGCTTCGGCGGACAACAGGACATCCGGCGAGACTTCACTGCCAGCAGTGCGAGACCGACAGACCGTGGTAAAAAGCGCATCCCGGTCGATGGACTCGAATACGTGCTCATTCTCGCTCTCCTCAAAGCAAGGATGTGAAGTCTGATCCGACGGCTACGAAAGACACATATATGTAGAAAATACTACATGTCTTCCAGTTTCTGATCCGCTAACTACTACAAACTGTCTCACAAAACTCGCACTTACTTTCGACGCCTATCCATCAATTCTTCGGAGGGTGCCACTGTTCCAAGCCCAGGAGACTTCGTCAGTTGGCTTTTCCACAAATATTCGATTCTTGGCTAACATTTCGTGGAGTCGTAGGTCTCCGATGTTAACGAGAAGACACAAGATGTGCAACAGAGGCAAGCATCGCAAACCGCACTCATCTGGTGCCCAGATTGGATCTGAGTCGCTCATGGTTCACCGAATGATGAACCAGTACTATCATCCAGCACATGAAGCGTCTCATCCCCCACGGCCATGAGACGGGATCGCAGCCTTGCCCACGATGTCGGCACCTCTTCTCGTTGAGCGATTACTGAGGACGCCCATCGATGCGAAACGCACGTTGGTCGAGCAATCAGGAAAGGAGTCATCGCAATGCGCCTCACTGGTTGACTCGTGCCGGACGCTACTCCGGAAATTGCTGTGAAAGAGCCAGGAGACGATGGTCCAGACACTTCCGGGAACCGGGGTCAATCACGGGGTTCTCCGCCGCAAATCGACGTCCTTTATCAGTCTCATGATGCTTCGATACTCGCCTTCACATGTGTGGATCTGCGTCTGCATGCTCGATACTTAGATTCAGAGGCTCCACCGACAGCGAAATTTTCATTGCTCGCAGACACCTGACACAGAAGTATTGTTACCGGGCATCACTGGACCCGAAACCGATGCAAATGATGGTCTGCCCTCTTTCAACTTGGAGCTACCGCATCTCCGGAGTCTCGACAGGGACGGTCCTTGCAGCACCGACATTTGATCTGTCAGGAGCAGTAAGCTCTTAAAGTCTATTTCGGACCGGACTGGGCCTTCAACGACATCTCTTGTCTTGTCATACATCTTTTCTGCCCTGATACCGTTATGGGTTCTGGGATTTCCACTTGCTCCCAGGACTGGAGACCGGACACATCTTCAAGGTCGTTCGACTGCAGTCACCTCGCACGCCAAGGAACACATGCTGAAGCAATGCAATCAAACACCCCATACCTGGGATGCTGACATCCGCTCCTCTCAACCCAGCATCTAGCAAGGAAGCAAAACTCTCGCCAACCAGAGACATGTCTATTCCAGGAAGGTACCCTTCACCTTCAATCCATGCCACGCCCTTACAGCCTGGACGTCACCACCTGCCATCCGGCAGGAGACTCTCCTAACCAATTTCGCGTCGCCACGAGTCTGGTTCACGGACTTCGGTAGGCGTATTCGACCAGGCATCGCTGTCGAGTCCACGATGGAGGAGAAGTACGGTCTTGTTTTCCCCCTCAGAACGTCTCCTCGCTCCTTCAATCAACATCTTTCAGGTGCTGCTACTGCACCAAAGCACTACCTACTTTCAATCATTCCCTTTCCCTTCATCGTCAATCGTTGCATTCCAATAATGTCACTCCTTCGCTCAGCCACGGCCACTTTCCTCTTACTCACCTCCCTCTCCCTCACCACCGCCCGCTCCCTCGCCTCACCAGACGCCAAGCTCTCCACCCGTCAAGGCCAAGGACAATGCGTCTCCGAAGCCGGGCAACCAGACTGGTACAACCGCAACCTCAACACCGTCCGCGCAATCTACGACCTGACCGTCTACCCCAACAACATCCCCATCCTGATGGCGGGTGGGAGTGCGGTTCCCCCGGGCTTGTTCGCGGAGCATGCTACGGGACGGGTCTCCCCCGTGGGTGATTTTGAGGATTTTGAGGATTCGATTGAGTGAGTTGTGCCATGAATAGAAAGTCGATGAGGAGAGAGGTGTGCTGACTTTGGTGGTAATAGGTACTTCTTTGCGCTCGCTCCGACGCCTTTCACCAATAATGCAAGCACGGCATTCTACGACTCGCAGGTTGTGGATTTCGTCTCGGGATGTGCGAATGTTGCTGCTTCATTGGTTTACTTCCGCACTGGCTCCGTCAACCCCCTGACAGGAGAGCTGGATCAATCAAAGCCAGTCTCAACCCTCTCACAGGCAAGCCCCCTTCCCACCATTCCCCACCTCCCCCACAACTAACATCCTCCTCACCAGGTCGCCTTCTGGCGCTTCGACCACCGCGGCGCCGTCGAAAAATACCAAGCCTGGGTCCCCAACCTGCAAGCCTGGACCCGCGCTTCCTCGGGAATCGACTACAGCAGCATGCAAGTCCAAGCCGCCGCTGCGCAGGGTCTCTGCCCGGTCATCCAGCAACGCTGCACGGGCAAAGACCAGCAATACGCCTCGGTCGAAGACTGCGCGGCGCAACTCGGCGCCAAACCTTTCGGTAACTTCGACGAGGCCTGGGGCGATAATGTCGCCTGCCGGACCATCCATATCATCCTCACGATGGTGCGTCCGGATGTGCATTGTCCGCACGTGGGGCCTACGGGCGGAGGGAAGTGTGTGGATATTGATTATAGCACGGATTACTTTGACGATGAGAGGTTGTTCAAGGCGCCGCTGGGGAGCGTGTTCACATGTTCGGGCCCGCTGCAGCCGGATAATCAGGTCGGTGCTGGGCCTGGGGCGGCGCAGATTTTTCAGGGGCTGGCGCAGGCGGCGCAGAGTGGGATGCTGCCGGGGATGCCGGGGATGGTGGGCGCGGGAGGGGCGGTGGGTGGTGCTCCTCAAGGGATGGGTGGTCAACAACAGCAGCAGCAGCAGCAGCAGCAACAACAACAAGGCCAACAACAGCAACCCCCCTGCCCCGAATCCGGCACCCCCGCGAACCCAGCCGCCCAAGCAGCCGCGGACGCCATGAACGGCCACCAAATGTCTGGAGGAGCCTGTCCAGCGAACGGAATGGGTCATTCAGGCACGCCGGCGAACCCTGCCGCTCAGGCTGCTGCTGATGCCATGGCTGCTCGTCCTCACACTGGTGCGGGTATGGCGCCAGGTCCTCGACCCCAGGCGTTCGGAGAGGGTGCGATGCCTGCTGGCGCTGGTGCTGGGGCTGGTGCTGCTAGTGAGCGGAATGCAGCTCCTGGACCGAAGGCGTACGGTGCCGCCGAGCCGCCTCGTTATGAGAAGTGGAAGGCTTAGAGAATTTGCGAGGAAAGGGAGATTTGGAGGACGAAGAGTGACTCTATATATTCGAATCAATGAAGATTATCTTAATATGTGGTTTATTGTATTGTGTGTGGAGAAAGCATCTTTAGATTGACCCGAAAGCCAGCGCAAGCAACTCGTTTTTCTTACCTGTCAATACGACAGACCATGCGGTCGGTGAGGGTGCCTACCAGCATGAACAAAGAAGAAGCTCTTACCTCGTGTCCCTCGCGTGGTTATCTCCGTCTCCATCATGCATCCTCATTCTCATCATCAACTTCTTCAGAGCTGTTCTGCCATCGCCAACTTCCTCTTCAAGCAAAGAACCCATATCCGCGTATATGAGCACCGTTCCGCGGTCCCACGTAGTAAGCCCAACAATCCTCCGTAGCTATAGACCGTAGGATCATAGGGCTCGTTGAAAGCCCCAATATGGCGTACATACTTCCCAAGTAACACTTCACGTACGTCGTAAGAGCTCTTAACTGGTACCGAAGTGTGGATATGAATCCTCCGCCAAACGAACCGCAACGCACGCCACAGCATAAATTACCCTTCTAGGCCAATGGAACGAGATATTTTAGCCTCGTGATGCCTGACGTATGGTAGGTATGTCCATTCTGGTGGTCTTTCCGGGCCCGGGCGGCGAATTGATCGGGGCTCATCCGGGGTTTCCCAGGAATCACATGGATGGTTGATAAGGACCCGCATTTCTATCATATGGCCTGCTTGGGGAAAGACCTCGGGCGGGGTGTTCGTATGGCGAGGGGGGAGGAGTAGTGAAGCATATATCCCTTTGGGAACCCACCTGGCGTTTAGCTTTCGTTGAACTTCCTCACAACACACCTACCATCGACCTCACCACCCAACCCACCACCCACCTCACCTCACACGAACCAACCATGCCCCCACCAACCTACACCCTAACAATCCTCTACCCGGCGGGTACAACTTTCAACATGCCCTACTACCTCAGCACACACATGCCGCTGGCCGAAAAACACTGGAAGCCCTACGGCGCGCAATCCTGGAAAGTCGTCCAGCTGCCTCACGACGCGCCTTACTGCGTGCAGGCGACGGTCAAGTGGGGGTCGAGGGAGGAGTTTTTGAAAGCGCTGGCAGGACCTGAGGTCGAGGAGATCAAGGGGGATGTGAAGAATTTTTCGGATCGCGAGCCTATTATGTTGGTGGGTGAGGTTGTGGGGTCGTCGTCGTGAGGGAGGGGAGGGAGGTTGGTGTGGAGGCGCGTTGCTGTGGTGTTGTGCGCGGGCATAGGCGACTTTGCTGGTCGTTGCAAGAAAGATGTTCGCCATGGTGAAGGCGTGAATCTGGGAAGCTTCGGCAACAGCGCTCATCTCAGCCATCTCGATCGAATCTTGGCGCACGTTTGGTGGCGGTGAGGTGTGGCTGGCAACTTCGATGTTCCCAAAGCTCAGGAGCGCCAACGTCATGTCATCACCATGACTTCAAACAATCACCAAGCACGAGTGAAAAACGCGAAGAGGAGGGAACAAAGCACGAGATAATTGCTTCGTGAAGCTTCAATTTCAATAATGGTACAAATCATGGTATCATAGGTCCCGAATTCATCATGGGATAATAGTGCCGTTTCTCCATCGTCGATGCATATCAGGTATGCCTCCCTTCCCTTCCACCTCCCATGCTCCAAAATGTCCTCATACCATCAGGTTCCAACGTGGTGTAGAAAGAGCCGTTCTCGAGAAGAAGTCAGGTGCATGACAGGTCGAAGAGGTTGTCGGTGATGTTGGAAACATCTATTTCTTGTCTAGGCCGACGGTGTGCTTGGCCTTGTCGAGGAAGGACTCGTCCTTGTGGGCGTCCTTCTCGCGGGAGGTCTTGTCCTGGAGGGACTGGCCGGTGGACTTCTGGCTGTCTGGGACGATGTCGCTGGTGGAGATGTCAGTGGAGGTTTTGAGAGTGAAAAATGAGGGACTGCATACCGCTGGGCCTTGTCACCAAGGCCAGTGACAGTGTCGCCAATCTATGTTTCGTTAACAACGGCTGCAGGACTTGGACTGCCTCAGGGACACATACCTTGTCCGTGGTGGACTTGGAACTCTGAGGCGTGGCCTTGTCCTGGAGCTCTGGAGGAAAGTCAGCAGCTGTCAATGGCGAGCAGTGAAGGTGGTGGAGACTCACTGTCGGAGAGATCCTTGCGGCCGGAGTCAGTCATCTTGACTGTGGTTGTTGGATTGGTGGTTGGTTGGTTTAGTTTGGAAATTGGTTGTGAAGTTTGAGTGCTGAGAGTGTGTGATGGTGGATGTAGAGGAGAGGGCTGAAGGTCGAAAGAAAGAGTGAACTTATAGAGGGGAAGTTATCAGTTGATGCTGCCTGTGAACAGCAAAACGGCGCGTCATCGACTCGTCATGCCGCAAACATGACACGCAGCAGCATCGCAGGCACATGACAAGGCGGGCAGGAAGTGATGGAGTGACGGGAGGTGTTGGCAGGTGGAGTGGCGCATGCCGGCACAGAACGAGCACGACAGGGCCAACACAATGGCTGAACACGGCATTGACGTGCGCCGCTACGTATCTTTGCCCATCCCTAACAAGCCTGTTGTGGCTGTCATCCTCTCCATCGAGATTGGTGCTCCACAGGCTCGTTCATTGTCTCTTTGCCCCTGTCCCTTCGCTCATGCTATGACGCAAAGTTTTCGATTGCTTCTGAGAGAAAGTGCCAGCCCAGACGTTCGCCATTGCATCCAACTTCTGGCGAATTCTCCCATCGTCATCCAGCCCCACGCAATGGCCCTTCCATTCCATGGCGGAAAAGTTGGCAGAGGTGGCGACAGATGTCACGCCCGCACACGCCAAACGTGGAAAACGCGAGTGATGGCGGGGTCAAGCTCGACGTCATGCGGGCGATGAATTTGACAGAGAACAGCACGCTTTTCTCATACCAACGCAAGACATACACATGTGGATGTCACTGATCTAATGACCGTGTTGCTCTCAATGTGACAATTGTCTTTCTTGCTGTTCATCGACAATCCCGACTTTCGTGAAGAGAAAACAACGTCTGCAAACATGGACCCTGACGTACCTGACAGCCGGAGAGAGCTCCGATGCAGCTGAACCCTCCAGTCCACCTTCACTCCCCACCAACAGCACGTGCAATCAACCACATGATACGCAACCGACTACAGCAAAGGCTCGTCAGCAAACTAATTCACTCACGTCACCCTCTCCTCACAACAAACATCACCCACCGCCCCCCTCCAAACAATGACATCCCCCACCCGCTACAAACTCGTCTTCTTCACCCCACCCCAATACCTCCCCGCCATCAAAACCGCCATCTTCGCCGCCGGCGCAGGCCGCTACCCAGGCCCTGGCGGCTACACAGAATGCTGCTTCACAACGCCCGGTGTAGGGTCTTTCAAGCCGGGTGATAGTGCAAACCCGCATATTGGGGAGCGGGGCAAGGTGGAAGAGGTCGGGGAGGTGAGGTGTGAGACGCTTTGTGTGGGGAGGGAGGTTGCTAGGGACGCCGTGGAGGCGTTGAAGAGGTGAGTTAGTCAAGAATCAGAAGGGGAGAGTGATGTGAGGGGATGGGTATGGGCATGTCGGGGCTGATGAGAGGTAGGTCACATCCTTATGAAGAGCCGGCTTATGAGGTTTATAAGCTTGAGGACTTCTGAAGGGAGTCTTCACCAATACTGGATTGTGCCAATCCCAGCCCGCCTCCTACCATTACGGCGTAGATTTCGACTCGTGGAAAGCTCTGGAGATGCGTATCGATAGAAAGAGCAAGCTACGCTCGACTGCTCAAACGCGTTCATTGTGGAGGTTTACCTAAACACAACCTATATCCCATTCCATCCCAATCCTCCAGCGCCACGCTCATTCCCAATTCGTAATCCGTTTCCATTAATTCAGCGCCTTGCTCTTCACGCCCTGCTCATCAACCCAATCCCTCCACTCCCGCCATTCACCGTAGTGCAATCCCACCTGCTTGCCCTCATACGTGACAAGCTCACCCTTCCCATCACGCCAGACCTTCTGCCACGAACCACTGCTGCCGTTCCACCCAGCTTTTCGCATAAGCGAGATGAGTGTCTCTTCTTTGGTCCAGCCTTGCTCTTTTGCGACGTCGGGAAGGTATGTTGAGCCGAAGCGACGGCCGTGGTGCGTGAAGGAGATGCGGAGACCGTGTTTGCCGAGCGTCCAGTCCATCGGGTCTTTGTTGGGCGCGGAGAAGTTCGTGAGGAGAGTGACATGGCAGCTCAGGGATGGGAGGAGGGATGCGGGGATTGGTTGGAAGCGGACGTCTTCGAATGCACTGTAGAATGTCTGTCAGCAACTTGCGAACAAACATGCTCCTTCATGGGGTTGTCTCTTACCTGGTCAACGCATAAGACCTCAGCCCATACTCCAACTCCTGCGGCTCGAAAGTCCCAATACACCCCCTCAAACTCTTGTGACCACTCCTCGACACGGTATTCCACGTCACGAACAAAGGATGCTCCTCCGCACTCTCCCGTCCTCTCCTCGAGAAGGAGAACAAAGAAGTCCGCGAATTCGAACTCACAGAACTGGCCGGCGTCGCAGTCCCCGAGGCACTACTTCCACTCTTCGATGAGGACTTGCCCGAATTCGTGGAAGGCAGACTGCTGCTCGACGATGCCGCTGACTGATCCGTCTCGCGATTCAAGAGGCGAGATATAGCTGCTGGCCGAGCTGGTTCTGCCTCTGCATCGGTCATCTCGGCATCTTCTTCGTCGGAGAGCTCTTCATCCTCGTTGTCGATGGCTTTGCCCTTGCTCGCGTGATGCTGTTCCCAGAGCTCTTCTACTTGGGTGAGACTGAGCGGTTGCCGGCGCTCGAAGTTCGCGGCGAGGGTTTCGAAACAGTAAGCGCAATGCGCTTGATTTGCCATCGGATGGTCGTCACTCTTGGGAGATGGGGATGTCTTGGGTTGGGTGGGACAGGTCTCGGGGAAGCTATCTCTCTGAGCGGGATGTCTCGAGACGGAAGCACTAGCGTAGTGCTGCAGTGTTGAAGTTGGGGAGATGGGAGAGCCGCAGGTAATGAGGAGGATGAGGAGGCGGGAAGGCGAGGAGATGTCGTGGTTGTCAAGAGGCCAGGACAGCGAGGAGCATGCCTGTCCCTGCGCGCATGACGTCTCCAGCCTCGTCGATTCGGCCCCATGCGAGATTACCCGATGTGATGGAGAAGGTTTCTTAGCGTATGAGCTAAATCGGGCGCGTCGACTTCACCTTCCTGGACTCTCTTCTCCAATGCATCAACGCACAATAATATGGCAATGGGCTATATTCCTTTTGAGAGAGATTCCGGACGCATGGTTAATAACGACACTGATGCTTCATTGACTAGCGCCTCCCGAAGTCTCACAACTGCCAGAAGGGCCAAGCGTGGCTGCATGACGGGCGCCTTGTCTTGGGCTCAAAAATACTGCACCAAGTCTCAAAGCCACGAGAAAGATCTATCAAAAGCCAGATGGGGGCCTCTCACTCACAATTATCCTTGACAAGTCGCAATCTGCCACAATTGAAGCGACTTGGCCATCAAGGGCTGTTTCCACACCTGATAAGTACACCTACTCTCCTCTCAATCATCCCCTCTCGGTATCTCATAAACACTTCTCACGAACCCCAATGGTGTATACACCATTACTTGCAATGATTTTATACACACAGCTCAAAGCTCGTCCGCGCCATCACCTCGATCTGTGCTTGAAAGCTACGAGCAGACATCTACGACCGGCAATGACTCCGTCACCACTACCGAATCGCCGTCCGGCCTTCGGTGCCCGCTACAGTCGACCTTTGCAGCAAGTTAGCCAACGACAATATTTCCTCCCTTGGCCTAGCCTGCACCGCCGAAATGCATTGTCTATTCGATAATGAACCGCCAGCGACACAACGATACCCGTCGACAAAGATCGTCTTTGTTGGATAGGTCAAACCTACAAAGAATCATCAGTTAAACAATGAAACTCTTTGGTTTCTTCAAGACTATTGTTCAGTCCGAGTCCCGTATATCTCGAATCAATGGCCGCGTCTCTGGACCGTTTCCGCTCCGCTTACGAACACTTTGCAAATCAACCCTTTCGCGACCCTGACCGTTTTCTTCTCATCGCCAACTCATTCGGCTGGACCGAACTGCGACCAACTATCAGAAGAAATCCTTGGAGCTATTGAGAGAACATGTCTAGATCCAAGTATGTAACCTTGGACTTGGGCGGTCACTCCACACCCAACGAGAAGCAGAAGCAGACGATCCCGAACTTCCAAAGCACTAACCCAGAAAGCGCTCATTTAGACCTGACCTTGGGTATTGAAATCGAGTGCTTGCTCTTACAAGACACTCGCCCGAATCTAGCCACTAGCTCGAACCCGACCAATCTTTCCGGTCGCCAGAGAATTCACGCCATTCTCAGCCAACCTATAAAGGTGAACTGCTCTTCATGTGGTAAGCCGCACAACTTCAGTCTGCCATTGAATTCTGTGGCATCCAGCCACCATCAGCAGCAGCAAATCGATACTGACTACATGAAGTGGACAGTGGACGAAGACAGCTCTTTAGCCCTCACATCCGCGGAGCTCAATGCGCTCGGGGACAGAAGACCTTACACAAAGTTTGACCGCATAGAGGTCAAGAGCCGTGTTCTGAACGCCAACCAGCCGTTGCTTACCACCGAGAGCATCGCCGACTCATTCCACACTCATTCCGTGAAGTGGGAAGACGAAATCAGCGCTATTTATGAACGCCTCATCGAAACCTTCAACGCAGTCCCTGGAGTTCCTGGCTTCCGTCTCGTCGTCAATCCTTCCTCGGGTCTCCACGTACACATCGGCAATGGTCATAAAGGATTTCCCTTGAAAACCATCAAGAATGTGTTGTCGATGTGCGTTGCGAATGAGCAGGCCATTGATTCACTGCACAGTGTTGACCGTGTCACAGGCAGCACACTGGCATTCTCGGAGCAGCGGACAAGCTGGCTGGTCGAAAACTACACCGATGAGTGCCTGGATGACACCATTTACAACGTGCCGTGGTCTGCCCACTTCCAGCTACTGGCGTTCAAACTCTCTCTCGGTGAAACGTCCAGCGCCGACGGCACTGCTTCTGACCATGGCTACATGCGAAATGAGTATCCAGCTAACGCACTGTGGATGTGGCCGTCATTGGAGCAAACCGCTCAGCAGAATGATGTGCCATCGTGGCTGAAGCTCATCCGGTGTGCGAAGGACGTCAAGAGTCTGCGCAATCTCCAAGGCGCCATGGCACATAACTCGACGGTCAACCTCAGTAACATCCTTGACTTCAGCGCTGATGGCACGAACAGAGGCATGTTCGGCGACAAGAAGATGACCGTCGAGTTCCGCCAACACCGGGCCACTCTGCGTCCGACCGAAGTCATAGCTTGGATCAACGTGCTCCTCAACCTCTTCACGTTCTGCCACGATCAAAGTATGTCGGAGGTCAAGGATCTCTGCGAGCAAACCTGGTCTGACCCTTCGCATGATGCTCTAGCTTTCTTGAAGAACATCGGTGTCGACGCCCGCACATACAACCACTACGAGACATTCCTCGACCTGGGCGACAACTATCTCTCGAAGTACGCCCGCGACGTTCACGAATCGGAGCTGCAAGCCATCGCGCAATTCGGCTCGGACGACTTCTTTCTGCCTCTGTGCAAGTTTATCGTCGAGGAGCAGACCGCGTCGATGAGCCTCCGCGAGATATACACGCGGATCAGAGAGAAGCTCGTGACCGGTGGCTATGGGCAGTTCGAGGCTGAGTACGTTCAGCAGTTGTCTGTCACGCCTGCGGAGAGGAGAAAACTCACGATCGGGTGGATCCTGGATAGACCAGGGGATCTCAAATCACCCACCGAACCATCATGCTTCGGGTGATGCTCCGCAATTGGACGGTGATATGTGATGTCTGGCTGCTGAAGTGTTGAGGCTTGGATTGTACCAGCGTCACAATGATGGAATATGAGCAACAATTTGTACGAATGATGACTGACGAGCGACGGTTTACTGTACACATATCATGAAAATGGCTCATTCTCGAGAAAACACCTTTGCGTTTTCTCTCTTACCTCTACCTCCACGTGAGATCGTTGACTCAATGCTGGTAGATGTAATATTTTAATGCGATCAAAGGGTATCTATCCCAACGCCAACAACCACGCTCAAACATTCAAAATCACAAATTATGCCCAGTCCCATGTACCATCCCCACCATCCCCACCCTATCCTATCCCAACTGATACCACTTCTTCTTCCTCTCCAACCGCCCCCCAAGCACCTCCACAACCTCCCGATGCCCCTTCCTAACCGCAATATCCAACGCCGTCTTCCCCCCTTCATTCCGCCACCCAACATCCGTCCCCGCATACATCAGCCTCGTCGTATAATACGCACTCCCCGCCTTCGCAGCCGCATGCAACGGCGTCGACCAATCGCTATCCGTGGCATTGACGTTCGCGCCCGCGGACACCAAGGCCTCCTCGGCGAGGATGATGTCGTCGTGGGGTTTGTCCGCGATGAGGTGCAGCGCTGTGCGGCCGGTGCCGGCTTCGGTGGCGTTGACGTGCGCTTGGACTTCGGGGGTGGAAAGGAGGAGGGCGAGGGTTGGGCCGGCGCCGATTTGGGCGGCGCGGATCAGGGCGCAGGGGGGGTTGCCGATGCTGGCGTGGACGTTGGCGCCGTAGTTGAGGAGGACTTCGACCATGTGGGTTTGTTTCCATTCAATTGCGTAGAGGAGCGGGGTCGGGGCCGCTTTGGTTTGGAGTTCGAGGTCCGCGCCGGCTTCGATGAGGACTCGGGCGGCGAGGATGTTGCCTTCGCGGACGGCGAGTTGGAGGGGTGTAAATTCGCTGTCATCGAGGGCGTCTACGAGCGGATCGTGTGCGAGCAGTGTTGTTGTGACTTCTTCGTTCTGGGATAGGACGGCGTAATGGAGCGCTGTCATGCCAGTGCTGGTTTTAGCATCGAGGAAAGCGCCGGCACGCAGCAAGAGTCGAACCATGTCTGCGTGCCCGTTCCACACTGCACCGATTAGGGGGCTGAGCATACGCTTGCCGTTGAAAATGCTGTTCTTGTGAGAGTTCACGTCAGCACCGCTGTTGATGAGGACGCTCGCAAGGGTGAGCCAGCCTCTGGTGGCGGCAAGGTGCAGCATCGTGAGCTTCTCGCGTCCAAGTTTCGAGGTATCTGCGCCGAGCGAGACCAGCAGAGCGGCTACGTTCTGAGGAGACTCCACATTGTCAATGTTGTCCATTGTCCAGACCCAGGCCTCATGGACATCCGAGGAGTTCCTCGACATATACGCTACGTTATAACCAGCTGTGTGCAAGACATTCTTCGCCTGAGTCTGATCGATGTTCTGCAGCGAATTCCAAGCGTCTTCGATCCTAGCATCGTAGTACTCGTGGCCTACATAGCCGGCAGGACGACACTTCTCGCATTGACAGTTTCCTTCGGTCTCGTCAAAGACGCATCGAAGAAGCCTTGTCTGCTCACAGTACCGGCATGCGCATACGTTGTTGAACCCCATTAGGAGGTACAACTCGTTGGCGAGGTTTTCAAGGCATCCCGAGCAGTGACACTTAATGATGGGCTCGCCGTCAAGTGTGGTTACCTCGTCCAGAAGGCTAGCAACTTGGCAGACTTCGCAATCACAGGGATCCGGAAAGCCAGTCAGCTCATCGTCGTTGACCACATCTTCGTAAGACGATGGTGGCGCTTCATCCTCGTGTTGTTGGCTTCCAGCACTTTGCTCTTGCCGAAACAAGTCTTCCACTGCTTCGCGAATGCTTTCTTCACACAGCGCAATCGGCGTCCTATTCCGATTTTCTCGTGCGCCAGTATCAGCACCACTTTTAAGCAGTAGCCGAATCGTCTGAAAAGCGTCGTTGACCAGATCTTGATCCTCACTCCAAGCATAACGGCATGCGTAGTGCAAAGCGGTCCAGCCATCGTTCTCGGTCTGATTCACTATCTCATCATCGTCACGAAGCAATATGCGAACACTTGCAGCGTCACGCTCTCGAGCAGCCACATGTAGAGGCGTCAAGCCGGTAAGGTTGCCTGATCGTCGATCTGCTCCAAAGCGCAGAAAGTACTTGACGAAAAGTGGGTTGCGCATGGCAGCTGCCACATGAAGCGGAGAGTTCCCAAACACATTCGATGTGTTCAAGTCGACGCCGGCTTGGATGAGTGCCTGGACCAGATCTCGGTCGAGGCCCTCCGAAACGCCTTCAATCGCCACATGCAGAAGCGAGTTGAAACGAGTCGACTGTGCGGAAGGCTCTATTTCTTCGAAGAGATGATTCGTCCATGACAAAGGTGTGAGGTCCTTGAGGTCGTCAATGAGTGATGGAAGGTCTAGACTGTCCTCAACGAAAGCTTGCTGAATCTCTGCGAGCTTCTCGTGTATATGTTGCCTCTGATCTTCCAATCTGCTTCTTGCGGCTTCATCATTCGCCGCCGAAGATAACCAGATAGGTCGTAGATTATCTGGTATGTTCGGAACTGTGGGCCTGGTGGGTAGAGGCTCATCAGGGTAATGCTTTTCAGGAGATGGTGCTCCATCATTGTTTGAACTCTCCTCCGCGGGAAGAAGCATCGGGGTCTGTCGAGCTTTGGCGGCGGCAGTCTTGCGCGCACGCCAAACTTCTTTGCGAATCGCAACATGTCCAGAACGTGGCTTCACTGGACTATGTGGTTCAGCCACCGACTGCGCGTCAGAAGGAGGACAGTTCAGAGTAGGGTGTGTCCTATTTGCGGCGGTTCCCTTGTCTGGTTCTGCAGTTCGCGGATTGGCATACTCATTCGGGTTTGCATTGCTTTCCGTCTGCTCTTCGGCCAACGGGACGGAGGTCCTCGGGAAAGCATCGTTGTAAAGAGTACTGTCTTCGACAATGGGGCTAGGTCCGTACGGTCGACGAATGCGGTCTTCGAGAGGCCGTATGGTGTCTTCCTCGACGTGACTTGACTCATCCGCGTGAACTTCCGGCTCTGGAGCCTCGACGTCAGATGCGCTCTGGTCAAAATCGCTGTGTTCGGCATCATCGAGACAGCAGTCTCCGCAATATGCATGCTGGCCTTTGGACGCAGCCATAATCTGTTTCATTAGCTTAGACGCTTCTGGCCGAAGCATGGGCTCCTCTGCCGTCATGCTTTGTATCCAGCGTAGAACTTGCTCATGCTCGGATGGGAGACTCATCAGATGCATGAGCCACTCTTGCAGACCGGCAACGTTGACACCCGGGCGTATGGATTGTGTTCCATGCTTTTGAAGGAAGACTTCCCTGGTTTTAGGACTTTCGCCCAGGACCACAGCCTGCGAGGAGTCAGTGTGGAACATGAAAGCTGCAAGGAGGTGTATACCATCATGTCGAGGAAGACACAGCCCAGAGACCAGACATCTGTATATCGCTTGCGAGGCTTTGCGAGATGGACCTCTGGCGCAGCATAGCCGTGGCTGTAAGCTCTCGCAGTCCCGATTGTCGTCTCTCCGCCTCCTTCGGCCCAGTCGATGGCGATTCCAAAGTCAGTGAGAAGCATCGAATTCTCGTGTACCAGAATGTTGTCAGGCTGGATGTCTTTGTGTCGACACTTGTTCTCGTGAAGATAGAGCACAGCGGAGCAGAGGCAACCAAGACTGCGAAGCAGAAACTTTTGGTCCACAGCTGTATACGCTGGTTTGTCGAGGAATTGGGTTAAGTTCATGTCCGCCACAGGTTCCATCAGGACACCCATGTACTTTGGGTCAGTGTATGAACTGTTCAGACATCAGCCTCATGTCATCAGTAGCCCAACTACGGCACTCTCACCCTACGAAGCGCACCAGATGCTCGTGCGAGTACTTCTTCAATGCATTGATCTCATTCTCATACTGCTGCATGGTCGTCTTTGGCGTGCGGAAAGTGTGCTGACGGGAGAACTTCTTCCTCTGGCATAGTTTGTCAGTCGATAGTCCATCTAGTTTGAGTGCATACACTTACAGCGTAGTTTTCCCGCGTGAACTTGCTTTGCACATGGTCCACCGTCCCATATCCCCCCTTTCCTAGGCGCTCGAGTACAATGAAGAGATCATCGGCGCTTTGTCCTTCGGTACGGGTCAATATGCGCAAGACTTCTAGAAGTGAGGAATACTGACCTAGGTGAAGATGCGGACCACCTTTTACAATATCCACTTCTTGTTTGCTGAAGACAAGATTCTGCTTCTGCATGAACACTCGTCTGGCCTTCTTGTCCAGACATTCCGGAAGGCTTCGATCGGTGTACGGGAAATGTGCGTCTTTGCGACCTTCAAGCAAAAATCCGCTCATGGCGCCGACTTGATCAATGCTGCGAAGCACGAGGTACGTTCGCGGTGCCTGGGCCCATCGCTCTTTGCCGACACGACGCAACAGATTGCTGACATCTTCGATCTCGTCATCATGGTATGGCTCGTCAGTACTCGCTTGCCGTTGCTGTATTATGTGAGAGATGGCCGTCTCAAATTCGTCGACATTGAGTCTTCGTGAGTTGTCCTCATCACCTGCTTGTCGTTTTATTAGCATACTTGCTATGAGGCTGGAAAGGGTGCATACCAGTGGAAACCGTAGCTTGCGGAGCTTGAGTCGCATTCTGCAGCGCTTTTCGTCGAGCAATCTCCTTCATGACGATGTCCCTGACTTTTAGAGACGCTTTGGTAGCATGCTGCATATCATTGAGCAGCTTGTGGTGTTGCGTCGTCGAGTGCTTCGTGATGGATTTCTCGTGAGTCTTGTATTGTGCCTTCAACTGCTCAACGGACTTCCGAAGGGATGCGTTCTCGGCCTCGAGCTGGCTCGTGTCGCTCTCGGTTTTTTGACTTTGCACTTGGAGGCCCCTAGTGGAGGTGAGTCGCTGTCAAACTGAATGACATGCTTGTAACGTACGCTTGTAGGCACTGTAGATGCAACTGAATGCAGCTGATGCCTGATTGAAGCGATGTTCCTAGTTCATCGACGTCGCTCTCGTCAAGCTTGTAAGCTGTCAATCCGCGGCGAAAGAAGCCGTCTTCGTCCTTGGGAACGTGTCGCTCGATCTCTTGCGAGAACTGTGCGATACCGGTGCTGCATGTTCTCAACGTCTCAAGGAGCTCCAAGGTTGTACCGCTGCGGTAGACGTGCTCGAATTCGATAGCCGCAACGTAGAAGTCATTGTTGCCGAAGAAATGCTCCACTGATCTAACGGAAGCCTGGAAAAGTCGTAGCTGGCTTTGAAAGCGAATGATCCTTTGAGGCAGTTCTTTGCCACCTTGATAGAATTCGTACAGGAGCTTCGAAAGCTGGGCAACGGTGCACACCAACTGGAAAGAGAAACCTGCTATACTCAGAGGGTCCATTGCGAGAGAGATTTGAGTACGTGAAGAGTTCGCCGGACCTACAGATGATTTATCGACTCGATTCACCCGAGCTAGATCATGCGCACACCTTATCATAGCCTTTCAGCAGGCTTCGCCGTCGACAAAGCTGAAGCCAAGTTGTGAAATTCAGGGGCCTGCCTGTACGCAGCCACGCTGCATGTCGGCCATCGCGTCCTCGTGCGCATACGTCAAGCACAGATCCTGTTGTTGTAGACATTGTACGGAAAACGCCGCCGAATCGGACAATGCCATTCGTCGCCAGACTGAGAGCACCAGGATGCTTGAGAGGCCGCACTGGGGGCACGAAGTGTCAAGATGCTGCATTCAGCTCAAGAGACGACTTGGGAGCGTTACGCGCGCGGGTCCAAGCCGTGGTGCCTTGCCACACGGTTTGAGAGGTTGCAGAAGCGAGCTTCGAGTATGCACATTGCTGTTTTGCGGAGCAACAGCACGACAGCTTGGCACTGGTGATTGCCTATAAGTGGTCGCCTTCCTTCGGACATCCTTTGTTGGTGTCACTTGCGAACTTTCACTCAGGCTGGCGCCTATGTCAAGTTAGGTCGATGGCCAACGAAAGATTGAAGTGAAAGCGTTGGTCGTGAGGCCTTCTCTTCCTTCCAGCTCATGCTCGCTGCCGCTGGCTGACACGCATGCGCAGTAAGGCTTGA